TGGTCCGGGTACCCGGGACCTCTCCATTACAGGTGGAGCGCTCTACCAACTGAGCTAACCAGGGGTTAGACATCAGTAGAGCAAACGGGTTTTATCAGCTGCCACCAGTCTAACACCAACAGGGTTGAAGCTTGAAAATTTAGGATTATAATTATAATGCAATTCAATGCAAAGGTGCAAGCGAGCTGGACAAGAATGACGAAAATAATCCCTGGAGAAGGGGAACGAGAGGGACGAAGGACGAACACAAATCTCCAAACACAGCTAGGTGACTTGTGAGCGACAGAAAAAATCCGCCTGGTCCGGGTACCCGGGACCTCTCCATTACAGGTGGAGCGCTCTACCAACTGAGCTAACCAGGGGTTAGACATCAGTAGAGCAAACGGGTTTTATCAGCTGCCACCAGTCTAACACCAACAGGGTTGAAGCTTGAAAATTTAGGATTATAATTATAATGCAATTCAATGCAAAGGTGCAAGCGAGCTGGACAAGAATGACGAAAATAATCCCTGGAGAAGGGGAACGAGAGGGACGAAGGACGAACACAAATCTCCAAACACAGCTAGGTGACTGGTGAGCGACAGAAAAAATCCGCCTGGTCCGGGTACCCGGGACCTCTCCATTACAGGTGGAGCGCTCTACCAACTGAGCTAACCAGGGGTTAGACATCAGTAGAGCAAACGGGTTTTATCAGCTGCCACCAGTCTAACACCAACAGGGTTGAAGCTTGAAAATTTAGGATTATAATTATAATGCAATTCAATGCAAAGGTGCAAGCGAGCTGGACAAGAATGACGAAAATAATCCCTGGAGAAGGGGAACGAGAGGGACGAAGGACGAACACAAATCTCCAAACACAGCTAGGTGACTGGTGAGCGACAGAAAAAATCCGCCTGGTCCGGGTACCCGGGACCTCTCCATTACAGGTGGAGCGCTCTACCAACTGAGCTAACCAGGGGTTAGACATCAGTAGAGCAAACGGGTTTTATCAGCTGCCACCAGTCTAACACCAACAGGGTTGAAGCTTAAAAATTTAAGGTTATAATTATAATGCAATTCAATGCAAAGGTGCAAGCGAGCTGGACAAGAATGACGAAAATAATCCCTGGAGAAGGGGAACGAGAGGGACGAAGGACGAACACAAATCTCCAAACACAGCTAGGTGACTTGTGAGCGACAGAAAAAATCCGCCTGGTCCGGGTACCCGGGACCTCTCCATTACAGGTGGAGCGCTCTACCAACTGAGCTAACCAGGGGTTAGACATCAGTAGAGCAAACGGGTTTTATCAGCTGCCACCAGTCTAACACCAACAGGGTTGAAGCTTAAAAATTTAGGATTATAATTATAATGCAATTCAATGCAAAGGTGCAAGCGAGCTGGACAAGAATGACGAAAATAATCCCTGGAGAAGGGGAACGAGAGGGACGAAGGACGAACACAAATCTCCAAACACAGCTAGGTGACTGGTGAGCGACAGAAAAAATCCGCCTGGTCCGGGTACCCGGGACCTCTCCATTACAGGTGGAGCGCTCTACCAACTGAGCTAACCAGGGGTTAGACATCAGTAGAGCAAACGGGTTTTATCAGCTGCCACCAGTCTAACACCAACAGGGTTGAAGCTTAAAAATTTAAGGTTATAATTATAATGCAATTCAATGCAAAGGTGCAAGCGAGCTGGACAAGAATGACGAAAATAATCCCTGGAGAAGGGGAACGAGAGGGACGAAGGACGAACACAAATCTCCAAACACAGCTAGGTGACTGGTGAGCGACAGAAAAAATCCGCCTGGTCCGGGTATCGAACCCGGGACCTCTCCATTACAGGTGGAGCGCTCTACCAACTGAGCTAACCAGGGGTTAGACATCAGTAGAGCAAACGGGTTTTATCAGCTGCCACCAGTCTAACACCAACAGGGTTGAAGCTTGAAAATTTAAGATTATAATTATAATGCAATTCAATGCAAAGGTGCAAGCGAGCTGGACAAGAATGACGAAAATAATCCCTGGAGAAGGGGAACGAGAGGGACGAAGGACGAACACAAATCTCCAAACACAGCTAGGTGACTGGTGAGCGACAGAAAAAATCCGCCTGGTCCGGGTATCGAACCCGGGACCTCTCCATTACAGGTGGAGCGCTCTACCAACTGAGCTAACCAGGGGTTAGACATCAGTAGAGCAAACGGGTTTTATCAGCTGCCACCAGTCTAACACCAACAGGGTTGAAGCTTGAAAATTTAAGGTTATAATTATAATGCAATTCAATGCAAAGGTGCAAGCGAGCTGGACAAGAATGACGAAAATAATCCCTGGAGAAGGGGAACGAGAGGGACGAAGGACGAACACAAATCTCCAAACACAGCTCGGTGACTGGTGCGCGACAGAAAAAATTCGCCTGGTCCGGGTATCGAACCCGGGACCTCTCCATTACAGGTGGAGCGCTCTACCAACTGAGCTAACCAGGGGTTAGACATCAGTAGAGCAAACGGGTTTTATCAGCTGCCACCAGTCTAACACCAACAGGGTTGAAGCTTAAAAATTTAAGGTTATAATTATAATGCAATTCAATGCAAAGGTGAAAGCGAGCTGGACAAGAATGACGAAATTAATCCCTGGAGAAGGGGAACAAGAGGGACGAAGGACGAACACAAATCTCCAAACACAGCTCGGTGACTGGTGCGCGACAGAAAAAATTCGCCTGGTCCGGGTATCGAACCCGGGACCTCTCCATTACAGGTGGAGCGCTCTACCAACTGAGCTAACCAGGGGTTAGACATCAGTAGAGCAAACGGGTTTTATCAGCTGCCACCAGTCTAACACCAACAGGGTTGAAGCTTAAAAATTTAAGATTATAATTATAATGCAATTCATTGCAAAGGTGCAAGCGAGCTGTACAAGAATGACGAAAATAATCCCTGGAGAAGGGGAACGAGAGGGACGAAGGACGAACACAAATCTCCAAACACAGCTCGGTGACTGGTGCGCGACAGAAAAAATTCGCCTGGTCCGGGTATCGAACCCGGGACCTCTCCATTACAGGTGGAGCGCTCTACCAACTGAGCTAACCAGGGGTTAGACATCAGTAGAGCAAACGGGTTTTATCAGCTGCCACCAGTCTAACACCAACAGGGTTGAAGCTTAAAAATTTAAGGTTATAATTATAATGCAATTCAATGCAAAGGTGAAAGCGAGCTGGACAAGAATGACGAAATTAATCCCTGGAGAAGGGGAACAAGAGGGACGAAGGACGAACACAAATCTCCAAACACAGCTCGGTGACTGGTGCGCGACAGAAAAAATTCGCCTGGTCCGGGTATCGAACCCGGGACCTCTCCATTACAGGTGGAGCGCTCTACCAACTGAGCTAACCAGGGGTTAGACATCAGTAGAGCAAACGGGTTTTATCAGCTGCCACCAGTCTAACACCAACAGGGTTGAAGCTTAAAAATTTAAGGTTATAATTATAATGCAATTCAATGCAAAGGTGCAAGCGAGCTGGACAAGAATGACGAAATTAATCCCTGGAGAAGGGGAACAAGAGGGACGAAGGACGAACACAAATCTCCAAACACAGCTCGGTGACTGGTGAGCGACAGAAAAAATTCGCCTGGTCCGGGTATCGAACCCGGGACCTCTCCATTACAGGTGGAGCGCTCTACCAACTGAGCTAACCAGGGGTTAGACATCAGTAGAGCAAACGGGTTTTATCAGCTGCCACCAGTCTAACACCAACAGGGTTGAAGCTTAAAAATTTAAGGTTATAATTATAATGCAATTCAATGCAAAGGTGCGAGCGAGCTGGACAAGAATGACGAAAATAATCCCTGGAGAAGGGGAACAAGAGGGACGAAGGACGAACACAAATCTCCAAACACAGCTCGGTGACTGGTGCGCGACAGAAAAAATTCGCCTGGTCCGGGTATCGAACCCGGGACCTCTCCATTACAGGTGGAGCGCTCTACCAACTGAGCTAACCAGGGGTTAGACATCAGTAGAGCAAACGGGTTTTATCAGCTGCCACCAGTCTAACACCAACAGGGTTGAAGCTTAAAAATTTAAGGTTATAATTATAATGCAATTCAATGCAAAGGTGAAAGCGAGCTGGACAAGAATGACGAAATTAATCCCTGGAGAAGGGGAACAAGAGGGACAAAGGACTAACATAAATCTCCAAACACAGCTAGGTGACTGGTGAGCGACAGAAAAAATTCGCCTGGTCCGGGTATCGAACCCGGGACCTCTCCATTACAGGTGGAGCGCTCTACCAACTGAGCTAACCAGGGGTTAGACATCAGTAGAGCAAACGGGTTTTATCAGCTGCCACCAGTCTAACACCAACAGGGTTGAAGCTTAAAAATTTAAGGTTATAATTATAATGCAATTCAATGCAAAGGTGAAAGCGAGCTGGACAAGAATGACGAAATTAATCCCTGGAGAAGGGGAACAAGAGGGACGAAGGACGAACACAAATCTCCAAACACAGCTCGGTGACTGGTGAGCGACAAAAAAATTCGCCTGGTCCGGGTATCGAAACCGGGACCTCTCCATTACAGGTGGAGCGCTCTACCAACTGAGCTAACCAGGGGTTAGACATCAGTAGAGCAAACGGGTTTTATCAGCTGCCACCAGTCTAACACCAACAGGGGTGAAGCTTGCAAATTTAAGGTTTTGGTTTATTTTCGTCATTCTTGTCCAGCTTGTTTGCACCTTTGCATTTAATTGCATTATAATTATAATAACAGTCTGGCCTTTGACCTTAGTATTTTCCTCCTTCGCATGCCCTTATTTCTCTTTCTCAATTTACTTCTTCGGCCAGGACGACTATCTGACACCACGATCGGCCGTTATTTCAAACCCTATATGGCTACTGTAGTAAAAAAAACAGTAAAGCGATAAGAAAATTAGCTTGTTCAGAAAGACACCCCGCCGATGGTGACGGCCAAGTACCCGTTGACCCAGCGTTGTTTTTTCCTTAGCGTACCACGAGTTCCCGCCCGACCTGTTCTCCCACGACGCTCGGGCCAAGGGCGGAGTGATCGTGCACGTGCTGGTGGTCTTCTATATGTTCTACGCCTTGGCCGTGGTGTGCGACGACTACTTCGTCGCCTCCCTGGAGGAATGCTGCTCCGTGAGTTGCGCTCTTAGGCAGCCCTTACACGTATTTAGTACTTCGATAAACGATCACGGGGCATTTCGCGTCGCACGAATAAACTGAGTGTCATGGAAAGCAGGAACGTTGCCTAAAGTTAAAGCTAGTGCTGACGACAACATGCGAAAGTTGACTGATCAAAAAGTTAAAAACATGCTGGTAAAAGTTTTAAATTTTAAAATTCGAGGTGCAGTAAAATACGCACACTCACGTAAACAAATCCACGCCCTGATGTTCGCAACTGATCAATCAACTTGCTTCGATCTGCCCTGCCCCGACCCGATTTTACCCTGGGCAATATAATTTGAGCCGACCCGACGCAATCTGTTCGGAGAATACCCGACCCGACCCGACCCGACCCGACCCGATCCGACCCGACCCGACCCGACCCGACCCGACCCGACCCGACCCGACCCGACCCGACCCGACCCGACCCGACCCGACCCGACCCGACCCGACCCGACCCCGACCCCGACCCGACCCTACCCCGACCCCGACCCCGACCCTACCCCGACCCCGACCCGACCCGACTCGACCCTACTTCACCTGACCCGAGGACCGAACCCAATCCGATGCGATCTGAGGAGTTCGGACCCTGCCCAACATGAATGGTTCAATCCGACCTGGTCTGATCAAAATGCAAACAGCCCCATCAACCGGCAAAGTAACCAAGGAATTGACACGTTCGTTTGCCGTCCACAAAAACCGGTTACAGTGAGAGTAGTTCGAAAACCCTCGCATAACATAATGACAAGAACTAAAATTAAATATGAACAGCGACGAACGATAGTATATATTTCCTGCTGCGCGGCAAGCTCCGATCAATCGTTGAAGTAAGAATAAAATTAACTCGAACGCAGTGTGTCGGTATACTTAATTTTGCTCAGCTTCCAACGATATATGTATATATAACCCGTCAAAATATTCGACGAAAGTTCGAATCTGCACCATGCTGACGTGCGGTCTCTTTTCTGAACAACAAAATCTACTCTTAAAAACAAAACAAAACAAAAAGAATCTTTTCAAGATATTTTCAGATAATTTTGTTGACACGATTTTGAACGCGAGTGTACATACATGTACTGACTCTTCCTTTCTTGCCTTCAGCGGCTGAACCTGTCCGAGGACGTGGCGGGTGCCACCTTCATGGCCGCCGGGAGTTCGGCCCCTGAGCTCTTCACCGCCATTTTAGGCAAGGAGTTTGACCTGCGCATGCAGTCAGCCGTTCGCGCCACGAAACGCAACAGAGGAGCAAATCAGACACCGCCAAAAAATGTACCGTCACGGCACTCGTCGCATTTGTCCGTTTGCTATATCCCCGGCTAAACCGATCACGCACAGAAAAAAAAAAATGAGCAGGATTATGACGCATTCACTGTGCACGTGATTAGCCCTAGCCGGTAATGAAGAGCAAACGCACAAATACGAGGAGTGCCATGACGGCTCCCTCGGCTGCGATCGGGCTTAGAGTGAACCGGAGTATAGTATGATGCCGAATCTATAATAATAATAATAATAATATTAATATTAATAATAACAATAATAATAATAATAGTCTTTATTTTTTCTGCGCCCACAAACAGAACGTTACATTTAAACATACGATGGTGTAACGGTCGTTAACACATGTTAGATTCACAAACAGCATTCGAAGTCAGTTGTACCCTCGCCGATGGTGACTCGGAAGAGCTATGAAGTGGTTTTGTAAGAAAACTTCGTACGTAGAAGTTGATTAGAAAAAAAAAAAAAAAAAACATCCTATGCTAATTTCGTCTGGAACGAACGGCCCGCTTTATCGTGTCCTTCATGCCTGTCCCGTGTGTTGCAGGAGTACTTATTGCCAAGGGAGACGTCGGCACGGGCACCATCGTAGGCTCGGCGGTGTTCAATGTCCTCTTTGTCATCGGCCTCTGCGGACTCTGCTCCGGAAAGGTACGCAAATACGTTACGTCTACGGGTCGCACTTTCCCCTAATACCGTTTTTTTCTAATTTTTTAATCACATTATTGGATAGATGAATGAATGAATGCTAATGGCTGTGCCCTTTATACCGGGCGGTAGCTTGCGCCACCTAGCCACTGTAAAAAGGTTCATCCTTTCTCAACCCTCGCTGGTTGAGAGATAAAGAAACTGTGGGGATTTTTTTTTTTTCTTACTGAAAATCGACTTATTGTTTGTAATCAATCCTTTGAATACGTCTCGGAGCTTTCGGGGATACGACCTTTTTGGTTCCCAGTATTTTTTACGAGTCAAAAGCTTGTCTATGAGTATAATTCCAGCGTTAGTTTGGCAGATGTCGAACGTTCAAGAATAATTTATTGCCCCGATTTGGTTGCACACGCGTATACGATGTCATGAAAGGACAATACGACAACCAAATAAATATAATAATTGAGCACACCTGAAACATTTTTTTTTTTGTTTCGGAAATTGTGCCACGAATTGCTGAACTTTTACTTTTAATTACACCGTGTGGAGAACGCCTTCTCCACATAAATCCACGTTGAGTTTTTTTTATTTTTTTATTTACAGTAATGGCAACCTTTCAGGGTGTGTACGGAGTGTTTATTTAAAATAAAATTACTGTACGCTGCACTAATGAAATACAATTCATGACCAACCACCACCATCACTGCAAATCATACCCTCAAGTAACATGTTGAAATTGTTGATTAGAAAGAGAAAACGGAACCGTTATTCACCGACATAGCCGACCTTCTCTTGTTTTACCGAGTCACTAAAGCGGGCGTTTATTCGCCGCCACAGATGCCTAAACTGGGGAGAAGGACGCAGTAGCAGCTAAAGTGGCAATAGCCTGTCCTGCTGCGGTAATGATGAAGTGAAACGAACGAAATAAGAGCAAAGAAAAACTGAGGGTCGGTTATGGCGCCGTCCATGTACGTACAGCTGCCTGAAAGCGTCTATAGTGCAAACCAAACGGCCTGTTCGCAAATTGCTCGGTGCCGGTTCAATCGCAAAGCAAAAACGTGAGTTATTTGAGGTCTCACAGAAAGGCACCGTTGTTTTTGCTATGCCGCCTAGATTTCAACACACACACACACACACACACACACACGCACACGCACACGCACACGCACACGCACGCGCACGCACGCGCACGCACGCACACTTAGTACACCTTAAGCAATATCTTTCTGAGCTATATCTTAGGGCACGCCATTATTTGCTCCATCTACGGTAAACCTTCTAAACAATGGCTGCCGATCGTGCTTCAAGGTGTACTCAGTGTAAGTATCCCAAATATGTGCGTTGACCGTCCCCACACTGCCATGACCTGATGAAGAGCGGACCCCGCTCGGAACACGTCGTCCAATAAACATATGAGTACATCTTAGGCAATTCCTAAGGTGCACTCATATGGGTACACCTTAGGGATATATATATATATATATATATTGGATGCCTAAGGTGAGTGCACCTTAAGCAACCTGTATATATACTGTATATATATGTGTCTGTGTGTGTGTGTGTGTGTGTGCGCGCGCATAAAAAAGACGCAAGACTATTTAATTACCTAATTGCTCCTAAAAGATTAAGGAACACTCCAAAAATAAGAAAAAAATGCAAATTGTAATAACCCTTTGTGAATAGTTACCCTGCAAGGTGTTTCACCGAACATCGGCCAAACTTGTTCGTGTCAAAACTATACATTGCTCAAAAATAAGATTGGTACCATATATTGGTCACCGTACAAGGTCCTATAAATTCAGGCGCATATGCAGGGTATTCCATGTAACTTGAGCCAAGGTTTACAAATATTTTGGTACATTTTAGGAAGACGAAACTAAAGAAATAAGCATGTTTCCTGTTTAGAGAAAGTCAGGCTATTTTTGTACATTGCCCAGTTAACTAATTAATTAAGATCAATTAATGAACTTTTGAAATATTTAATTTAGAGCAAAAGTTTCAATGACAAAGTTGTAGAACGTTCTAAGAGACATCCAATTCAGTGGCTTTTATCAAGAAACCTGTAACACTGTTCGTCTTTCTGGGCTTCAAAAAAAGCCCGAAAATTACGAGAAAAAAAAACATGTGACTTTGCTCTTGAGAGCCTTAAGCTCTCAGCTGTGACCTGAATAAAGTAGGCCGGCATGCATGCTGAAAGAACACTGTTGACATAACTCTGTTAAAATATTCGATATTTTTCGCGTTTTTTTAAATAATTTGCTAGCTCTTTTTGAAGCCCTGAAAAACGAACAGTGTTAGAGGTTTCTTGATAAAAACCACAATTGTTTTTATTGTTTTTTTTTTTATCAATTGTAATTTTGGTCCCTCGACAGTGAGCGGCTCAGCACCAATCGTTTTCCTGCACGCGGCACTAAGACTTCACTTCACACAGATAGTTTGGCCAACGTGCGGTGAAACACTATAGGTACGTAAGTAATTATAAAATCTACGGCTTTAGCTAAGGGACCTTTGTGGTCGGTGGCGAATCAGTTCGCGATTCTCCGAGCGTGGCACATGTTCGCGACCTAAGAGCGCTGGCTGATTCGCCGATTGCAAAGAAAGGTAACTTTATGCTGACCGTGGGAATTAAGTATAAGAAGCCCAGCGCTGCCCTGCTTTTCTTTCGCTGTCAATGACTATAGATTACGTACGTTATAAGTAGGCTTTTGTGTTTTCGAATAATAATCTGAAAAAAAAAAAAAAAAGATCCCAAAAGCACTCGCCGATGAATTTACTGTCAGTTCGGATTTATCAGAAAAACTCAAAATCTCGAGGTAACAATTGGGGGTTGCGTGGATATTTATACAGGGTCAACCATTTCAAAGTTGCAACGAGTCACTCGCTGTAGATGAGCAATTTAGCCAGTGCAGTACAACCGCTAGCCTGGGGACTTTAACGTGCACCATGGAGTAGTGGTACGCGACCACACGCCGGTACGATGCTCATCCAGATCGAGACGGGGGTACACTGTCGAGGTAACAACGACAAAATAAAAAAAAAAGCAAGAAAGACGGTGTTTTACAAATAAAGTTCATAAGAGCGCAAGGTCAGGGGTCCTCAGGAGTTGCAACCTCAGTTTCCTTTGAAATCCTGAGTCACTGACAAAGAGGGTTTGCCTTCCAGCCCGTCAAGGTTCCTTCGAGACAACGGGTCATGGTACCTGAATTTTATTTGTTGTTTATGATTTTTTTTTTTTAAAGTTGGGAAAACGGTAAATTAAACTTCGAATTTCAGAGAATCGGGAACCTAACAAAAATAAACTCTGATAAATCCCTAAATTTAACGAACAATAACCTCCGAAAAACAACCCGTCGAATTTAACGAGAAACAAACTTCGAAAACACTTAATCCTAGTCCAATAATATTCATGTTGACTGGTTGTTAAGAACGTTAAGGCTGTTGTTTCCTGCTGCAGTCGGAACTCTCTCAGGACATCCGGGGTCCATCAATTCATCTAACATAATCATCATGCCCTCTCCCTACAACCCTCACAACCCCAATCCTTCCTGCCTCAGGTTCACCAGACCATAGGCTGGCGAACCTTACGTATCAAGAAAGACACGATTTTAATCAATCAATCCGCTCAGATTTCGATCGGTTCAAGTAAATCTCGGCGTTGCTTCTTTCTCGTTAAGGACGTCCCGGTCACCTGGTGGCCGCTATTCCGAGACTCCGTCTTCTACGCTTTCACGGTCGTCATTCTCATCCTGGTAAGGAACCGCTTTGTTCTCACTCGTCATCAAAGTGCCACGCTGTCGACGGCCGCGATCCCGGTGGTGTTTCAGCCGCGGTAGTGGATCTGGCAGACGCCTGTTCTGCTGCAGGTCGCTCTCTAGTTGAACAGTCCACGGAAGGTTCAGCAGTCGCGAGTTGGGACGCTGCGACGACAGCGACACTCGCGTTCGCTCCTGCTTTTTTACCGGTACATTTAACACCAACCGCCAGGATCGCGACATCCGTCAGCGTTAAACCCCGGCTTTTCTGACGTCATGCGTTGTCACTTCGGCATCCCTTTTGATGTATGGGCGGGATATGGACGCCGAACACACCAGTCGGAGACGCGTTCTAGGCACCATACCTCAACGATGATTGTGCTGCGCGTGCACCCGTGCTCGGCATGAACGCTGAAAGCCCAGCGCCATAGATCGCCACGAGAAGAGGCCGCTGAAACGGAAAAGGTGGAGCGGCAGACAACGGATGAGAGGAGAGCCACGTGACTGGCGCCCCGCTGCGGCGAGACGCCGATACACGTCTCCCAAGCGAACAAGTGTGTTTCGGATCCTCGCCGGTGCAAAATCTGTGCGCTGGCGTCCAGGTTCCCCGAGAAATGGCTCTTTTGATGCTCTCCGCTACCAGATCCTCGCACTCCAAATCTGCGACCGGGCACTCTGCCCGGTCGCAGTGCCAGGCTTTGTGAGTATACAGGAGGCTGTGCCAGCGTTCACCCTTGGAGTTTCTGCTACGCTCACACCTCGGGTGAAAGTTAAGGCCGGTTCTCACGTGCAGCGAAGCGCCGATGTAGAGCTGCTCACGTGACGTCGGCTACTTATCGTCAGCCACGAGCAACACTTTTGACGGTGCGATGCAAAGCTGGTGAACGCTCCCGTCAACACGCGCTTAGCGCAATGTCGGCGCTACGCTTGTATGAGGAGTATTCACTGGCGGCCATAGCTGTGTGTGCGACCGCTGAGCGCGTGCTGACGCCGAGCTTCCACAGTTCTTTCGCCACGTGCACTCCGCACCATCAAGAGTGCCGGTCTTAGCAGCCTATTAATGTGAGCTCGTTCCGAGCATGCGCTATAAGCATCGCCCTCAAATATGGTGTAAAGTGAATACTCCCCATAGGGAGTATTCACTGGCGGCCATAGCTGTGTGCGGGAATGCTGAGCGCGTGCTGACGCCGAGCTTCCACAGTTCTTTCGCCACGTGCACTCCGCACCATCAAGAGTGCCGGTCTTAGCAGCCTATTAATGTGAGCTCGTTCCGAGCATGCGCTATAAACATCGCCCTCAAATATTGTGTAAAGTGAATACTCCCCATAGGGAGTATTCACTGGCGGCCATAGCTGTGTGCGGGAATGCTGAGCGCGTGCTGACGCCGAGCTTCCACAGTTCTTTCGCCACGTGCACTCCGCACCATCAAGAGTGCCGGTCTTAGCAGCCTATTAATGTGAGCTCGTTCCGAGCATGCGCTATAAACATCGCCCTCAAATATTGTGTAAAGTGAATACTCCCCATAGGGAGTATTCACTGGCGGCCATAGCTGTGTGCGGGAATGCTGAGCGCGTGCTGACGCCGAGCTTCCACAGTTCTTTCGCCACGTGCACTCCGCACCATCAAGAGTGCCGGTCTTAGCAGCCTATTAATGTGAGCTCGTTCCGAGCATGCGCTATAAACATCGCCCTCAAATATGGTGTAAAGTGAATACTCCCCATAGGGAGTATTCACTGGCGGCCATAGCTGTGTGCGGGAATGCTGAGCGCGTGCTGACGCCGAGCTTCCACAGTTCTTTCGCCACGTGCACTCCGCACCATCAAGAGTGCCGGTCTTAGCAGCCTATTAATGTGAGCTCGTTCCGAGCATGCGCTATAAACATCGCCCTCAAATATGGTGTAACGTGAATACTCCCCATAGGGAGTATTCACTGGCGGCCATAGCTGTGTGCGGGAATGCTGAGCGCGTGCTGACGCCGAGCTTCCACAGTTCTTTCGCCACGTGCACTCCGCACCATCAAGAGTGCCGGTCTTAGCAGCCTATTAATGTGAGCTCGTTCCGAGCATGCGCTATAAACATCGCCCTCAAATATGGTGTAAAGTGAATACTCCCCATAGGGAGTATTCACTGGCGGCCATAGCTGTGTGCGGGAATGCTGAGCGCGTGCTGACGCCGAGCTTCCACAGTTCTTTCGCCACGTGCACTCCGCATCATCAAGAGTGCCGGTCTTAGCAGCCTATTAATGTGAGCTCGTTCCGAGCATGCGCTATAAACATCGCCCTCAAATATGGTGTAAAGTGAATACTCCCCATAGGGAGTATTCACTGGCGGCCATAGCTGTGTGCGGGAATGCTGAGCGCGTGCTGACGCCGAGCTTCCACAGTTCTTTCGCCACGTGCACTCCGCACCATCAAGAGTGCCGGTCTTAGCAGCCTATTAATGTGGGCTCGTTCCGAGCATGCGCTATAAACATCGCCCTCAAATATGGTGTAAAGTGAATACTCCCCATAGGGAGTATTCACTGGCGGCCATAGCTGTGTGCGGGAATGCTGAGCGCGTGCTGACGGCGAGCTTCCACAGTTCTTTCGCCACGTGCACTCTGCACCATCAAGAGTGCCGGTCTTAGCAGCCTATTAATGTGAGCTCGTTCCGAGCATGCGCTATAAACATCGCCCTCAAATATGGTGTAAAGTGAATACTCCCCATAGGGAGTATTCACTGGCGGCCATAGCTGTGTGCGGGAATGCTGAGCGCGTGCTGACGCCGAGCTTCCACAGTTCTTTCGCCACGTGCACTCCGCACCATCAAGAGTGCCGGTCTTAGCAGCCTATTAATGTGAGCTCGTTCCGAGCATGCGCTATAAACATCGCCCTCAAATATGGTGTAACGTGAATACTCCCCATAGGGAGTATTCACTGGCGGCCATAGCTGTGTGCGGGAATGCTGAGCGCGTGCTGACGCCGAGCTTCCACAGTTCTTTCGCCACGTGCACTCCGCACCATCAAGAGTGCCGGTCTTAGCAGCCTATTAATGTGAGCTCGTTCCGAGCATGCGCTATAAACATCGCCCTCAAATATGGTGTAAAGTGAATACTCCCCATAGGGAGTATTCACTGGCGGCCATAGCTGTGTGCGGGAATGCTGAGCGCGTGCTGACGCCGAGCTTCCACAGTTCTTTCGCCACGTGCACTCCGCATCATCAAGAGTGCCGGTCTTAGCAGCCTATTAATGTGAGCTCGTTCCGAGCATGCGCTATAAACATCGCCCTCAAATATGGTGTAAAGTGAATACTCCCCATAGGGAGTATTCACTGGCGGCCATAGCTGTGTGCGGGAATGCTGAGCGCGTGCTGACGCCGAGCTTCCACAGTTCTTTCGCCACGTGCACTCCGCACCATCAAGAGTGCCGGTCTTAGCAGCCTATTAATGTGGGCTCGTTCCGAGCATGCGCTATAAACATCGCCCTCAAATATGGTGTAAAGTGAATACTCCCCATAGGGAGTATTCACTGGCGGCCATAGCTGTGTGCGGGAATGCTGAGCGCGTGCTGACGGCGAGCTTCCACAGTTCTTTCGCCACGTGCACTCTGCACCATCAAGAGTGCCGGTCTTAGCAGCCTATTAATGTGAGCTCGTTCCGAGCATGCGCTATAAACATCGCCCTCAAATATGGTGTAAAGTGAATACTCCCCATAGGGAGTATTCACTGGCGGCCATAGCTGTGTGCGGGAATGCTGAGCGCGTGCTGACGCCGAGCTTCCACAGTTCTTTCGCCACGAGCACTCCGCACCATCAAGAGTGCCGGTCTTAGCAGCCTATTAATGTGAGCTCGTTCCGAGCATGCGCTATAAACATCGCCCTCAAATATGGTGTAAAGTGAATACTCCCCATAGGGAGTATTCACTGGCGGCCATAGCTGTGTGCGGGAATGCTGAGCGCGTGCTGACGGCGAGCTTCCACAGTTCTTTTGCAACGTGCACTCCGCACCATCAAGAGTGCCGGTTTTAGCAGCCTATTAATATGAGCTCGTTCTGAGCATGCGCTCTAAACAGCACCCACAAATATGGTGTAAAGTGAATACTCCCCATAGGGAGTATTCACTGGCGGCCATAGCTGTGTGCGGGAATGCTGAGCGCGTGCTGACGCCGAGCTTCCACAGTTCTTTCGCCACGTGCACTCCGCACCATCAAGAGTGCCGGTCTTAGCAGCCTATTAATGTGAGCTCGTTCCGAGCATGCGCTATAAACATCGCCCTCAAATATGGTGTAAATTGAATACTCCCCATAGGGAGTATTCACTGGCGGCCATAGCTGTGTGCGGGAATGCTGAGCGCGTGCTGACGGCGAGCTTCCACAGTTCTTTTGCAACGTGCACTCCGCACCATCAAGAGTGCCGGTTTTAGCAGCCTATTAATATGAGCTCGTTCTGAGCATGCGCTATAAACATCGCCCTCAAATATGGTGTAAAGTGAATACTCCCCATAGGGAGTATTCACTGGCGGCCATAGCTGTGTGCGGGAATGCTGAGCGCGTGCTGACGGCGAGCTTCCACAGTTCTTTTGCAACGTGCACTCCGCACCATAAAGAGTGCCGGTTTTAGCAGCCTATTAATATGAGCTCGTTCTGAGCATGCGCTCTAAACAGCACCCACAAATATGGCGTCCAGTGAATACTCCCTATAGCGCTCTGCTGCATGTGGGGACAGGCCTTTAGCCAGAGTGGGGTCAGACTGGTCGTACGTCATACAAAAAACAGTGTGCAAACACGAGTCGGGGCAGTATCCGTGGTTCGAATGCCGCGTGTTCAAGTTTTCTCCTTGAACTCATTGCCATGCGGCATTCGAAGCACGGTTCTCGCGACGACTCGCGTTCGAATCAGAATGTAGACTGTCTTTTGTATGATGTAAACATCGATAGAAAAACGATCCCTACTTTAAATCGTGTCACAAACCGAATGTAATATTGTGTGTTCGATGAATATAGAAAAAATTCCGTAGAAATTTCACCGAGAGAAAAAAAAGAAAAAAATAATAAAAAGGTTGCCGCAATATTCACATCGTAAGACAGGTTGTGGTTTAGGAAAGATTTTTAAAGATGCTCGTATTTCGAGACAGAAACCTCAAAATAAAACGTTCAAAAAAAAAAAAAAAGTTTTTATTTTACCGCAAAAATAAACTACGGATCGCAGAACGCTCATTCTCCGCCCAAGTGTAGCACTAGCTGTCGGAACCAGATGCCAATGTTGCAAAACTAACCGTTATCATCTGCACAAGTCATAAATGATTTTCCGAAAAAAAATAAAAAAGAAAAAAAAACTGGGGCCCGTGTTTGGTAACTGGCGCCATTCAGCTTCATGTATAGACCGTTCCACTAGAAAGAGCAGAATAGAGAAAAAAATGCCGTCCCCCCCCCCCCTCCCTCATCCCTTGTGTCGTCTGCTCCGCCGAGTGAGCTGTACCTAACATCCGGCTGGCGTACAAACTCAATTTAAAATCGCGTCATTTTGAAACTTCTAAGCGCAGAAGCGCGAATTTTGATATGCAAGTTATCGTGTAATGCTTTGCTCGATAAAAAGACAAACCGAGTCTAAATGCGATGTTATCTACGTGCGAATAAAAAAAAAATGGAAAAACTGTGTCAGAGTGGCCGGTCGCTCTGGCGAAAAGTAAATCCGGTTGCTGTAGCTATTTTACTATATAAGTTCGTACTGGTGTAGGCCTTTAGCGACAATGAGTGGAAGTTTAGAATAATAAATAAAAACGTGCTCTTATGGCGCAATAGACGCAGTGGTTGAGATGCCGGCTGACTCCACTGCTATTGAAGTAACGGAAGAAAGATACGCTAGTTGATCATTTACTGAAATAAAACAACAGAATGATAAAGACTGATTTTGGAGTAGCCATAAATGTTCTGAGAACGCGAACCACTTCATAACGGCAGCCACGAGCGAGAGTTCGATGTTCGGTAAAGCCCGCCGGTACAGCGCAAAGATGGAGAACGGCGACGTCTCGGTTTGTCGTCTGCTAGCGGAGTCGGGGTGTTGGCCGAACCTACTAAACTTCTCGGATGTGCGGAGAGGGCGCTGCGGTCTAACAAAATGGCGCCGCCCTGAGAGCTCCGGCAGTCGCCATTTTCCCATTAAATATTTCAGGAAATCGCTTATAACTTTTGAATAAGATAACTGGTAGTTCTGAAACTTTAGCATCTTGTTCGAACCCTTAGGGCTACATTTGGGTGGAGAATGAGCGTTCGGCGATGCGTAGTTCATTTTGCGGTGGAAAAAAACCCTGTACATTTTTTCTTGGGTCACCCTGTATAAAATCATGTTTCGGGATCGCTTCTAACTCAAAATGAGTCTCGCGGCGTAATTATGGCGCGAGATTTATTGTTCCGTAAAAGTTTGTTGTTTTCAAATTCCTATCCAAGCAATAATAATAATAATTATAATAATAAATTGGGAGTTAGATTTGAAATTGGCCGCTTCCTTGCGCATGAACTGCTTTTGCAAATTTTCCATGGCCATTCTACTTTTTTTTTTACGTAGAAGTAATAGGTTTTTATTTCATGACTGGAAACTGTTAAACGTTTTGGTGTTGTTCGGGAGCACATGTTCATATTATGCGGTAACGCCGGTTTGCTCCGAGAATAAATGGCTATAAATCGAAATGTGTACTTCTCCCATTTCTTTTTCAAGGTCATCTATGACGGAGAGGTCACGTGGTACGAGTCTCTGTCCATGCTGCTTCTTTACGGCGTCTACATCGACCTCATGAAGTAAGCCCTCCACTGACTTTACGTGGCAATTAGCGCACTCAGTTAAATTCTGTGAAAAGTACAGTCTTCAAAAACGGGTTCGCTGGTACTCTCTGTGCTCACAGGAAGATGGTGATAAAAATACTTTACTAGATGAATACATAATGCTCCGTTCATTTACTTCAGACAGCGTGCCCATAGCACCAAATCCTCGAGTGGCGGTTTGGACACCCCGACGCACGCACGTCGCGCTGCCGACGCATCGAGATACCGGATTTGCCAGGACAGCAGAGACGACTGTCTTCGCCTTCTCGACGGGTTTCCACGCCAATTAATGACAGCCGCCCCTCCCAACTCAAAAAAGAAAAACCCCGGTTAGCCGTTCCAACAACGCAAAGGCTGTCGGTGCCAAGGCCATTGGATTTTCGCGGTTTAAAATGTATTCTCTAGTAAAGTATTTAAAAAAAAAGTAATAATAACGGGAGAGAAGATACGGCTGAGAGGGAAGCTAGCAAAATTAGAAAGCGTGAAATGTTGAGCGTTTCCCTCGTGGGGATAAACGTGAGTGAAAGTGTAAAACGTCGTGCCCGAACAGGTACAACACCAGGATCCATCGGTGGATAGGCACCACCTTCGGAATCCACGAGGAAGAGGAGACAACCCTGGGACTCACCTCCACTGGCCACGAGGCCAAGAACTACAGCTCCTACGGTACGCCGTCTTGACGCAAACCCATCGAGTACACGGAGTGAAACTGGGGGAGAAGAGGAGACGAGAGCGTGCGGTGACGTCATCAGAGCGTCGAGCTCTGATTGGAGGGATTAGTGGGTAGACGCAAAGGCTAGCCGTTTTTCTTTGTACACTCTCTTCCTCCAATCAAAGCAAACGAGAGCGTCGTCTGCTTTTCGAGTAGGGTCTGGCATTCGGCGTTTAAACGCCAGAGGAGCGGACGACGCTCCTTGACCACTAGACCTTGCGCGTGGAGCAGACGTCGGTTTTGCTCGCTCGGATTAGTGGGAGGCGGTGGGTAGCGACAAGGCAGCCAGCCTTTCCGTCTACCCGCTATCATCCCGATCAGAGCTTATCACTCCGACGTCACCGCGCACGCTCTCGTCTCCTCCTCTCCCTCAGTTTGTACCCGTATAGACCTTTCCATCGCTTGTCGCCCAGGCGAAAAATGTCGAGTCACTGGACTGTTACGCAGGCGCGGCGTACGATTTTTTCGCAAGAGGCGCTATTGCGCGTGCTCAGAAGGCGTTTAACAGTCCAGTAAGAAAAGATGGCAGCTCGCAGAAGGCGTTTGTTGGAAAGGTCTATAGTCACTGAACGGACTAGTGTCGCTAAAGTGACCTCCTCTCATCAAGATGCCAAGCCACTGAGACTGGCGATGGCAAACACACGCAAAGCTTGCGTTTGTGACAAGTAAACTGCGTGAAGTTGTCTTATTACATGTCCTTCCCAGCGTGTATTACATTACACCGAGTTCCGTGAAGAACAGGCTGGACTAAGCGCCCCCTATTCAATCTTCTTGCCAGCACGGATAAAGACAGACATTTTGGGGGTCGATCACTGCGTACCGCAAACACGGGATCCCCATCTACGATACGTCAGTGACGCGTGTCGGTTACCGCAGTGCCCTTCAACAACGAGATCGACGACTTCGCGCAACCCGGCGGTGCCCTGAGGAACACGGCCCCCCTGGACGAGGTCATCCGGGACAGTAGGAGGCGGTGAGCAGACGGCGATCATCCCTCGCCCCCACTCATTGTGTCCGGGGCTGTAGGAACACCACCGACAATTACGACGATGTTTCCGCCCCGGAACTGGGAAAGGAAACTTGAAGTCAAAGTGGACGAGACTTAAGGAAGTGCGACACCGCAGCATTGGCGGTAACGCGTTACATGAAACGGCGTTGCCGTTTTCTGACAACGTTGTAACGTATTCGTCACGTTTTATAACGGTAACGGGTAACGCAGCATTGGCGCTAACGCGTTACATGGAACGGCGTTACCGTTTTCTGACAACGTTGTAACGTACTCGTTACGTTTTATAACGGTAACGGGTAACGTACTTACGTTACTTATATCGAGTGACGGGTGACGTAGTTACGTTACTCGTTACATCTTCACCCTAAGACTTAAAAAAAAAATTACACTTCCATTTCTCTCGTGTTTCTAGGCACCAAGTCATGTGATTTCTTGCTACCTTCAAATGTTTGCTTCTCTTTTCCCCATGCCAACACTACCACTTAAAGCCCCAACGCCCTTTGCTGCAGTGTAAAAAAACAATATGTCGTTTTATAAATAAAAATTACCGCAAAAGTAACGTGCATATTTTTTTTTTTGATCGGTAACGGTTGGACACGAGGCTTAGCCGAGCGCTGCCACGGGGCTCGCGTCCTATCAACGTCTGCGTTCGATCTCGCCGTGATGACGTCGAGATGCTAGTGCACAAGTTCTTATTATTCTAGGTGGTGTTGGCTGTAGAAGATTCATCTGCTAGTCAATGTAATTAAAATACGCCTCAGAGCAACGATGCTCCAGCCATCATGATTTTTAAAATCATTATTCATATACTCGTCTTACCTAAAATACCGCAGTAAAAAAAAATAATTTGCCCCTTCATGCGTTGAATTAAGACATATCTAGGTGCATCTTAGATTAGCTTTATGGTGTCTTATCGAGATGTGCGGATTTCAAGCTCCAAAAGCACACAAAAAAAAAGAAAAAACTTTGAGAACTTTGAAGTTTCGCCTTTAAGAGTGAAACTCGATGGCGTTATCGGGCTCCCGTTCGCGAAGCCTTTTCACTAACCCCACGATCCTCCCTGAGCCGTGCAAGCGTCACATGACGTCACATGACGTCACGTAATTTCATTGGAATTTTTTCGCCACATTTAGCGACAAATTTAGAGGGTCGATAGGGTCATGACGTCACAGCCACGTGTGACGTCACGCGTGGCTGCACGCGTTGCATTGTGGGATTTTTGGTCCCACCGACGCCGGATTTTCTGCGACACGAGCACCTAAACGCCATCACGTTAAAATATGCAAAATCCTGGCACCTTTTCGCATGACGAAATTGGTTTATCCGGCGACAGGCAGACGAACAAAGACGGCGAGCGCCATGACGATGCACTTTTGGCGCTGTTTGATCGGCACCGTTGGATCGTAGCATCGGTTGCGGTCGGATTTATATCGAATGTAAAACGGAGCGTAATATTCTCGTTGCAGGCCCACCCTGTACGAGGCCGCGCTGATGATGCTGATGACGCGGCCGTTTCGACCCAAGACTCGCTTCTGGGCCGCCGCCAAACGGGTGACGCACGAGGTACGACTGCGTGCACCTCAGCTGTACACAGACACGCCACATAGGAGCCCCGATGGAAAACTATAGAGCACCACCGATTGTCGCGATCCTGGTGGTTGGTGGCAGGAGCAACGGCACTAGCGGACGAAAGGGCGCCGGTTTCGTTCTCGTCGCGCGATCCAAATTTGTGACTGCCGGACCCGGGACTTTCCTCCGACTGCCCGGCTGCAGGGCGAGCTACAGATAGCACAAGCATCTGGTGAATTTCCTTCCAATTTAGTGCCACCGCCAGGGTCGCGACTATCTGTGGCATTCCCTAACAGTGACGTCGTCAGGTGATTTACTGCCGGCAACGTTATTATTATATTACCTCAGTTGTAGAACTCCCGCGAAGAAGGGTATAGGGTAGCCCCCCCCCCCCCCCCCCCCCCCCCTCTCTCCACTCCCTTCCGCCCGCCTCCCGTCGTTTGAAGCGCCATCTAGATTTTCGTTTCAGAACTGTGTTTCATAGAGCACGGGGAAACGCCATCTAGACGCTGTGCTTCGAAGCATACAAATTCCATAGACTACACTGCAGTTACCATAGCAGCCGTTCCACAAGAACTGTGGTGCGTCGAAGGACGGGAGGCGATGCGGGGGGGGGGATGCTTATAGACGAGTCTCGTGCAACCAGCGTCTGTGGGCAGTTCTATAACTGAGTTAATCTATTAATGCTGACTGCCGGTGAATAGACCAAACAGACCTACAGTCAACCAAAGAAAGGACTGCCACGTTACCTTCCCAGGTAGCGATACGCCGTATTTATTTTTCTGACCGCTGACCCGTAGAAACAGACGAGTTATTGCGCTTTGTAAAGCGTGCTTCTTTGCACAAGGACGCTTCGTGCGGGGAAGCCACATGTTCCGTGAGCAAAGTGCACTTCGCTTGCGCCAAGTTCTCGTACGTTTCCTCCGCAGTACAAGCGCATGCGGCGTGGAGAAATTCAGCATCTTCCTTCGCAGACGTCGCTGGACCCCAATGACCTTGTCACCCGGGGCAAGAGCCACAGGTCAGAACATTGAAAAGAAGGAAAAGAAAAGGGAAAAAAAAATGCGCTGGGCGTTCAATACCTGAACTTTAGTCTGAAACCCCTGTTAGACGGGCACGTTAAAAGTCTTCGGGACAAACTCTTTTGAAAGGGATGCTGAACCGATAATAGGATTTCGCAAAATAAGGCTCTAGAAGCGTTGAACGGGACCCTACGAACTCCAAAACATTACTCGTCCATCGATATCTCAAACGGATGGCCGTACTTTTGGAAAAGAAGGGCGCGATCAACCGAGGTCTTTGACATCACTATCCTCCGGGTGAATTTGAGAATGAGGGGAAGCGGCCTCGCTTCTCTCCTCCTTACTTCGATTCACCAGCTCGACATGGGACATAGCGAGGAGGAAAGGGAATGGGAATCATGACGTGCCTTGTCTCGTCGTCCTCGTCGGCCGGGTTCAGTCGGGCATTTCTTTTCTAAAAACATGGCGATCCGTTAGAGATATCGCTGTATGAGTGATGTTTTAGGGTTTTGCACCGTCCCGCCTATCTGTCCAGCCTTGTTTTGTGAGTTCGAAATTTCGGTTCAGTATCCCTCTAACGAATCGGTAAATCAGCTCGCGACTTCGCGCCTATTGGCTTGCACTGCTTCGCCGATCCTATAACGAAGTTTTTTCTGAAGGCCTTTAACACGCCCTTCTGACAGGGGCATAAGATGCGCCAAACACACCTATACCTCCGTACTGCTCGAAAGTAAATTTCAAACGCATAAGCTAATGTTTATTTTTTTTTTTTACTTTGTTTCTTAGCTTCATATCTTAGCCGCTGAGTACTGTGAATATTTCTTGCAGTCGCCAATAGAAATCCTTGTGTTATGTTCCCTTAATGTGCTGGAGTTAAGATTTACCTTAACGTCTTATAAGACGAAAAACCATGTTACGAGCAAAATAACCTCCACTTACAGTAGACAAAAAAAAGGCAATCCAAGTTGATTGATTATAGTTATATTAGTTTTTCACCGAACCGTTTGTAGAGTTTAACCCACATTAAACGAATCAGTCTTAACAAATTTCCATCACAATAGACATATATATAGCATAGCATGTAAACTTACGCTTTGAAGGCACTTTAAACGGGCTGCCAAAATAGGTTTGTCAACGTATAGCGCTGCGATTTGCTGTAGAGGCGCAAGCAGGTGGAAGAAGTTTACAGTAAGTAAAAAAAAAATAATAATAATAAACTTACCTTGTTAAAAAAAAAAATATATATATATATATATATATATATATATATATATATATATATATATATATATATATATATATGTATGTATTCATGCCGACAAGCAACCAATCAAAGGTAGCAGGCCCAGCGAGCAAGAAAATAAAACAGATTTCACTACTAGTGCAGTCTTACTAGTCACCATAGACAAAATGGCTGCCGAAACCACGATTGTTGGTTGTCTATGAATTGCGATAGCATTCATAGACAACCACGTTGAGGGAGCGCCGGCCGATTCGAATTCTTTGCAGAATCGTCTGCTATCAAAACCCGAATCGGCTGGCGTTCCTTCGTAAAGCGCTGGATAGCGCTTTACTCCCTCGTCGCAGCGCACGCCATCTGTCGGCATCACTTCTCACTACGCGCGGAGAAAAGGTTTATGTTTTTTTTTTAATTATTTTTAACGAATTTCTTGATCCTTTTTTTCTGTGTAAGCTTCTGCCACCTTCTTGCACCTCTATAGCAAATCGCAGCGCGATACGTTGAGAACCCGATTTTTGAGGGCCGTCTAAATTGCCTTAAAACCGCCATTTGTGGTACATGCTGTGGCGTGTCTCAACAGTTTTGAGCAGAGCTTGCCGAGCGCGAATATTACTCTATTTACAATAAAGTTGCACATATCAATATTTTATTTCGAAATTTTTAGCATTTGGTATGTGCTGGTGGAACTGTATATAGTCACCTTCCGATCCGGAATTCTGGTACGAATCGGAACTCGGGTGTACTCATCCAACTACCTACTCTCTCATCTACACAGCGTCGACATCACGTTATCAACGGAAGCGGACTGGAAGAAGATCCCAAGATTGCGTGAGTCCGTCTTCCTGTATACATAAATTTTAATGCGGATTTTCATCGTTACGGAATGCAACTTATTCCCCCCCCCCCCCCCCCAAAAAAAAAAAATCAACTTGGTGAGGAAAGTAATCGGAAGGATTGATGTCACGTGACGTCAAGTCAAGTGGAGTCAATCTTCCAGGTACCTTCAGCGGGATGATAGACGTAATGGTATCACGCGGTAGCAACACGTCAGATGGCGCCAATTTTCTCGACAAATTTACCAGGGATATTAATAAAACAATATGTTCTCTTTCACTCCCCGAAACGGCCGCTTAATGTTTTTTCAACAAGCTTAAACGATCGCTCCCTAAATGCTGCGTTCCATGCATTCAATGCGTATGTGTACATGAAGGTAACCGGTGATCTTTTTTTACGCGCTCCACGGCACTTGCGCACGACGACTGACGTGCCGCTAATTTGAAGACAAATCCCACTTTCAAAACGAAACGTTTTTTTTTTTTTTTTTTTTTTTTTTTTTTTTTGTAGCCGTTTGCTGGTAGATTTCAACAGACGGTGATTGTTTTGCCCTCTCCGATTGTTTGGTGATTGTTCTGCCCTCTCCGTCGTGCGTCGTGCGCGTCGAGAAGCTCGTTTCAAAACGAAACTTTTTTTTTCTTGTAGCCGTTTGCTGGTAGATTTCAACAGACGGCGATTGTTTTGCCCTCTCCGGTTGTTTTGTGATTGTTCTGCCCTCTCCGTCGTGCGCGTCGAGAAGCGAGCATCCGCGGCGAGTTGCTTGCACATCGGATGTCCTCACTGGCTGCACGTCTTGCAGAGGACGGTGTGCTGTCGGTGATCAAGTGGTGCATTCAGGCACCCCTGCTGGCGACCCTGCACTACACCGTCCCGGACTGCCGCACGGCCAGAGGAAAGAAGCTCTTCATGCTCAGCTTCCTCATGTCCATCTTCTGGACGGCCGTCTTCTCCTACGTCATGGTCTGGATGGTGGGTGTGGCCCTCCTTGTCTTCTCAAGGTGCTCAGGACCTCAGTGTTCACCAGTGTCAACACCACAAAGCGCAAGAGGCTGTAGCGCTCAGAGAAGTGACGTCATATGCGTCACAATCAGGAAGGCGAGAATGTCATGACGAGTTATCTGACCTCAGCTGACGTATCACTACGCATAGCCTCGGTGCTAGAGCGGACTATTTCCATACTGTGGCGGGAACAGTGGATGACAGTATAATGAGGGCGTCAAAAAAGCTTCGCAAAAGTTACCAAAAAATATGATTGGCTCTCGTGATTCTTGACCGTCGCGCGTCACTAATGAATAAATATGCTAGTTATTTTCTGAAGATCATGTTTCTCGTTCAGGTTACCCTGATCGGATATACCATGGGAATCCCAGACAGCATCATGGGGATCACGTTCCTGGCCGCTGGTACCAGCATCCCAGACGCCTTTGCCAGCCTCTTGGTGTCGCGGCAAGGTATGCCAAGGCGTTTCTGTTTTACTTCACAAAACAACAACGACAACAACAAAAGACTGCTGGGCGAGAAAGAACTCATAAACTGGACTACGTGATGGTTAATGCCTTGTACCTCGAGCGTGCGCTGGTGGAGCTCTGATACCCCTGGTACCATTTCAGCTTGCTTTACTATCACAAAACATTAAATTTATGTAACGTGACATTCGTCAACACCTTAAATCCCGTTTATGAACCTTATTTTCCACCTGTATGATATTTTGTAAGAATGTCTTATGATTTATGCCCAAATCAATAGTTTACCGAAGTTGTGCTCCTTCGTTTCAGGGCAAGGAGACATGGCAATAGCCAACAGCATCGGAAGCAATGTCTTCGACATCCTGATTTGCTTAGCACTGCCGTGGCTCATTCAAACTGGAATGATCGCACCGGGTTCTATTGTAAGTCTGGGCTTTAGACCCGACGCATACTTCTACGAAAGCGCTGCTTCGGCGGGTCTTTTGATGCGGTCCTCAAACCTTGCAGGCATACATCAACAGCGGAGGCCTGGTCTGGTCTGTGGTCTTGCTGTTCCTCACCATCATCATAACGGTACGTTGCTGGTCACCCCCCATCACAAACACTACAGAAACAATGGGCGTTTTTCACATAAAGACGACACCAAGCGGCGAAAGGTCGAAGTACGATTGGCGTCCGCAAAAGGAGTTGCGCTACTTCTCTATCCCTCTTTGTGACTCCTTTCGGTACTTCCGATACCCGATAACGATGCCATGCGTGCGCAAGGGCGGCGGCGGTGGAGTATCGCGTGTCGTTATCATTCATCAGGACGGTATATATTTTTGTATATGTAGGTTCGCACCCTGTTGTGTATGCCACTCATCTTCTTGCCCTTTTTTTACGCAAATTTTTATTGTGAATCAGAACCAACCAGCCGAATTCTCAGTCTCAAAAAAGCCTCAAAAAGAAAAAAAAAATGTCTGCTTGGGACACGCGTTTAAAAAAATAATATATTATTAAATTTTACGCGAAAAAAAAAAAAAATAGAGCAATATTGGCGGTGCGAGACGCGATTTAGTCGGCAGTCACATCCTTTCCACTTGTTTTCCTTCAGGCATTTCTTGCGCGTGGAGGACAGGTGGATCGGCTTCGCCTCCACGACCGAGATGGTCATTCCGGAATGACCGGTGACGTCATGGACTTCGCGCACAGAATTTCAAATAAATCTCTCGCCGTCAATATTGTTTTTTTTTTTTTTTTCGCGTAAAATTCATTTTTTTACACGTGTCCCCCCCCCCCCCCCCCCCCCCCCTCCTAAATGTTAAAACAATTTTTTTTTCTTCAGGGATTTGCATTTGAGCACGGGGTTAACGCACCTAATGATACAGTCTCCTTCGCACGTCAGCATTTCGGTCTTCACAATGTTTTGGCTGGGAGTTGTCGCGGCAACGGAACAAACGTTCTTGCTTGTGAAGGTCTTGTGGTGCATAGGTGTCAGCAGCCTGAGAATCAGGCAGAAGCGCGGTAGTTTAAGGCTTTCAAGTCGGCGGACGGCGAAACTCCTGCGAGCTCCCTGAACCAGCCTTATTAAGATTTGCGCTTGTCGCGGCACGTTTCGACGTAAACGTCGAAAGAAAGAACTCACTCGGGGCACTCGCTCTTCTCCAAGTGTAGTTTGAAGGACCATGGGAATTCCTTGCCCAGCCGACTTTCAGGCGCGTACAGAATTTTCCCTCCTGACAGGCGAGGCGGATCGCGTCGCTCAAACCCAACTCGCAGAGCCATAGCCACTGGTTCTGGAAACGTTTTCGAGGAACCCGATCTTTTCCCAAGCGCTGACACACGTGAAAGGAGCGCCGATTGCGGCGGAACTGTCGCCGTTGCCGTGGTTAGGCTTAGCATGCCGCGCCGTTGCTCCGCTGGCGTTCTCCACTTGCGTGTGCGCCGCCTTGGTTGAAACGTGCGCGAAAATAGCGTTTTTTTGTATCGTCTATCGCAAATCAAATCGGAGAAATGTAGAAAACGCCGCTGTCCCGAGTGAGCCTCTCGAAGATGGCCGATATTCGCGCAAACTTCCAATGTTTTGCCACAACTTTTGATTGGACTATAGTCGGATGCAACCTAAGAACAATCTTTTAGCTCCACCCACAAGCGCATTGCGCCCATCTGAAGTGCGTCCGCCGTCGAGAAAGTAGTTCGCTAGCAACGTTGCTTTTTCTTCCTCCAGGAAACCTGTCTTAAACTACTACAATATTTATTTAATTCATTCAGGACATTTAAATAAGTTAGAATATGTTTTTGTCAACGAAATAGCTGTTTAGTAAAGAAAGAAAGAAATTCATGTCCAATGTACCGTCTTCCCAATTCATTTTCTGTCCAAGATACTGTCTAACATACCGTTCTAACATACCTCTCAGCAGTGCTAAGCCTCGCGCCCGCTTCGAAATTTTCGTTGGCGATAGCGTCGCTGGATTCTCACGTTGTCGCGCAAAAACTGCTGCAAACGCAAGCCGATACCATCAAGATTTCGTGGCGTAACCTCGGGCACGTAAAACACGGTGCAAAAAAGCAGAATAATTGTCACGAGAAACTATAGCATCGCGTTGCTAAGGCCAGCAGCCATGTTGAGCTTTTTTTTTTTTTTTTCAAAAGGATCGCGATTGGTCCACAGAATCGTGACGTCATGAAAACTATTGGCTGGCGTTTCTCGGCGTAGGATTACATTTTCCTCTGAGAGGCATTTCCGGTTTTTTCTTAGCTTGCAACCGACTATACACGTTTGCAAGTCCGGCTTCAGGGCGGCGCCATTTTGCCCGGCTGGGGTGCGCTCGGACGAGTCATAATCCGGTTACGAAGCATTGCTAAGGCGTCGTAATCGGATTATGGCCGCGCCCAAGCGCGCCCCAACTGAGGAAGATGGCGGCGCCCTGAAGCCGGACTTGCAAACGTGTATAGTTCATTCAAGTCTTGTCCCAATATGAAAATGAGACCACGTCTTGCATTTTTACGAGCGGTTAAAAACATTCCAAACGTAAAAAAAAAAAATGTATGTAGGCTATAAAAGCTGACGCGTCTCTTTATTTTTTTGTCTGTCGGGCAGTCTTTATCGGGCACTTATTATCAAAAATTTCGAGCGTGCGGGTGATGTTTTGAACGTATACAACAGGCATATCTGCACGGAGCAGAAAGAATAAAGCAGTACTTAGTGAAAATCGGACTATACTATATGGCCTTCAATTTATTTTGATCGCACATGCACAGGGAGTTACTAGTGTTACTGCGTAGTTCTTGCCGTCTTTCTTAGTTTTCTAGATATCATTCGATCGTTTGGCACGTATATTCCCCGTACTGAAAAGCGCCGACGTCGTGTTCGCGCTAGCAGTGTCTGACAGTGCACATAAATATAGGGTGTCCCAAGTCACCAGGCTCGATCTTAAGGCCGGTTTACACATACAGCGGAGCGCTAAGCTAGCGCGTCATGAGCGCTGGAAGCAGCTCTCATGTGGCACCTTGTATGAAAATGTCAGATACAGGCCGGATTGAAAAATGCCGGTTCTGCCTGGGTCTGAAATAGGGGCACCAGCTTGTATCCCGCCTGGAACTGCGCAGTTCCAGATGGGATACAAACAGGTGCCCCCATTTCAGACTCAGGCGGTGCGCTGCCGCAATTCCCACTGCGCTCACCACTTATGAAAAGTGGTGAGCGCCGGACCCTCGGTGAGAGTCTCTATGGCCATTGAGAAGCTGGCTTCCGAGTCTGCGTCAGCGTCCGTTTGATCAGAATTTGTTTCGATAGTTCTGTGGTCGTTATCTTCCTTCACTTCGGAGGATTTTGCACTGATACTAGAACTACTAGGGTAGCGAGTCCGTTTCGTTCCTACTAGGGTGACGAGTCCGTTTCGTTGCGGGATTCAAAAATAACACTGGGTACCCTTTGGTTTTTCGCTTTCCATGAATTCTCTGCGGTGGCTGGCTGAAAGCTTCAGCTTGTGTAAACGTAGCAATCGCCTCGATTTGGCCGGTCACAGGAGCTAGCCCAACGATGTTCACCTCGAGATGGCTCGAAGACTGGGGCCGAGACGGTTGCGAGATCTTGGCCATGTCGCTCTCTTCGGAGCCCTTCGTCTGTGGCCGAATAAAATGAATCCCGGACAAAAGCTCACCCATTTGTTAACAGACCCGGACAAAAGCTCACCAGGAGAAAATTTCATGTTGGTCAGAGAAACCAAGTTTAGAGAAAAAGGCGATGAGTCTCCTTTTAGCGAATACGACCACCGCGAAGCGGCGTGTACGGATAAGTCAGGTGAGTTAACATTTTTGTAATGAGCCGCCGCAGACTGCCGCCGCGAAGCGGCGGGAGCGCAGCAGGGGGCTTGGGTTAACACGCGCACCATGCAGTGATACACGCGCGAAGTAGAAAAGCCTTTTTTAAATAGCGTCTCCTTTTCGATAAACGGCATATCTCTAAACTGAGGCTCTGCTTTCTCTAAACCATGCTTCAATAAAATGTGCCCATTCTCTAAAACATGTTTCGACGAAATGGCATTCGATCAACCGAAACCCTTGCGTGGGATGGGGTACAAGTTCACCTAAAAATGGTGCAATGTCCATCGCGTCCGCATTTTATTTCAGCCCGTGTTTCGCCCGGGTAGCGACAAAAAAAAAAAATGAGGCGAGTTTTTGTCCGGGTCTGTGAAAAAACGGGTGAGCTTTCGTCCGGTTACTCCTGTGGCCAGCTCCAGATTTTAGTTTGTCGACGTTTAGCGCACTCGAAAAACTGTCATTCAAGCATTCACACACCCAAAGAACACTCCTTTCCCACAGCGCTCACTAACAACTTTGTATTTCGTCTTTTACTTCGGCTTCTACTTCTTCGGATTTTAGATGATTTGCAAATAGAAAAAAGACGACATAAGAGTAAATATGCATTTGCAAATCATCTAAAATCTGAAGAAGTAGAAGCCGAAGTAAAAGACGAAATACAAAGTTGTTAGGGAGCGCTGTGTGAAAGGAGTGTTCTTTGGGTGTGTGAATGCTTGAATGACAGTTTTTCGAGTGCGCTAAACGTCGACAAACATGTACAACCAACTCGCCCAATCTCAAGTTCTTCCAGATTTAGGCCTAGCTCTGGAGCACATTTGCCGGCAATCGAAAACGCATGCGAAATACCAAATTCGGGACTCACTGTGGGTTCCGACTTGTTGGAAGGGACGTCGTTAACCTTCAGAAGGATAGCCAACCTCATGTTCTAATTCGGCTCGAATTTGGACACAAGCACAGGAGTAAAAGAGCATAAGCTCCTCCCTCCAGTGCTTTAAAGGGACCCTGTCAGTGTCCCTTTAAAGAGCAGCAACATGTTACTCACCTATGAATTCGGAGGAATCACTCCAGCAGAGAGCGATTTCGCAGAAACTGCGCGTCCACTTCTGACACCGGACTCATGCCTTGCAGATTTACGCCATCCACCGAAGCCACTGGTTCCTCACCAGGAAGCTGGGCATTTTCCTCATGGTGGTGTACGTCTTCTTCCTAGTCTTCTGCAGCGCGGTCGAGTTCAACCTGCTCGGATACGTCAACCCGCCCATGTGCTCCGAGTGAGGTGCCCGAGCCACTTCGGCCGTCTGCAAACCTGTCGTGCTCTGGCAGCGCGCAGGTCAACCGTGTGCCGCCGTTTGTTCTGTTCAGCCATAGTCAGACTGCTCATACGTCGTACAAAAGACGGAGAGTTGGCTGCAGACACGAAGAAAGACAGTTCTTGTAAAACCAACGTGACAGAACCGTCATACAAGGGCAGAAACATACCTAAAACAGTATCTGCGGACTGTCTTTTTGTACGGTGTATTAACAGTGTGACCACGGCTTTACAATAGCTTGCACAAGGATCGCGACACCCGTCGCCTTCGCAAGCCACTGGAGATGCCAATGGCGTAGAAAGGAGGGGGTCTCTCTTCCGCTAATTTGGTGTCATAATGGTTACTTCAATCGCGAAGTAGCTGCGTAAGTTCACTGAACCTGTCCTGGAGCAGGTATGACAGGTCTAGGCTGCGAAGGTGCTCGCTCGCACTCCGATCGTGAATGAGTCACTGCGGTATAAACTACGCTTAAGGTATTGTCACTTCGTTCCCCGATTTGCTTGCTTCTGAGCGCCGCCATTTTGGTGCTAAGTCGCGATCCGAAAATGCGGCTTCTCGAGTTTCGGATATGGTATCCGGAAGCTGGGGCGATATCCTTTTGCTCCGTCGCAGACTGTTCTAACAGTTCTGGAGGGCAGAAAATCGTTTCCAGCAATTTTAGATAAAGCTTCAGACAACTGGCAGCGGTGGTTTTAAACACCAATATGGATAAAGTCTCGTTATTCTGAAGCGTAGCTTATTTGGTGGCTCAAGCCGAACAAACGAGCGTTCCCAGCGTAGCTGCTTATCCCCAGCTACGTGGGAGCTGACAGCAAGATTGTACATATTCCGAGGCAAGTCCAGTCTGCAAGTGCATGGTTAACGTGCTCTTTTTAATTAAGTCTTTAAAACAATCAGTTTCGTTTTCGTAGTTTTGAAACTCCAGAGTCTTGCGTTCCTTCGCAAGCTCCAGTATATCACCTCAGAACCGGCTGACCGCACCACAATCGTTTGGCATTGTAGCGACTATCGTTTTACAAACCGTCACACAAAAGGTGCTTCACACCTCATCCCAAGACCCTCCTACCTGTTGTCAATCAACTAGCAGCCAGCCACGAGCTAAAGTTGGCATTCGTGAACGCATTAAAACAATCCTTTTCGTCTAATTCCACAATCCAGACGGTCGGCGAGCACGAACCGTTCAATCCAATCAGTGCACCCACGAGAATCGTCGACTGGAGAGACTATCGCACGGTAGCGCTGTTCCTTCCAAACACCCACGTTTCAGCTTCCCTTGCAGCACAAATCCCTATGAAAGCAATACTCCAGCACTTATGAAAATGTATGCGACACAAGCGTTGCATTACACTAAGTCAATTGTGAAAATTGAACCCTTTTTTTTGGCCCACATAAACAAGCTGCGCGTTGCAGAAGGCTCAATCTCCGTGAGAATGTGACGCTAGTGTTGGTGACAGAATGTGGAAGTTTGAGAACATGACGTTATCTGGGTCAAAAGATGCGAGAGAAAAACAATTTACCTATGAGCCAACGTTCACCTGAGTCTAATATAGCATGCCAGCAAGACGTTGTTTTCTTTCTAAAGGGCAACTCCACTAAAAAGGTCGACCCTATCGAAATGACTGATATCGCTTTAGGAGGTCAAAATACGGTCATACCCAAAATATTACGTCAAACCGACGCCGCGTTACCGATTAAAACCAATATTAAAAATGTTCTCCCGGCTCGGTTAGCGGCCCGAAAGCGGGTGAGCAACGCTGGCACCGGGTGAGCTAGTGAAGCAACACTGGGCAATGACGTAGGTCTAGTCCTACGCTCTCGTACGGACGCCGCGAACGCTTCGTTTCCCGTGGCATTCTGCAATTCTGCTGACGGCACGAGGTGTTTACCACATTATCCTGTGTTCTCCTATTTTTATTAGCGTCCAGGCAGTTCCTTTAATCCCAGCATTGCTTCCGCGACAGCGCGGAAGAGAGCGAAGCGGTGCTGCTCGCTCACGCGCGCGTCGTGGAGCCGGAGAGATTTGCCGGTCTCGCGTTGGGCAATGTCGAGCAGGATTTGTAGTGCTGTGGATTGCGCCAACAACCCGGTGCGCAACCCGGAGCTCCGGTTCCACCAGTTCCCAAGAGACCGGAAGAGGCACAAGGTGTGGGTCGGTGCCGTTCGCCGGATAGACTTCGGAAGACCGTCGACTCCGAGCTCCAACGCGAAGCTCTGCTCCCAGCACTTTACGTCAGACACCTACACACGGGATCTGCGGCTGCTGACTGTTGCGGGTTTCAACAAGAAACAGGCGTCTTTGAAGAACGATGCGGTGCCGTCGCTGTTCGCGTACCGTCCGCCGGCTGCTCCAGCACGATCGGCCGGACGCAGCAGGTCGCGGCTGATCTAACTAGCGTGCACATAAAGGCACTTTGGCTTTAACAACTTAGACCATTTGTGGATAGATCTGTCCATCTATCTCCCATTAATTCGTTTTCTCGGTCCGCGCGCAAGAAACAAATACAGTCACGCTGCGCCGGCACCAACCGCGTCATATTTATAGCAGTCGGATTAGCTTTTCGGTCGGCAAATTTGTAAATACACACTAAAAATTACCACATTTGGTGCATATCAACAAAGTGAAGCGGTGCTTCAACCGGTAGTTTCGGTTTCGCCGTGCCGCCGGACCGATTCTTGCATTCGCGATATCTACAAAACTATACACACTACCGAAAAACAAATTATATCTCGTGATTCAGGGTCGCCGGCTTCGACTAAACGGATCATAACCCAAGAATTGTAAAAATGGAGTGGAGTTGCCCTTTAATCTTTAAAACGCTATGTTCACAAATGTGTACATCTTAAAGCCTCGCTTCTTTTTTTGTTTGTTTTTTGGGAATATATTGCATATTGAGTAATTCTGACAATTTTAGCCATAGCTTGCGAAGGAAATTTTAGTGAAAATTTTTATCACAAAAAAGGATTGCGAGGAATTCTATTTAGCTACGATAAATGGCAAGCAACGTTTGAAAGATTTTTTTTTTTTTTCACTGCAAGAAATGCTACAGGCACACACAGCTTCATTTTCTGGTTTGATGAACACTTGGTTTAGGCAGGTGAATGATGGTTCATCGACATATTTTGTTTCTCTCTCGCGTCTTATGATCTCTGTCACCAGCACTAGCATCACAGTCTCACGGAGTGTGAGTTTTCTGTGATGCATAGTTCATTTACGCAGGCCAAAGAACAAGGTTCTCTTTTCTCACGAACGTTCGGTACATCAAAAACAAAAGGCAAGACCACACCAGACAGAAGCCTGACACGGGGCACACGGTTGTGCCGTCACGAAAAGAAACGTCGGCTGCGGTTCCTACGTTAAAAAAAGATGTTACCAAGTGTTGTCGATGTGCGTCTAGTGTGGATGTTTGTTGTGGAGGTGTTCTGTCTTTCAAAGTTTTAGCCGGACGAGGTGAACCTGTGGCGTTTGCCGAGAAGCTTCCCTGTAAGGGGAAATCCATGTCGCCGGATCTCATTTTACAAGTTGTCCCAACTGTGTCAAGGTTCGATATGTATGTAATGTTAGAAGAAATGTTTTTAGTTTTTTATTTACACACAAGATTAAGTGTTCTGAAAATTATTTTGAATGTGTTTGAAAGTGTTTGAATGTCAAGAAACCAAGTGTGTCAAAGTGTAGTGTTGAACTTTTTTTTGCTTAGTGTGGTTATCCACTGCTTTCAGCAAGGTAGAAAGGGCAAAACCAAAATGTTTCTTTTTTTAAGTTTCAATAGGTCATTCTTTAGCATTGACACCTGTTCCAATAGAATAATTCCATGAAACTTGGCACAGAAATGGTTCTCTATACCAAAAAAACAAACAAAAAAAAAACACAACTTGGTATTTTAGAATCTGTAGCAATGCTGGTGCAAACTGTGCTTGAGATTGACGAGTTTTAGATGGGTCCAATGGAAACTCACTCATGTTATCCGTTGCACACTGAAGCATATTGCCACTATGTTCATAAAGCATTATCTAATCTACACAACTTCTAAACCACAAAAAAAAAAAAGAAGAAAGAAACTGGGAGAGTAAACCAACCGACAAAACCATAACGCTTCATCTCAAGATGCATGCACAGCACAGCGCAGGTGTATCGCACATACAAAGTTCTTGCACGGGCGAGTGGCCATGTAAACAGCTTTTAGCAAAGCTATGCATAAAAAAGTTTTATGGGTCCTTGAACATAATTATGTTTACGGACTATAGTCATGTGCGAATAGTGGATTTGGTCTAATATTTTCTAATCAAATATTAAATAGTTTCTCCAAACTTTCCACTATTGTTGCATCATGCTTAAACGAAAACCCAGCTAAACTCGTGAAGGTTGTTCCCAAGCTTCCACTTGTCTATTTATAAGCTAAATTTAATCAAACTGTATTTATAGACTGGGACCTCTGAAAGTCCAATGCCTTGGGATAACAAGCAAACAACTAATTTGAGCAAACGACAGGTTTGACACTAGGTGTAGCCCGGCTACACCTAATTGAGCTAATTTACAAACCATGCTATATGCAAATATTCTTTCTTCAATCTCAAGTTAAAAAAAAAAAGGAATCACGAATGATGAATGCAGTTTCTTAGGGCATCTCTGCCTAGCATATACTCTTGCATAAGAGCCAATTTTTTTTTTTTTTAATTTTACTGCAATTTAGATGTCAACATTCACAAAGTTTAAATTTCCTTTTAAATACACCAGGCGTGCACGTGCACCATCCCGCTTTGAAAGTGTGCTTTTTCTCCGAAGCATGCAACTGCGATATTCATACATTTCCAGGTGTTGGATCGCGGCAGGTTACCCCGTTGAGTGCGCTTCTTACCGAGCACCGATGCACTGCGGAGGAGCAACACCCGCGGAGATTGCTCCCGCAGGTGTTGTTTCTCCGCAGTGCAGCCGTGCTCGGTAAGAAGCGCACTCAACAGGGCTAACCAGCCACGATCAACACTTTGAAAAATATGAATATCGCAGTTCATCTTGAAATAAATATCGAATAGTGTATTGTTCGAAACTACTATTAGAAATTTCAAATATTCGCGCAACGCTATTACGGACCGAATAATTACTGAGACACCAAAATTTCTAATTAACCAAAAAAAAAAAAAAAAAAACCTGGGAATAAGCAGAAGTCTTAAAACTTTGAGCTAAAAACTTTGCCATTCCCCCCCAATGTCTGTAGATATAGTACATGACATTGGAGGTCATGTTACTTGCTGGTTTACACATTTGCATTTGATCGTGGTCAGGTGCATTGCAACCGCCTTTGATGGTTTACGACTGGCGCCATCTGTCAAGTAGCCCTGGAACAACTTCCAGTCTCAGAATGTTTTTAACTTTTTACGCCTCATTCTTTCACGATGGGCTCGAAATAACGCTGACAATGTTATAAGTGACCATTTCTCATACATAAGGAGCATAGTCGATCTTGAAAATATTGCAGAAATTTTCGGTCAAGTTATACGCAGATCGGAAGGGTGTTGGCACCAGAGTGCTTTCTCGTAAACGGTAACAAGCTGTTGCAATGCGCTCCATCACACTCCTAATGCGAATGCGCGAACCAGCCTTGACAAATGCCCACACAAAGTACACATTTCGCACGTTTGCGTCATAGACATAAACGGCAGGCTATTTACGCCAGAACCCACCGAATAAAGTGAAAGGAATCTGACCAATTTAGAAGTTCAATGGCAGTCTTGTCGTAAGTTCACAACCCACGAGTGTTTCTTGACCCCCACCCCCCCTTTCTGTCGGTGTCGAGTGTCTTTCACTGGATGGTGCCAACCAAGCATGCTGCCCGTCGCACTCCGCGGAGGCGGAACAAAGGCGCCGGCGGCGAGACGACGGTAGTTTGCGTAGCCGCGCAAAACTATGAAAGTGATACAAGTTACTGCTGGGCTTTCAGGGCAAGACTAGCTGCCCACCATAGCGTGTCCGAGACTGTACCATACTATTTTAAAATGGACGAAAGCTAGAGGAGTCGGCATAAGCTGCATTGATCTCTTCTTTCCGTTTCGTTTCCCTTCTCGTGAGAAGGCAGCTCAGCTCAAGGTTCCCTACGGTTCGAACTGGCGCAGTTTCCGACCAATTTCTTGGCGCTCGTTTCACCCGATCGCCGTCTGCTAGCGTCGAACTCGTTGCGAGTGCTGAAAAGACGCGCACGCGAGGACGCGAACGCAACCTAGGCAACAACGCGTGGATCCAATAGCGACAACGTTAAGGACGGGAAGACGCAGTCCTTGTCTTCTAGGTGACATTGAGCCTACGCCTTTAAGATGGCAGACATCATTCGCGTTGGACACTTGCCCATCTCGCCTTGAAGGGCGAAAAGCGCCGTCGGAGTCTTTCAGTCGACTCGGGAAAAATGCGTGTCGACACGTCGGGAACCTTCCGACGAGCCGCAGTTGCTAGCTAGCCGAGCCGAGAGAAAACCAGTTCTGCCACCTAGTGGCTTCAGCCAGCAATCACGCCCGCGTGATTCACTAACTCGACAGCGGCTAGGGTACGGTTTGTTGACGTGCTGAACAAAGTTTATGCTGCGGGCCGCTCTAAATTTTTCTGGTTTTGCGAAAGTGCTCTTTTTGCTAGGGTCACAGGTTTATTAGGTGCAGCTGTAGTACAAAATGCACGACTGGTCACTTAAGTGAGAAGGAGCAAACCAGAAACTAGGCCAGTCCATAGGCACTTTGTAGTAGGCTTTTTCAGAGGCAGCTTAGGGGCCATGATGATTCTGAAGCTAACACTGAATCCCACTTAAGCATGTGGCCATTCAGATTACCCGGCAGATCGAGAGAAAAAAAAAAGAGCATGTGCTTGGCACCCTCTGTCCCCTAGGAAGCCACTCTTGGTCAGCACGAGACAAACTATACTCCAGCCACTGTACTATCTGCTAGTCGCCAACAAGCTGTATTTCGTACGCTAGAAAAAAGTAGCGACGACAGGTGCAGAAATCTGTTCAAATGCTCTGGTTGTACAATGGAAACATTTTGAAAATAAAAGAAACATGGTTTATTTTGAAGAACTTTGCCTTCCTTTTTTTTTTTTCTTCACCCGACTGCAACAGACACACAATCCACGTGCGCACTGGCAACGCTCGTGCCTGCGCAACGCGAAGAACCAACCGCACATGTACGGCTAGGCCGAAACCACCGAGTGCGACCTCAAATGCACGACAACAGAGACCGCCCACAAAATTGGCCGACCAAATAAAATAAACTAGTTTTGTTGCTACTTCGTCAACAAACCTGCACGGCAGCTGACAGGCTTGCACACATCTGCCCACCTTGCATGCACACAAACGAAGGAACAACGCGCGTATGACGGGACCATGCGCACGCGCGGCAACGAAAACATCTTGGACACGGGAAAAGAGAAGGTAACCCTGCAAATCATTCGCGGACAACCATGGACCGAAAGGTGAGCCTCTAAATTATGCCGTGGAGAACGATCACCTTCGAGGCAGTTTGCCGCTCTCCACGTGCAAGTGTTCACAGAACCCACACTGCAACACGCGGTCACCCCCAGGACCGAAAGACCACCTTTGCAATAGACACCCCTGTAATCCGCACGAGGTGTAGCTCGCCACCTTCATTGAGAGCTTTTATGACACTGAGTCACCGCAACACACCCGACTCCCATCGGAGACCAAAACGCTACCCCTCAGTTGGTAATCCATGTAATCTGCACAAAGCGTAGCACGGCACCTTTCTCAAGAGCTTCCACGAACCCAAGCCAAACGACTGCAACCTATTTGGTTTGCACGGAAGACCGAAAGGCTACCCCTCCGTTGGCCATCCTCGTAGCCCACATGAAGAGTGGCTCGCTGCAATTAGAAAACCGTAGTGGTCGGACAACCGCAACGCATCCAACTCGAACGAAAGACCGAAAGGCTAACCCTCAGTTGGTAACCCGTGTAATCCTCACAGATGGCACCCCCGTCGCATTCTGCTGTCTTGGCGGCGGCGGCTGGAGGTAGCCTCCCGGAGGCATCGAAGACGGTGGCGGCGGGGGCGGATACGAGAGTACCGCGGCAGCTCCGGTGTACGGGGGTAAGCTCGTGGGTGGTGGTGGGTGGTACGGCGACGCCTGGAACTCCTGTGGTGCCCGGTAGTACGCCTGCGCTGCCGGCGGGAGCGGAGGCGGCGGGGGCAGGACGTAGGCCGAGGGTAGTGGAGGGTAGCCTCCCCTGCTGTACGCCTCTGGAGGGTGCGCCTTCTCCGCCATCTCGTGGTGCGGCGGTGGCAGGGGCGGCTGCCCATCCATCAGGGGCAGCGCGGTCACCATGGGCAGCTTGTTGCAGCTGTCGATGGTCGGTATCGGCATGCCGGTCATCTGCGGCACCGGCGGGAGGGGGGGCACCGGAGTGCCGGGCGCGCTGCCGACCTCCGCTGGCGGCACCAGGGCAGCCGTGGCGGGCGACTTGGGTGGCGTTGACTGCGGGAGTAAAAGTGGCGGTGGCGTAAATATTGCCATGTGTATGACCGAGAAGGAACATTTCTCCGTTCATCTAGAAAATTTGTGTTAACTTTTACACCCAGCATAAAACATAAAGAGGCCAGAATGACTTTGCCTAGTCGCTCTCGCCTTTGCTCACTCGCAAATATTCTAGGCAGAGTCTTCGAGGAACCGAGTGTGGTAGATGAGGAGCCCAGCGCGGTATTGCCGACTCATTCACTTTCACGCTAGCCAGCCGTCATGCCGACACCCCGTTGCTCGGCGTGTGTTCTTCCTACTGTTTCTGGCACAAGTTTGCGGATTAAACCTTTATTTTCAGTTCATTGTTCGTCGCCTCGTCGCCTTCATCTGTGACAATACGACATCGTCCTTCCTCCTGTATACAGCTGCCACTGTATACAATGTACAGAGGTTCCACACTGTAGAGGGTAAGATGAATATGTCGAGGTAAAGGACCGTTTAGGAAGCTCCCTGAATACATCTAGGCTGAACGCTTCCTCGAAAATTGTCAAAAAAAGCGAATGTTTCGAGTTTGAAAGAAGCGTCTGGGTGAATGGTTTTCAAACCTTGCGGTCTCGGTGAATGCCTGCCACTCTCGACTGACAGCAAAGAAGAACCTCTCCCGCTGTCAGCATTGCAGCAAAATAATTTGTTGGCCTAGTTGGTTAAACATCATGAAAATAGAAAGCGCGAAAGACAAGGACGAGTAGAAGACTACACAGGACAAAGCGCTTTTCCTGAGTAGTCTTCCACTTGTCCTTGTATTTCGCACTTTCTATTTTCGTAACGTCGGCATTGAAACAGTGTAGAAGACTAGATCTTGTAAACAATAATGCACACATCAGGGAGAGTTTACGACTTAGGAGTGCACCAGTAAATGGGTCACATCCTCTCAAATAGTCTCCAAGCTGGGAAAACACCTAGGGGCAGGGGTGGCCGAAAAGATGCAAGAGCTTGGGAAAATAGGGTACGCTGGGGAACCCCTGGCTTCCTAGGAACCCATTTGGAGAACCCACAGTCTAGACTGATTTATATGCATAATCTGGTGTTGTTTGACACATGTTGAAGGCTATATCATGCTCCTCGCCCACACTTAACATCCTTATCCTTGCTCATATGTACACCATAAAAAAGATTGGGTTGTGTGTATGTTTATACAGCCTAAAACTTGGTCTGCCTCAACGGGCGACGAGTCTCCCAGCTGTAAACGAGAAATTTAGCGAGTGCAGTACACCCGCTAGTCTGGGGTCTTTAACGTCCATCATGCAGTAGTGATACACTACTGCACGCCGGTATGATGCTCCTCCAGATCAAAACGGGCAGGGGAGGGGATTGAAGGGGCTTACGGGAAGAGAGTGCTTGCCAGACTTGACTGCCAGGACCGGGGACTCGGGCGGGGAGTCCTGGGGCGTGTTGGGGATGGGCGTCGAATACAGGTCCAGCACCTGGTGGCAGATGTCTGCGTGCGCCCACAGAAACGAAATGCAGAACCAGTGATAAACGAGCATGCTATGCAAGCTGTTAGAGCTTTGCACGTTATCCTTTTGTTATGGGACAGGTTACGAAAAAAAAAACTGACAGAAAAAAATACCAACGCCAGTCGCGCAATCGACGTCCATAGATTTGGCGGACGACGTCACCCTAGCAAATTTGGTAGATTTTATTGACTCTGTGCGCGTAACAGAACTCTCGTACATACTCTATGCGCACAAATTTTGTCGGGTAGGACCAAAACCAGCTTCAATATTCTCACTGTAATCCTTTCATTTTGTGTAAAATGAAATAAGCAACAATACAACCGCTATAATGTCCCTCAGGTAATTTAGGAAGGTAAAAATGAAGCCTATACAGTAACTTACTGCAGGTGGCATAGAGAAAGCCAAGGATACAAAAATATAAGGATAAAAAAATTTGTCATACATTGGAATCGCCACCAAAACCAGATATCGCTGCAGTCTGGGTAGTATATACTCACAAAAGAACAAACACATAGGACGGAGCACGGAACACAACATTTTTTAAATAGCCACACGAAAGATGTCGTGTGCTGTCCTCCAGTCTCTTTCATGTGTATACAAAATTTACAAACACGGTCGGTTTGTAATAATTCTCAGCAACATCGTAGACGAAAAATAAAACTTCTCTCGATGGTCATGATACGCCGCAAAAAGGGGCTCTATCCTCGATGCCAGTAGACTCTCGAGCAAGGAGCTTGCAAGCGATGTTGGAGCCGGACACCTCTGGGTAACCGTACGACCTGAAGAGTTTCCATTGCAAACAATGAAATGAACTCTTGGAGTCCTTTAAAGAAATTTTATGAAATGATACAAGACCGAACACTTTCTTGCATGGTTCAACGACATGCGCGGCCGTGCCTAGACGAAATAAAATGTGCCATACTGTTCTGTGCACATGTTTTTTTTTAAATTCATCCATGCAATACCATCTCGTCGTCAATAGACACGGTGCCACGGGCCTTCACAGTATGGGCAACTTGCCTTTCTGTGGCGCTGCGGCTCTCCGGAGCCAAAATAAGTATCAATATTTCGAGCGAAGACGTTGGGATTCCAGATAGGCGTGCCATATTCTAGCTATGAACATACCAAGGTCCTAATTAAAACTTGTACACACATTTGCGTTCAGTTCTGATCGACCGCGGTGCAACCTTTTGTGACCACTCGCAAGAGACCGTCCATCCATTGGCTAGGCCTGGAACGTGCCCGACCTCCATACAACTAGATTGAAGGTTTCGCAGTATTTTACGAGATCAAATCTATGCACCATCTACCAGAAATGGTCGCTTATAACATTGCTAGATTCATTTCAAGCGTGCTGCGAAAGAATGACGGGTAAAATACATGCAGATATGAAGTGTTCCAGGGCCCCCTAACAGGTGGCGTCACTGCATTCTCACGTCTTTAGAGAGCCTAGATTTAGGAAAAGGAGCAGCTCATACCGTGGAGTGTGTTTCCAATTTAACGGAGGACGCCTCCTGCGCAGATTGGTCGCAAGTGCGCATGCGTTTTCGAAAGGCGCGGAGGAAAGTGTGTGGAGAGGTGGAGACGCTCGCAGATGATCGAGACTTGCATCGCCTCCTCACGGTTTGGATTTCAAATACAGGTCATGAAATATAGTCCCGCTTAAAATGACTCTTGTCCGACCAAACAAATCTCCGGTAAAACTAACACGTTTAACAAGTTGTTCCTTCCTCGTGCCGTCGTCGAATGGGATTGGCTGCCATCCTTTACCGCTAGCGCCACCGATACGGCAAAGTTTTATAATCCTCTACTAGCCCATTTATATTGAATACATGTATATACCTTTTGCCATTTTTATTTTTTATATTTTGATTGTATTGTTTGATACACAGCCCCCCCTTATGTAACCGCAATCAAGCACTTGGAAACATTTTGAAATCTAGGCACACTGCTCATAAGCTGCCAAAACGCAAATGCTTGAACCAGCCTTTAAAGGGAAACTGAAGCGGCTCTGTATTTGAGTTAAAACACTTCAATTGTCTTTATTCGGCCCCCAGGATCACAAATATCAAGATTATTTCTCAATTCGAAGCACGAAGTCCGCAGAAAATAATTTTCAAAGCCTCTCCTTCCTGGAGCGTCACGTCATACAAGGAGTTTTCGGAATCTCCGCTCTCGTGCATCTTCAGCGCCCATCAAAGCTATTTACGCTCACTCTTGCTATTTTCAAAAAGATAAGAAAAGAGACGTCACGACTCGTGTCAGTGCGGGGGAATATACCTGGCAAGCTTGGGATTTCAAGCGCTGCCCACACGAGCGACACGCGCTCGGCGGCCGAAAGATCCTTTTACGACGTAACGACAGGTCGGAGATTTTTCGTTTCACCGCGTTTACTAGTTACACCTTCGGGGAGAACAAACGTTTTCCTCGGGATAAAAGTACTCTAGAATTCACCTGAAACTTTTTTTTTCAAGAACCTCTTCAGCTTCCCTCTAAGCTCGGTCAACCCAAGGAAGGCAGTTGCCGAACATCACGCTACCTTCGAGCAGCTCCAGGGAGATGTCTTCGACGTAGACCTCCCACCAACGGGAGTGCCTCGAGGTGCGGCCCACCCAGTCGGTCACCTCGAACTTGGACAGCTTGCCCGCCAGGTAGATGAGCGCTATGGCCACCACCTCGGGCTCCCACTGCAGGCACAGCGTCGTGCACAGGCTGTGCACAGAAACAGAATTACGTTTGCCGCAATGTTTTGTTTTCAAGCTACCAAAGCATGGAGGGAGCACAGAAAAGGGCTAGTTTGAAAAAGCTCCCAACATAACAGGCTTTCTAATCAAAGTGCCGACTTAACCACAAAAGACGAGACCCAAAAAATATCTTTGACATAACAATCAATGAAGTAAACACACTTTGATTTGTAATGTCTAACGCTCGTAGGATACAAAAGATGAAAGGCGTTTACAATTCCCTGTAATGCCGAACTAGAGAGCAACTCTTGAGGAAAAGGAGGGTATGCCTCTGCTCCTCCTCCTCTTCCACTCCTCTCTCGTGACCTTTACTGTGAAGGTCGTGACCTTCCCGAGTGACCTTTGTGACATCACTCGTAACCGTGCGTTGCATTACGGAAAACGTCCCATAATGCAACGCGTGGTTACGCCAACGGCGCCGGCGCCGCCGCACAAATTGGAAACATTACAATGCCGGCTTGCCAGAAACAGAGTCTTAGCTAAGGCCATGTGAAAGAAAACACTGCCAAAGGTAGCGCACGGGCGGAGCGGCACGTGATGTTGAGTCTATGGCGCTCATGGGCCCCAAGTTTGGCAGGCTTTCTTTCACAGTCTTAGCTAAGACACTGTTTCTAGCAAGCCACATAAGATTTTCCGGCAAACACCGCAAGGCCCAGCTGATTAAACACCTTGTACAAAGAATGGCGATGCAGCTGCGAAAGGTGACCGCTGCACGAACCTGTCATTGATGAAGGTCCAAGCCATCTGCACCATCTTCTGAAGCTTTCCCTTGTCCCCTGTTCGGTGACAAAGGATCAGGGAATTAAGGAGCAGACAAGACTGCGACTGGCGGTGGCAAATAAGGTCCACTCCAATCGACCTCGTAATGAAGAGGTAACAGTGGCAAGCACTCGCTAAAGACGGCGCAATAGAAACGGAGGAGACCACCCACCTTTGAGACACTTGGCGTACTTGAGAAGAAACCCGTAGGGATGACTGACTTGGAGGTCAAACTTTATCGTCTGCAGCAAAATTCGCTCCATCGTCATGACTTCTTCCTGCACGGCACAGACACGAGGTACGTTCCAGTCACTCCGTTCCCAAGACCCTTAAAAAACGCAAGGCGCGGCAAGTCTCGAGCACCGTATTAACATTCCGCAGCCAATGCAATTGTGATATTTGCTGACAAGGACACCGAAGAACAAGATGCGAATCAAGAAGGGTGAACATTATAAGCTACTTTCTATGTTTCCTGTCAGTGGTTAGAGTCTTCGACACTAGCACACTGCAATGTAGAAGCAACAGCGACCGCAGTGCAAGAGCTTTTCTGCTTTGTTTGTTTCTGGGCCTGCAAGCATACATGTTCGTTTGTTGTTGTCTTTTATTTCTCCACCCGTGTAATAGCCCTGTGCAAGGGCTGACAGTATCAATAAATGAATAAATTAATGAATGTTCTCTCATCTATCGGTGCAGCGTCGGCCACCCAGGGATGACGTCTCCACAAATCCAATCATTAAACTACCGTCTGGTGACACTGGCCCGGGGATATATAATCCTTTACTTTCCAACAAACATAATATAATGTTGGTGGAGACATTGTAAAAGAAAGCTTTTACAAACAACTTGACCGGTCCCAAGCCCTCAAGATAGAGCAGCAGAAAAGCATAATAAATTAAAGTTAGATATCAAAATATACTCAGGAGCTTTGGTGATCCCAAAGACTGTGAAATAAAAATCTCTACTTTGTCCTGTACCAATCTGAGAATAATAAAAGAAGACTGGGAGTAGGAAATGGTAAGTAGCCCAGAAAGAGCCTTTTAATCAATTCCACTTCTGCCACAAAGAGGCAGCTTTAGGTTCTCCACAAAATCCGCTCAATGAGAAACTCTTTTCAGAAACAGTACTGCTGATACACAACTACACAAACCTTAGAAGTTAATGTCCACCTAAAGAGTCGTTGCCAAGCCACATTTCTGTTGCTCAGACTCCATCGAAACTAGCAGTTGGGACACAATATGTCAATTTCAGCACATTAACATCATCTGAATGAAAAGTTGTAAGATTTTCAAGAAACCTTCAAGAAAAAAAAGAAGCCAATTACACGAATCGTACGGTGGGCAGCGACGAAAAGCGTCGGCTGCTGACACAAAGCACCCCCAGGCGGGTTCACTGCGCTCAACTTGCGAAGGGCTGGGGCTTGGGGAGAGTTGAGGAAGTATGTGTCCCACCTTAGGGTCTTCTCCAAAGGACAGGTACTGCTTCTCAGTAAGAAAGGACCGTGCAGTCTTGATGATGTCCTTGCACTTCTTGGGCGTCTCCTCCACCTTCCCGGCTAGGAAGAGGCAGCAGCATGCCGTGATCTGCAAGAAACCGAAATCGTGGCCCTCGGACTCCGCAAAGCCAAACTGTCGCTGGTCAAACTAAATAGAGGGAAACAGACACAGACCAAGACCCCCAAAACAACGGCACATCAAAAAACGCGTCTGCTTTGTCGAGTGCGTGGATCTGACTTCATGGCACGGTCTTGAAGCTTGTCGTCCCTCCCCTACCCTGGGAGATCGAAAACTTTAAGCCTATGGTGGGCACCAACATTTTGTTGCACAAAGCTTCACAGTGTTCGGGTGAGAAGGAAGGGAGAGGAGTAAATGGAAGAGGGACTTCCAGTCACACTGAAAATGATTTTCTATGCTGGTCTTTCGACAAAGTCGTTTAACGGCTCCACACCCTGCAGTTTGTGGAAGGTCCAGCAGGCGAAGCCGAAAACAGTCCCTTCCGAAGATGGCAGCCAGTCTCGTGGAATGAAACAAAGAGCCCCCAACTCACGAATCTGGGGAAGGTCTTGAAGGAGTGGAACATGTAGAAGCGGTGGAAGTACACCACGCCCGTTGCCATGGTGTCGTAGCGACTGGGTGCATTTCGTCAAGGCCAAAGACAGACTCCACTTTCATCAAAACTATGTTACAGTCTGCTTCTCAACTAGCAAGACACCAGCATCAACACAGCATATCGCACCTAGCACCCACTTCGAGGACTCTTGACGGGTTTCACCGCTTCACAGCAAAACCGTGCTAACTTCGTGCCTAAATAAAAAAAATAATAGAGAAAACAAAAAATAGCCACTTTTTCTTTTTCTTTTACATTTTTATTAGTGCAATATTTATGCTGCGAGACTCAACTATTGTAATATCCCAAGAGATAGCCCACCTAAAATCGAGAGAAAATTGGGTGAAAATAAGCAGTGGGCTAATTTCCAGTGTGCAATCAAGGAAAGTCTCAAGAAATTCTATTTTAAGGTCCCGTGTCCCTGCCGAACTTGTTATCAAGGCAGGGCAAGAAAGCAGACGGCGACTGTACTTCCCAGTCAGCAACGTTCGCTTATATCCCGCCATAGCTAACTAGATACATTTACGCCAAGGTCATCATTGATCCCAACACTGCAATTACTAGGAGTCGGCTATCTTTCTGGCTAAATATAGCGAGGAAACTAAATTTAGCATTTAGGTCAAGTGACACCGCTTTCTCCGCTAAATTTAGCGGGAAAAGCTTGGCATGAACGAACGGACAGTCAAAATTTTGGGATTGGGGGTTCCATTAAAAAGCATTTCATGCACGCCCGACGCAAGGATACAGGCCCATCTTGGTGCCGACATTGATGATGAAGCGGGCCCCCTCGCGCCGGTAGCGCTGCTCCTTCTCCACCGAGATGCCGTCGAGGAAGGAGGGCGTCTTGCGCAGCGCCTTCTTGTTGTAGTACCAGTTCGGCATCTTCTGGGACGCCTGCAGACAGTCATCGCGACAAGTGACGCTCAAACAACACACGAGCACCGTCACAGACGTTTCTGTAAAGTTCCTGTCAAGAGCCAACAATCCTTCGCTTGTCTCGTTCCCTTCCTCTGTGCTCTCCCTTTGTGTCTTAATGCAAAAACCTTTCGGATCCTATAACCCCGGACGAAGCAGGGGACAGAGGGGACGAACTCGGCGGCTGCATTTGCCTTTTCTGCTCCCACGTTCCGGGGTTGCAATCGTGCCTCACTAATACGAAGACCTCTGTTGCCCTCAAAAAATATTGTTCATAATGCAAGTCATCCATAATATTGAAAGAAAAAGGCACGCATTCACCCATTTCATTCCCAAAACCTCTGTCTATACTAATTTTCACCTCAAGAAAAAAAAAAAAAAAAACAAGTTTTGCGCATTGTTCATATGCCGATCGAAGCAGTGCTTGCGAGATTTGGTTGGAGGAGGAAGCAGCTGTGCTTTGGCGTTCGACAGCTGTACATGTTGATAAGGTGACATGTATCTAAACTAGAAAGCATCTACACATATCTTAATTGTCTTCATTAAGGGGGAAGTTAGTAATGTTAAGCAAGGAGCATGACTTTTTTTTACGACAGTTCAAGAGCTGAGAACAAGTATAGTGTTTATACTAAAGGCGCCCATATTAATGGGACATCTCAAACCAGCTTGACTGCAGTTCGGTTTTTGACTTCCAGACCTAACCCACTCATGCGCTTCACGGTGTTGCGCCAACTGGTCAACCGAGACTTTGCCGAGACCGTTCTATCTAGAGGGGTCCGAGTGTCGTGCCTCTTGACGCAATATTAGCTCAATCAGCGTTCTCCACAGCCGTGTTTGGAAAACACGTTCTATGCAGAAAAACTAAGATTTCAGAATACCGCACATGCAGAAAACATTTTAACTAGAAAAATAAAAAATACTGTAGATAAAGTTTTGAGTGGTGTATAAAACAAGCAGCACCCTCTCACCTTATCTGCATCCGCAACGTAGGGAGAAAGCTTCCTCTTCAGCTGAAAAACAAACAAAAAAAGGCAGCAATCGATTGTGTTATTACCACGCCATGCAACGAATGAACACACAGAAGCACAAAGAGGAAAAGGACTGCAGAAGCACATAAAGCAAGTTGGACAACAAAAAACCGCAGCGGACTGCCACAACACAAACAGCGAAATAAGGCAAACAACGTGTCCAGCGTCTGAGGCAAAAAGGAGAAAAACACATTGCGGTAGCCCGGTGTCAAAGGCAATGTCTGCCTTGGCTTTCCCACTCCACGCTGCGCCAAACTTTGCTGCTTACAGCATGCCCTCATCCCCCCCAACAATTTAGTGTTTTATTTTCACCACAAAACTAAATTATGCATCGCCGAATGCTCATTCTCGACCCTAATGTAGTGCAGGCAGTCACAACCAGGTGCAAGTACCAGATATAATCATTATCTAATTAAAAAGTTATAAAAAAATTCAGTGTTTTTAAGTTTTTGTTTTTTTTATTGGTTGGTTGTCGTTGTTTTTTGAAGGGGGGCATTTTTTTTACATATTCAATGTTTTTTTTTTATAAATTGGTTAAGTTATAACTAACTTAGATTTAAAAAAGCACTAGTAAATCTTGAAAAATTACCCGCTTCAAAAAAACAACAGCAAACCCCAAATGAAAAAAACAACAACAACAAGAACTTAGAAAACACAGAACTTTAGTTATAAGTGATTTGCAGAAAATTTCACTGAGAAAATGACAATAAAACTTTGGTTGGGGCTAGTTGGACCATATCGGTTGGGGCTAGTTGGCGCCTGTCCGTGTCGTACGTGTCTCTTTTTTCGTACTGTTTGTTCGTGCCTTTCAACCTTTTAATAGAAAAATGGTGCCCGTTTTTGGTAACCGGCACCACTCAGCTCCATGCATTCGATAGCTCCGTCAACCGCCATTTTCCCATCTAAAACTTAACAAAATCACTTGTAACATTTGAATAAGATAACGGTCAGTTCTGAAACTTCGGCATCCGGTTCGGACCACTACCGCTACATTAGGGCGGAGAACGAGGGTTTGGCAATGCTTAGTTGATTTTGGCGGGAGAAAAACGCTTTACATATTTTTGGGTGCACATCCTGTACCATTTGGGGGATTCCATCAATACAACCCGTTGTGCTGGAGTTTTTACGTCGCCTACCAGGGGTTCGCTTGGAGAATGGATTGGGCAGAAGGCTGCATTAACGTTTGGTAGGCCACATAGAAAATATGGGACTACGGCCTCCTCGATTTCGTCCATCTCAATGTGCACATTCATCGAGAAAAATAACTTTCGGCCAAACATCCTCAAAGCAAAAGGTGAGCATCCTGCCCACCGATCTCAATATTATCTCCTGCACAGTGGCGGCACAAAGCCACCGAGCAGCCCTATTACAAGCCCCAGATGACACCTTTCACAATGATTTCCAAGGTACAGCTTGGTCGGTCGATCCGTAAGGTAATATAAAACACCCAGGAGGTATGCGCGACCCTACGGCGCATAGCAAGCTGCACTTTGGTGCTGGTAAGGGGGAAACCCAAGTGGCTTTATTCTGATGTTTTTTGCAGCACCTCAAGGCATAAAACGTGTCAATATCACTTGCAAGTGCCATCTGAATCAGGAGTGCATTCCGTTTGGTCATGAATGTAACAACAAAAAGTAAAGGAAATAGCAAACAGTTCTTCTTTTAGCCGAGTATTCTGATTATCCATTCGTGCTCTTTTCTACCTTATGCCTAGCAAGGCGCTTTAAATACAATTCTTGGCGAACACCAGGCTGTTCATTAGCTATATAATTATTTAAAAAAAACTCTGCCTTCAGATGTTTCTAGAGGGTAGAGAATGCTACCCGGCCATTGGCTTCCTTCATTGTGGCAACACTTTCTGAACAGCCATACTTGTTTTGAAAAATGAACCGCTTGTTCCAAACGTTTTAATTAAACACTTTGGGGTCGGATCCCACAAAGTGCAGGCGTACTTTACCTGCCTGATGTAAACGCAATAGACAGTTTTTTTTGTTTCTTTTTTCTTAATTATTCTGATTGAACATTTTAGATTGTGCTGCAAAAAACTTAAGGAGTGGTCAACCCTTTAAAGGGGCATTCAAGTAGATTCTGAGATTGTCTATATATGACGAAAACTCAATCTACAGGCCCTGAGGATCCTAAAAAACCCGAAATTACAGTCATGGACGGCCAGTTTCCCTATTAAAAATCTAATCAAAGGTTGCGGCAAGCCCCTTTCTGCACCTTGGAGCAGACACCAGGGGGCGCCATCAGACGGCACTTTCAAACAATAATTGTTTTATTACGTCTCCTACACAACAATTTTGTTGAAATATAATGCACAACGCATCTGAAAAGAACAATAATAGCAATGTTCTGAATCTCCACGCAATTAACTTTTTTCGCTGGTCAAATTTTATGGAAATGGTGGGGACCCGAAGATGGCCGCCCAACCCACCCGTCTGCTCCCCCCACCCCAAGAGAAAATAGTGCCCGCGTATTTCTATTGCTGCGACTTTACTGGGACTCCTTGCCAACTAGAACTGGTCATTTTTATTGACTAAACCCCAGCAATCAATATGCCATCAAAAACAAGCTTCTACAAAAAGCAATTAAATGCCCCATTAAAGAAACATTGATCCCCCCAAAAAAATTTTTAGTGCAAAATCTGTGTTGTGATATGTCCCATGGTGTATTTACAAAAAATCTTTTTTTGTTTTTTTTGTTTTGCATATTTGGATATGACAAAGATGTTACAAACCAAGCTCAAGCCCCCTCCCCAACCCTGAAAGCAAACAAATAAAATTTTTAGTGCAATACAAGAAACATTTTCAGTTGCAAAAGGAGCCAAAGCTCGTTACTCAAACTGTCTTTTAACATAAATATTGCACCATTTTCTTCTTTTTTTTTTTTGGGGGGGGGGGGGGGGGGGAGAGAGAGAAGAATTTAGGGTAAGACATCTCCGTCCCAATTAGACACTAATAAAATTATTTTTGGGAGCTCAGTCTTTTCTAAGAAACTGCCATCAACATGCACAGTAAGACAGGGCATTTGAAACTCTAGACAACCAAAAAGAGGTTAGTAGTCTCTAGACAAACTCCCAGTGGCACTCCTGTTTTGTGCCTCAGGAGGACAAATCACAAACAACAAAAATGTGTCGAGATACAGGTAGTTTGGGAAGCTCCAACGTCAAGGCGTAGGAAAAAGGAGAGCGACCGCAGCCAAGTTTGTGTGCAAACCTTCTATCGAGGGGACACTCGTCATGAAACTAGGGTGCCTCAGACGCATTTCAGACTGGCGTGTTTACGACCTCCAAAAAAGTGGTCCCTCGATTTCTGCCCCACGACGCCATAGAAATGTCACGCTGTCGTTGGCTGCGATCCTGGCGGTGCCAGAGTAGTGGTGGTGAGATGTTGCAGATACATATTCTGCTCTGGGTCACTCTCCGGCTTGACACTCCACAGAAGCTTCGGCAGCCATGAGTTGGCGCGCCGCGACGACGGCGACTCTCTCACTTGCTCGAGCTTTTTGCTGGAACTACCGCGACCCACCTCCAGAATCGCGACATCCGACAGCATGACACTCCGGTTTTTGCGACGTCTTTTGTTCCCACTTCGGGAGCACTTTCGTCGGAAGTGAGGAATAAGACGCTAGACGCACCAGTTGAAGACGCGTTCTAAAGTGCCGTAAATAATGCATGAAGCCAACGAAGAGATGCCGACACCTAAAGTCTACCGCCTGATTCCTACGCCCAAAGCCGAACTGCAGGGGACGAAACAAGAGTGCAACAAACAAACCTCACGTACCTTCCTGCTTTGCGAGCAGACTGCGAATTTATGAATAGGGACACAACGTTTGGTCTCTGTCTTTTCTAAAACACACTTAGACCTTGTCGTGACCCTTTGTGCAACCTCTGGAAAAACGAAGACACAACCACTGCATGAGAGAGAAAGAAAAAAAAAAGGGCAGGGCAAGCAGCCGCCACCAAAACATTTTGCACAAATTGTGATGATGAGCTTTCACAGGCTGAAACCAAAAGGAATGCTAGAAATGGTAATGCAGTGGACGCGTTCGTGGAAATAAATCAGGGCTGGTGGGCACAGCGAATGCGCAGTAGCTGTGGTGGCCATTGCGCACGTGCGGTGAGGACGGTAGGTATCGGGCATGCAAAGTGTGTTTGCACTGACAAAATTGACATAGGCGCATAATTTTTGCATACTACAAGACATCCCTTGTGAGAACGATAACCGTAAAGATCCCTACGCGCAGTTGTGTTTGAGTGTGTTTGGCTGCATTGCAGCTGTGAGAAACCAGGACATCCCTGCTTCTAACGTTGCGTGTCAAGCTTTTCCTTAAGTTGGATTCCACGCTTCATACGAAGCACAGATGTGCTGGTGACTAACTTTCGTTTCTCGACGCAACTGTGCGTAGGGTAGGATCCTTTAATCTAAAACCTACGCAAAATACGTTAGCACTGCCAGGAAAGTCACAATTGCAGTGAATGTTATGTGGCCGACTCTCAACATGATTCCTTCAAATCAAGGGCTTGATGGAGAGGGCACATGTGTCGATGAAAGATAGATAAAATACTAGAAAATACTAGTTTGCAAACCAGAAAAGTTTTCATGTTTTCCGAGAGAGAGTGAGAAAGAGAGAGAAAGAACACGGCTTGCGCCATCTTTTGGACTTGGCGTCAACTCCAACTTGTCACGCCGTTTCCGCAAATCGAGTATCCGTCTTCAGTTTTATACTGCGGAGACGCGTCTTTGTTGAATCTTGGTGACGTAACTTCGCTGTCAACATAAAACACTCTCGATGAATGTCCGCCGCTTCTACAAGCCAGTGATTTGAGTGAAGACCTGACCTAGCTGACCCTCGGCAAGATGAATATCTCCCGCGACTGCACGTTACATTGTGACGCAGCCACAGAAAAATGTCATACATACCTTGCTCGACTTCATGATGATTCTTGAAGGTGCCTCACACAGTCTTTCTAAACAAAACTAAATTTTATACAAGCTAAATTTCAAAAAGAAACGGCGGCCGAAGTTCGACATTTCACTACAAAATGGACACCTTTGTTTTTCCTATTTTTCTTTTCCCTACCAATGATGATGATAACGGTGCAGGTTTAGGCGACACAGGCGGCAACAAGAAGAAATGCACAAATCATTTTATTATTATTATTATTTTACACACGATAGCACAACATAATTATTGCCGTCCACCGGTGTCATATATTATCAACTTATCTTTTTTCTAAACGAATGTAATCACAAACGAAAACATAGACAAATACCCGGCGCAAATGCAACGTTGAACAACGTTCATGTTGGACACATCGTCAAATAAAACTTAGCCTCATATCCTGTGCAAATAAACAATCAAAACACTACCACGTAGGGACTTGGGCATGTAGTGTGTAAAGAAGCAAACAAGGCTAAAGCTCAAAAAAGTTTTGTGAAAACTTACTAAAAAAAAAGAATAAGCAGTGTTTTAGCAAAGCATTTGGGAAGGTTCAGAGTCCTTTTCAACAGTGTCAACAAGTTTGTCAAGATCGTTTCATTGACACTGTGACGTTTCATTGACAGTTCGTTTTCTAAGGCTCCAGCTTTCGTTTCATCAGCAAATCTTGTGACATTTCGTCGAAGTCCATGCCCATCACCTCAGTCGCCGGAATCCAGATGGTAGCCTAACTTGTCGAACTCTTGGCAGTTCCGACAAGGCTTGGTGCAGGTTAAGGCCCAAAAGTCTGTTGCAAGTAATCAAATCCAATCCACTTGGCAAAAAAAGTTCCGGGACACCTAAGCACTTCTTATGAGTTGTGAATGTGAAAGCATGGATGTCGTTCTTCCGCTCCCCTAGTTCGTCTGCGGTGTGCTGGCGTGGACGGCCGCGTTTCGCTAGTGCCCAAGTTGCGGCCGCCGACGATATAGACGCCTCAGGCGCCACCATGTTCCTTGGCGCTGAGAGGAGAAAGAGCAGCAGCAACAGCCCCCCCCCCCCCGAAACGGCCAACACGAGAGCAGCGACTGAGTGCGCGTTCTCGTGAAGCGGCTGCCAGTGGCTATCTGGGAGCTGTTTCGCTCAGCCAATGGGAGAATGGGCATTTCTTTCGCGTTGTTTCGCAGTTACAGATGCCGCCGGCTCCGCTCCATGGAACCAGTTAATGTTTTCACATTAAAATTAGTGTTGTTGGCGATTGTTACAAGAGCATCTGCCCACAAAATGAATTTCCACGAAACGCCACAGTGCCGACAAAATGATGTCCGTGAAGTGCGTGTTGATAAAATGTTGTTCACAAAACCTATTTCCCCGAAATGCATTTCGACGAAACAATACGGACGCTCTTTTCAGTGCTCTATGACTTGAGGAGCACGGGTCAAAAAGAGAGCGGCGAATTGTTGACATACGGGGGTTGTGAACACATACAGTATTCCCTGTCACTCCATTTTAAAATAAACCTATAAAGTGGCACAAAATAGTACACAAAGCTATACGGCGACTTCAAGATGCAGAAAACCTTGGACGATACACAAAATTGGAGGGAAACAAACAAAATAATGGCACTTCAACTTCATTTAGACATTTTGGTCGTCAATGATTGCCAGAGCAAAATTTCTGTCCGATTTTCTGCACTTCTAATAACAAGAAAAAAAAACAACCAACCAAAGACGTGCAAGCTTATGCTGGAATAATTATATAACACTCTCTAAAATGCAGTCTATCACAACTTGTGTTTTCCCAACTCCCGCCAAAGGCGTATCTTTCCCGTCGCTGTGCTTTTCGTCTGCTTTGCAGGATCCCAGTCGCACATGACCAACAGTTCGGCACTGTTTGCAGACACGCAAAAAATGTCTCGCTATGCCACCCACTCAAACCTTGCGCCGAGCCTCGACCTTGGATTGATTTCTACAATGTGGAGAGCAAGTCGTCTGCTTCTTTCGAAGGAGCTGCGCTGACGTCAGAACGACACTGAGCTATGAATGGCTTTGATTAAAAGGATAGTGTGTAGACCTCAATGCTAGATGCCTCGAGGTCTACCGCCTATTTTTTTTTCAATCAGCCAATAAGAGCTCGGCGTTCTCACATCATTGCAACCCCTGCGCAAGAAGCAGACAAACTTGCATTCTGCATTTAAGGATGTGTTACTGCTTACTGAAAAACAAATCAATGTTATGTTGCCCAACGAGGCCTTTTGGCCACGTTTTTCCCTACCGACACGAGGAAACGAACCTGCAGGAGACACCTTAGCAGCACTTTTTACAAACAGACGTTCGATTGCCCATTGTAAAAACTAGGTCAGAACGTGCAAGAACAATCCAGGTCATTATTCGAGTGCGGTCGCCGACAAATCCGAATCTATATCCGAACGGAGTTGCCAAACATTGAGCTATGCCCGCGTGGGGGGGCACGACGATCGACCAACATTTCCGATATGCCTCAGTGTCGCCACGGTGCCTGCAATGCGCCTTCGACTGGCGTGTTTGGCATCCCACTCCACACATGCATCGAAAACAGTCCCAAAGTGGCAACAAATGACGTCACGACGTGCCACGTCGTTCGACGTCGCAATCCTAGTGGTCAACGGTTTGAGGAAAAAGTATGAGCGAACGCGAGCGTCCCGATTCCTGGCTGCCGCAGCTTCCGTGAATTAACGACAAGGAAAGTAGGCGAGAATCGAGGGATCACATTTGCGGACGCCGTAAACGCACTGGACGGAGACGCATTGCAGGCACCAACGGCGTCGCCTCGGCGAGACCGCCCCATCAGCGAGGTGTCTTAAGCGCGTCTGCGAGAGGTGTCGGCCAAACGTTGGCCCGGTGCGACTCTGTGGCGGGCGGGACGAGCGTCTTGTGCCTATCTGTCCTCCTCCTTGAGGAACTGGTCAAGCGGGTAATGCTCCCCGTACGTCTTGAGGTGGTCCAGGACGCCGTCCATCTGCTCCTGCAGGTGCGGCAGCATGTCCTTGTAGACATCCCTGAACAGCTCCTGGACTGGGGGCTTGGGGAGCTTCTCTGCCGCCGTCAGACTCTGGAGGACCTGCAAGAGTGAAGTGCAAAGGGGCTTGCTGCGACTGGCTCGCTGGGATGGGGGGAAGGGGAGTTGCTCGGAGGAAGGTGAAATACTATTCTAAGGGAATACACCTCACCCCACGAAAAATGGCCTCGGCCAACACGTCCTAGGTGGCAAGGCCGTGAGAACTGAATTTTCAACTTCAGTGGGTGCATTGTCTAACACATATGAGCAAAGTTACATAATATCTTGAGAGATAGCCCACCTAAAATCGATAGCAAATAGGATGAAAATAATGGGTAAGCCAACTTTCGGTGTGCCGTAACAAAAAGTTTGAAAAATGCTAGTTTTAGGTTTCGCGACCCTCGAAACTTGTGATCGCAGGAAGGGGCAATGAACCAAAGACGACCGTCCTTTCCAGTAAGCAACGTTCGGTTATCTCCTGCCGCGGCTAAGGAACAGTGTTTCTGCTGATGTCACCGTCAGCCAACGCCCTGCAGTTACTAGACGTGGGCCGTCTTGCGGTGCGGCCCACGAGAACAAATAGCAAAACGTGCCAAAGATAGGGGTGGGCCATCTTTTGGGGGTGGGCCATCTCTCGGGACATTGCGGTAGAGTGTGTTCTCCCCAAATAAGGTGTTTGGGGACGCTCACCTCCTTCTGGAACTGGGCCTTTGCGGCCTTCTCCTCCTCCTCGGACCAGAGGCCCCGATCCATGAGGTAGCGGCGCATCCGGGTGAGGGGGTGGCCCTGTTCGTCCCAGTGCCTCACCTCGTCCACCGACCGGTACGCCGTGCTGTCGTCCGACGTGCTGTGGTGGCCAATCCTGCGGGGCGACGTTGGTACCGTCCACGGCCAATCAACAACGGCTAATCGTCGACAGCCAATCGGATCTCATAAATACTGCCAAATCTTCAGTCGCAAGCAGTCACAAGCGTGCATGACGGGCTCAGTCACACTCGAATACAAATGTGTGACACCAGCCTGCAGGAATAATGAAATTAGTTTTCGGCATCTTTTAAAGTTTCTAACCTGCCGAGTAATTGCGTGCGAATGATGGATTTTGAATTCGAAGCAAAGTCAGAGCGAATGGTGGTTTTGGCCAAATATTTTTTAATCAAATGTCGAATTCGCGACTCCAGCGATCAACAGGGGGCACCACCACCAAACAAACTTGGCGGCTGGAAACAGGTCGCGTCGCCTCGGCACGGCCGTCTGAATGGGTGGCGCATTCAATTTAATAGATTTTCTCTTGTTCAATGCCCTATTTCATAGGTATTTGAACTGCGACGGTTAAGCGTAGCCAGTGCACATAAACTTGCAGAGCATAGACCAGTGTCCGCGCCAATTCCAGGGCGCCGCCATGTTTATCTACGCTCGCGCCACCACGCGGAGAGAACTGGCAGGCAGGAGGGGGGGGGCTGCGTTGGCGGCGTTGCTTTGGGGAGCTGGATGCGGCAGGCTGTCCGAATGCACCCGCACATCGTGAACGATCTCTTCACCAGAAGCCTCCGCGACCCGTTCTTCAACAGATAAGATGTCGTGAACATTCGAGAACCCATCTCGATCAAGAAAACAAGAGAAAACCTTTCTGTTCTTAAATGTTCACGGTGTCTGCTGACCCTTGACATCCGCGTTTCAGTCCGGGTTCATTGCGTAGTAAATATTTCGCTACCGGTTTCTTGTAGCTTTCAAATGCTTGATTGTTGGCTTCTTGTATACGACATTACATTCGTGGCAAGTTTGAGACCGATTTTCGCGATCTGCTTGCCTTTCTGCGGCAGCGCGGCTCTCCCGAGCCGAAATAAGTGGGAGGCGTTCACTCGATCGAACGCCGTTATGGCGAATGAAAACGAGACCACGACGTTTCATCGAATGACTAGCGAATGCGTCTAGTTACATAGACAGCTCGGATTAGCTTCCTTTTGTAATGTGGCGCCTTGTCTGCCGCTGTGAAGCGGCGTAAACGAGGTCTCCGAGTATGTTAACACGCGTCCCCCCCACACACACACTGCGAGCGTCTGGGTTCGAAACTATTAATTGCCAGTTATAAAGGATGGTACTTACTTGAAGTGGGAGCTGGAATTCTACGAGGTACCAGGAAACACTTACTATCGGGACACGAAGCACGGTGCCTGTGGGGGCGGAGTCTAGGAACGCTACTGATTAATATTGTGACAGGCGATCAGTTATCACGAAACTTCGACTCGTTAATTCAGAAGTTCGCGGTGATATTTTATTAGCCCTCGTTACAGCACACCAAGGATCTTAGGCAGTGAAATTCACATCACGCAGGCTCGTCCGTCGTAGTCAAATGAGCGCAGTCGACGATGAGGTGTAATGAGCTACTAAGCTTCACAAGAAAAATGCGCGTGAGAAAGAGTTTTGAGGAAGTCCAAAACACCGATCCAGCAGACGCACGTACGTACGTTTACTCCGGACTTCATGAACCCGACGGCGCAAGATCAAAGAGCACCGCCGCCATCGCCACCCGGTTTTCTCCGCACTTTGCGCAACGACGGCACTGCAACGGAGGGCACTCGCCTCGGCGTTAACAATCCGCGAAATAGATTAATTTCCCACTCTTGAAGCCTTTCCCAATGATAAATGAAAATACCTCGGCGTTGTTGAACATCTGACGACACAACCAACACAACCGTGCCGCTGGCTGCGTGAGCCTGACGCAACTGTGCCGAGCGCCTGCTCGGCACCGTTGTTGCTCATGAAGGCCTGCTTATTTGTAGTTGAGACGATGATTCCACATCTTTCGTGGTGCTTGCAATAACTTCGAAGGGCAGGGGAACCTTCTCACGAGGACGTTGAAGACACTCAACACCGGAGCCACCAAAGCAATCGCACAAACCGTCGCCATGTTTGCTTCTTCTTCGTCACTCGCGGCGCGGTCAACTCGTCGCGAGATGTTTTCTGGCTCGGCTAGATGGAAACCAACAGCGGCAAAGTGGCGTATGGACACACGGCTCTCACATTACGGGCACTATACTCACATACCGCGGTAAACAGGACCGATGCCGGCGAAATGGCAGTCGGCACACCAGCGAAGAAGCCTTCAACGGGAAGCGGCGGCGCAGGCCGACGCAGCCCCCCCTCCCCGTGAGCGTCTGGGTTCGAGATTATTGTTCGCTTTTGCTCCTTGCGGTCGAGGCTAAAAAGAGCACTTCCGGACAAAGGTCTATAGTTTCGTTTTCCCGGTGTTTTTTTGTTCTTTTCATGTCAAACTTTTGTTTCGGAGACTTTGTTCGAAACCGAAAGTATGGGCTCCGGAGAGACGGTATTAGACTCTAATCAGTTTTGATCAGCTAAGGAAAGCGGCTATGACTGCAGAATTGTTCTACCGAGAGTAATTTTCAGCGAACTCGCTTGCCTTGACCATGCGACTCATCCGTCCGCGAAATCTAGCTTTTGTGCGCATCCGCGTTTAAGAAACAGCTCCAGTCGTCTTTTCAATACAGGTTTCAGTAGCAATCGAGAAGTCATTTTGACGAATATGCGGGTTACGTATTATATTATGTACTATGCTCCCACTAAAGCGATATTAGTATATTCTTCGGGTTGAAATATGAGCTTAGTTGACAAGCTATTAGGTGAACTACTGAATAGAAGTATATTTGACGGAGAGAGATATATACTACCTAAACTCAGCCAAATGGTTCTAGCCGGCAGCACACAGTGAGCAGGTTTTCCGAACTCAAGTGATTGCAAAATCAGCCCAACTCCTTCTATGAGGTCCAGAGGCCTTTTCGGCGAAAAGCAGCCACGATGAATAGCCAACATACCGACCGGTGTGGGTGGCTCAATCTTGAAGCTAGTCAAACACAATAAAACTCAAGAAAAGCAGATATCGAGCCTTCCCATTCACTTGACTGCAACACTGGTGTTACCACCAGTGAAGCACCTCGTCTGTCATCTTCAATCAACTGTTCTATATCCTTTAAAAGAAACCACTTATCAGTTGCCATAGTCATAACTTTGAATGTGATTCGAGACGGACAAGAAATCAAAACGTTTTTCCGTGGTTTCTCCCCATCCAAGAAATCGAAAGCATGCGACCGTGTGTTGTGCAGTAAACGGGCTTTCAAACACGTGATGGAAGGAAACAATCTACTGAGGCTTCACCACACTAATGAACACTCAGGCAAACTTAAAAAATATTTGGACCTTTGTCAAATTACATTGTTTGCCGCCGCACCGACAACACATGTCCGCAAAAGCCGCCAGACACGCGGAGAGGCGCAAAGCGACCTGTTCCAGCTGGTTCCCGATTTTCCCACTTGGTGGCGTCAGTTTTGCTGGAGTCGCGAATAGTCTCTCCGAGCCTTTCACTACTGTTGTACTACGCTTAAACGAAAACCCAGCTAAACTCGTCAACATTGTTCCCAAGCTTCCACTTGTCCATTCAGCATAAGCTAATTCTAATCAACTATATTTATAGACCTAGAACTCTGAAAGTTCAACCCAGCTGAAAATTTTCATTAGATCCAATTGGAATTCTAACTGGTTTTAATTGGAACCAATTGGTTTTAGTGGGTTCCAACTGGAAGCACACTGGCCAATAGGTCTTACCAATTGGAAAAAATTTTCCAGTTGGAATCTAATGGGAATTTTCAACTGGGAATGCCTTGGGATGGTCAGTAAACAACGGATTTGGCATAAAAAGAAGCCTAAAGGGATGCCCAGCTATAGCTTATTTGCTGGATTTCCAAATCTTGCTATATTCAAATATTTTTTCTTCAATCTCAAATCCGAAAAAACAAAAAAAAAAGGATCACAAATGATAAACTCGGTTTGTCGAGGTATCTCTACCTAACGTACACTCATGCATAACGGTCACATTATCATTTCAAAAATTTCACCAGGTGCACGCACGCATGCCCCATCCTGCTTTAAAAGCATGCTTTTCTCGCAAGCACGCGATCCCGATATTCAAGCCTTTTTGAAGTGTTGATCGCGGTGGGTTACTTCGTTGAGTGTGCTTCTTACCGAGCCCCGGTGCTCTGAAGAGAAGTAACGCATGCAGAGCTCACTTCCGCGGTGGACCCGCGCTCGACAAGGCTCACCCGTGGCGATCAACACTTTGCAAAATATGAATATGTATCGTAGTTCAACTCGAAGCGAATATCGAATAGTATATTATTCGAAAGTACTATCCTAAATTCCAAATATTCGCACAACAGTATACTCCATTCACCCTTAGCTCCGCCTGCAATGCGAGCTTTCTGCCCTTGCTAACCCAAAGTGTGAATGTGCAGGCACGTGCAACCAAGGCACTGCGGAAGCCAGCAAGCTCGTGCTGATGGCGAAGCTTCTAGTCTCAGCTTAACGTTGAACGGAGCATACTGCCGAACCTACCTTGGACCTCCTAACTCCCACACTCCCTCAGGTTCGTCATTGGTCGCCGTCAAACACTGACTCTGTCAAAGCGACAAAGTTCAGCCTTTGCATGCTCTGAACTTCCCAATGTGCAGAACGCTTCAACTGTGGGCTAGTTGGTAGCAATTCATAGAGTAAAAAAAAAAGTGCCCGTCTGTTATGCCTGTTCTCTATTGTGTCCTTGTTTTTCACACTTCTTTATACGTGATTTCTAGTGTGCGATGTCGACGGGTTCAATGTCACTTATAGACCGACACGCGGGATTGATGTCACGGAGCTGTGGCGGCGCTGCGATTGCGCCGGAGCCGGGGGGTGTGGGCAAAAGGACGCGTGTTTTGCATGGGCGTCATAACATTTCAGCATGCCGCGAAGCTGTGTTGCCGTTAATTGCACCGAAATGTACAGAAATAGTAGCGGAGTGAGTTTCCACATGTTCCCGGCATACTCTGAAAGGCACAGAAGGTGGATAATATCCGTGGATCGAAAATAATGGTCGCCTCGCGCGGACGACCGTTCGTGCGGCAAGCACTTTCTTGAAGGCAAGTGCAGCTTCCATTTCAATCTCCGTCCCGAGGCTTGCTATGTGTGTGCAGGGAAACTGTCGTCTGATCGAGACCACTCTGATTTTGTTCCCACGGTGTTCGCGCACAAAGCACCGGCCAAGCGCTCGTCGGAGGCTCGCTACGCCCGTACTACCAAGCAGAAGGGGATCGGCGACTGGACGGCAGTGTTGTAGGCTTTACCGAAAAGAAGTAACGAAATGCGTTACTCGTTACTTGCAAATAAAAGGCACGCGTTACCGAGCTACGTTACCTAAAAATAAAAGGAACACGTTATCGCTACCGATAAAAATTAACGCACGTTACTTCTGCGTTACTTTTTATATTATGATTTTACATGTTTTACTGTTTTGACGGTACAGGTAGGCATAAGCTCATACATCAAGAAACATTATGTTCATGCAGAAACTGAACATAATGACTTTATATCTTTCTACGGTTTCACCTAAATACGAGAAAAACACAAAGAAAAATGCAGAAAACACAGAAATTCACATGGCTTGACGCCAAAAACACGTAAAAAAATTGAAGTGTAATTTCTTTAAGATTTGAGAAGTAGTAACGAGTAACGTTTTACTTGAAATAGTAACTAAGTATGTTATCCGTTACTGTGTCGAAAAAGTAACGAGTACGTCATTACGTTACAAAAAAAAAAGTAACGTGTTACTGGCAACGGCGTTACTTGTAACGCGTTGCCGCCAACGTTGGTAGCGAGCCACCGCCAAGCGCTTGGCCGGTGATGGACAAAGTGTTACTGCTTGTCATGCCTTGTGGTCATGAGGGTAGAAAAAATATTATACCTTAACTTGAAGACGCTTTGTGTATTTAATCAATTAATAAATACACTTCACAGACCCACAGCCTGCTGATCCCGCCGGCAGTGCAAACACCAATTCGAAGCAATCGTCAGCCTCGAGAGACTTGTACGACTGCACCGTGTTGGCCGTGAACTGGCTTGGTGAGAAAAACTAAATAAACGACAACGTGAGCTGTCGTCTTCGGTAGCAGCAGCTTCACGTCGGACGTCCAGCAGGCCTTGTTTGCGGCTTCGGATCCTCGAAGACAACGCCGTCCTCACACAGTTTGTCTCGATACCGCTGCCGTTCAGGCTCGGGTAGCGAGCTCAAATACTCGGGCATAACATACAACATACATTGTCAGGAAATACGACGCACAAATAAAGCTACAAGCAACCCTACAACGTCAACGAGCGCACGTCACACAACGCAATGGCGAAAACACGAAGAGCCGGACCGCTTTTGTCCACACAGCTTCCGCGCATGCGCGGCCATGTTGGTAAACAGAGCCGCTCCGCGTGTCGGTCTATACACACTAACAGAGCTCCCTCGATTTCTGACTGCGATGTCTGATGACATCGCAGTCAGAAATGACATCGCAGTGAGATGACATCGCAGTCAGTTTCTGATGACTGCGAGCCTCCGGATGACGCTCTCTGATACGCACCTGTAGGTCATTGCCTCGATTAGGACCGGCTTCTGTTGCTCCATGACGATGCGGCGGGCTTCCTTGACCACCTTGTACACTGCCAGGGGGTCTTGGCCATCCACCCGGATCGAGACGAGGCCATACGAAGGGCCGCGGGCAACTGACGGTCACGCATGAAACAAGATAAACGGTTCAAAACGATTGTCGCAACAAAATCTTTAAAGGGGCGGTGTAACAATTTTTGGACCTTGATGATTGATTATTTATCCTCAGGTAATAATAAACAGTTCTATATCATTGTTTTTCTACAAAATCTACCTAATATGTATTCATTGTGCAATCTTCATTTAAAGCTCACCACAAACTGAAACCTTAGCAGCAGCAGGCAACGTTGCTCCCAAGTCATCCTCTACATGGTCTAACCACGTGGTACAAATCGTGACGTCACATACCAGGCGGCCGGACGCAGCTCGGCGCAAGGGTGCGAGTGTCGTCTGCTACGATCGGCAGTTTTCTATAAACTAACGCGGCCGCAGCTCGTGTTTTAGTGCAGAAAAGGCAAGCTTGCCCAAAGACTTCGTTTTTTAAAACATTAGTAGAAAGTGAAGTTCATTCAACCAGACATAAATATATAGCGACAAGTTTGTAGAACTACGACATTTGCAACGTTGCAAACTGGCACTCACACGAGATGAATGCTGCTGGCGATGACGCATGCTCGCACAGGAGCACACAAGTGCATGCGCGTTCCGCGAATGACATGGTCAACGTTGAGTGCGCTGCTAGCGCCGCCAAGCAAACAAATCTCTCTCAAAACCCCGAGCATGATTATGATAGCGAAGGGTGACCAGCTGCGCCGACACGGTTGTACTGATTGCGACGTTGGCTAAGCCGTCCCTCGCCCGCTACGATTGGCAGATTCTGGTAATTTCGTTCACCTCAAGCTTTGTTTGCCAGTTTCATCAACTTTGAGGCGGAGTTGGATCGAAATATTTGGCATGTGGTCTTTTTAGGCAATACTATAGTCAGTTACAGGTTAAGAAAAGTTGGCGAAGGAAAGGAAGGCTGGGGAGGGGGAAGCAGACGCAATGCCGGAGAGGAGAGGAGGGAACATCCTCTTCTCTCTCTAGCATTCTGTCTACTTCTTCCTCCTCTGCCTTTTTTTCCCTCGAAAACTTTTCTTAACCTGAAACTGACTAGAGAGAGAACTGCATTGTTTTCTTACTATTTGAAAATGAACCAGAGCTGGTCTTTAACTGCAGAAATTAGTCTGCGTCAACTAAAGAACAAACAGCAGAAAACCATTTCTTCTTGTGCACGCTAGATTTTATAAATAAAAAACTAAACAAATCTAAGGTCAGAGTACCCCTCAACTCTCGCAAAGTCTTTCGAATGACTTCAGGGCCCCCAAGCGCTCCCTTCGCGACTGCAGACTTTGCAAGGATTGGCATCGCCAAAGGTCGCGGCAAGCGGTCGAGACAAAAGACGGTTCACCATGGGGCTGACGGTGAGTTTAGAAAAGGAGGGGGACTGGTATTTTTGTTGACTTCCGTGCAATCCCTAAGACGTCCCACCGTGGTTCCCACAACTGCTACATGTAGCTGCGGATCGGGAAAAAAAAAATTTTTCCCTTTGCGATTTGGCGGCGGAGTTGCAGCATTTCGGGGGAGAGTGATGAATTTTCTCTCACTTGTGCAAAAGATAAACAATACAAATTAAAAAAAGAAGAAGCTGCAAAAAGTGCAAATACGTTACAATAGTGCGCTCGTAGCCCCCAATATGGTAATGCATAAAAACAAAAATATGAAGGGGAAATGTTTGTACCTATTCCATCTCCCTTGTATTGCTCCTGGGTCGGTGTAGAGATGGCGTATCCATTGTTTCTGCTGTGGACAAATTGGGTCAGAGAGATTGCGTATCAGGCACAAGCGCATGGCACTCATTGTTATCCCGCTCGTGTTGTTTATTACCGTAAAATACCGCAGATGCGCCCACTATTAACATTGCCCATACTTGGGAATTCCGCAAATTTTAAGTTAACCACCATAATTGACCGGACTATACTAACGAGCTAAAAAGAGTAAAATACCACAGAGGTCTATATAGACCAATGCACATTTCTGATGTCTCCCCAAGGCAAAGAGACCAATTACGACGTGGCACCTGTACTTTCACTGTCGTAATTAGTTGCCACCATGTCACACGACCTTCTAGTAGCTAGGCTTTCCGTGTTTGGCAGTATTTCATTGGGTTTTATTTTTATACCGATTTGGCATTTCACAGTACAAATTTTTTGCCGTCGGACGAAAGTTAGGCAAATATCGGGGCTCACAATAAAGAAATATAGGGCACAAGCTTCCCTAACCCCCAGAAAACGGACATGTCACCCAAATACTCGGAAACCTTCCTCATATCAATGAAAAGAATAAATGAAACAAGACGAGCAGTCCTGAAGCAAGCAAAAGCCTCAGGGATGGTTTGTGGGGACTGTATTCTGGAACAGCACAAGATAAAGTTGTAAACAAAAAAACATCCTCCCATTGTTGTTTTCTTTCCTCCCTTAATATTTCCCCGATTTTGTTGAAACCGGCTTGGGGGCTGTCTTTTGGGGTTTGTCGGTAGTTACCGAAAACATGAAACCCTACTTATAGCTAATAAAATTTTGAGGTATTACGCACCAAACAAACAAAGCACGTCCTTCATGCTCCAGCGAGGGCCTGAGAGAATTGGTTCCGACACCTTGGGGATCTTTCAACATGCGATCGAAATCTCAGTTGCACGTCTCTGTCTGATGACAGCACCATGCGTTGGAGCCACCCGAGGCGGACAGTGTACAGGGTGAAACAAGGAGACGCCAGGCTCTTTAAATCGACCGGAAAATTCGGTTTCTTAACCTATCGCGCTACGACTTTCTGCAGCGTTGCCCAAAGATGGTGCTTTTTTTTGTAAAATTTGCGAAGAGCGAACTTACCTGAGGAAGAAGTAAAGAAAGAAAAAGGCTTAGCTCCTATGGAAACGCAGCGACGCCACCGGTCTGCAAACAACACGGCGCCGTTTCGCACGGGAGACAAGAGATGGCGCAACAAACGCCGCCAACGAACGAGCATACGGCGCCGAGAGCAGGCCTTTTTAGCAGACAATCTTTTTGACTCAAAAGCGGCACACGTTCCGCAGGCGGTGACAGTCGCAGAAACAAAAAAGACAAGCGCGGTAACAGCAAGGAACTGCAGTTCCTTGTCTGCAAAAGGGCCGGCTCTCGGCGTCGTCTGCTCGTTCGTTGGCGGCAGTTGGCATCGCGACCGCTTGCGCCATCTCTTGTCTCCCATGCGAAACGACGCCGTGTTGTTTGCAGACCGGTGGCGTCGCTGCGTTTCCATAGGAGCTAAGCGCCTTTTTCTTTCTTTACTTTTTCCTCAGGCAAGTTCGCTCTTCGCAAATTTTACAAAAAAAGTGCACCATCTGTGGGCAACGCTGCACAAAGTCGTACCGCGATAGGTTAAGAAACCAAATTTTTCGGTCGATTTAAAGAGCCTGCCGTCTCCTTGTTTCACCCTGTATAATGGCCGACTGGCGGCAACAACAATCGTAGGATGACGCTGCATGCGGAGAGGCGTGCGGCAAGGTAGTGACTGAAATGTGGTGCCCACCAGATGAAGATGATGGGGCACTCGAGGGCGCCGGCAAAGTTAAGGGCGCCGTGAGCGTCGCCTTCACTGGACGCGCCGTCCCCAAAGTAGCAGGCGACGCACCGGGGACTCTGCGTCATCTTGAAGGCGTATGCGCTGCCCACCGCTGCAATCAAATTGGCGTTTCAGCGTCATTAAAGTCTAGTTTGCACGTTTGCGTAAGAAGCATGGGGTAAGATACAAGGGTGCGGCTAATGGCAGCCTGTCGCGGGCTCGGTTTCCCATGGTTGTTTATGGAAGACACGCTTGTTTCAAAGGTCATTTTCTGGGCGTGCCAAGGGGCGTAGAGCTCGGCACTTGCGCTACGCATGCCATTTAGACGCTGCTTCGTCGTCGACCCTAGTTTCTTGCCTCGACGGCGGTAATAGCAGTTTTACGAATGCATTGAAGTGGAGAGATCTCTGCCACGGCATTCAAGCCAGTGTTCATCAAGGTCAGAGCGGACGCTCCGAGCGGAAAGAATGTGCACCCGGGAATGAGACGCTTTTTTTGTTTCGTTTTTTTATTTCTCAGTCACGCCGTCGGCCGAGGCCACTCGGGCACGCGCTGAGAGGACTTTATCCGGACGATCGCTTCCCAGTGTTTGTCATGCTGTGTGTCCTCCCCTGCACTTATCTTACACCGTGGTCAGAGGGCTGTTTTGCGCACTCGCGTCCAATTCCAACCGAGTGTGTCGTGTGCAGTCTCGTGATCTCTTACGACGAGAGAATACACTAACCCCATCTGCTGGGTGGCTGTGGAACACGCGCGGTTTCTACATATTTCCCTTTTTTTTTCGTGCATAATTCTTTTATTACGGGCTCGCAAACTTTTCGACAATACGCTATAGATGATACAACAATAATCGGTTACAAGACTGAAATTTTAGGATTTCTCGTTATTGTTACGAGTTGATTGCGCTGTATTACGAGAGACGGTCACCTGCAGCATTGTTAAAATTATTTAGAGTCCGCGGTGAAAACATTACGCGTTAGAAATTATGAAAATATGTACGGAGATTGGAAGTGCTCCGGAGCTAGCCGACAGATGGAACCAGTCATTGTCGTCCGCAGAACTTTTTTTAAGGAGGGCGGGGGGGGGGCAAAACTTTTATTTTGGGGCAAGGGCAGGGTGGGGAAGGGATGCTATTTTTTTCCAGACACGAGAAATCCTTGAATTACGGGGCAAGAGTGTCGCTGCGGCAAGCCGTGATTGGCCAAATGGGCGCTTTTACGTTTTAGTAGAATAATAATAATATAATGATGATATTGTTTGTTTTATGGGCCCAAAAACAACCATGCGGGTCTTCACATTGCGTTGCGTTCCACGCACAGTGAGAAGCACGAGCGCGGTGCGTGGAACGCAACTTCCCCCGGCGCGTGTAGTGCCGCGGCCTTGAGCATGGTCCCTCGGTTTCTGCCCGACGACGGCAGAAAAGCGACGCGCCGTTGCTCGGCGCGATCCCGGTGACGGCATGGCGACGGAAGTGAACGGGGAAGGCACCTAGCTGTTCCACCGCACTTTGTTCCGCGGACAGCCGGTCGACGAAAGCCAAAGAGGCGGGGGTCAAGGCGCCGTGACCCTCGTATAACTTTTGGGACAAAAAAGATGTCTAAAAAAATTTTTGCAGTGTTTTTTGTTTTGTTTGTTTTTGTAAAAGTAAAGTTTATGCATTGACGAACGCCCGTTTTTCACCCAAATGTAGTGCCAGCAGTCCGTACCAAGAGCCGGAGTTTCAGAACTAATTGTTATCTGGTTAAAAAGTTATCAGCGAGTTTCTAAAATTTTTTGTGGCAATATGCCGGCCAATGGGGCCCCCGAACTGTGGATCTACCGAGAACGGGCTCTTTTTTCTCATTGATAATTTTGGGAAATCACCTATAACTTCCAAATAAAGACAACGGCCAGTCCTGAAACTTTGGCATCTGGATTGGACAGCCAGCGCTACATCTGGGTGGAAAACAAGCGTTTGGTGTCGCGTCGTTTGTTGCTGCAACGAAAAAGAAAAAGCACCGCAAATTTTTGAAAGGGGCACGCCATTGTTTTGTCGCGATTCCCAGACTGTTTTTGATGCATGGGTGGTACAGGGCAGTAAACACACTGAACAGAGATGCGTTCTTTGTGGTGCGCCATAGTGCGAGGAGGGGGGGAGGGAGTTGGGTGGATATACCTTGCGGCATCTGGGTGGCGAGGGTGGACGAGATGGTGACGAAGTTGAGGTCCTTGGAGCCGTAGTGGATGGGCATCTGCCGCCCCTTGCCCGGGTCCAGGTGAGTCGCGAAGCACTGCTGCATCGTCTGGTCCAGCGTGTAGTCGCGCCACAACAAGACACCTGCGTGGGTACACGGTACAACTAAAGCCGCCGGGTCCAGGGAAAGCGGCGTCATTTTGCATTCTCTGCCTTGCATTCTCTGCCTTCTAAACCTGGTTGTTAGGGGAGCATCAGTTCGTTCTCCTCCCAACTAGTTTGGGGGAGAAATCCGCCCAAACTATAGCTCCGCCAGGATTGTGACAAAGTGTCATCGCACCGAAAGCGTTCCTCGCCGATATCAGTGTCTTCACTGTGTAGGCAGTTAACTTATCGAGCTGACTTATGTCCACGGATCTCTTATAATGGTACGGTTCTCTGCGCGTATTAATGACAGTAAAATTATTTTTTCAATGTGCCGCATGTGGCGGCGGTGAGAGGATGAGCGCACGTTTTGCCGGTGCGTGATTAAGAAAATCTCCATATACAAGAGATGTTTTTATAAAGCAACCTCTCACTGCAAATTTGGGTTGGCTTACCAAGCAGAAACTGCTCATTTCACGGACCAAAATGGCGACCAAATGGGGACTTTGGCGCTACTTTCGCAGGATCCAGAGAGTTTAGGTGCAACGGCTTACCTGCTGTGCACGAGATGTGTAAATATTGTATTCAAAAATTTGAGTATGATTTGAATGATTTTGATTAAAGAACTACCACTTTGGTTGGTGCCACCTTGAATGGCAAAACTTTGAAATACACTTTTTGTTCTTGCCCCGCCTCTGGAAGGTGTCCACAATTTGATCGCAATTGTCGCTCATTCTAGTTTTGCATCTACCGTAATATCCCGAGTCATCGCCCACCCCCCTACTGCCTGAAATTCATTAGAAAAGTGGGGTGGGCCATGTCTCGGTGGGTGAGCACAAACACTTGAAAAAAAGCGGAAAAAACCGCCTATTTTTCTCTGCGTATCTAGGGCTGATGCACAAGATACATAAAACTCAAAACTCGATTTAGTTTCATTGTTTTATAGAAAAGAATGCTCACGAAAGAATATTTTACTATAGCGAAGTCCGTTGCTTGCATACGCGCTAGAAACACCGCCGATCTGACTATAGCGCGAACGTTTGTTCCGTGAAAGAATGTCACCGCTATGTTCTCCTAGTTAGTAAAAAAAAAAAAAAAAAAGAAAGAAAAGTCTACATAGAAAAACCGACCAGGAGCAACGAGTGAGCGAGCGGACCAAAGAAGCGACCAAGAGCAATCCTGGGAAAGCGGGAAAGCCGGCGGTCGCGTTGGCAAATACTTTGGCGTCGGGCCAAGTCGGGCGCCTTGTCAATCGCAAGCTCTTGCGCAACTTTCTTTGGTGCGTACATACGTGCGTCCGTGCACGGCGAGCTATCAATGCACGGTTGGGACGCTCTGCAACCGTCTGTGTAGGGCGTTCCAGCAAAGCTTTATTTACACGTTGGCTTTGCCTAAAATATTGCACAACCGCGGTCGCGACGGGCGGGAAGAAGGAGCGGGTTCGCGGTGTCCTTACTTCGGCGGAGACAAACTTTGACTTAATACTCCGCGGTTACATTAACAAACTCTTATTATGTTATCTCCACGTTTTCTTTTCGCACGGATACACGACCACTTTGGGGTCGCTCACGGAGGAAATGCGTAAACAAAAAGAAGTGTCTTTCCCTCCTTCGTTTTACTTTGTAACGGAGGTCCTCCAACTGTAAGGTCCGCGGCCGCGGCCGCGTCATTCGGGTAGGATGAGTGTTCGCGGATCGCAGAGTCCGCGCTGGGGTATTTGAAGGGGTGGGCGATGACTCGGTGTTTTTTCGGAAATCGATATTGGCCCAAAAAATGGGGTGGGCGATGGCTCGGGGATGGGCGATGACTCGGGATATTACGGTAATATTTTTTACTTGTTCCAAATTGTAATGTCTCGTTTATTTTGTAAAAATTCTATGTATACAGTGGCATGCCAACTTGTTCTTGAGTGGGGGGGGCAAACCAGACCCCTCCCATCCCTCCCCCACCCAGGGCCGGGGGGCGGTGCCCTTGGTATCCCTTGGGCGCAGCCGGCCAGTGCTCAACCTGCCCAGTGGCGGCTGTTTCAGGGGGGGGGGGGGGCAAAACATGCCTTGACCCCCCCCCCCCCCCCCACTCTGAGAAATGGGGGGGGGGGGGGTAAGCACCCCCCTTGCCCTCCCCGGTTGGTACGCCCATGTATGTATATTGGACATGTGAACAATGTGGCTGCCGACCAACGTGATGAAAAATATATCTGTAGACTATAATGGATGCAAATATAGTGATACTCTATTCAGCTCACATTTTAAATTTTAAATTGGGAATAGTAAAGATGGTAGACGGATGCAAACCATAATTTTGGGGATCAAACGGGAAGCAGAATCAATATAAGTACTGCCGTCAAAAGTCAAAAGATTTCGAACAATGAATCGAATAACTTCCACGGTATGAAATCGGCAACTAATTTCTGAGAATTTACCCAAACGAAGGAGGCATAAAAACTCAATATGTCGGTTCGAAAGCGAGATGGCTGTGCCTCGACGAACTTCACATATCTCGTTCCAAATGAAAAGAATTGATGCATCTGCTCAGGATCGAGAAAATATTGAGATGTCTAAAAATGAACACTGACTTTTCAGTAACAAAATATAAAAAAGAATCCAAAGAATTTTTCTTGTTTTCTAGAAACCGCATCACCACACGCGGAGACGCGTCCACCCTGAGAATGCCCGGAAACATTGCAGCCCGGTTTCTCGGCACCCGTTCCGATGCGGAACAAAAAAGATGGTGGGACGTACCATACTCGCGGTACTGTGCAAAGACGAGGTCGCGGCTGTCGAGGGCGGCGGCGCTCCCGAGCAGAGTGCCCTCCTCGCCGTAGTGCGTCATGTAGAAGGAGATGCGTCCCTGCCGCTGGGACTCGTACATGATGCGGTCCACGCTGTTCATCAGCAGCATCTTGCGGTACATCTTCAGTAGGAGCTCCTTGTCCAGCTGCGTGCGAGATCAGGTGTGGCACTTCTCAATACGGAGTGCAAGTTTGTCCGCTTCTTGCGCAGGGGTTGCGATGATGTCAGAATGCCGAGCTCTTATTGGCTGATTGAAATAAATAGGGGGTAGACCTCAAAGCATCTAGCATCGAGGTCTACCCACTATCCTTTCAATCAAAGTAAATCAGAGCTCGGATCGGCGTTGTTCTGACGCCACCGCAACTCCTGCGCAGGAAGCAGACAACTTGCTCTCCACATAAACTCGTCATTAATCTTCATTAAAAAAAAAATTTTTGAGAAAAAGGCACTGCAGCGGAAACTAACACAGACGTTATGCTATCTTTTTTGTACTAAGTTCATTACCTCGCAAGCATAGCAAGCCTATAAACGTGCCACACTGCAAAATTTCCTCAGGCAATTGCCATCTTGAATGCATCTTTCACAGATCATAACCTCGGGAGTAAGGAATTGACCACCATCCATTGATCTGACGTGGAGTTGACTGCATTTAAAAAGAAAACTCCCTCAAACAGCGTTTTATTCGTCACATAGTCGTTAAGTGTTAACTAGTGTCCGTTGTCAACTTTAGTATATAGCATCATGAACAGTATTTCCTTGACACTCTTCTGTGATCATTGTACTATGAATGATATTCAGAAAAAAATATGCTCCCAATACAGCCCAAACCGGTTATTGGTATTGCAGTGCTGACTCACAGTTTACTATTGCATATATGAATGGGCAAGTTAACTATCACTTGGATCACAAATGATAGTTTAGATTTAATTATAATGCAATTAAATGCAAAGGTGCAAGCGAGCTGGACGAGAATGACGAAAATAATCCCCGGAGAAAGGGAACCTGGGGGACAAAGGACAAACACAAGTCTCCAAACACAGCTAGGTGACTGGTGAGCGACCGAAAAAATCTGCCTGGTCTGGGTATCCACCTGTAACGGAGGGGCCCTAGGTTTGATAAACGGACCAGGCGGACTTTTTCGGTTGCTCACCAGTCACCTAGCTGTGTTTGGAGATTTGTGTTTGTCCTTTGTCCCTCAGGTTCCCCTTCTCCAGGGATTATTTTCGTCAGGATAGTTTAGATTTTTTAAAGTTTTTCAGTTCATAAACAAGTTTCACAAGAATGTCCCTTTTTTTTTCTTTTGTGAAAAATTGCAATCTTTACTAAGAAACATATGTACAATAACTTTAAAAAGAACTAAAAAAAAATAAATTTGCAGAGACATTGAGGCTCAGATGAAATTACTTGTTCACAACAAAACATTCTTGCAAATCACAGGGTAATTGATTTTATTGAGGATTTAATAAACTGCATAAATAGGTTAGAGCTGATGGACAACATGAGCTGCGATTTTTTTACAAAGACTTAATTAGCAGATGAATGCCCCCTTTCAGTTTCTCAGCGAGTGCAATTCTATTAATTATACTGTAAACCGATAATTAAAAAAGTTTTCATTCGCGATTGGGCAAGTCACTTTCCCTATACAGCTAATGAAAGCTTTTTTGGGGGCCTAATGTCAAGCACACACTCTCCATAGTGACCCTTTCTGGTATATTTGGCGGAAATGAAATTTCACAACCGGGCAAAATATTACAGCAAAGTATACCTAACCAAAGTTAATCATAAGGCACAACAGAAGCCACACGTCACCGAAGGGATGAGAGCGACAGGGAGGAGCCTCTTTCGAATGCCTGACCTCCAGCGCTGTGCTGGAGCCCCAGTGGCGCGTTCGGTTCTGCGAATGTCCTCGGGACGTCCCAACGTTCTGGGGATGTCCCGTGGACGTTCGTAGGACATTGCCAGAACGTTAGGACATCCTAAGGACGTCATGAAACCAAGCATGCTACTAGGGAGGAGTCCTTCCTGCCGTTCTCATCTGAGATAAGGGCTGCACCCCCCCCCCCCCCCCCCCCCACGTTGCCTATACTCTGCGTCACTAGTTCTGTGCAGTGCAGGCGAACGCAACGCCAGGCAAAGAGAGAAAGGGCGAGCACTAGGAAGGAGGGACGGGAGAGGAGGGCAATGGGGGGCAAGGGGAGAAAGAAAGAGCGATAGGAACGTTAGAGAGGAGAGCAGGTTTCACTCCTCATCTTCAACCTTTCTAGTGCTTGCCCTTTCTCCCCTCGCCTGGTATTGCCTTCACCTGTCCTGCACGCAACTAGTGGCACGGAGTATAGCTTGCGTCAGCATCGAAGTCAGTGCGTCTTGTAACGAGCACGAACCATGCGACGACTCTCGTCGAGCTAGAGCGTCTGCCGCTTGGGGCGAGTCAGGGACCACCAACAACGATGTCATGTGCAGGCGTTGTCTTCTAGGTGTATGTCTTCCGAAGCTTTACAGGAGGTGTTTATTTCGAGTTTGGCAAAGTAATTTCGACTTGTGCCCAGAGCTTCCAGAACCCCACCGCCCTACGACTAGGATTCCATGTTTTCCTAGTTTGATTTCCCGTATAATTCGGAGGACGTGGTTTTTGGAGCTTATTGTTCACAAAAAATTCAAGGGTTTATGGGAATTTATTCTCGTTGGATTCCCGATTCTCTGAGTTGATTTCACAGCGTTCCCATTTTTTAAACATTAAAAAACAAAATAAGTAAAGTTTGGGTACCACGACCCACTGTCCTAAAGGAACCTTCACGTGCTAAAAGGCGAACTCCTTTTTTGTCAGTGTAGTTTGAGATTTCAAAAGAAACTGAAGTGGCATCTCCTCACGACCACTGACCCTGTGCTTTTTATCAAATTTATTCGTAAAACACCGTCTTTTTTTTTTTTTTTTTGTCGTTGGGATCTTGAACCCCTTTCGAGTTCTGCAGATAAATCCGAATTGGCGTAAAATTTCCCGGCGAGTGTTTCTCCAACGTTTTTTTTTATTTATCCGGAAACACAGAACGCTACCTAAAACCCATTAAAAGATGACCCCCCCCCCCCCCCCCTTCCCTATTCGCAATGCCACAAGCTTTTCGGTCTCAGTGCATGAACAATACACACAACTGACACTGAAATTTTTTTTTTTTTTGAGAGTGAATTAGTTAAGTCAAAAGGTATTAAAAGAAGATCTGTGCCAGCAGGAATATTTGTTATTGTAATGACTAGAGTGAGCTTGCAATTGTTAAAGTGCAGTGTCTTGAAATGAGGGCAGAGTTTAGACACTGCAGCTCTCAGTTTTGGCTTGACGTTGAGCTGTGACGTCCATTTTGTTTTCGTCCACGTCAATGCAGAAAAGCCAAATTCAAAATTTTCTTTTGTTAATGTCCCTGAGCCGCCTAGCGACTGCCCTCTGAACCTGCCGCAACACCCTTAAGGGTCGCGACTCACGGTTCGAAAAACACTGACTTATTTAATTCAAAATACAAAGTGTCCCAAAAAACAACAAAATAAAAAAAAAATGGTTTATTTTATTTAAAAAATGAACTATGCCTCACCGAATGCTCGTTCTCCACCCAAATGTAGCACTAGAGGTCCAAAGCAGGTGGCAAAGTTTCAGCACCAGCCGTTATCTTATTCAAAAGTATAAGCAATTCTCTGAAATTTTCAATGGGAAAATGGCGGCCAATGAATCTCTTGTAATACATGGAGCTCTATGGCACCAGTCATTAAAAACGGGCTAAAATGGGCCGTATTTTTCCAATGAAAATTTAAGAAAATCACTTACAACTTTTGAATAAGATAACGGTTAATGCTGGAACTTTATCATCTGGTCCAGATCTCTAGCGCTACATTTGGGCGAAAAATAAGTGTTTAGTAATGCAATTTAATTTTGCAAAAAATATAAAATTTGAAGTGGGGGGGGGAATTTATACATAGAAGATGCAACAAGATAAATCGTCCCTACGCTTTCAGCTATGAGAGTACTGCACCTTGGGGTCTTCAGATTCGTTGATGAGCGTGCCGTCTTTGTTGAGGACTCGGTACATGGGGATGCCATCGTAGGCTGTCTCCGCAATGAACTCCATCGTGTTTGTGGCACGAACCCGGTGGCCGCCAAAAGGCTGCACCGCATCCGTCTGGGGCGCCGGCTCCATATCTGCCAGACACTGCCAAATATCTCATTGTGAGCGTGCGAAAAGTCAGGCGTATACTCAAAACACACCTCGCCGTAAGCTAGTAAAAGGTGAAATACAGCCTCCACCAATACATAAGGCCAACTCAGAGCACGTGGCCAAGACAGAGGCAGGTAGGACCGCGGCGTGCATTGCGGACAGTTCCATGTAGCTCCGAAAAGAGCGATACTTAATAACACAACCAAACTGAATAGGCTTTGATGCTCATTCCCTTCTCTCACAGTGACTTGGAATTGCTCAAAGCGCAAGCAGCGCACCGCACCAGCCATCGAATCAGGCATGCAATCAAAGCGGGTGCTTTATATGGGTAGAGACTGTATATGTGCAAAAGACTGTCTAACACGCCTTGCAATGAGCCTGTAAGAGGTAAATTACATGTGCAAAACCCTGTTAAACGCACCGTGACATGAGCAGGTAAAAGGTAAAGCACCTGTCGCCTTTGCATTGTCAGATTGCTTTAATATAGCTTCCTTCATTCTGAGCATGAAAATCTGACCAGTGCAGTAGAACTGATCAGTGTTGCGGAATGGGCACCCCCATTCCATTCCAATTCCATTCCGGGGAATTAGAGTTTTCGATAATTCCATTCCTTTCAAATCCTAGGAATGGGGACACTGGGCCCATTCCCACTCCTGGAATGGCTGAATTGTTCCATTCCATTCCTCTAATTCCTAAACGTAAAAAGTGTCACTTGACAGCTGCATTACATTGCAGGGTAGGGAAGAAATGTTCAGAAATGTATTTGGAAATACAAATACTGGGATAGATGAAAATAGTTGCTAAGATACTGATACTCAAGTCTCAAATATATCTATAAAAATGTATCGTGATAAGTATCGGAAATACATTTTAAAAAAAGGCAAAAAGTCTTTGGAAATACAAATACAAGAATACATTTTAGGAAGGGCAGAAATATAGATACTGATAATACAATACATTTTTCAAATTTCTTTGAGACGCCAACTGAGATGAGGCTTTAAGTTTGAAGTGGAAGTTTCTTTTTTTTTTTTAGTCCCGAAATTTATTGTTCTTTGCTTCGACGCTTGTTTTTTGTATTGCATTTTTTTCTTTTGCGCATAAGTCTGGTAGGGCCTTACGCGAGTTCGCAGTTTCCTGCTCATTTTATTTCTGAACAACCGACTCCCTGACTGGCTCGGTATAGCTGAACGTAATAAATAAATAAATAAATAAAATATAAAAACCTGGCCCATTCCATTCCCATTCCATTCCGGGCAAAAGGCATCTAATTCCATTCCCATTCCATTCCCATTCCATTCCGGGGTCGCGAAAATGCGGAATGATTCCGGAATCATTCCAACTCCGCAACACTGCAACTGATAACCCGGTACTTTTTGTGCATCTATTACAGGAATGAACGGCGGTACACACAATTGGTCTTGCAGCATTTAACTTCCATTCCATACACTGCCCAGCTGTAGTGAATTAACGCTCTTTCTGCCAACTGAAGGATGAGCTCAGCTATAACAGATGCACCTACCCATGCTTCCCTCTATACTTCCAGAGTTGTTTTCAGGTTTTGGCAGTAACTGTTTTATTATGTGTGGATGCTCGTGATCTATCCCACTCTATCGGAATGTCACAGATGCACTATAATTTTTGTGAAAACTGATTGATTCTTAATTTAAGAATAACTTGGCAAACAGCGAGTGCTACAGCCCCCCAAGCCAACCGGAGCGATGAAGCGAACCGTACGCGACACCTCTTCACGTTCGTGGTGCACTCCAGCCGTGCGTTCTGACGCCTTGATTGGTCCGCTGGGGTCGCAGCTTTCGCCGCCGGCCACAATAATAATTTAGGCCATCTGTTGATGTCGGTGCATTATATTTCCAATGCATTATTTGTGTACAATGCTACGTGCAAGTGCACTATAGTCGGTTACAAGTCAAGAAGGTAGGAGAAGCTCCTCCCATAAGCGTGATGTGCCCGTTTAAAATCCATCTGCAGTCGAAAGAATAGTTCCCTGGAAACGCCCCGTGTTCCGCTTCAACGAATAGATAATGGCTACAGAGTGATGTCAACTTGTTTCCGATCCCCACTTTTTAAGAAAGCGACCTTTGTATTCCTCGAAGAGGGAACACCCCCAAGGTCGTATTTGTTTCCATCGGAGGGGGAAAATTCTAATATCCCTCTCGTGGCTTCCACAACGCTAAGTCAAAGTCGAAAGATAAAGCAAATATTCACTGGAAGGCGAAACCCTCTCCTGCGTTGGCACGGCGTCACGGAAACGATGGGACGCTATTGGATGTGGAGGTGGCGGAGGGATATATGAATCCCTTTGAGGGGCATTTGCCGCTACCTTCTTGACCTGTAACTTACTATAGTGACATACATGTGCAAAGATAGATGGGGCTCAAAAGTCACACTGGAATTTTGAGATCAATGCTGCTCTAATTTCTATGGAATGAAGCATAAACAACAGTTGGGGTTACAGGATCACATAGAAAACTGAACCATATACTCTGTAGAACTGCATGCTCCATAAAAACTTTGTTTTCCTTTTCTTTTTTTTTTTTCTTTTTTTTTAGGACTGAATTGTCTGATTTTGTTTTGCATCGATCTCGAGTCATTTCGCAGACAACGACGTTCGAGTGCATGTTTCCGTACATCTAGCCAGCTATGAGGCTGCCGCTTCGTCTGATCTCTGGGTGTACGGATCACCACGTAAGAACGTAAAGTAGTGTGTTTATTTACAGCCGGACTACTGCTCCTAACGTGCATCACGTAGTAGCGATTACACCATTCTCATCCAGATTGAAACGGACAGGTTGTGGGGATCAAACCCATAAGGCACGTTAGAGATCACTTCAGACTTGCCGCAAACCGATATCGCACACGCACGGGGAAAACGAAAGAGTGCATAAGGTTATACGCCGGTCACAAATTTCGAGGATAAAAATCCGCTGAAATGTAGCTACACTGATCTGAATTCATGTCCGTACGTGGACGAAAACCGACCACGTTGAAATCGGAGCACGGCAAGTGGTACAATTAGGTCAAACGGGTCTAAACCGGGAAAACAAAATATAAATGCTATGCGGAATCTACTTACTTGAGACCGGGAAAAAAGGCGCTTAGAAATGTGAGGTCTGGCGAGTCCGAGTCGTAGTCTTGACAGCGCGCACTTGAAAGCCATTATTTCGTGCGGTCTGAAGAGGTCGCAGAGCGAGGTTAAGAGGATTCGAAAGCTTTACAGATTGGTGGCCGTACCGACAAGCGTCTGCTCTTCCGCACTGTTACCCCGTTGCCCGTACCAACGTTGCCAACGTTGCCCGTTACGTGAAACGTTATCGGGTTTTCTTTGTTTCCTCTAGTGCCGAATACGAGGGCGCTAGTAGCCGACCGATCCAAAGGGTTCAGCCGGATTCATCCATCCACCCATTTTTTTATATGTAAACAAAAACAAGGGTCGAGAACCTTTCTTTTTAAAAAGCGAAATTATTTTAATGAATAAATTATGCATGAGAAACAAAATGAAGATAACCTTAACCGGTTAGCGCTTTTATGGACGACTCGAACATGCCGAAAATGACCATTTGGCAACTTCGGCTGTGTTCAGCATTTTATGCTATTTCGATTTTATCTGCGATCAAAAATGTGCGTTCTGAATAACTCAGCGCGCAAAGTCGGGAACTGTAGTCCTCTGTTACCTGTACGGCCTGCAGCACCTGCAGCTTAAAAAAAAATAAACGATAAAAAAAAGGCTTGTATAATTGGCCACGCGCGTGACGGCAGTGACGGTCTGGTACAGTGGTACGGCTCTGGGTCCGCCGTGCTCTTCGTCTCAGAAAGCAAGATTTGAAAGCTTTCCGCGATGGCTGCTACTTTGTCAGCTCGACTTCTTAGGACTTCAGTCCGTAAGCACAGAAATCTGATTCATCGAGGGCTGTATCGGACGTCGGCACCGCTGAACGTGAGTTTTCAGCCCCGTTTCAGCATGTTTTCTCGCGGCAAGCTTTTAGAGATCGAGCAAGCGAGCTTTCCTAGCGCGCCATGCTTCGCGGCGGCCCCAGTGAAGCTGTTGAAGTGCTGCGTAGTTAGAGTAACTTTTAGTTTTGTTAACCGCGCATTGTCTGCCGAGGCACTGTGATTTGTTTTGGTTTTTCTCAATCGATCGATTTGAATTTGAAGCAGTGCCGCAGTGCAGTCTACGGTAGGAAGTTTCGTACGCGGACTGTCTGCTAGCGAGGTGTCTGCTACGCAAACCATACAAACAAATGTCCAAATTACGATTTGAATAGTTTACTCAATACTGCACCTATTTTGACGCCTGGATTACTCTCCCCGATGACACTTTCTTGTTTTCTTTTGTCTTTTCTCTCTTTGAAAAGAAATCATCTCGCTTGACGCGTAATTTCGAGTTGCAGCCACAGCAAACCCCGCTTACATTCCTGCTTTCATTCGTTATGTTTGTTGTTTTGTTTTCTTTTGATGCCGTCTTTAGCCAGGAGTGAGTGCGAGTCAGCGATGTTACCGACATAATATATGGTAATTAGAGAAGCAGACGCAATCTTGTGGAAAGGAGCAAGCTTGGACGTGTCTTTTGACGACTGACCGACAGACAGACGAACGTCTAGATCCTGTTCGCTGGGCATTGAAGGGTGCTTTAATGTGTGGCGACATTAAAGAACCCTCCGATCTGACCAACGGAAGATAAACGCTTATTAAAGAGAATGAAGCTTTCCAGCTGTCCAAGCGTAATAAGAGATAGAGGGGTCTGCTCGGAGCATTGACACGGTTACTGATAATTTTATCTCTGTACAAACGGCGCCTGTTTGTACAGAAGAGGCTGTGGCTGGCAAATAAAAATGACACAATAAAAAAACAAAGTTGAGTGCGACCAAAATTTAAAAAAAAAAGGAAAAAAAAAGATTATTATGAGTTTGTGATATGATAAGCTGGTCAGTTCGAAACTGCGACTGCTACGGCTACGCATTGATGTTTTGGCTAGAGCACTATATAGCTCCTTCGGAGCAGAGTAGCGCAATCTAGAACGCCGCCTCTCGGCGACTAGCGGCGAACGCCCGGAGGTTCCAACTGCGGTCAGAAATGCATGGAGAACGTGAGAAAATCGTTGTTTCTTCAGTATTGTGGCGATGTACGGAATGGCAATTGTTTTTGACATAATAATGGAACATTTTAGAATAATTTGCGCTAAGTTTTGTGCCCCGCAAGGACCTGACTTTTTTTTAAAAATTGCTTGAGCGGCATCATGCAGCAGACGACACGGCGACGTCACACCATTCACGTGACCCGCTCCGGCCAACCCGAAAAGCGCATCTCCGCTGCGAGCAAAAATCGTCTGCTTCAAACGCCATTGCCTTGGAAATTGCCTTCTCAAAATTTGCACACGCATCCGATATTATTAAAACTTTGACAAAGTGTTTAGTGCTTTACTAACTTCACGACAGACTAGTTTTGAAAAGTGTGAACTCACCGTTCATTTTTTAATCAGCCGTGTTGTATCGATCTCCATGTATTCTCCCATAGGGCGGGCCGCCTCTTGGAACCCTGAGTACCACGTGACTCGCGCCGAGCCGCTCTGTCGGCCATCTTGTCGGCAAAACACGAGGTTCAAAGGATTGCGCTACTCTGCTCCGTAGGAGCTATATAGTGCTCTAGTTTTGGCCGGGTGTCAATTTTTTGCCCTCTTCAAATTCAAAACTCGGGGGCGACGGTGCCACGGTGCTTCGGCAGTTCGTGCTGTGCTTGATCGGGAAATGTTCAATTTCGCCGTGTCAGCGATGAAGATGCAAACTTTGGCTAACTAGGCAACGAGAAAGAGCGAAAGATGGAGCGCGAAATCCTTTTCGGAGACCACCTCCGACTACCCGAGGCGTCGTTCTCGTCGTCGTGCGAGCTCGAACTGCTTAGGCTCCTCCGCGACGTTGACCTGGCCGTACTCGAGAAGCACCAGTCGTGGCGGTCGCAACTCGACGACGCCGCTGCGGCGCGCCGGCGCTCGGAGGCCGAACTCGAACAAGCTCGCCGGGAACTGCGCTCGAGTCGGGACGAGATCGACCAACTCCGCGACCACATCGGCTACCTGGAGAGCGCGCAGGCGGACCTGGTCTCCAAGTACGAGAAGCGACTGGCGGACCTCAGAGGCGACGTGCTCAAGATCAAGAAGCGCTACGGCGAACTCAAGACTCAGCCGGAGTCGCAAGCGATGCCGGACTTCTGGCGGGTTAGGGCTAGCGACCTGGAAAAGGAGCTTGTGGAGCTGCGTCGGGAAGCCGCCTCCCTGAAAGGGGTCAACGGCGACACAGACTCCCGTGAGAGAGAGTTGAGGAGAGTGATTGCCGAGAAGGACGGAGTCATCGACAGGTTGACGGAGACGGTGACCCAGCTGACGAAGAGGGTTCGACACGCCGAGGGTGTGAAGTCGACACCCCCCGATTGGGGGGATAAGGGGTGTCAAATGGTGGACGAGTTTTTGGACGCCTTCGAAGGGCACAGGGAGAAGAATATCGAGGGTTTGCGCAGGAAGATCAGGGGCCACGTGAAGGAAGTGACGGCAAAGTTTGAGCACGACCGCAAGACCATGTGACACTACTGCGAGCTCCTCGGACTCTGTGTACTCCGGTCACCCCTGGCCTGACAGTGCGGTGGGAGCTACGCGTTCACCGGACCAATCGACCACCTCCCTTTCATCACCCGACCCTGCTTTCTACCCGTTGGTATGAGCAGAATGTGATCACTTGGAGAAAGATGGACGTTTTACTAGTCCAGCGAGCGCGTAGCTTCCGCCATTCCGTTGTCTTAGATGTGAACGGAGTTTAAAATGGAGTGACATCCCGTGCCCTGCATGTTCAAAGCCGTCGTGTCGAAACTTGTATGGGAGCTTCGTTTGCGACGTGAAACGTGGCGTCTCTTCGTCTAGTATACCGAATAAACCTCCTGCACACCCCACACAATGAAAGAACAGCACTTTCAAGTCCTGTGCCTCTCACTCCGACGGTTTGATCTCGCAGTCTCTTTCGCCAAGCTTCACGCTCGAAGCTGGTTTGCACAATAGCATTCGAGTGTGACCGATGTGCCTGCTAACAGGTAGTCCTCAACGCTTCTTTGTACAAATTTTTATAGTCCTTACACATCATTCTTTAACCGTGGACTTAAAATAATTCTGACAGTGGTATAAGCGACCATTTCGTAAATAGAGCATAGATTTAACCGCACAGATACTGGAAAACCTTCGGTCCAGTAGTCTTATGCAGGTCGGAAGGGCACCAGGGTTACTCGATAGACGGCGCCAGCGTGCTCTCGTCGTAAGCAGGCACGATGCATTTCGGTAACGCTCGAGGGCAAATGTGAAAACTAGCCTTCAACGTTGCGAAGGCATTTGGTGCGTCCTCATATTCTGTTTAGCTCTGGTGGGAAGGTGGCACGAACGATTTCATTAACAAACAAGATGGGGCAAATAACTTCTTTTTTTTTTTTTTTCCTTCTCAACTGCGGATGAGCTGGACTCGTCCTTGCCATCAAGTAGGCTCGAAAGGTTGTTTTTAATAAAATCCCGAGATCCACATTGCGACAAGCGGCATGCTTTCTTCTCGAGGGTTCTGCATAAAATGATGTTTGCCAGCTGGCCTGTGACCTTCCGGCCCATTCGCACAGCTGTGTTCGACGATGTTCAACTACGTCACAAACGTCACCGGGACAATGTGCTCTATGTGTTGCGTGCCAAGCTGCCTCTTGGATTGGTTGCTACGCGGTCGTAATTTGACGCAGGTCCTCGGAACCTATGCAGAGGGCAAGTTTGTCTGCTCTTCTTTTGCAGGGGTTGTGCTGATGTCAGAATTCCGAGCTCCCATTGGCTCTGATTAAAGGATTGTGGGTATACCTCAAGGCAGCTTGCTTTGAGGTCTGCCCACTATCCTTCAATCAGAGCTCGGCGATCTGCTGTCGCCACAACCCCCCCACAAGAAGCAGATGAACTTTCCCTCCGCATACTTTGTTCACCCCTAAGCTGATAGTCCAGTGGAAGCTACGTGCTTGTTGGACCGAGTGGTCGATCGATTGCCACACGATAATGCTCCTGCCAGATACCAGAGAGTTTCCAACCGCTCGATTGGGGTCGCGTGGTTTATGGGCCGCGTTTGCAATACGAGCTGCGAGGAGGTAACTAACGCGTTGGTTGTCTGCAAGCGTCTTGGCCTTTCTGCCCGCTTTCCTCGTCGCAAATGAGACAATGCGGCGCCTGCGCACTTACGAACCATCTCCGCAGCAGGTGTCCGCCGTTCAATTGCAAATGCTCCCCGTGGTTTGAGATGGGCCCTTTCTATGATCTCGACTCTCCACCCACACGCAGAGGGTGGAGTTGGGTGATAAAAAGGGGGCAGTCGATAGGTTCGCCGAATTCGTAGCTACTACCGCCCTGTCAACTTGGGGGTGAATGGAGCACCGTCAAACACTAGTCCGCGAATGGACATTTTCGTATTCCTGAGTTGTAAATGCCTGCCTTTGGCACGAGCGTTACAGGTGCACCCCCCTGCCGAAAACGTAGCAGCTCTTCGGTCGATTCATTTTCGAGCGTGCCACCTCGGTGGCTCCGAGGCAAGGTGCCGGCCTGGGATCCCCAGTTAGCAGGTCCGAATACCAGCCAGGGTGGCCTGCGATTTGATGGAGGCACGTTGCAGAGGAGGTGCCGTGTAAGCGAGACTTCTGTTGCACGCTAAAAGGTTCCCAGGTGGTCGAAATTTATCCTCGGTCCTTTGCACGCCAGATGGTCTTAGTCGGTTTGGCACGTAAAACCTCCGAATTCGGTCGATTTGGTCCTCTACTTCTTTTCAGCTTAAGCCCAGATGCAGCCGACACTACGAGCCCAATCAAGCGGTGTCAAAAGCGCGAGTCGCCGAGCCTTTTCTGTTTATGATTGGTTCAGTAATGATACAGCACGTATGGGAACATGAAGAACAGCATGACGGTGAATTTTTGATGCTGTCCGATTGGTCTTATCAGCTTGTGGCGTCGGCTGCGTCTGGACTTAAAGGGCCCCTTAAAAGAAAATAACCTGTTTTTTTAAACAGTCTGGTTGAGACATTCATGTCAAAAAATAAATTTTTTAGATCAATATTGACGGTGAGAGATTTATTTCAAATTCTGCGCACAAAGTCCATAACGTCGCGAAATGTTCATTCGCTCGACGAGGTGGTCATTCGGTCTTTCCCCCTCAACGTTAAGGCAAAGCCGATCCACCTCTCCTCCATGCGCCCGAAATGCCGAGAGAGAGAACAAGTAGAAAGGAGGTGACTACCAACTAAATTGCGCCTTGCGCCGTCAATATTGCTCTAATAAAATGTTTTGGGGGTAAAATTAATTTTTTGACACGCGTATCCCAATCGGACTGTTTAAAAATTTTTTTTTTTTTTTGCTTTTCAGGTTTTTTTTAAAGTGAAACGAAGTATGGTGTCCCTTATCCGTGTGTGTTTGTCCAGCAGCAGGATGGCCAGAGCATGAGCCAGACCCCGATTCCGCCACTGGAGGACGTGGGTCCCCCCCAGTTCCTGGGCCTCAAGTGCGACTGGACCGAGAAGCTCCGCTTCCAGGCGCATGTCGCCACCGAGGGGTATCCCGTCTACCGGGTCCTCAACCGGGACGGAAAGGTCCTCGACCCCTCGCAGGACCCCCAGGTGGGCCGGACGGACGAACATAGAGCCGCCGAACAAGCTATGCCAGAGTGTCGGCCTGACATTCTCCGACCGTCTTGCGGGCGCCGCCATTTTGGTGCTCATGCAGAGCGAGCAGGAGCAGCGAGATGTCATTTTGCTCCGTCTGTTTCAAGGTTTCTGGAGGACGGACAAGTGTTTCCTGCAACTTAATATAAAGCTTTAGATGACCGGCAAAATTATTTTGGTTTCCAGGATGGCTGAATGGCTCGAGTGTCGTTACTCGGAAGCGTACATTTAGCGACTCTGGACAAATGGATGGATTTTGGCTTGCATCCATGTACCGGGCGACGCCTTCAATCGTTAGATTCTGTTTTCTACGTAACCAATGTTGCTCGGTTTGAGTCAGCTGCATGCTCGCGCCACCATACAGGCAGACGTCGGCGTCTTTCGGTTCAAAGCAGGACGTCCGCATCGCGCCAGTCGCCTCCAGCTTCGCAGAGTCGAGGAGAATTTCGACGCATTTGACCCCAAATTCGCGACCTCTCTCTCGGCTATGAAGAGATTTAGGACGTGCTCTACACCAATGGAGCGCATCGGTTGCTGCAATCCCAGCTAATCCAGTTCCGCCAACCAATTGCGCAACTCGGCGTTTTGCAGTCTGTCGTAAGGTGCAACGGAGTATAGGGGTATTCCTTGACGGCCGTAGCCGAGCGTGCAGCTTCTCAGCGTGTGACAACGGCGAGCTTCCGCATCGCCCTTGCAGCGTGCATTCCGCACAGTCGAGATGGCCGGTCTTGGGAACCTGTAAGTGCGAGCTCGTTCTGAGCATGCTGCAGTGAGCAGTGCACTCAAGTACGGCGCCAGCAAATACCCCCTATATGTATGCAGCCGTTCACCGTTCAACCGATTTGTGTGGCAAAGAGCCGTCCGCTTGTGTTGTGTCGCCCGGGACTGCCTCATCGCACGTTGCGAACATTCTCTTGGGCGTCCTCTCGCAGCTTCCCGAGGAGATGCTGCTGCGGATGTACCGGGGCATGACGCTGCTCAACAGCATGGACCGCATCCTGTACGAGTCCCAGCGACAGGGGCGCATCTCGTTCTACATGACCAACTACGGCGAGGAAGGAACCCACTTCGGCAGTGCCCCCGCCTTGGACGACGGGGACCTCGTCTTCGGCCAGTACCGGGAGGCTGGTATGTCTTGCCTCACTCCCATTCGCTGGTTGGCCGACTCGAACCGTCGGCGCAGGCTTCTGTACGTTACTCGAAAGAAGTAATTGATTACAAGTGATTTGACTGCATGTAATGAGTTTGTTAGCAGTAGCGGGCGAGCCGAACGTGACACTTTTTTGTGAAGGGGAGCTCCGGCAAAATTTCGAAAGGCGCTGCTTTGCCTCAAAATTGGTTCAGCACGTTAACGGACACATCCGGGCTAATAACCCGGATTACGAGTTACGATAACGCTTTTTGTGCGAAGTTATTGAAGTTTCGAGCTTGGTTTGAGAAGCTGAGAGGTTCTGTCGGCAACATTGAGAATGTGACGCCGGATGTTCTGATATGGGGCAATATTGAGGCAGTAAAGCTCTTTAACGACGGATTACAAGAAGATTGATGGTGCGAAATGAATGCGGGTTAAACCCACATCAGCAAAGCAAAAAAGACATGCGAAAATACAGTGTGTTTTTAGACTGCCCGCTCAAGTCGCAAGTTACGGTAGGCTTGCGATAATTCAGACTCTGATATTTCATACTTCCGGGTAATTCAAGCGAATTAAAAAATTTTGGTTGTCCCGCCATGTTTTCAATGTGTTTGTAAGCCGCTTAATTCGAATGGCATTTTCGTGTGCTTCTTGTGCTTGCGGTTCTGTTGAGTGTGCTTCTTACGGAGCACCGGCGCACTGCTGAGAAGCAACACCCATGGAGTTCACTTCCGCTTCCAATGCTTCTCCACAGCACACTGGTGCTCTGTAGGAAGCGCTCTCAGTGGTGCGAATAGTCTATAGTAGACAATGTTTTTGCTAAATGAACAGGCTTAATTTTTTTTTTGAGATGTCACATGCTGTCTTAAAGGGATACTTCACCGAAATTTGAAATATTCCCGTCGTGTTCAAAAATAGGTTGTATATGATCCACAATATCCATAAATGACAATAGCACGTTTGTATTTTGAGCCTGGTGGCTGTATTTTTCGTTATAAACGGCCCACTCTGGCAAGCGCTCAGAAAAGGCCCAGCGGAGACCACGTGACGTCCAACGCAATCGGGACGTAGGTCGTCTCAGGACGAGCAAAGCTACGGCGAGGCTGACGTCGAGAGGATGGCCTAGTCGTTCCAGCCACCGAAGCGGCTGCTTTTGTATGAATTTTGAGTGACGGGTTAATCTTCTGTAATCTTGTAGGGGGCAATAGCGACTTCTGCGACACACAAAAGGCATTCTCGGGAAGAGGGGACTTCCTCCTGCCCCTCTTCTCTCGTGGCCGGAGGCGAGACAACCCCCGTCACTAGCTGCTGCTAGTGACGGAGTTGTAATGCCCGTCTAGTTCCTAGACGGGCATAACAAACGAGGCGTTAGCGACATCCACCAGGTGCTCTTTGCTAATCGTTTAATTTGTTTTAAAATTCCTTTTCGTGCCTTTTTTAACAAGATATTGGTGTGTTCGATATGATACTGCTCCTTTGAACACATATAGACTATAAAATAAGCACCGAAATTTTGTTGTAGTATCCCTTTAACAGTCCACGACAGAAAACGAAAAGAAAACAGAAAAACGCAGGGCGTGACTTGTTACGTACGTTCCTCCTGCTTCGCAATTAGTTTTTCGGTTTTGTTAATGGAAAATGCCGCTATCCCATTGGCTGCAGAGCAATTGTAAGCTGCTCAGGGCCTCACCATACCCTACACTTTTTAAAAATTGCATCATTTTCAATTAAGCGAGCAGATAACACCTTTAACCCTTTGATGGTCGTCTTCGTACATGTATGTCTGCAATTACACATTTGGAAGTGCCTGCCTAAGCTAGAAACCGCACTCACTGCGGGAGGTGTTACTACTTCTTACGTCTATGATGAACTGCAAACATTATATTTGCATAGCGTTTCGCTTTGCTGATGCTACTTATAGTCTTGAAGTTAGGCGCTCCACGCACGTGATGCATGCAAGGTGGTTGCTTTGCATGTCGACTGCTCCGGCAGTAGTGGCAGTCGGAGCACCAGCTCTTCCGGTTCAGACTTTTAAAGCTTTCCAAAGTTGAATTTAGAGGATGAGAGTTCAGCATCCGATAGAGAAGCTCTGTAATACCCATGTTAGACGGCATTCAAAAGATCCTTTTCACTAAGCTCCTTCATAAAATCGGCCAATCTGCTCGCGATGTTGAGTGCGCACGTGCCCTACGGCGTGCGCTGGTTCGCCGATTTTATAAAGGACCTTAGTGAAAAGGATCTTTAGAACGCTGTCTGACATGGGTATTAGGCACCTTCGGTTTGAAGTCTGAAACCACCAGAATGTCGGCGGAAGTGGATGCGTCAAAATAAAACCAGATAGAAAAGAGGTGACAACTTTACGCCTTCAGTATTTCTGTTTCCTGCTTTTAAACCCCAGTAGCTTGCAAGCATTGCACATTCCCCCGCTAGATATCTAAGAAAAAATCTGTGCATTGACCTATTCTTTATACCATTCCTTTGGAAACAAGACCCGACTACTGGGAAACGTTTTTTGGGAAAAAAACTCGACTGTTGAAGGGTTAATTACGTGAACAGGCGACACCCTAATTGTACGAGCAGACGACACCCGTGATTGCGTGAGCGGACGACGGCCTCGCCTGCAGGAGTGCTGGTGTGGCGCGGCTACCCGCTGCCGATGTTCATGAGCCAGTGCTATGGCAATGAGCTGGACGAGTGCAAGGGGAGGGGCATGCCCGTCCACTATGGCTCCAAGAAGTACAACTTTGTCACCATCAGCTCGCCTCTGGCCACCCAGATGCCTCAGGGTGAGTTTCTTGCGCCAGAGGGGCCCACAGTCGGGGTGGACGCACATGCCCAGAAGCGAGACTAGACATCCAAACGTTCAGGCATCCTTGAAAGACGGACTTTGTTTTATACGGGTTGGCACCGATTTTTGTGTGGGGTTGCACGTGAAATGCGAAGTTCACAAACTTGGGCTCTTGGGAACAAATGGGGTTTTGCAGAGTGCGAGTTCCCATGGGCAACTAGGCGTTGCGTGGTTCATCACGGCCGCAAAGAGTTGCGCAAGAGTGCGATTGTGGCCTCTTCATTGATTAGGCAATGCTCTGCACGGATGGAGACTGTATAAATATGAGAACAGCCCGACTGTAACTGAGCATCTGTCTACTTTGCGCCTTTTAATACTTCTGCAATCGTGAATTTAGTAGTTCGATTTGAAGTTTAAGGTTGCTCGGTAGCTAGAAGGTGGAGCACCGCACTCCCTAAATTAGGCGTTCTCAAATATTTCAATCTAGAGCACCTAGGTACTACCTCTTTTTTTCTTTGCGAGAGACGAAGAACCCCTTTGGGTCTCTTGAACATTAATGCAGTAAAACAATTTCAGAATCCTATGGACCTAGTAAACCATAATGTTCATATACTAAGAAATGTTTCACATCAATCAATCAATCAATGGTTTTTATTAGAGTCAATGCATATCACAAATGACTGAAATACCATCTGGGCTCGTAGCCAATTTGGCTAGTTGAGGCCCGTTTTAATCAAATATTGCGATGACAGGCCCCAATAATAAAAACATTGAAAATAAAAAAAAACTAACAAACTGTCGGGTTAAGCAAATAGTTGAGGTAATGCAAAAAAATAGCACACATCGAAGAAATTAACGCTAGAAATAATTATGTGATAAGGAAATGAGTGTCAAGATGAGGAGAGACATATCCTATTTAGAAAAATATGGTGCTTTAAGGAACCGCTAATGTTATATGCATTTATGACTGAAGATAGTAAAGTACTATTCTTAATTTCAGCACTGCAGAATTGCAAAATTTGCTGGTCATATATGCCACAAAGTTGGGGAATGTTAAAGTGTTGAATCTAGTCATGGCATCAATGGATGGTTAAGATCTAAAGCACTTCTTAAACTGGAAGAACACTTTTTTTAAAAGAAAAAAGATAGCAGCCGACAAAATTTGTAAGCTTAGCAAACCTGTTAAGTTTGAAAACCATGGAGTGTTTTGCAGCCACTTATGCATCAGTGCATGACCCAGATTTGTTAAAATAGTACTTAAACTGGAAAACACTTCACTTAAGGTGAAGATCATTGAGCGAGTTTGAGGAATCTCCGAGGGTGCTCTGGAACATTTTTGGGTTTCCCTCAGGGTGCTCTGAAACACCTTTGGGTTCCTGGGGACCCAGCTTGAGAACCCATAGTCCTAATCCTTGCATTGCTCACGGCCGTCCTACTCCGAGTCGGGCAGCGTTTTCTCGGTGTCGAACCTGGGTGCCCTTTTTCCTCAGCCGTGGGCAGTGCCTACGCCCTCAAGCTGGCCCAGAAGAACAACTGCGTCATCTGCTACTTCGGCGAGGGAGCGGCCAGCGAGGGGGACGCCCACGCCGCCCTCAACTTTGCGGCCACCCTCGACTGCCCCGTCATCTTTTTCTGGTGAGCACGGTCAACCCTTATTATTCGCTCAAAAGTCTAGAATCCTGTGGCAAGAGGCGATACATGCTAAAGGCTGGCTCACGTGTTTACGTTCGAGTGGGACTAACTGCATTGTAACCAATTGTGACTGCATCCGGAGAACTTTTTTCAAGAAGGGCGAACCCTTTTTGGGGAGGTGGTGGTATACAATTTTTGTTTACAGATGGGAGCAACCCTAGATTTACCTGGCAAAAGCGTTCTTCTGGCGAGTCACGATTGAGAAAATGGATAGTTACATAATGTTTTGGTAGGATCAAAGTCCCTCAGTCGTATCATTCTGCTTTCATCGACAGAAATAAGAGCAACATCAGAGGGTCGACTTTGACAATGTTGGTTTTGCACAACAATGCAACTTGTATGTGTTGTGATTCGGAGAGCCCAAAACAAAATTTAAAGAAAGGAGAAGTAGGGCCGAGGCGGCCTGCTGAAAGGATGCTGTCTCACATGCCGAAGCGGGGCGAGCACCGGCGAGCCCAAGGCGGGAACGCCCCGGAAGAGAAGACGTCGATCACAGTCAGGGTCCAAACACATACTCTTTTATTCAAGGGGAAACAACGCGGGGGCACGGGCCCGATGGGTGTACAATAGCGCCACCTGGCTACGGGGGTTGCTGTGGCAGTCGTGGCGCCACCTAGTTAGTGTGGCGAGTGAAACTTAAATGAAAAAATTGAAATACTACAGTATGCATTCTTTTTTTTATAAGCGTTTTACTCGAAAAGATATCAAATTCCAGTAAAATGTGAACCTTATTGTGTTGTAGATGAAAACAATGATATACGAAATTTTTGTACGTGCTGTTGGGTGTATTGCATTACCTGTTTCCATTCGCATGTTTGGCCGTTCCTGTAGTTTGTGTCCTCTGCGTCGTTTGTTTCCTCACGATTTATATACCTCTGTGGTGTTGTGAAGATGTCGATCACCATGTTTGAGTCAGCTGAATGCATTTTTGAAGCAGTAGCTTTGTAGGGCCTACCAAGCTCAGTAGTGCGAAGCGGAGAGGAGTAGAAAGGGCAAGAAAGAGAGGAGCAGAAACAGGTGGTGTAGAAAGAGCGAACAGAACGAGGAGGAGTGGAAAGGACAGAAAAGTGTGCTTCCCTTCTCGTGGTGACCCAGAAATTTCAGCGGAAAGGCTTTGTATCCGAGTAGTGCTGAAGGGAAGCACGCGGAGCATCACAAAGAGGCAATGGTGTGACGTAATCTGTTTCCATACAAAACCCTACCCTAGGCACCACCTGAACTAAGCATCACCCACCCCAGGCACTGAAAGACTAAGACTCATCCTGCCCTAATCACCACCCAAACTAAGAGCACCACACCCACCCTCTAAAGCTACTGCATTTGAACGCATTTGGCAGAATGACCAAACATGCTGCCAACCTTTCTGTCCACTTAGCACTTTTGTGAACTGGCCCGTCTTTCAGACCCTGTCCGAAAAAAAAAAACACGAAATTTATTTATTTATTTATAAAAACTGCTAACCTCCTTTTGGGGGTTGCGGCATGAGGGGTTGGTACATTTTACTGCACAAGAACTTAAACAGGAAAAGAATGAAATGTAGTTTATATGCAATAATAATATAGAAATGCGACAATGCAACAATTAAAAGTGTCAGTACAACAAAGATACGAATTCAGTGCCCTATTGTACAAGCTTCGCATAGCTGGAACCAGTCATGGCGTTAAATATCTTGAAGCATCAGTGTTAAAATCGCCATTCTGTAGTGTATATAAAAACTTTAGCCTCGCTGTTTGGCGCCTCGAAGGTAGTAACTAGTTGGGCTTTTTTGTGCAGTGACGTCAGATTTATTGCGTTTGAATTGGTTGTAAATGAATCGAGATGCATATCTTTATACTCTTTTTAACTTGTCAATATTTACAGCAGTTTGAGGGTCCCATATCTGGGAGGCATATTTAAGATCAGGTCGAATCAAGGTTTTGTAAGCAGTGATTTTTGTATCAAGCGAAGCATGCTTAAGATTGCATTTCGGATGCTAAAGTTTACCGTGAGCTTTCTGAACTATACAGTCTATATGTACATTCCATTTTAGATCATACGAAAAGCGCACTCCAAGATATTTGTATGTTGAAACAATTTGTAGAGGGTTTTTATTAACATTATACTGGAAATTAAGTGGGGAATGTTTCCTAGAAAATGTCATCTGGACACATTTCCCTATATTAAGGGGCAGTTTCCAAGCTGTACACCTTTTGGACAACCTTTCTAGCAAAAGGTTAGGTGACTGTTGATCCTTGATATTTTTCACTTTGCTGAAAAAAAGTCATCAGCATAAAATTTCATATCTACACCAACAAATTTCTGAACATCATTGATTAACCATTAGTCTTGTGCGAATAGTGGATTTTGAGCCCGAAGCGAATTCGAAGCGAATAGTGGTTTTGGCCGAATATTTTCGATTCGAATATCGAATAGTTTTTCCACGCCTTTCACTACCATTGCATAATGCTTAGATGAAAACCCAGCTAAACCTGTGAAGGTTAATCCACTTTTTCATTCATAAGCTAAGCTTAATCTATCTATATTTATGAACTGTGATCTCAGAAGGTCTGGTGTCTTGGGATGGCAAGTAAACGACGGATTTGACATAAAATGAATCCTATATAGATGGCAAACTATACCAATTGAGTGAATTTACAAATCTTAATGTATAAAATATTCTTTCTTTAATCTCAAGTTAAAAAAGGATGAGTCGCGCATGATGAACACAGGTTGTAAAAGCATCTCTGCCTAACATAGTATACTCTTCCATAAAAGTTTAATTTTGAAACTTTTATTACAATGTAGATATACACATTCACAAAGTTTCCATTTATTTTCAAGTACAGTCGGCACGGGTGCACCATCCCGCCCGCTTTGAATGTATGCTTTTGTTAAGCACGCAATTAGGCTATTGTTTATCGCGGCGGGTTACCCCGTTAAGTGCGCCTCTTAGCGAGCACCGATGTAATGCGGAGAAGCAACACCCGCGGAGCTCACTTCCGCGGGTTTTGCTTCTCCGTAGCGCACCGGTGCTTGGTAAAAAGCGCGCTCAACGGGGCTAACCCACCGTAACCAACTCTTAGAGAAACGCGAATAGTGCAGTTCTTTTCGAAGCAAATATCGAATAGTGTATTATTGGGAACTACTATTCGAAATTTCGAATATTTCCACAACCCTAATAAACATAAAAAATAACAGCGATCCCAAGGAAAAGCCCTGAGGGACACCCGGCAAGACATCAGCTGAAACAGAAAAAGCACCTCCCAGCGAATAAAAAAAAAAATGACAAGCAGCTTAGTAATCTTCAAGCCAAGATGTTATGTTTCGAGCATTTAATACATGTGCAAGTTTTAACAATAGCTTGAGATGCGAAATGCGATCAAACACTTTTAAGTATTAGATTAATATAATGTCGACTTGTCCCTGTCGGTCCGTAACTTTAGCGATGTCGTGCATCGTTTCAATCACCTGGATAGTTGTAAAAAATAAGAGGTATATTGGCCATTTCCACATTAATGACAAACGTAGTACAGCAGAGTACCCATATGATGTTGTAAGCGTAAGTCGTCGTAAGTGCCGATAAGGGAGTGCGTTGACTCGGTTCCACTCGGACCTTTAGTTGAATGTCTTGCACGTCACATACATGTTTTGCCGAACGGTGCACCTGATTTTTCTCATTGTTCACCATGACTTTCATTCAAGGCGACACCTTTTGCGGTGTGGGACCAAAACGATGCAGACGCGACCCCCCACGTGTTCCTTGCCCTTTCAGCCGTACGCGACCCCTCGCGTGTTCCTTGCCCTTTCAGCCGTAACAATGGATACGCCATCTCAACCCCTGCCTTCGAACAGTACAAGGGTGACGGAATAGGTGAGTGAAGTTCATGTGGCGTGGTCACAGTCTTGGAGAGTTGTTCGGAGGTATTCGAGATCAAGAGAGAGAGGAGACAAGAAGTTAGTCAATGACAGATTTTTGAAAAGTGCCGGATTCACTTAAACGTATGTCGACTACTATTTCCGCATGTTCATCTTACGAGCCCTTCGAGAAGAATCGAAGTGTGTAGCGGTTGACATGGTAACCATGTCATCTTATCAGGAATAGGAGACATACTTTGTCTTATCACAAATGCAACCATATCCTTTTTTTGCAAAGTATCCCCTTGTAATATTTTAGCTCGTCTTTATCAACACCGCCGACATTGCGACGATGGCATCGGCTAATTATACAAGCTGACCAAGCGTTCGAAGAAGATAACCATTCCGGAGATTTTGACAACGAAGCAGCCTGCACGGTGAACAAACGGGACTTAGCTAGAATGAGTAGGGGTGCCTCAAAATGATTATTTATACCATTTTCTTTCTTTTTGATTTATTCAGTTGCTAAGGTTGACCTATATTAGAATATTTCTGTATGTTTTTGGCATGTAATCTAGCACACAAGGGTTGATCTACATTTCAGTAACTAAGACACGGTAATTTGTGCAACTGATAAGCTAGACATGCCTGTTGAAAGGTAGTGCATCTTTACGGACAAAAATAATTGCATTCTAGTATGTGCTACTAATGCATGCATTACTTTTGCCACGAGTAAATCTCGTTATAATTTATGCGTACCACGAGCACCTCAAATTCTCATACTGTACTACTACTAATTACCGAGTACTAATCTTGTGTTAAAGTGAAGCATACGCCAATCACAGTAAAAATAAAAGTGGGCAAGTACAACTCAGCCCTTCATAACAATCCTCCAAAGCTTTCCCAAATGGTTGTTAAATCAGTCATAATTAATCTAATGCTCAAAATTTGAAAGTCTTTCTACATGTTTTCTATAGCACTAGTTTGTCGTAGGAGTCAATCACAAACAGACAGTCAGAAGAGAATATTAGCAATCATCTGTTTTCTTGAGTATCCTCACCATGACTTACTACAATTAAAAAGTGTGATGGAAAACAGCTAGTGCATCGAGCCAAACCAGCCGGATATCCAAATTTGCTAAATAGCAAATTGTCGACTGAAATATTATTATTTGAATACTAAGCATGTTTTACATTCATGTCCCAAAATTTCGAATATACTCATGCACCCGCCACTCTCGACTTCTCCGTTCCCAGTGGCGCGGGGTCCGGGGTACGGGATTGCGTCGATTCGAGTGGACGGCAACGACGTCTTGGCCGTCTACAACGTCACCAAGGAGGCCCGCCAGATTGCCGTGGAGGAGAAGCGGCCCGTTCTCATCGAGGCCATGACCTACAGGTTGGTGCTTTGCTTTGTCTCGATTCTAAGATTGCACGTTACACCGCATGCGACGCCGTTCACCCAAAGGAGCGATCGTCGTCTGCTTGTTTTTTTTGTTGTAAATTCAGTGTAGCTTCGTGGGAACTCTGGCCCTCGTGTTGGTTGCACAGCAGAAAGGCCGTCCCAGAGAGCGTTGGCAACGGAGCGCGTCCATTGGTTCAGTGTCCTAGCACGCATGACTGCGGCAATGTGGAGCGGGGAGGGGGCGAAATCTGTGTGCTATACTTCGTTTCAAATTAGGTCCGACTGCAGCCAATCGAGCAGCGCCAAAAGCGTGTCGTCGCAGTGCTCGTTGCCTTTGTGTGTCTGATTTCTGAGCCACAGTCACACACAAAAAGGAGCACGGGATCACGCCACATGCAGAGTGTGCGATCGGTTAAGACGGCGATAGCAGACGACGAGTGCCACGAGGAAAGACATTTGGCTTTTTTATTGGTTTTGCTGGATCTTAGCGTTGGCTGTGCCCGGATGTGAAACCGGATACAACACTTCTTCCGCTGCAGAAAACGGGGGCCGCGGTACGGGGTAGAAACTGCGTATCAGAATAACCTAGTAGTTGCGGAGGAATTTTACGGTCTGTCCGTATGCGCGATGGCATTTCAGGGAAGACGGTCCGATGCACCGAAAGAAGACTTGCATGGACGAAGGAGAACAGAAGTCTTTTAAATAGGGTGCCCCAAGCGAACGCTCTGTCGTAAAACGAGCTGGAAAAATCAGCGCCTGCACGGGTAGAACACTCAAACTTTCACCGAATGTGCACAAAAAATCTTGCTAAAGTCCACGTTAGGTACGTTGGCAGATGGCTAAGTTACTGGCACTTTTAACTCGTGGCGCCATCTCCCGACAGGTGCAGCGAGCAGAGTGCGTCGTCCGTTTGTCGCACCTATTGGGAGATGGCGCCACAAGTAAATAGCGTCAGTGACTTGGTTGTCTGCAAAGGTGCCTAAAGTAAACTTTTGCGAGATTTTTGCTCATTTTTTGCAGGAAGAGAACTGCATCTAGAAATTTCGCACGGCAAGACTGAGCTGCTCGGTGCACATTCAGTGAAAGTTTGAGCTAATGTGCAAGCGCCGATTTTTCCGGCTCATTTTATGGCAGAAGGTCCGCTTGGGACATCCTACACAAAGCACAAGTTCGTCTGCTTCTTGCAGGGGGGTCAGGATGATTTCAGAATGCCGAGCTCTTATAGTGGGTCGACCTCAATGCACCACGATCCTTTCATTCAAAGCCAACCGGAGCTCGGCGTCATTCTGATGTCACCGCAACTCCTGCGCAAGAAGCAGACGAACTTGCGCTCTGCATACACTCGCAATTCCTTTGCCACGTGTCACATTGCACATCATTCCAACAGCAAGTGCCGCTCGTTAGAAACCTCGTTGAATGCCATCGTACCTTCATTGCATTTAACGGAGCATCTAATGGCCAATACCACTGGTCGTTTTGGAGCACGTCGTGATCAGCAGACCAGATCCGAGATGAAGCACGCGATCCGAACGGAGTCGCTCCGCCTCCAGATCCCAAGTGAAACATGACCACTTCTCTGGGATCGGTGGATGCCTTCCTGCCATTCACCGTCCCGGGAATCCCCTTCCCGCGGTCCCGGATCTTGAAGCACATGCTTTTGCAATCGCGGCGCTGACAACATGTGTTCAGCGCACGAGCGAAGTTAATCATGATGAGAAAGATGCGTGTCGATAAGCGATGTGCATCAACGTAGCCCAGTTGCCATTTCATCGGAATACTTGTGAACGGTGTCCAAGTATGTCTCGATTATCGGCCTCTCCAGCAAAGGCCCGAGAAGGCAGTCGAATTCATGCGGGACATACGAGCAATCCTTGTCGCTGCTACTTGAGTCGCTGCTGCTGAAGGAGCTGCTCGAGCAACTTGACGTTGAATTGTCATTAAGTAGCTGTAACAGTGAAAGCGGGCAGCACTTCGTGAGCGGCCATTACGAATTCTTCCGAGGTGAGATCAGCGAGATGCCCGGCAAGAAAGGAAATCACGTGTGCACGCCAAAGGCTGGCCGGGCTGGCTTCCAATTGAATCCGCCGAAATCGGCGTTGTGACTTTTCTAGGATCCGGATCGAGATCTGGAGTGGGAACCGACCAAAAAACAAAGAGTGGAACATGCCCGTCTCGATCCCGATCGCCCAGTGACATAGGCGCGCTCCAGAGAAGTCAATCTCGGCGCGCCCCAAAATGACCGGTGGAATTCGACGTGAGCCCGGCGGTTCTTACCCGCCCGCAGGATCGGGCACCACAGCACATCGGATGACAGCTCGGCGTACCGGTCGGTGGACGAGGTGCGGTCCTGGGACCAGAAGGACCACCCCATCTCCCGCTTCCGCAAGTACCTCGTTCGCAGGGACCTCTGGGACGACGACAAGGAGGCCGACTGGAAGAACGAGACCAAGAAGCAGGTACGTGCGCGGGACTCCCACGGTATGGCGTCTCCGATCAATGCGCTTACCGAGTTCTCTCAAGTGCTTTCCCGATTTCCGCCCAACGATGCCATTGCCCGCCGCGATTCTGACGGTGCCAAGGTGGCGGTAATGGACGTGGCAGATTCCCATTCCGCTGCGTGTCGCTTTGCAGACAGATGGTGGACAGAAACCGCCGCAGATGGTAACGGCAAACTCTTACGTCCGCTTAAGTTTTTTGCCAGCATTTTCGCGGCCAACCACCAGGACCGCGACGTCCGACGGCGCGGACGCTGGTTCCTGCGATGCTATTTGTTGCCACCTCGGGGTCGTTTTAGATGCGCAGGTGGGACGGGCTGGTAAATGTGCCGGCTGAAAGCGCATGTTAGGCGCCGTATCCGTGGCAGAACCTAGAACCTAAAGGCCGGTTTGCACACTTGCATTTGAGTGTGACCGAGTGCATTGTGCTTAACTAAAAAACATAGTGGCGCCATCTATCAAGTGACCCTGGAACATGTCATATCTGCACATAACTAGACTGGAGGGTCTTGCAGCACTCGCAGGATCCAATCTACGAAATATTTGTCCAGTCTACGAAATATATATAATAAATCAATCGAAATATTTTGCGTGTGTTTTATTTAGGCGATACTAAAGAGAATTGCATTGTTTTCTCAGCGTGCAATAATATGTGCTCTCCAAACCAATCACTCGCCTCCCTTTCATCGCGCGACCCCATTCTCTGCTCGTGACCGCATGGCGAAAGACGGATGTTTGATTGGTCCAACAAGCACGTAACTTCTGCCGCACTGTCAGTCTTTAGGGGGGAGGATGGGGAGCGTGTGGCTCGTAGTTGTCCATCCGTACTTGGCTCGCTAAAATAGCGCTTAAACCGGGAAAGGGCATTCCTCGTCAAAGGTCCAGGGACGGTCGGGGCATTTGGGGAGTTCAGGGACGCCCAAGGGAACCCACGACCCTGACAGAAGGGATTTGAGGCACCTACCGAAACCTCTCGTCGAGCCAACATTGTTTAGAGTTGTCCTTTTCTTTTTTCAGTTGATGCAGGCATTTGCACGTGCCGAAAAGCTCAAGAAACCGCCGGTCAGCTACATGTTCACGGACGTGTACGACGAAATGCCGCCTGCACTCAAGGAGCAGTGGGACGGTCTGCGGCAACATCTCCAGCAGTACAAAGAGCACTACCCCACGAGTTCCTTTGCCGACGAACCTGCACAGACCGACTGATGGATCGACGCACATCACACTAATGACAACGGGGCCCCGCCAGACGGAATGCTTTCTTTCCATTGCATCGTTATGCAGCAAAGACCCTCGAAATTTTGCGCGACAGTAGTCACGTCTGTGAGTGTAAGATGTGGCCGTGCTTGTGCTTGTAACTCGCCAAACGTAAGCCAGTATTTTTTTTTTAAGATGGCACCCAAGCCGAACGTTTGATTGCTCCAAGGGTGAGCAAAGTTTCGTGTTGAGGCGAATCTAGCGGCGATGAATCGGTGCAAGCATGTCGCAAATGGATTACTTCGGTTTGGAAAGACGAAAACATGGAGAGGGACAGATGACCGCTCCGTCCTTGCACTTCTCATTTTAATTTGTTTCAGCCAGAGGAGTCTATTGGTGGGCGAGGTTTGGTGTGAAAGGGACAGTGACTTTTCGGCATCTCGACGTAGGGCATTTTGCTCCTCGTGTACTCGAGTCTTTCTTTTGCACAAAAGCTAAGAAAATTGTTTTCTTTTTCTTTGTTTTTAAGGTTTATGTACATTTTTGGGCATTCTTTCTGTAACTACCTGTGCCTCATTATCTTTTTAGTTAATTAGAAACTCTCAGTTCTCGCGGCCGAGTGGTTTTACGTTTTGAGCTTGTTCGACGGCCGTTCCGGGCCTGTACTTCGAATGAAATACCACGGTGTGATAGCTTTTTCTTCCCGTTTGTCGGGAAAGAAGTGGTTTGTCACACTTGGAGATTTCGAGCGGGCTTTCGGTAAGTTTCCGCTGAAAGGCACGGTCGGCGCAAACTCTCTTACAAGCGCAAGCTGCAAACTCTGCGTCGAATCACGTGACTGTAGTACAGTGTACTAGAACATGGGGTAGGGTTTGGACCAGCGCGACTCGACAATGGGAGCTTGTGAGGCTGCGTGCGTACACAACAATCGCGGCGCTGCAGTCGACAGGGCAGCAGAAAGTTGTTGCAGTTTGCGCCTGCACACGGTGCATGCGCACAACCACTACCATAGTAACACTACTGCTGATGCGCCGCTGTTGACACCTATTGCAATCTACACCACACACACCTCAAGAGAGCCGCTCCGGTCCCTACACTACCCCGCATTCTAGTAAACTAATTGTACCGTAGCGCGAAGCAGTCGTTGCGGTAAGGAAGAGGCTAAAATACTCATTTGGAGCTTCCGCTTCAGACGGTCGTGTTATGTGGGCATTTGCGGTGAAATTGGGTGCCTCTACAAATTCATGCATTTTTTGAGGCAACGAATGACATTCTCCGAACATTCTGGTAATGTCCGTCTGAAAGCCGGAACACACTCTGTGATACATTCTGTTTCTAAGCAAACAAGTTAAACGCTCGCCCATGTTTCCTTAAAACAGAAAAGAAAAACATAAATGCACTCGCTTTGAATTTACCAGTCTTTTTCTGACTCAACTGGTTCGGTGCAGCACCGGCTTCCGTCTTCATTCCGCACATCCGTTTTCCGCACTCGTTTTGTGTCGAAGACGGCAGTCTAGTCGTCCACAGGGCATGCTTACTGTTACGGACGTATGGGACGAACCAAATCTTTAACTTGGTGTGGAAGAGTGCTGGGCACTACTTGGATGTACATTAAAAAAAATTATTTTGGAAGTGAAGAGTGTCTTGTGAAAATATCTCTGTACGCTCCATCTTGCAAACATCTGCAGTGTTGACAGAGGAACTGGTGTGAGCGCGCGACTCTGCAAACTGCCTTTTACGCGAGAGTTCTCGTACAACCGAAGCATTCTACTGGGGCTCACACACCTGTACCTTCGTCTGCAGTGTAGACATTTGTGTGATGGGGTATAGGTGTCGACATTTCGGGCCTCTGGATGCGCCACCAATGATGCATTTATCTGTGCATGTGTGTGTATAAAACTTTATCTCGCCACATGTAGTACTTGCTGGAGCATCCCTTCTTGGGTTCCAAGCCTTACCGATACCTCCAGTGGGCCGCATTGCGTAACGGCACAGTTGGGGCGACGCTGAACGTGGGGAGGCTCGGCAGTTGGAATGCTGCCCACAAATTGCCAAGCGTTCTTCTAGCTGGATGATGCCAAATATTTGTGTGGTGTATCGCTACTGCAGTCGCCGACAACTTAAACATAGTGCTCGCAGTCTTACCTTGTGATTCATTGTTCAATTTTCTCATCGGCTGATGTTGCGCTCTGATTGGCTGAAGCGCAATAGGACGTTTGCAGCTCACCACACCCTGCTTTCGGTTAAAGTGACCATGAAATGAATTTTGGCCTGGGATAAATGATTTGAGATTGGGATTTCACCAATTGTGTATCGTTCAGTAAGCCTAAAGAAGACTAGTACACGAGGATAGAAAGCAAAAATTTTTGGTACAAAAAGTTTAAAATATAGGGGACTATTTCTTACCTGCTTTCTTTCGAAAGCATTTCCACTGCAATGCGTCCGCGGTGCCTAATCACATCCGCCGACCCTAGCTCACGCATTGGACTCGAGCATTGCGTCACTCGGACGTATGCGCTTGTCAAGGATCAATCCGTTGACAAATATTTTAATTTGTGTTTGTGGCCAACATGGTGCCGTGACGGAACTTATCGTTTGTGAATGACAAGTTCCACGGTGCACTTGGAAAGCATGGTGAAAGCTTGGTCACCGGTTCTGGTGATATACTATGTCACAAACAATTTCTAATTTTGCTCTGGAGCTAAGGAGAAAAAAAAGCTAAGAAGGAAAAATAGGAAAAATTATTTCATGGTCTCTCTATGTTGTCAGTAAAGATTTATGCAGCTCTGGATTTTGCAGTTCCCAAATGTTGAAAGCTGCAAAAACGTAACGTCCAAACATGTTCATTGACAACCGTTGGAAACGGATGACGGTGTTTCCAGAGAGGAGGGGAGGGGGGGGGAGGAGAGGGGGGGGTGTCAGCGAGACCTGCCCCCCTCTTTTTTTTTTTCTCTACCCCAAAATTTGACACATGGTGAATTCAAGGGGAGAGGTGAAAACATCTGGACTCCCCCCCCCCCCTTTCCCTCTGAATCTGCCACTGGTTTGAAAGACCAAAGGGACAATTTGTTTCTGTTTGGTTTATGTCAAACATTTATTGTAGGAACATACAAATTTGCACTAGAAAAATAACTATGCAACATGACATTTTTACCCGTTTCCATAGAGCGAACATGCACGCACAGCAACACATCTTAAGGATGAGATGTTGAAGCAGTGAGAGAGCAAAGATTTGGATCGCACTAGTGACTCCACAAGCTATGCTTCGAGCACTGGCACCCCATTTTCTTGTGGGCACCACCAGTTGGTGCATAACTGGGGTCAGGTACAAGTGGCGATCATTAGCAATTCGAATGTGCAACCTTCCCAAGCCTTAATGCCGCGTCAAGAAGTGCGGATGACATTGTTTTGCCCCATCGCAAACAGTTTCAGCATTTCCGGACGACAGAAAGCCATTTTTTGCAATTTGGGATAAAGCTTTAAATAAGCAACGATTTCTTAGCATTAAGGTGGCTGGGATGTCACTGCTCCGAAGCATAGCTTTTTTATGGTGACCCTAGCTTGCACCAATGGAGGACATCTGCCACGCATTCGCGAGGGACGGCAGAGTAGTCTGGATCACCGGAGGTCTTTTCAACGCTCAACTAAAACCTCGGTGTGCACAGGACATACATCACAACCTCCACCAGATAGATAAATAAAACTGCCAAGAAATTGCCAAGCTCTCTTTGCTTGCTTTGCCCAAACCCCCCCCCCCCCCCCCTGCCCAACCCTAGCAACAGACTTGGCAAAAAGAGGTTCTTTCCACAGCAGTCCTCAGTTTTGGAAACACTATTTTTAAGTCCCCCCCCCCCCCCCCCCCCCTCAATCTCGCAATCTATTGCAGCTGGTGCCTTTGGCTTGGCCAAGTGATGTTGCAAGCTTTATTTGGTTCCTAAATTTATTAACTGAAAAACCCGGGACATTATTTGTCACTTAACAATGCAGACGTCCAAACATTCATCACGGGATTACCATCTTGCCAATGGATTCCAAATATACCATGGTCACATATATATCACATATGGTAACACTTTGAACAAGCACTAGGTGAAACATAATAAATAAGAGCATACTTTTTTCTTTTTTTTTTTCTGCCGCCTAGATTATTAGCAGCTTTCTAATATCACAGCCTGTTATACAGATCTTGTACGAGATATAAATGCACACAGACACTTGTAGAGTGTTGTTTTAAAACATATTAGAGGTTGAAATATACAGGAATGGTGCTATAGATTACTAGACATTTAACAGTTTAACATTGTTTATTTTAAGAGACAGCCTGGTCAACTTGTTAAGCTGCTGTTTGAAAGAGTTGAGCCACATAATCAGTTCATTCATCCATACGAAACATTTCAAAGCTGGGTCACAAACGGTGCAACAGCTTTATCAACATTTTACATTGTTGAAAAATTTTCTTAAATATTTTTAAACGGCAAATTTAATATGGATGTGCAAGTTTAATGTGGATGTATAGCAGCTTCAGCAACCAGTCTGCGGTGGACCTTCTCCTATGAAAACAAAAAGATCCTTTCGGATTGGAGGCGTGCGGTTTAGAGAAGCGCGTCTTAGCAAACGCCGTTTAACCGACCCCACTTTATTGAATCCCTCTACAGAAAAACCCAGTTTAGAAAAATGGCGATAAGTGTCCTTTTAGAGAATTCTGCCCGTTCTCTCAAACAAGAGGAGTGCCCGTTGTCTCAAACGGGTTTCGATGAAATGACATGATAACGTATGCTATTTTGCAGATCCTACAAGCACTTGATGCTTTTTTTTATTATGTTTTATAATTGCATGCACACGGTTTATTTGTAGTAAGGATGCCACCTGCCACTGTCGCACAAGGTATAAGCAAAATCTTTTCCCAGTGTAGTAAATTTGTGCTTGCGGTCTATGCTGCAAAAGACTGCATTGGTAAGAACATTTCACTTGCAAAATCATAATTAAAAATATGTTTTAAACAAAGTTATACTCTTCGAGGCACCAAAAACACAACTTTTTGACATTTATTATTATTTACTCGAAGGCTGTTCTGAGAAGGAAACGTAAACATGGTCACGACCGAACTATTAAATTAGTTTAAATCATGTAATTGGCAAGCTTTTCCAGCAAATGTTGATTATTTTGTACAAGAGAGGAAGCGATGTTAATTTGAATTAATCTGTGCAGCGAGACGAATTGGCAGTCTGTTTGGAAGCAAGCCCACCAAACTAAACAACACAAACTAGGCATCTTTTTTTTTTTTTTTTTTCCCCTTAGAAGAGATTTGGGTCGCACAATGAAAGAAACACTGCACAGCGCCAAGACTGTTGTGTTTCTTTTAGATTTTCTTGCTCTAGTAACAGGTCAAGAGCACCGGTGAGTTTTGGTCGGCTGTCCGTCAACGGGGACAGTTCTCTATTCAGACGACGAAGTCGAGAAAGACTCCTTCTTGGGCGCAGCGAGGAAAGGGTTGACCTGCCTGTAGCTGCGATACAAGAGATACGGAATACCGTACCCGACCGCGAAGGAGAAGATGAAGAACTGGACCGCCGCACCAGCGTGGAGTAGGATTTCGTTCTTGGGCTTGGGCAGGGACAAAATCACCTTGCCTACCGCGACTCCCCCGAACCCGGCCAAGAGCCTAGCCCAAACCGGCGCCCGCTTGGCGCCCTCCAAAACTTTCGCCGCATTCGGTCGACTCAGCGCATAGCCCAGCCCGAGCGGACATGCCAGATTCCGCATCATGCCGTAGAGCGGATTCGTGTTGACGTTCACGTAGGTCGGGTCATCGCAGGCGCCCAGCGCCAACTTGGCCGATTCATGAGGGTCTATTCCGAGGGCCATCAGCCCGAAATAGATGGACGCGCAGGTAATAGTGATGACCCCACTGACTACGGCGTACTGGCCCATCTTCCAGGCGTCGACGTCCAGGAAGGTCATCAGGTACCCGTTGGCGAAGCCCACCAGGAGTCCGAGGACGATCTGGTGCGGGAAGTGGGCACCGATGTAGACCCGCGACGCTCCGACGACCCCAAGGTACAGAAAATACGTGGGCCAGATGATGTACCAGATCCAGCGACGCCTCCGCATCACCCGAACGTCCTTGTCGCGCGTCGCGTACCAGATGACGCTGAAGAGGACAGCGGCGCTTACCATGACGTGCCCCGACGGGGAGCCCGGTCCGGTCTCGCAGGTCTGGGGCGTCTGGGCGAGCTGGACGCCCAGTTCCTTGTGGGCCTTGACGTACCAGAAGGGTCGGTGCTCGTTCAGGATCCATTTGACGGTGACGTTGATGAACTCGGAGCAGGAGGCGGCCAGGAGGATTCGGATGCCGAGCGGGTGGTGAAGCGAGAAGGCGATCGGGTAGATGCCGACCGCGAAGCGCGGCGGATCGGCGATGTACGAGACCCAGGAAAAAAAGCGGTCGTAGCCCTCGCAGTGATCCTGGAGCTGCTTCGTGAGCCGGGCGCCAGAACTGTACACGGAGTCCATTTTTGGGGGGCGGACTTCGGACTTCGGGGAGCAGTACCGTCAGCGCACGTGGCTCGAACACGTCGCGCCGGCTCTGCCGCTTCAGCTCAGCCGGTACCCGGTTCTTTCAATGGCCGACAGTTCTTTCTTCGCTTATTTTGTTTTGGCAGGTTTTGGTTTTCTTTTTTCAGCTGATCGTTGATGTCGCTCTTTACGCCGCTGCCGCACTGATCTTCAGTTCTGAACGATAAATCTGAACAAATAAGAAATGCGTACTAAATCAAATAAGAACTCCAAAATATTGATAGTAAAGACTGCTAAATGCTTGTTAGCACCGCTTTGCACATAAATCCATCTATTTTTGTACCAACCTTATTTATTGTGGTTAACGAGGGCCTAGATGTTGCACATTTTAGAGCGCAGCTAGGCGCCCGTTTCCGGCTTGAGCGGCGTAACGGGCGTAATCACTGATCTCAATGGCGTAACCGTGAAGTCACGTGACCCCCCCCCCCCCCCCCCCCCGATGTCACGTGACCCCCGTGGCATAGTAGCAGGCAGGATGAGGAGGAGGGGTTATACCCTTTTCCTCAGTACCCTTCCCTCCTCAAGAGCTGCGCTCTAATTCGATGTTACAGGCAGTTGTAAACGGCTTTCATTTTTGGGAGTGTCTACATCCACGCGCGGGGATGTAGCCACGTCGGGAGGAGATAAGGCTCCATCCACGCAATACGTCACTTCCGGCGCACTTCGATCAACTTCCGGTCTAGCCTCCCATTGTTTTTCCATCTCCTCGGCGGCCATTGCACCCTGTGTTCCTGCTGTACGCGGACAACTGTTACTGTCAACTGTGCCTGCCTGGTCTTGCGCAAGCGGGTTTAACTTTCTCTGAAGCGTTTTTTTTTTTTTTTTCTTGTTTTCTCGGACAAGGAGTTTGGCCGTTTGAGTATCAGCACGGTCGCGCTTCTCATCTGCCTCAAGTTTTGGTTTCCGGGAATTCGACGGTGAAATACTTGCCCTAGTATTTCCCATAGAATTACCGGGTGGCTGTCGAAGTGCGGGCGTTTAGTGGCATTAGGATCGAGGTTTTGTTTTCCAAGGTGTCTGACGCCCTACTCGCTTTTCGCACAAACAACACCAGCGTTTGTGCCAGCGCGTACGTTGACAAGTTTCGTCGGCTGGCCGCTCAGATCTTGGAACGCAATCGACGATGCGGATCGCCTTTTCTTCCGTCCTTCCGAGGCGGGAGAACAGGTTCTCTTCGATGGTGTGTCAGTGTAGTCAGAGCGCCGAGATCCAGGCGTTAAATGACCGGCACAGAGACGTGAACTGGCTCCTGCAGGAGTTCTGCCGCAGGAAGGGCTTCATGTTTATCGGTGATCTCGTGGACGAGTGGCATCTGTGCATCAGCTACTGTTTTGTTTGTCATGGAATAAACTGTTTCTGGAATCTTTTACCCAGTTTTCTCGATTCAATTTTCGCAATCACACAATCTTTGTGTGATTGCGAGCGTGCGCGCAAGTCAAGAACGTACGGAGCGGTGGACACGTACTTGTCTCCTTCGATACACATAAGCTCACATTAAAACGCTTCAAACCAAGCCAACCACACACACAACGAAGCCTCACCGCCTCGTCTCAGCAGCGATGCGCACATGGGCGAAGGCCCCGGAGGCCGCACGCGCACCGCCCACACGCGTGTGTGTGACTCCTGGACAACATAACGACATAACTATAAAGATATATATCGGTACTATCTTTATGATGCATGATATTTGCTATTAGTCTTAGAAATCAGTAAAGAATTGGTGAATTGTCTAAAAATTGGTAAGGTCACGTGACATATTAACTTTAAAACAACAATGAAATGTAACCTCTTTATTTTTATATCCTATATTTACTTATTAGAAAACATAATATGCACATAAAAATGAATTATCTCCTTATATTATAAGTCACGTGACCTTTTGCGTGGATGGAGCCTTATCTTCTCCCGACTTGGCTACGTCCCCGCGCGTGGATGTAGCCTCGGCCTTCATTTTTTGACCACTAGACACGTGACTTAACAGTTTTACGTCTAGATTTTAACGAAGTACCGCGCAAAAATAATTGCTTATTGATCTTCAGAAACAGTACCGACAGGATAAGTTAGGTTTTGTTTGTTCTAAGTCCAAAATGTGCTTTTAAGACAAAAACAAGGGCAGCTTCGCAATACCTCCGCTAGACGCCGCCAGCCGCGGTGCTGCATTTTGGGGAGCTAGACACTGATCTCTGGAGCTAACAGTATTGAAAAAAATAGTTTATCATGTCTTTAGAGCGATCGCAATACAAATTTCGGCTCAGTTTTGCGTAAACGCCCCAGGATTTGGTACGGTCACGTGTCTAGCTGTCAAAATTGTACAACATGGCGGCGATGAAGAGAACAAGAGGGGGTCACTTTTGCCTAGTGAGCTAAAGCCCCTTCATGTTTCGGGTCCATATCACAAGAGCGAATGACATTTTAGCGAACGGCGACATTTGAGCGAATGGTCGTTTTAGCGAATAACGGGGGCGCGCGTTAACCCATCCGTCGCGCTGCGCTTTACGCCGCTTTGCGGCGACAGTCTTTGGCAACTCATTACAAAAATGTGAACCCATTTGGCCCACCCGAAAACGCCGCTTCGCGGCGTCCGACTATTCGCTAAAGTGTCGTTCGATGAAACGTGGGCGTTCGCTAAAACGTCATTCGATCAAGTGAGTGCCTCCCCTCTACAACAATGAATGGCGCCACTTTTCCCAGGATAGAGGGGCTTTATAGTGAACGGGACACCCATTCAAAGTTCAAAGGGAAAGCACCACTCTGCACCCAGGAGGCCAAACAAAACTTCCACACCAGGGATGCGCTCCAGTCAATCAAGGGCTTGACCACTCTTACAGGGATTGTCCGGTCGAAACCGGAAGTCGAGGGAGCCTTCATGTAGACAAACATCATTTTTATTTTGATGTATGTTCTCCTGTTATTAATTAAACCTTTCATGAGCCTATGTACGAAACTGTTCCCCAAATTTCGCCAGTGTCAATGGCTGATATTCATAGGTGCTCCGTGATGTTACAAAACACAAAGGCTTGTCGGATGGTCGGGATAACAAGCGTTGGTCAAATGGATGTATTGTATTTTGTTTCAAACTACATAGTCTCCTAGGCCGTAGCCTACTGAAATACGGTTCTTTTAACGCAGTTCCCAAGCATATGCAAAAAAAAGTCACGACTTTATCAGGAAATTACTTGCAGATAGCCATAAGCTTCGAGCAAACGTATGCCGTTTCGGGCAAACACAACTGCGACGGCCACCGATCGAACTAGGGGCGCTTGCAAAGCGAAGGATGCAGATTTCACCTCTGAAGCGGCAACTAGGTACATGAAGCGGCATCTCTGTACACATGTCGGCTGATCCACTGGATCTGTGATGAGGCTGCGGGTCGCTCCCTCGATATCCGTGGGTCGAAGGTAAACGGCGAATCGTTCAAACGCATGTCGTCACTTGACTTGGACGAGCTTGGTGAATCGTAGTCAAGCTCCATTTTCACATGCGGGTCAAACAGGATCGGGCTGCACGCGTGCTAAATACAACGTCTGGTATCGTTTCCAGATGGCCTAGCTGTTGGTTTCGGTTTCGCTGCATAATCAAATTGATTTAACCGATTTGGGCGAGGAGTGGATGGACGTAGTTCAACCCTTTAACCACCAAGTTATCCTTAAAAAAAATGTACAAACTTTTCCAAATGTTTTTATTTGCACATATTTTTTCTTATGTGGTTCTGATTTTCCTATTACATTACTTGATTGGTTTCTGATAGGTATTAACACAAAAAGTTTGAAAGAAAATGGTGATTTTTATGGAAACTCTCCCTCGGTGCATGTAAGAGTAAGAATAACACGGGCTGAAATGTGGAGTATTTATTTGAAAATACGCACCATAACAAAAGATCAAGTGCCTAGACGTTTCTCCGTACTAGCGCTAACAAAGTTCCGTAAGTAACGGCTCCTTGCAAAATTATTAGCGCAAGGAACACCGTCATCTCTTCGCGGTCCACTGGTTTCCATCAAGAACCCCGTGCTGGGAAATGCGGGACCGCATAGCGGTTTGTCTCTCACAATGAAGTTGGCAAGGTCCCAATCAAAAAAAAAACCTTAAACCAGCTGAGAATGTTTTTTTCGTCAGTGGGTTGCCGCAGAATCCCAGGCACTCCACAAAACGAAAACCTCGGAGGCGCGGGTAGCGGGTTTTCAGCGTTTACGCATTGCCACACTCGAACACTACCAGGCGCGTCGTCTTCTTCGTCACTGTGGTTGTCGTCATGTCCGACTCACTTTCAGAGACAAATTCGATGTCTTCATCGTCGCTACTGTTCGAACTGCCGCAAGAGAGGGCCCATTTCCGAGGGCCGTCACCGGCATCACTCAAGCGCACTGCCACCTCCGATCACCGTTGCAAGGCTAGATACGTACCAAAGACCAAAACACGCTATATTTGCGCAACCTCTCCTGCCCTCCAGTGTTCAAAATTGAAACTAAAGCCGATGAACGAACCTGTCTCGTGTTTGGCAGTGAAAGCAAACCATCAATTTGGCTGGACGAGAGTGACTCGTCGTCGGCGATATTGGTACAACCTTCCATGACGAGTACAGCTCAGGTTGAGTGGTTAAAGGGTTAATATCGTTGGCACAGCATCACACCTCACCTTACAAGCCGCTTAGAGCTCAGCTCGTAGCTCTCTTCTGTGAGATGATTCCTGGATAAGCGGGATCTCGATCTTGACGGGAAACCAGTCCCTGCACACGGCGACGATCCACTTCGCTCGTCGCTGCACGACTCACGGAAAAAGTGTAGAACGTCATGTCTTGGCTCGCATGTGCTGCCCGGTGGTTGTGGCAGCCAACCGCGAAACAAAAATCTCGCCCAACCACGAAACAAGTCGAGCACAACAACAAAACGAAGCACGCTGAGGCATTCACTCGCAGGCAAACGACGAGACAAACATGCTCGCTTTGTGTTTTGTGACGTCAGAGCTTTAATGTTGCCAACGAAAGCAGCATTTACAGAATGCGATTGGAGCAGTATAAATTCAATTACTCACGCAGAGGAGCATATAAAAGTCAGATATTGCACGTACGATGTGTCTCGAGGCAAAAACAATGACATTCAATTGTTTTCTCGAATACAAAATTTGACCGGACAATCCCTTTAACGTAATAAGATAACCCTAATTAGACTCCAAAGGGTTAAAAATCCAAATCATGAGCATAAAATAAATGTGTTACATACATAAAACGTTCTGGCATGATAAGCGTTTATAGCATCGTTAAGCAGCATGTCTAGCCTATTCAGCAAGACACCTACGTTCACGGCACTCTTCTTGAGATAAGTTTTTAATGCATGGCATGTGTACACTTGAAATGATAAACTTTGCGGTCTTTCAGAACCTTCTCATTCCTCCTCTCCCACATTGCCTCCTTGCCTACCTCTCCTCCTCACTTCACCCCTGGTCACATAATCTTCCCGTTAGTCAATCAGCGTCGAACACCTCACTCCTTCTCTCCCACCCGTCAACCAATCAGTGTCGAGCCTCGCGGCCATGCTTTTATCCAGGCTTCACGAAATGCCGAACACCCACTCAAAGAATGTTTCACAATAAAGATTTATTTGAAAACAACACAATCGATACAATATGTACACAAGCCAAAATGAAAGAGATGCAGCTAAATAAAAAAAGGCCATTCTAACTGATCTTCAGTCCTTGTTGCTGCCACTGCACTTTCTGGAATCTATCTGGCACATGTGGATTGTGAATTTACACTCCTAGCTGCTAACGACCCATGTAAGAGTTCCTCGGTACAGAGTTAATGTACGGTCTCCTGGTGCTGGTGTTATGAACTCAAGCATGACCTTGGCTTTCTGCTGCAAACTCACTCTTGAGAGATGATGAGGTTGCTCTTGGCCTTTTCAATCACCACCCACCATCCTTAACTCCCTCTTTTGAGGGAACATTGGCACAATGACCGGTCCCACCCCATTAATTGTCTTCTCACCCCAGATGGGCCCCGATGTTGGCCACAGAATTGCACTTACCGAATGTGGTTCTTCCCTTGAATCTTGTAGGTCAGTTCGATGTTGGGGTACTGGTTGCAAAATCTAGCAACATCCAGCCACCTGGACATCCGTCATGTAAAGCAGGTCTCACTCCTCAAGCTCCACAATGTCAAAGACGGCCTCAAAGCTGTGCTCTTGGCACTGTTGACCACATCAGCACTAAAATGGGGAAGCTCTAAGAGTCCTTGTTCCACAGTCCTTGCATGACCATCTGTGCGAGCTCCAGCTGAGAGTGCTGGGGTGAGCCAGCCGTAACTCAGCACATTCATGCAAGCCTGGATCAGTCTCATCGCGCGACCTGCCCAGAATGTCTTCCATGTCAGATTCGAGCTCTGCAAAGAGCTGCATGCACGACTAATGTACTTGCAAGAGCAGGTTTGTCTTCACGTGTGGGTCGCTGAACCTATCGGATCGGTCAGCTTGTGTAGCATGCGGTTGTAAAGCTGCCTTAGCAAGTTTTTCCTCGTGGTGGCAGATAGGAATATGTTCATACTTTGCTGCCGAGATTATGATCTTCAGCAGGCCTCAGCAAAATCGGTCATATTTTTTCTTTTTTTCGAAACGGCCGCACATTTCACCCTGAATGTAAAAAAAAATCATATAACACAGTGCCAAGATTTTTTATTTTTTTTAGATTTGTTTGTTTTAGTGGCACGGCCAAAGGCATCAGTGAATTTCAGTCGGCTGTCCACAAACTGCGACAGTTCCTTTACCCTTCAGGCGAGAAAGATTGTTTCTTGGGAGCCGCCATTGACGGGTTCACCGGCATGTAGTTGCGATACAAGACATACGGAAAAACATACCCTACTGTGAAGGAGAAGATGAAGAATTCTACCACCGCACCAGCGTAAAGCAGGATCTTGTTCTTGGGCTTGGGCAGGCACAAAATGAGTCCGCCCACCGCGACCCCCGCAAATCCGACCAAGATTCTAGCCCAAACCGGTGCCCGCCTGGCACCTTCCAAAATTTTCGCCGCCTTCGCTCGACTGAGCGCGTAGCCCAGGCCCAACGGACACGCCAGGTTCCGCATCATGCCGTAGAGCGGATTCGTGCTCACGTTCACGTAGCTAGGGTCATCACAAGCGTCCAACGCCAATTTGGTAGATTCGCGAGGGTCTATTCCTAGGGCCATCCACCCGAAGTAGATGGAGACGCAGGTGAGGGAGATGACCCCGCTGACTATGGCATATTCGCCCATCTTCCAGGCATCTACGTCCAGTGGAGTCATGAGGGACCCGATGGCGAAGCCCATCAGGAGTCCGAGGATGATCTGATGAGGGAAGTGGGCACCTATAAACACCCGCGAGGCTCCGACAACTCCCAAGTACAGGACGTACGTGGGCCAGACGATGTATCCGATCCAGCGACGCCTCCGCATCACCCGAACGTCCTTGTCGAGCGTCGCGTACCAGATGACGGTGAAGAGGACTGCGGCGCTTACCATGACGTGCCCTGACGGGGAGCCAGGTCCCGTCTCGCAGGTCTGGGGCGTCTGGGCAAGCTGGACGCCCAGTTCCTTGTGGGCCTTGACGTACCAGAAGGGTCGGTGCTCGTTCAGGATCCATTTGATGGTGACATTGATGAATGCTGAGCAGGAGGCGGCCAGCAGAATTCGGATGCCGAGGGGTTGGTGGAGCGAGAAGGCGATCGGGTAGATAACGACCGCGAAGCGCGGCGGGTCGGCGATGTAGGAGATCCACGAAAAGAAGTTGTCGTAGCCCTCGCAGTGGTCCTGCAGCTGCTTCGTAAGTCGGGCGCCCGAGCTGTACAAGGAGTTCATTTTGAGGCGGGTTTTGGATTTTAGGAAGCAGTTAGAACCTCAGATTGGGCGAGTTGGTTGTTCATGTTGGTCGACGTTGCAGCGCACTGAAGAAGCTGTCAGTCCTTTCACACACACACAAAAGGAACAAAACTCTCACACAGCGCTCACAGCGAAGCAGAATTGCCAGTATTGCGGTATTGCTGTTAGAGCATATGTCCATCTATTCATCGCCCTCGAACACGTCGCGCCCACTGATCAGTGGTCGCGCCGGTTTCTTGTTTTGTTTTGGTTTACTTTTCATTTTTAAGTTGATCGGTGATGTCGCTCTTCACGCTGCTGCGGAAAGAGACAGAGTTCTGAGCAAAATTCTCGAAGTATGGATAATAAAGACTTGTCAATGCCTGTTCACACCTTGATATACAAATATTCGTTCTTAATTTTTATTGAATGCATCAAGTGGAGCGTTATTATTTTTTTTTTGCATGCTTCTGTAAAACATGAATATTCGCTGGGCACCATAGAGATCATACATACTAACCCTGGGCACCATGTTTGTTGGTGGTTTTGAGCAACGTTTAGAGCGCATGCCCAGAATGAGCTCACAATAGATTGCTATGACCGGCAATCCTGATGGTGTGGAATGTATATTGAAAAAGAACTGTGGAAGCTAGACATCAGCACACGCTCAGCAGTCGTGCACACAGTTATGACAGGTCAAGAACAAAGTGGATGCTTGCTCCCACCTCTTTCCACTACAGCAGTCTGAACGCTGGAGAGGAGGCGACCTCCTCTCCAGCATTCATTCTGCTAAAGTGGAGAGAGGTGGGAGGAGCTTCCACTTTACTCTTTACTTGTCAGACTAAAGTGACTTTTTAGTAAAAGCCAACCTACATTTGCACCCTCCACTCCACACTCGGAGGCCAAAAGAAACCCTCCAAACAATGGAGACTGTTCAGTCAAGGGCTGGGCAGCAGGCACGTAGCCAAAGAGGGGGGGGGGGGGGGGGGGGGGGCATGGGCCCCCCCCCCTTCCCTGGCTACGTGCCTCTCCTCCTCTCCCTCATACAGCATTCTGTCAGGAGTGCCCCCCCTCCCTCTCCCCCCCCCCCCCCCCCCAAACAAAATCCTGGCTACGTGCGGCTTAAAAAACCAAATCACAACACGCACAACAGCAGTAATCGCCAAAGCTTTATTTGATGAGACAACACAAAGGATACATTATGTACAAAAACAAAAGGAATGACAAGATGCTGTTACATAAAAAAAAGGACCCCTTCAACAGAGCTTCAGTCACTGTCGCTGTCGTTGCGCTTCCTGGAATCCATCTGGCCCACGTGAATTGTGAACTTGTACTCCTGGTCGCAACCCATGTAAGAGTCGCTCATGTAGTACAGTGTGTACGTATGGTCTCCCGGAGCCGGCGCCACAAAGTCGAGCTTGACCTTTGCCTTCTGCTGCAAACTCAGCCTCTTGATGGAGATGAGGGAGTTGCTCTTGGCCTCTCCAATCACTACCCACCATCCTTCCTCTCTCTTCTGAGGGAACATGGGTGCAATGACCGGTCCTACCACCTCGTCTTCTCTCTCTAGCTGGACCACGACGTTGACCGCAGAACCGCACCGGATGTGGTCCTTCCCTTGGATCTCGTAGGTCAGCTCTATGTTGGGGTACCGGTTGCAGAACTTGGCGACGTCTGCCATCTGGACGTCTGTCATCTGGAGCAACTTGTTGCGGTCTTCATCCTCAAGCTCCATGATGTCAAAGACGGTCTCTACGCTGTGCTCCTGGCACCGCTTGACCACGTCCGCGTTGAAATGGGGAAGCTGCTTGAGGTACGAGTCCTTGTTCCACAGTGCTTGCGTGACCATCTGTGCAAGCTCCATGGCTGCGAGTGCTGGGGTGAGCCAGCCATTAGAACTCAGCACGTCCACGCAAGCCTGGATCAGTCTGATCGCCTTGCCCAAAATGTCTTCTGTGTCGGATTGGAGCTCTGCAGGGAGCTGCATACGTGACAGGTGCGCTTGCAAGAGCAGGTTTGTCTTCACGTGTGGGTCACTGAATTTGGGATTGGTCAGCTTGTGTGGCAGGCGGTTGTAGAGCTGCCTTAGCAAGTTGTCCTCGTGGTGACGGATCGGAATATTTTCATACTCCGCTGCCGAGCTGATGATCTCCAGCAGGCCCCTGATCTTGGTTTTGGAGTTGAGGGACATGCTGAAGAGCTCAATGGTCGTGTAGTTGATGTAGTAGTATGCGGCAATCATGCCCAAGTTGAGTGGGGCAACATCCATCTCATCTTCAATGCTGATGCACTTAGACTGCTCTAGGTCGTTCAGTGTGTTCTCTACCAGGTCAGACAAGTGATCCGACAGATGGCGATGGGTCACACCCTGGAGGTTGTAGTAGTTGGGGTTTTGAGTCATCCTGCGGTACAGGAATGTCCACGTGAGGTAGTCCACCGCATCTTGCTTGTTCTCAATGGTCTTGGTGACGATCTCGGCGTTGAAGTGATCATGGAGGCAATGGTCCAGATGGCTCTCCACTGGAAGTGGTTCATACAAGAACTTCTTAAAGAAGTCCTTCTTGGAAGACTGGCAAAGCAGAAGGCATTTGCCGTCTTCGTCGACAAGGGGACGGTTGGCACGGCCGACCATTTGGAGGACGTCCGTCACAGGGTAATCTTCGTAGGCATGCACTTTACCATTGTAGAACTGTGTGTCCATAACAATGACCAGGTGTGCCGACAGAGAGAGAGCCCAGCAGAGGCTTCGAGACACCACTACCACTTGAATGGCACCGCTGTCAAAGAGCTGTTCAACTAGTCTTTGGTCAGCCGTGCTCAGTCCTTCATGGAGGTAGGCAACACCATTGGTGAGTGTCTCCTTCAGCGTCTTGTCCGTGATCTGTTCAAGGAATGGCTTGAGGTCATCCTCGGTGCAGTGAAGAAACTTCGATGCTTGTCCCTCTGATGCCGAGTAGGTCAGAACGTCGATAGCCGTAAGCCGGGTCTGCTTGCGTGACGGCACAAATACAATGACAGGCTTGCGGGGAGAGTGACGCATGATCCCTTGGTAGACCGGCTTGCTCATAGACAGCAAACGGGAGGCGTTGTGAGTGATGTTGAACCCTTGTATGTGGAGTTCGAGCAGCACCGGACGCACATTGGGGTGAAAGTTGAACGTTGAGTTGGCGTTAGCACCAAGCCACTGCCCGACATCCCTGGCATTGGCTAGGGATGAGCTGAGTGCAAGGATGCGGATTTGACGTTCGATCTGGGATGAGATGTAGCGCATACGCGAGCAGATCACCTCGAGCACGGGACCACCCTCGCCGCCCACCAGATGGAGCTCATCCACAATGAAGAGGTTGATGTTCTGGACGTTCTTGCGTTGCTTCCAGCGTCGTGACAGCACGTCCCATTTTTCAGGTGTGCTGATGATGATGTTTCCTTTGGCAAGTAACTTCAGGTCTGTGCCTGTCTCTCCTGTCAGGATGACAACCTGGAGAGAGGGGTGGCACGATTAGCTGTACAGAATGTAAATGGTTGTCTGGCACTTTGAAGAGGCACTAATACTACAAAAGACGGGTTTATATCTTTTTATAGCAAAAGGGGCATTTGAGAGAGTCAATGGGGAGTCCTTGGCCTTGGCTTACTCGCAAGCAGTCACTGGGAAAAGATGAGTAAAAAAAGCTGAAAGTCACCTTTTAAGACGACGATTTTAAGAACTCGCAAGTGATAACACGCACACTCGGCAAAGTTTGCTAGTTCCAAAATTAACTTTGTGAAAAGTTATCACTGTTGCTGTAGGTCAAAAGACAGTCACCCTCATTACAAAGAAGTCATTCCTTGGATTAAAACTTGTTTGTGCGAGTGGGTTCATACTAGTTTAAAAAGGTTAAAAAGCGCAAACAAAGCCAAGACAGTAAAGACACAAAGTGCCCATCCTGTCGCCTTTGTGTCTTTACTGTCCTTGCTATGTTTGCGCTTTTTAAACTTAAAAAAAAAAGTTATATCTACCTTCTTGTTCAGGAGGAGTGAGAACTTCTGTGTCCAGTCGGCATAGATGATCTCTGCCAGTGCCTCCTTGGCAGTCACATACACGCATCTTCCCTCGGGGGTCTGTGAAAACAGCCGCAGGATAGCAAACTCTGCACAGATGGTTTTCCCGCTGCCCGTTGGAGCACCAACAAAGACGTTATCATCGCTGCTGTAGATGGCGTTGAAGACCTGCGTCTGGATCGGGTTGAAGAAAGGAAACTTGTCGCGGTACAGAGCCTCAAAGGTCGGGTTCCGCAGCGCAGACACGGGCAAGGGCTGCAGGTCAAGCAGCTCTGTTGGAGGCGGGTATTTCTCCGGAAGGATCAGGTGCCGGAAGGACACAGGCAGTTGAGTCTCGGCACTGAGCCAGCGGTCGGAGACAATTCGGATGAAGTACTGCGGTGGCAGTGGTTCAAACACAGGCACAAAGAACTTGATGAGGTGCTCATCTTGCGAGAATTTGCTTTTGAGCAAGAAGTACTCGTGGTGCAGAACAACCTCGCTGTCCACATCTTCAACAAGGATCCAGAAGGCTTCTGAGGTGCCATGGACCTTCTCATCCCACTGGAAGTCTGGTGTGATAGTCAATTCAACACGGAGCATGGACCGTGTGATTGGCTGGATGTGTGCCGAAAGCTCCAGCTTGGGGAACTGGTGGACATAGCGATGCACCAGCTTTCCCAACTTGGGCATTCGCAGGAGCTCTCCGATTTCGCTGACCCCGAGGTCATAAAGACGTTCCCAGGGGAAGTTTTTCTTCTCCACCTTCTTCACCACTTCATCCGGTACCTTCCGGAACTGTCGAAGTGGAGTCATTGACTGCCACATCCGCTTGTCGATCATCTTGCACAGAGAGAGAGCCTTGTCTGTCAACTGGGCCCAGCCGCGGTGCAGCACAATCTCGAAGATGGCTCGCATGAGACGTGCGGCACTCTGCGTGACATAGACCATGTCTGCCATCAACGCCAGTCCTTCCAGCTTCAGTTGAGAGATGTAAGCCTGAAGGAGGACATTGACCTTAGCTGTAGGCTCTTCCATGCTTTCCTTGATTGGGATGGGCACCCGCTCCATCAGTTTCTGGAGTTCAAGCTTCTCTTCCTCCCGGATGGTGATGTTCCGGAACTCTCCAGAAAGAGAAAAGACTCTGAAGAGCTCAATCTCGCTTAGCGTTGGCTTGAGCAGCTGGTTGTACGTTGCCATTGTGTTGTAGGTGCAGTAGTAGTAGCTGGCGATTCGCCCCAGCTCCGTCACCTGGAGCAGACCAGACTTCTTCTCGAAGCGGATCAAGTTGCTCTTTTCAAGCTGCGCCGCAGCCGTGAAGATGAGGTCCGCACGTCGCTGCTCCAAGAGTGGATCTGACTTGAGCTCGTCGTGGGAGATCCCGTAGAGTGTGGGCGAGCGGAGCATCCGGATATACAGATAGGTGTAGCCGAGCCAGGTGCAGGCGTCCTTGACATTCTGAATGTTTCCCAGCACTATCTCAGCATTCAGCACGTCGGGAAGCTTGCTGATCATCTGGCTCTCGATGGGAAGCTGCTGGTTCAGCAGCGACAGGTAGTACTGCAGCTCGCTGTGGTTGGTGATGAGGATGCCCTCTCCCTTGGTGTCATACTGGGGTCTGCCTGCACGTCCTAACATCTGGAGTACATCTAGTGCACCCAGTTCCACCCAGCGACCTTTCTCAGGGTTGTACATCTGGGTTCCCTTGATGATGACCGTGTGGGCTGGGAGGTTCACTCCCCAGGCAAGTGTGGCTGTTGACACAAGTACTTGGATGTGACGGTCCGCAAACAAGTCCTCAACAAGAGTACGGTCCACACGGCTCATTCCAGCGTGGTGGATGCCAAAGCCGTATGGCAAGAGGTCCTTCAGCTCTAAGTTCTTGACTTGGTCTGCTTCAGACCGCAAGACTTCGGTAGAGGCAGAGCCCTCGCGCAGGAAGTGTCCGAGAGTGTCCTTTTCAAGACACATGTCTCGCACTGCTCGGGCGGTTTTCCCCGTCTCCTTCCGCGAATGGACGAAGATGAGGATCTGATTTTTTCCTGCGTTGTCGATGACCTTCTCGTAGAGAATCTCGTTCATGAGTTGGAAGCGCTTGATGGCTTTCTTCTCTGTGATGCCAATGTACTGCTGTTCCAAAGGTACTGGGCGGAAGCTGTTGTCAAAGAAGAAGAGCCCCTTGGCCGCGTCGACCCGCAGGAAGGCTGCCACATCTTCATAGTTGGGCAAGGTGGCACTGAGACCCACCAGCCTAACCTCTTCTTGCGTCATCTCAATGTTGCGGATTGTCCTGGCAACCAGGGCTTCCAAGACTGGACCTCGCTCGTCGTGAAGCAGATGGATCTCATCAAAGATCATCAGCCGCACCAGTTGGGTGTATGTGCGTTCACCGCCTTTTCTCGTGATAATGTCCCACTTCTCGGGAGTGCAGACGATCACTTGGGTGGCTGTGATTTGTTCCCGTGTCAGCTGATGGTCGCCCGTCAGCTCGGACACTGTGATGTTGTATGAGTTGAGTCGCTTGCTGAAGTTTCCCACCATCTCCTGTACCAGAGACCGCATGGGGGCAACGTAGACAATCTTGAACTCGTCTCCGTTGATGGACCCGTCTGGGTTGATGTGCTTCCCAATCTCTCGCATCATGCACAGCAGGGCCACGTTGGTCTTCCCGGCACCCGTCGGAGCGCAGAGGAGCAGATTTTCGTCCGTTTCAAGAGCCGCCTTGTGCAGTCGGCTCTGAATGCGGTTGAGACTCCGGAAGCCCTCAAAAGCGGGCTGTGCATACTTTGGCAACTTGTCCACCGAGATCAGCGACTCACTGGCGCTGAAGGCCTTGGGCTTGAGGGCAGGCACGTGGATTTCCTCATAGCCCTTGCGTTGCTTCCGGAATGAACCATCTGGCAGCTGGCACCGTTTATTCGCCATGTAGTGACTGCCATGCTGGAAGGACAGATCCTCAAGGTCCAGCATCTTGCACTGCGACATCTGGACCAAGCTGTCCTCGTCCACCTCCATGGGCTCCAGCTCAGCATTGACGCGCGCCTGCCTGGCCTGCGCCCGCCGGTCTCGCTCCTCCTGGACCATGTCGTCTTTGTCTGTGTTCTCCAGCTGGCGCAGGATTTTCTCCAGATCCGGATCAGCCTGCATCTTCTCGCGCAGCTTGGACTTTTCCGTCGAGCTCTGCGACGAGGCCAGCAGTGTGCAGTAGAGAATCATCTGCCGGTGCTGGCGGAGGACCTTGATGAAGTCAAACTGGTTGAACCCAAGGAGCAGCACCAGCTGGTTCTCAACATCACGATCGTCCACAGCAGTCTTGAGAATGTCCAGGACTTCTCCGGCCTTGGTCTGGGCCACCACGGGGTCGTCATAGAACTTGCTCAGCTTGCGCTGCAGCCAGTAGGCGTCGATCTCACGCGGGTGCAGGCCCTTGCCGCTCTTGTGTCCGCCTTCCTGTCCGACCTTCAAATTGGTCGCCTGCAGCATGGTATCCAAGTGGGCCTCCTCGCCCTCGTTCTCGTCGTTGGAGTCATCGTCGCGGACCTCCCCGACGATCTCGTCGTCGTCCTCATCCGACTCCTCGAACTGGACGTTGACGCCGTACGTTTCGTCGATGTTTTCGTCGACAACCTGCTGCTTCTCGTCGACGCCGTAGTCGGTGATCTTCTTGCACAGGTTTACGAGCAGGGCGAACCGCTCCTCGGCGACGGGGCCCAACAATGCTTCTGTTTCCCGTCTGCGTTCGCTCTCTTTAGTGCGCTCGCTCTTGAGTACGGCCAAGATCTCGTCCGCGGCACCACAAAGGATATCGCGCGGCTGGTCGCCCAGGGCTTCCTGGATGAAGCTCAGCAACACCTCGTACGTCTGCTTGGTCTCCGTTGTCTTGGGGCGATACAGGATGCCGACCACGTCTTCCACTCCCTCCGAAAGAAGGGACTGACCCTTCAGCTTGGCTGCGTCGTACTTGTTTTCCTCGGCGGCGGCCTTTTTCTGCTTCTTGGACTTCTTTTCGTCCTTGCTGGGTTTGGTGCGCTGGTAGCGGTCTCCCATGCGGGAGCCTTCCAGCTTGCCCACCAGGGAGATGACTTCGCCGGTGGCCTCATCTCGGGGTCTTCTCTCGATCAAGCGTGTGTCGGCTTGGAGCACGAGGTTGGAGTTCGCTTTGTACTCATACTGAAGCGAACGAGCAGCGGCGTCCGCCATTACTTGCGCGCCGACATGCGAGTTTGCCGAACGATTCACAAACGACAGCTGCGTTCAGTTGATAGCGTCTGAGGCGTTTGTTCGCTGTCAGAAGAACGAGAGCGTAAAGTTGTGTCACGTGACGACGTAGTTTCACTCTTTAAACAAACAAATGAAGTTCTCATTTAAAAGAAAAATTAAATCTTGTAAGTTACGATGAATATAAAATTATAATTATAAATGTACATTTACAAAAACATATGGTATAGCGCCCCCAAGAGAGCGGATATGTCAAAACAGTAACAAATTAATATATTATAATATTAATTCCCCAAAAATGTGAGACAATTACATTTATATTAAAGTATAAAATATAAACATTATCCATATTGATTCTAATTTGCTTTAAACATTTGGGATGCGTTCGAAGACCCCACGTGGAGGCGGTTGGCGTGCCTTTTGACTCGAGCAATGGCGTCCGTCACCAAAGAAACGTTGACGGCTTCGCTTGTTTTTCAATATTTAAATGGCTTCAACAAGCCGCTCGCTGCCCAGTTTCGCACCAAAGTTGACGTGCAGCCCACGCCGACCGGATTACCAGACCTTGTCCGGGTTGTAGGCGGCTACCTGGACGCCTCACCGCAGCACCGCAAGCTACTCCAGTCGCCATGTGCGCCAAAAGGCGCGTCAAAGAACCACGACGTGTCTTCGTCCGACGACTCGTCGAGTGACGAAGAAAGCAACGAGGCCGCGAAACCGGCGACCTCCACTCCCACGGCCAAGATGAACGCCAAGCCGGGTAAGCAGGCACCCGCGAAGCTGGTGGCAGCGGCGGCGAAGAAAGCGGCGAGCGAGGACTCCGAATCCGACTCCGATTCTTCTGACGCGAAGACCAAAAAAACGCCCGCACCGGCAGTTCACGCAAAGGCTACCAAACGCCCGAAGCCGGATACGGATTCATCGGACAGTTCGGAATCGGACGCGCCGCCTGCAAGTAAAAAGGCAGCAGTACCGCTGCCCGTCTCCAAGAAGGCGGCTCCGAAAAAGCCCACCGGCGGCGCGCCAGCGAAAAAGGCGAAAAGTTCGAGCAGTTCCGACGACTCTTCCGATGAAGACGACCCCAAGAACAAGGCAGTGCTGACCAGGCCAGCACCGCCGAAGACTGCCAAGCCGCCGACGGGACTCAAAGTTGCCATTTCTGGCAAGGCTGTGCTGGCAGGCAAAAAGCAAAAGGAGAGCTCGAGCTCATCAGACAGTGACGACGAGCCACCCAAGGCAACACCTGCCAAGAAGCCGGCCGCTAAGCCTGCTGCAAAGCCGGCTCCCAAGCCGGCGGCTAAGAAGGACGACAGTTCCAGCGATGACGACTCCGAGGACGAAGCGCCGACTGCTAAGAAGCCAGCTCCTGCCGCAAAGCTGGCCTCTGTCCAGAAGAATGCTAAAGCAGACGAATCCAGTGACGACTCATCCTCTGACGACGACGAACCTCCTGCCAAGGGGAAGCAGACGCCGGCTAAAGCAGGAGCAGCCAAGTTGACTCCGGCCAAGACTCCAGCCAAGCCCACACCAGCCAAGAAAAAGGAGAGCTCCAGTTCAGATAGCGATTCTGACGAGCCAGCCAAGCCTCCAGCTAAAGGAAAGCAAGCGCCTGCTAAGCCAACACCAGCAAAGCCACTAGCCAAGAAGCCAGCAGCTGCGAAAAAAGATAGCTCCAGTTCGGATGATAGCGATTCGGACGAAAAGGAGAAGCCAGCAGCTAAGCCAGCACCAGCCAAGAAGCCAGTGGCTGCAAAGGAGAGCTCTAGTTCTAGTTCGGACAGTGAGTCGGATCAGAAGACCAAGCCTGCAGCCAAGCCAACCGCTAAACCAGCGGTCAAGCCTGGGCCAAAACCAAATGCCGCAAAAGCAAAGGAATCCTCTTCCTCTGATAGCGACGACGAAGATGACGAGCCGGCACCTCCAAAAGTGGCACCGCCAAAGCCGGGTGCAGCGAAGCTGCAAACCACAGCGAAGAAGCAGTCGTCGTCTTCAGACAGCAGTAGTAGCGAAGACGAGCCTCCCAAGAAAACGCCCGTTGCAACTCCGAAACAGCCTGCTAAGCCTGCGGCAAAGAAGCAGGCTTCTTCGTCCAGCGATGACAGTGATTCCGAAGACGAAAAGAAAACACCCGCAAAAACACCCGCCAAACAACCCCCTAAAAAGGCAAAGGAGTCTTCATCTTCCGACAGCGAAGACGACGACGACGAACCGGCACCCAAGAAACCAGCAGTTGCTGTGAAGGTCACCCCCAAAGCCCAGGTGAACCAAAAGGCACCGCAGAAGAAAGCGGAGTCGTCGGATGAAGACAGCAGTGACGACGAGGATGAGAGTCCAGCTGCCAAGACTGCTCCTGCCACAAAGAAGCCGGTTGGAAAGCCGGCAGCAGCTGCGAAGAAGGCGGCAGACGAGTCTTCGAGCGATGAAGACGACGAGGACAAAGCGCCACCGAAGAAGAAGGGCAAGAAAAAAGGAGACGCGGCGGCAGACTTCACGGGGATGAACGGTGATGGCGACGCCGACACTTCCGGAAAGGGTAAACGGAGTTCACCGTTCCGGAGGGTCAAGCCGGAGGCAGTCAACATCGACCCCAAGTTGAGAGACAACTCATTCGAGGCAAAGCCGGGAGCGCGGGGTTCGTGGGGCGAGAAGGCCAATCAGGTCCTTCGCACCGTGAAGGGGAAGGACTTCAGGCATGAGAAGACGAAGAAGAAGAGGGGCACGTACTCGGGAGGCGCCATCGACATGTCTGTCAACTCGATACGGTTCGACGAATGAAGGCATCGCAACAAGGGGGGGGGGGTGGGGGGGAGCTGACACAACTCGTTGTATAAAGGCAGACTTGAGTCATCGTTGCACTTTTTAATTAGCCTCACTGGGAGTTCTCATTTTCCTTGTCCACACATTAGGCTTGTGGGAGGAAGTCTTTGCAAGTGCTGTGCCTGTGGTTTGTTTTGGTGTAACCTGGCAGACGGTGAAAGCTACGGTCCCGACGAGCCAATTGGAGCAAGGCATGTGCCACAGGGGAGCACTCCTCTCGTGACGAGCTGTCACATGCTTTGCTTCGTTGCTCCGATTGGCTCGTGGGGGCCGTAGCTTTTTACCTTTCTTGAATTATGCTGAGACAAAGCGTATGGCGCGCACAGAGTCCGGTCTTTCTCTGGGACTGCAGGGAGTGGCATTGGTTGGGTCAGCACTAGTTGCTTCTGCGTCCATTGTCGAAGGTCAATAAACACCTGAAACCTCGCTGAACTGGTTTATTGTGCGTTTCTTCCGAGGTGTCCCCAGGGGTTAATTAGAACGAAAAAGTCTGAGTACCAATGTGGACACTGGCATCACAAGCTCCATCCTAGAGTTATGGAATGTTAAGATTATCATGTTAAGATTTATGGGTTTATGCCTACTTTGCTTTCCTGCTTCTGTGCAACCTTTCGATGGCATCAACGTGGCAGGTTTGATTCCCTAGCTACCAGTTCAATTGCACGTAGTAGTATAAGGCAGGGTAACGGGATGCTGATTGATGAAGGGCAGTACGAACTGCTGTGCATACTTATTTTATATATCAAATCGATCAAGAACCAAATAGTATATTTCATTCAAATAATGTCAACATGTGGTCATTTCAAGCACCCATATTTGGTGTTTTCTTTAACTTCTAAATTTTTTTAATAAATCTAGTTCTTAATTTAGAAAACAAAGCTGTTTTTTTATTAGAAACACCAATGACATAAGCAGGACTTGATAACAAAAATCAACATGTAAACAAAAGAATAAGAAATCGAGCCGAATTTGTTTAGGCTATTTCCATGCTTGTGTTTACTGCTCCAGATAATTCACTTGTAACTTACTGTATTCCCTGCGCCATACAACGGATGAAACCCATGCAAAGAACAAGTCGCCTGCTTCTTGTGCAGGTGTTGCGGCGGCGTCAGAATGACACCGAGCTGCGATTGGGTTTGATTGAAAGTGGGTAGGCTTCACCTGCCAGATGCCTGGTCTACCCACTATTTTTTCAGTCAGTCAATAAAAGCTCAGCATTCTGACATCATCGCAACCCCTAGGCGTAGACTATGGGGGGGGGGGGGGGGGGGGGGGGCATCAAGGCTCGTGCTTCCCCTGGTGAAATCAGGGGGTGGCAGAGCCCTCCCGGGCCTGGGCCATAATCCTTACCAAGACGCTGTTTACATGCCCTGTAACGAGCTTCTAGTAGCAGCATGTAAACAAAATAACACCCACGTTGCCTTTATTGACAAAATACATGGGAAATAGAATCCTAGCGTGTTTTCGTTAGCTTCAATCTCCAGTTCTGGCGAGAAGGTAGCGCGCAGCAGCACCCCCCCCCCCCTTCCGTGAAAATGGAAAGTCTACGCCGCTGGCTCTGCATATAAAGGTAATAACTAAACAAGATTTGACAAAAATACCCGCGAAGAGCAGTCCATGTAAGTTTTTTCACAATACTTAACTATACTTGATAAACCTAAAATGTGAAAAAGATAGCGTCAGAACAGACTATCGCAGTCTATCATACTAATAAAACTGCGGCTAATCCAGCCGCAGTTTTATTCAGAAACCGCACAACGTCTCGCTTTGGAATAGTGCTTTCCCTTCAGCACACGGGTGCGCTTCGGCGGAGCAAGGTACGCGAGATTGAGACGTGCAGTTGCCGCTTCACTGCAATACACCACTGTGCGGTGACAAGCGCTCTCAAGGATGCTAGCTATCCAGTCGGAAATGACAACGAGCATGAGCAATGTTGACCGACTTCCAAGTACTGTCAATGTTTGATACAGATATCAAGTAGTGTTACCCAAGGCAATAATTGAATGTTTTGGAAATTCGCACAAGCCTACCGTAACGATATGGCCATGTAGCAGTGCCTGCTTTATTATAGTCTCAGTACCAAAAAGAGTGAAAATAAGTTTTGGCACAATGTTGGCACTAGTTCCTCATACAACATGTAGCAGGGTGTGCCAGGGTAAACGCTTTGGCGAAAATGGCACAGCAATCCCATCACCGCACCTCCATCCCATTCTGGGGAATAGAGTTTCCAACAATCCTTATGCTTTCAACTCCTAGGAATGAAGACACTGGGCTCATACCCACCACCGGAATGGCTGAACCGTTCTATTCCATTCCCCTAATACCTAAACCTGAAAAATGGCTCTTGAAAGCTACATTGTGCTGCCGGCTAAAGCAGCATGAAGGTGATGTTATTAAACACATAGAGAACTGCAAAAATGTGCAAACCGCGTTTTTAAAGCACCAAATTACTAAGCCAAGCGGTGGTCGCAAAAAGCGCTTGGTAGCTCTGCAGAAATGGATAATGCGATCAAGCGTAAAAGCCTCGCAAATGGTAAAAGTTTAAACCACCCATTTTTTTTTCGCAAACAGATGATACATATGCCTTTCCTTAGGAGATGCAAGTTTGTTTGACGAGGCCTAAAAAATGTCTTGTTCGTGCGTGGCCGTTGGTCCACTTTGACCGTATGCTAGCATTGTGCAAGCAGGCCGTAGGCCCCCTAGCTCAAAATCGACACAACTCACACAAGAACCAAGCGCACTTCATTCCCACTCCATTTCGTACAAAAGGCATGCAATTCCATTCTCATTCCATTCCTGGGTCGCAGAAGGGCGGAATCTTTCCTACTCCCGAGAGGCAACTCTGCAACACTGCTCCGTTGCCCTTATTGGCTGCAGGATGTGTTAGTCAGGGTACGTTTCAGTAGCTGTTAATGCACCACACAATGTACTGTACTTAGGTTGCCAGTCAAGACCCCCTTTCTAGAATTGAGGTGTTTGCATATTTGTGCTAACTAAGGCTACTTCACGCATTTCCAGACGAGCGACAGACTGCATTGCACTAGCTTGCGATTGCTTACAAGTTAACAATCTGGCTCCAACACAAATGCCCGAGCCATCCTTTAGCAGCTGGTCCCCCTCTACAAGAGCAATGTGGAGTGCAAGTTTGCCTGCTTCTTCAGCAGGGATTGAGGAGACGTCGGTACACCGAGCTTCGACTGGAAAAATAGTGCATAGACCTCAAGGCAAGGCTTTGATGGAAGGATAGCAGACTAACCGCTATCCTTCCATCAGTCAACCTGAGCTTGGCGTTTAAACATCAGTGTGACCCCTACGAAAAAGCAGACAAACTTGCACTCCGCATAGGGTTCTGCCATATTGCGCGATCAATTGATCATTGTTGAATGAATCACCAAGATGTGGAATTTTGGCATTTATGCTTACATGCTTAAACCGAATTTTAAGAGCATGATGTGTGCAAGGAAGACAAGCAATTCCATACATGCAGCAGTTTCATTGCATGGATTGTCCAGTTCTTATGCTGTAACCACCTCCCAAGGCTCTTTCATACTTCTTGCCCGTGTCCACGACTAGAGCTAAAGCACATGACGCTGGTCCTGGAAGGTAAGGCCATTCCATGGTTGCTGGCAAGATATTGGCCACTGGGAAGATCCGAAGCTTGTGAACGCTGAAAGCGGTAATGACCGATTAGGGATGCAATATATTCTGGTTTGCTTTCCATGATGAGGAATTTCGGCAGGAGTGTAGGGGGGGAGATCAATTGATATTCACTATCTTATTTTAAGATATAACAACACATGGCATAACTTTCTACTGCACAACCATGGAAGTTTTAATGATGTCAAAACACTGTGCATACCGCTGTTGCAGCAGAGCTTCATGTGCAAGTGGGAAACCATTTTTGCAGTGCTATTGCAACGAGAAAATCTCGGAAAAAAGTTGCACCATGTGAAGCCAGCCTGAAAGAGATCTGCAATCTGCTCTGTCAACTTGCACGTTTTTCCCGCAGGCAGCAGCAGACGACCCGTGCGAAAACCCGTGCGCCGAATTCAAGGGGGAGTCCCAACAAAGGTTCAACATTTTATTATGCATTTTCAGTATAAACATTTTTACACGTATATGAGCAATGTGGTCAAAGTAATGAATGCATGCCCTCCTCCCTTCTGAATTTTGATGGGAAGCTGACCCCCAAGATGTCCGCAACGAGAAAATTTGCTCCGACGACACTCTTGGGCAGCCCGGCACCAAGGTTTGGGCAGTTGCTTGTTGTTCCACCCTTTGCCACAGTTAAGGTAATATAGAGTGCAGCTCCAGCGGACCCAACGCTGTAAAATGAGCCGAAAATAATCGGCACCTGCGCATAGAAAACTCAAACTTTCACCGCATATACAATAAGCAGGTCAGTTTTACCTTGTGTAATTTCAAGGTGTGGTTCCCCCGCAAAAAATGAGAGCAACAAACTTGCCAAAGCCAACATCGCGTGCATTCATAAACAATCAAGTCAGCGATGCCATCTGCCAACAGTGCAGCGAGCAGACGACAGAGTGTCTCGTCTGCTCGCTACGCCCGTCGGTAGATGATACCACGAGTTAAAAACGTCGCTAGCTCGATCATCTGCAGATGCGCCCGACATTGGCAAGTTTGTTGCTCTCCTTTTTTTTATAGGAAGAGAACTGCCCCTTGAAATTGCATGACATGAAACTGACCTGTTCATTGCACATCCAGTGAAAGTTTCGAGCTTTCTGTGTGCAGGCGCCGATATTTCCAGCTCGCCTTGCGGCGTCTTATCCACCGGAGTCGCTCCATACTATGTGCTGCACCGTTAAAGCTTGACGCGTCCAAGGAAAGGGTTCCGATAGGAGCCCAGGTAAAGGTGTCCCTCGTGCTCCAGCGCCTCGGAGAGCATGTGGATCTTGTGCTGGGGAGAGTGCAGGCTGCGCACGATGTGGCCGCCGGCGTCCAACTCCGCCACCAGGCCGTACTTCGGGTAGGAGCCATACAACACCCAGCCGTTCTCCAGCTGGAATGGAAAACAATGATGGGGTCATGTCAACGACATGCGACCGACACACTCCAATCGAAGGCACATTGGTCAACGACATGCTTTCGGTGAAACTCCGACATGCTTTCGTCCAAAGTCAGCTTCAGGTTAAGAAAAGTAGGACAAGCCGGTTCTCGTGGCTTCATCGTCCAACTCTTCTCTCCAGCGTTCGTCCTGATAAGGTGGAAAGAGCGGGGGGGCTTTGTAGGAGGAGCGTGTCCTGCATTTCTCGACCTGCAACAGGCCGATGCGCTTCGACTAATGTTTGAGAAAAGCACGTAATTCGTACGGTGAACTCGGCTGTAATCGCCGACAAGGTGAGAACGGGAGGGGAGGAGCACCAATTGTCCCACCCCCAGTGCAAGTCTCCTACCTTTGAGAATGCTTCAACAATTCGTGCACCTCAAGCGCGTGCGCACGCAGCCGAAGCATGGTGGAAGGCGGCCGTTTAAAAGACACAACATGCCACTCTCATTCCGTCAGTGACTATAACCCACACTCTCAATCTCCAACATGCAAGTAGCCAACTCGAGCCAAGCACCTAAAATTCATAACTGAAACTCGGGTAACTCATACCTCAACCTTCGACGCGTTTTCGGCCGACTCGTGCAATTAACACAAAAAGCCTCCACAATCTTGTTGGTGAAAAGCCGGACGTTAACGTCGCCGGAAGGACCCCGTTCACCTGAGCACCGAGGTCCTTGAGGGCGGGAGAAGGGTAGAACCGGTCAGCGTACTTGACCGCCGCGCCGAGCAGGTAGACAAAGCGTATGGTGGCCTTCTTGACAAGAGGGTACCGGGCCACCAGGTCGAAGATGTTGGTGCTGTCATTACCGCGTCCCGTGGCGAAGGCCACCCAGTAGCCGCCGCGCTTGCTGGGTCGGATGTTGTCTGGCTCTCCCGGCAAGTTGTCGGCAAACACCTCTGTCTGGCCCTTCCTGGCTCCGCCCAGGTGGTGCCTGGTGGGCGCGGGTAAAGCAACGATTGACAGCAACGCCCGTGGCATCGGCACTTTCAGCACAGTGTGTGGGACACGGTCTCCGAGAAAAGTGAAACAGAAGGCCGCAGAAAGTGCAACACATACCTACTCCAGAGGACAGTCTGTACAGAAGAGTGGGAAATTGAAAGGAGAAAACAAAATTCTAAACGCTCCCAAAGCGAAATCGAATCAACGACCCCGTGATTATAAGCTTGACATTCTACCACCGTGCCAATTAAAGGGTAAGCACAAAGCCAGCCAGGTTTCTCTGTACCATGACGGTCTTTACTACATATTTGAACGCAAATGCCGGCATTTGCGTTTAAAACGGTTTATGGGAACAAGCAAAGCATATCCAAGACGTGCCCACCATCACTTACAAAAGGACAGAGTTTGTAATAAAATAACATGCTATAACCACTAGCACAAGCCTCAAGAATGTCGTGGAAACATATTCTTTGTATGTATATTGACTCGATCTGTAGGCTCAAGATGAATTGAGCACTTTTTTAAGGGCCCCTATCTGATGCCAATGCAACAGTTACTAGTCCCTGTTGAAGATTAAGAAAAGCAGGACAAGCTGCCCCCCAAAGCCTTACAGTCTTTCCACTATACTGTCTAATCTTGTTAAATCAAACTCTCTTAATTCAAACTTGCGGATAATTCGAACTAACATGAAGGTCCCATCCTATGCGTCTCTATGGGAGAAGACTCCCGGTAATTCAAACTTTGCTTTATTCAAACAAATTTTTGGTCCCCCTCGAGTTTGAATTAACGAGATTCGACTGTAGCAGGGCAATCACTGGAGGAGGAGAGTCCTTCCTAGCCTTCACTTGGCTCCTCTCCAGCCTTTACTCTGCCAAAGTGGCCAAAGTGTAGGGCTTTGAGGGAAGAGCCTGCCCTGCTTTTTCTTGACCTGCAACAGGGTATACTTTGTTTGCAATGCCTGTGCCACTCAACAAACACCCAATTTTTTTAGTTGCATATGCTCACAAGCCATTAAGGCTAATGCTCCACTGGCAGAGTTCCCGAGTCTCCTAAGAAACTAGATGTTAGTCAAGCTTTGGATGGTCCTTCGGTCCAGAGGATTTGCAGTTGACAGGCTATGAACGCCCCAGAAGGAAAGGGTCCAAGAACCTACACGGCGAACAAGCCGCCCAAAACGCGTGTCTCCGAGCACGACAGGGGAGGCGTGAAAATAAGAAATGAAGTTCCGCCCCTGCAGGCGGAGTTTGTTTTACCGTGGGTAGCTAACATATTGGCTGCGAGTTCTACAGCTTGTTTTAGTGCATTGGGCATTGGGTAGCGTGCCCCTTGAGGTGGTTTCTCTTTCCTCTCTCAGGGGCAGAGTCCTCGTACGTAACGAACTGACGAATTCCCGACAGCTGTAGAAAAGGCAAGGCAGCCGTTGTTGCTCCGACCAGCAAATTACATCGTGTTTCAGCAATTTCTATACTTCAATACGAGCTCAGTGTCGTGATACCACCCTACCTGTGTTCGAGGAGCAGACGCTTGCTGTGTAGGCTACGTGTTGGACGCGGTGAGTTTCCAGCACTTCATGCAATTCCATCCGGTCAATGCGCCCCAAACGAAGATACGAGGTGCGACGATTTGATTCCCAGAATGTCCACAGCATAACGCTGGGAGAGTGAGCTGGAGAAACATCTTCGAGCAAGTCCAGACACATGTTCCAACTTGCACTATCTCCAATGCAAACAACTAAAACGCATCTCTTTGAGCACGAAAAGGGGAGGTGCAAAAAGGCGAGAGGATCAAACAGAGAGGAAGAGGTCGTACCTGAGCACCCTCCGTGTGCCAAGCTCACAGACCAGCAGGCTTTGCTTGTCTTGGGAGAGCTGCACTCCGTTGGGGAGCCGGAGGTTCTTCATCAGCACTGTGGTTTTCCGGGTCTTGGTATCAAACTTCAGCACCCTTTTTGTAGGGGGGGAGAGAGAGAAGATAATTAGGTAAAGGTGTTTCATAATTAAGTCCTTTATTCACTTTTTACTTCTGTCCATTTGAAAAGGGGAGGTAAAGACAAAAGAACTTTGGGTGCTGCGTGACGCACCTTTTTCGGAGAAAGAGGAAGATTAACGGTAATAGGGAGTTTTAGTAGACTGTTTTACCAGCTCCAACAACTATCCGCAATAGTGCTACGATGTGTGCGCAAAGACACCGGGAGAGTATCATACACAATATCAGAGCAATCTACTAAAACCCCCAATGCACTTGTTAACACTTGTTTGAATGCTTGCTATAGTTACTTTAGGGGGATCTCTATGGAGTAAACGTGCACTTAATTTGAAGTTTGGCTTAACTCCTGAAATGAAAAGACGTTTTTCGTGGATTCCAGATCTTTGTTGGTCGTTATAACGATTTGCGTCCATATCTGACGGGTTCTAGTAGTTCTTCAGTCTGGTATTCAAAATATTTAGGTAGGCAAACCCTCCACATTCACACGTTGCCTCACCCCTCTTTTTGTGGGCTGTACACACTTTGCATGTCCGCACCAAGTTCTCTTCCTCTTTTCAGTTGGTGAGAGGTGCTGTGGGATGTGTTCCAATTTAATACCGGCATACCATAAACGACTTAATTTTGGTGAGGACCTATTTTTCCCAACTTTTTTGACCTCCAAGAATATAGCAAACATTTGACCTTGTGAACATATATCATTCCACGGTAAAGGATGTATAACACGCCACTTCAAATCGCAAAATTTATTGCCTGCAAAAAAAGAACTCCCAAAGACATTGGTGGCCACCAATGTCACTTGACGGAGATTTAAAAAGGGTCGAGTGGCCTCGATCGTATCACACTCTTACTTAGATTCAAATTTACCGGAGGAAAAATTGTGATATTATACCGGGTAACTGCAAAGAAAAAAAAGTTTTTTTTTTTTTAAACAGCCTAATTGGGATAAGCATCTCACAAAACAAATCTTCCGCAAAAACAAAATTTTTAGAAATATTTACGTTGCACGACGTAATTTAGTCGAAGTCACAACCTCTCCACATTTGAAACACCCGCTCTTTCGACCCGCGCTTAGGAAAAGTATGCCCCGCCCCTCACTCTTGGATTTGCTCTTGGATTGACTTGGCTGCGGAGTATGCAAAGTCTCGACTTCCGGCGTGTCTTGTCGTCTTGTCGAATGTCGCACATCGCGCGGGGCGGGTGGGGGGAACGGGGGGAAGGTTTCGCCGATGTACACTGGAACCTAGAGCCGGTTTACTTTCGCAGCTTTTGTTTGGTCGGAGAAAATCTGGCAACAACGCACATTCAACATGGTGCCAGTACTGCTTTAGTTTGACAGGGTGCGAGAAGCTTCGCGGTTCGCGAGCACATGTAGCGGAGACATGACCCAAGAAGTGCCCCTGTGATGTCCCCGGAAGACGGAAAGTATCATTCGTAATCGTCGTGTGTGCTTTGAAAGCGAAGGGAGTCACAGAGTCCACGAGTGCGCAACCACAAGCCAAAGTTCACGACAGCACTGCGCTGACTTCGGCAATCTCGTTCTGTTTGGTGCAACACGGCGATGCGACGAAGAACTGAAACGTTTGTGGTGTGTGGTGCGGGGCTTGGAATTAGAAACCCACACTAACAAAGAGGGCAAATTGGATGTTGTGGGGTTGAGGCTCAACGGGTTCAGCGCCGTCGTCATCAGCTGATCCGGTCCAGCTGGTCCGGGAGGACGCAGCGAGTGTTTTTAAAAGTAAATCTTCCTTCGTTTCGTTTCAAAATATAAAAGGTTCCCGATGCATACCGTGAGTGAAAAGCTGCGGGGCGATTTCAACAAAATTACGTCAATTTAATTGATCAATGGACTCGGGGGTTCTTGTCCTAAATCTGCCACTTTTATGCTTTGTGTTGTTAGACTTGAAGTAGATGATTCGGTCCAGCAAACGACCGGTTATACAGAATTTCAGGGAAACGTAAGTCACCACCGATATTTTCCTGTAAGTCTCATGAGAGTTTGTTGCGCTCATCATGCCGTGTGAATAAATTTGGGCAAGATTTCCTCCCTGCCACAGATGCATGAACTGAGACCGTTTTTTACGGAGTGAATTAACATAGTGCCTTCGTTTGCGTTCGCATCATGCCAGTCGTTTGCGTCTCTCCAGCAAAACGAATAAGATGATCTACAAGGGCGTAATCACAAGCCAAGATTTGCGATAACAGTACACATTCAATTCAAACAACTTTACGTAAGATGGTTCGGAGCCAAGAAAAAAAAAAAAATCTGTACTCTAACGCAGGATTTGGACGTTCGAAAGCTTTTGCAGACAGCTGTGATGTAATAACCTGGCTATGCCAGGTTTTTTTACGTAACAGCTGCGTCTTGGTTGCGGACGTTCGGTGCACCCGGTGCGAATTTCGAAGGCCTCCAGAGCGAAATGAAGAGGACATACCTGGACACTTTTGTTGCTACGCGAACGTCCTCCAGCCAAATAGCATTCAGACTGTAATCTTTCGGGGCGACATGGCTGCTGGAAGACTCGCTTCCGCAATCACTCATCTGGGAGCACTTCACAGAGCAACAGTGCTGTTTTACAGGAGCTGACATCTCCAAAAAATTGGCATTTGTACGTGCAAAAAAAAAAAAAAAAAGCGCTTAGAAAGCAAAGAGGGAAACAAAAGTAACAAACCGCGCTATGAAAGCCAAAACCCCGCGTCGCTTCCTACCACCCTCACCTGCGACAGCTGCTAAACACACACTGCTTCACTTCAGCAAGTCTCACTCAAGCACCTGGGTCAACACGAAACACTGATCACTTCGGCAAAACAGCTAGTGGAGGTAGGCAAGATAGGCGGGAGCAGAGCCTTTAGGCGGCCATGAAAGAACGGCGAAGTTTTGTTTGTTATGGTACGAATCCAAACGGAAGTGCCCGTCTTGGAAACATTTTGTAAAAAATAATAACTGATTACATGGGTTATTCTTTAAACGTAAAAATATGCCGCTCAAAAGGAAATTACCACATATAACTAGGGTTTAACAACCAAGATCTGAGATGTCAATCAAACTTTTAGCCAATGAGAAGTATAGCAGCCAATTGGGGCTAAACGTCACGCAACACCAACTTTGTGGCGCGCAATTTAAAATGGACGAAATGGCCGCCAACTAAAATCAGTCTCACCCAATAAATATTGCTCTAAAAATTTTTTTTCTCCCGGAAAAATTTAATTTTTTTGCAGTTACTTTTTAAAGGCCCGTTCACACCCTCGCATTACCTATCATACAGATAACGCCAGTGTATTCGCTCATTGCAAGAGATCCCAAAAGGTTTCTTAAGGCATTTGGTCATAAGCAGTCGCAAGTGTGTGAACCAACCTTTATTAATAATATTAATAATAATTGCATCGAGTGCACGTCGAGACAGACGGGAGTTAAAGTCGGCCTCAACGAGCGTGTTGTGTCCTGGCAGTATATGAGAAAAACTGCCGGCCAGGGTCTTTAACGTGCCCCACGCAGTAGCGATACACGACCGCACCCCGGTACGATGTTTGCCCGGATCAAAACGGCAGAGGTGCAAATTGAACCCAGAATTTATGGGTTCCTGCAGTGTTAGCTTTCGCACCAGGTGCTCCGAGCTGTGACGAGCTAACAGACTCTGTCACTGATCTCTCAGCCTTTATTCGTGGCTCTATATATACAAGAAAAAAAAAAAAATTAAACCAATGTCCGATGAAATCGAGAAAGATGGAGAGATAAATGGGGTCCACATACCTCCCGGTGTCCTCGTGTTCCATTATGGTGTAGAGGATCTTGTTAAGCTGCCACTTTCCGCTCGCCTCCGTGATGTAGAGCATGCCCTGGTCATCTATGTCCAGGTCGTCCAGAAAGAGGATGCGCTTGCCCTCTACCTCTGTGCCGGCCGGCAACAGGTGCTGGGCCGCCCCTGCGGAGGAACGCTCAGCCTCACTGCGAGGCCCATGCATATTCTCTCTTTCCGACAAATCCCCCTCACCAAATTTTCCACCGTTTCGACAGACCTTGTAAATTAAGTGCAATTTTATTGTTCACTAGCTATCTCTCATTGCATATCTGTCGAGCATTCTCCTAAATTATGTGCAATTTCGTCATCCATTGTGCCTTATCGAGTATCTACATTATAAATATTGGCTATAAAACAGTGGAGTATGCAATCTGACCGCATTGTTTCTATAAATGATTGGTATATCTGCAGCAGGACCCTCTTCTTCTCTAAGCCAAATATATAGATTCTAGTGTTTTAATAATATATGTTCATCTGGTGACAAGTCTTTTCTTATACAGCTGAGCCTCGATTTAACGAAGTCACCGGGACCCGCTAATTATTTTGTTAAATCGGGAACTTCGTAAAGTCGAGGAAGGGAGACTATACATATAGATATGTTCACTTTCCTGTATCGGGGGGCATTTTTACTATCTTACGCAATCTTCAAAGAGGATGTAATCGAAAATATGCAGATGAATTAGTTGTGCTAATCGACTGGAGTATAGCAGCCGACAAAAGACCAAATTTTCAATGATGCCGAGATTCAAACCTTGAATCTCCGAATTGCCAGTCGGTTACTAGAGACTTAAAGTTTGAATCACAGTGCCACCCAAGGTTTTGTTTTTCGGTGAGGCTTTGGAACTATTATTTCGTCGTATCGGTATGGCTCATTTATTTGCACATTTCGTATTCCCTGCCCCAGAGAACACCCACCCGGGTCCTTGGGAAAAAATAAACGACGACAATCACTACTGACAAGTTCCAAATCTGTCAAAAAAAATTTTGCCTGCTAAACAGAACCACATTTTAACTGTTTTAGAGTTTGAGCTTTTCGCTTTCACCATTCGAAAAAGGAAACGGGATTAACGTGCGTACCAGTGTTGACGTTCACCATGTAGACACCATAGTAGGCGTCGACGACATACAATTTTCCCTCTTTGTCGAAGCGCATGCCCAAGGGTCGACCACAAACCTCCTCTTCCCAGAGTCCCTCTGAAACCAAAGGCAGCACAGTTCTGTCAATTTACGATCCTTTAATCACTTATTCTAGTTTGCCGTATTTTCCGGCGTGAAAGTCATGGATTTTTACCAAAATTTCAGTCGGTGCATCTCGTACAACGGTGCGGAAATTTGCCAAAGGGGTTATATTTTTCGCTCGTTGACAAGAATATTGTAACTTGTCCTCGCTTGTGCGTTTACTGCGATCAAAACACAGATATGCGGGCTTTTCAATGCAGTTATGCTGCACCAAGCCAGGGATTTTTTTTTGGGGGGGGGGGGGGGGGGGGGGGGGCTGAGGTGGCTGGGATGTCTATGACTCGGGGTGCAGAGAAGGGAAGGGGGAGGGGGGTCGAAATGCATGTTCATATTATGAAGTCGGCTGGATTTCAGGGGAGGGGCTGAAGCCCTAGAAGCCCCCACCCTGGCTACGCCCCTGGTATGGCTTATGTACCCACTTTTTTAATTTTAAACATCTGGTTTAGTGGACGTGTGATTTACAGACAAGAAAATACAGTAATACCGTAAAACACCGGAGAAATGCCCACCTCACTTCAACTGAAAACTGGGTCGATCTCGACATGGACGTTTGTCTGGTCAAATCTGACGCTTAACATATTTTTGTGGAATTCCCAAGTTTTGGGAACTGTTAATAGTGGGCGCTTCCACGGTATTTTACGGTATAAAGCTTTTAGGATGAATCGTACAAATGATACAGTCATCAAAAACATCCCAGCACGCGAAAATTCGTGCCAATATTAACTGGCTTAACAGTTTGCTGGAACTGAATTGCACGATACTGCAAGACAGGAGTTACGGACACCAGTTGCGCATGCAGAGAGAGGTTTTAGCCCCCCCACTCCCAAATTGGCTGCACCATTGGTGGAAATAAAGAGCACTGGTCCCTTCCAATAAAAAAAACAAACAAGAGCGGCATTTTGTAGACTCCTTTGTTCCAGTGTATGTAGCACATGCCCTATCTTTTGCGAAACCTAGTGTGCAGCCATAATGAACATTGGCGGCATGCAAACGGCATCAGATCACGTGGCCGCTCGTTTCGGCCAAGAGTTGAGAAAGAAACACTGCCCGTTTTTCTCCAATTTTTTCCCGCAACTGCCGTCGTGTGGAAAGAAAAAGAAATGCCTGTTTTGTGGGCTATTTAAATGTTGAGGATTAGCTCTAAGCGGTGTTTACCGAAAGTGCAAAACTCGCATTTTAATAATATATCGCAAGAGGACTTTGGCTATTAAGTTGTTAAAATACACTATGATTTATGCTCTACAGCTGCTATGCACAAGATACTATGGGAAGAGTAAATGCATTAAATAATTGGCAGTTCAAATAATTGTAGGCATTCAGCTGTGCAGCAAAAAAAAAGAAGATATTCATGCACTTTTTTTTTATCTAAGCAATCCTACCAGCTGCACCTCTGCTAAATGGTATGTTTTGTGCCCATTTAAGTGACGCTCTATAAAGCACAAGATGCTCATTAAGCTGTTGTAATTCATTGTAAATTGGAACCAGGTTAGATAGTTTTTTTTATTTATGTCTTTTCCTGGATTTTGGTGCGTTTTATATGCGAAGTTGTGCTGTACACTGAGTAACTCTTAGCACGAACATGACATTGGTGCTTTCTCGCATTTAACATTAAGTTTTACAGCTTGGGTTAATGCCCCAGTTGAGCACTTTCCATCACACTACCGTAATATCCCGAAAGATAGCCCACTTCATGCGAGAGCAAATTGGGAGGAAATGAAGACTGAGCTAACGTTCAGTGTGCAATCGTGAAAAATTAAAAAAAAAAAGGTATTCGTGTGCGACCTGCCAAACTTGTTTTGACATTGAGGGGCAATGGAGCATAGACAACAGTACTTCCCAGTTAGCAATGTTTGCTCATCTCTTGCCACTAACTAACCCCATTTCGGCCGAGGTCACCACGCGTCGCCAGACCACTGCAATCACTAGAAGTGGGCTATCTTTTGGTGCTCTTAAAAAAATACTGGGAATCGTGTCAAAATCGGGGTGGGCTCTCTTTTGGGGTGGGACATCGTTCGGTATATTACAGTAGCAGTTTGGATGGCGGCCTTCAATTTCCAATTGAGAAAAATAGAAAAAAAAAAAAAGTGATTCCTTGTTTGCTCTAAGAGTTTCGTGCTGTGTACAATATGATAATCTCAAACATAGTGACATATCCGCATTACTGCAATATACAGTGTCCCCCAAAAAAACATTTGCAGTGCTTTTCTCACAGCAAAAATGAAACCATATGCATCAGTCTGCATCCAAATGCGCCATCCGGATACCAGATGCCAAAGTAACCGTTAGCTTATTAAAAATCTATAAATAATAAACCGCAATTTTTTTTAAACTTCCAATGGAAAATGGGGTCCGTTCCCGAAACTTGATGCCAGCATTATTTCCAATTTTCCCATTGAAAGTTTCTGAAAATTGCTTGAAACTTTTAAACGAAAATATGGCAAATGTTCAACAAAGCAATTTACTAAAAACAAAAATATATTTTTTTTTTTTTTTGTAACGGGACGGCCTTGACACGTCGCATGAAGCACGAGGAAAAAGGGCTCACCGCATTTCCTGCCGAGTTTAGCAACAAGCGTGACCTTGCCCCCGGTTATCTTGTAGATCTCTCCGCCCTCCGTTCCCGTGTAAATGCTCCCTGAAATATGATCGCCCAAATACAAAAATTAACATATATGATCCATCTCGGATATCCACTTCACAACGCCGTAAGACACGAAGAGAAGGTAGAAACGCTACAGGTGGTTTTCCATCTTACCTTTGTACACCGCTAGCGATTCCGGACCGCGAAGTTTGTTTTTGAAGAGAAACTCCACTGCATCCAATTTGTTGTTCGGTGCTAGCGGACCCACAAACCCGGGTAAACTTGCCCTGAAATGTTGTCATTATCGCAAGTTCGGTTATCGTGCCATTTTTAGAAGCACAGATATCACGCTACTGAGAGCGACTGCCTTCTCTAGGAACACAAAACGAAAGGCAGCTTGCTGTCGTTATTCGAGCCCTCTCGTAATAATTAACTATAAAAACAATATATAATAATAAAAAGTTTGCTGGTCACACAGTGTCCGTTTACGAGTTCTTCAACTCACGTGTTTGCTTGGGGCTCGAAGTCCAGCGACATTGGAATGAACGGCAACACGAGCAGAAAAAGTGCCAACAGGGTGGCAAGTTTAAAAAGCCCCGTGAAAACTCGCACAACCATGACTGCTTCGTTCCAGTAGCTTCAGTTTTGAAGAGAAGTCCCGCCGCTGTAAAGAAAGCTCCGAGCTAGAGTCCTGCGCAGCCGCGACCTTCAGCTAATCCGGATTAGTGAAAAAAGTAAAACAGCAACATGGCAACACCACCGCGGTAGCAACCGGTTTTTGATGAAGTGAGTGAAACGACGAATCTGCCCGATTTTTGCCGCCCGACTTCGCCCAAGCTGCGCCCGAGCTGCCTGGAGTGCCGGTGGCGCTATCTATGGCTCTGGCGCTATCGATATGTGCATCACGCGCCGCGCGTGGCGGACAAGAAGTGCGCTTGCAGACGACATTTTTTTCATATTTTTCGTCTGCAAGCCGCGCTCGCAAACAAATATATTTTCCACGTAACTTTCACGCACCTTAATTGACTTTACGAGCGGAGATACATACAGCTCGACAGTGAAAATGCCAAATCGCCAGATCATTAGAAAGGAAGGCCCGACCGGTTAGGAGAGGATAGGATCTTCTCCAGGAAACGAGAGGGACGGTTGTTCTCGAGTGACGTTTGCGATACCGAGGATAAAGCGGCACCGCGAAGCGCAGGACAGTCTACTGTCGCTCGCACGCGCTGTTGCGTCCGTCTTTTATCAGTCTTAACGCAGTGCGGCTAAAAATATGGAGTGTTATCCGTGCGAGACACCGGGCTTATCAGACAAAAATCACTCTGGAAGTTTTTTTTTTTTTTTTTTTTTCTACTGATTTTAGCTTAAAAAAAGAAGTGCAAAAATTACATCTTTTTTTTTTTTTTATAAAATTTCCATTTAAAAAAAAAATTAAAGGCGGCATCTAGATGCACATGTAATTACTGTAGTATCAAGAAAAAATAAAAGATAAAATAATAAATAAAAACACCACAATTGTTCTTGGTGAATTTCAACAAATATATGAACATAAACATAAAAAAAAAAGAGAAATCAGGGGTGCTCATAAAATATAGCTAGAGGAAAAAAAGAAAAAGAAAATGATCGCTCGCAAAGGTGTGCTGATTGAGCAACACTTCAGTGCTGCAGATGAATCAACGTTGAGATGAATTGACTCCAACAGATGTCCAGTTCGATGATTGTGTATTTGACTAAAGTGTTCATCAGTTTTTTGTCCACCATACAAAAAAGAAGAAAGATTTGTCGTCAAAAATGTTTCAAAACGCGAGTCTAGACAGGAACAAAGTGAATAGTTAAAATTCAATTAAAAAAAAAAAGTAGACAAAAAAAGAGACTGAGGTACATGCAGCATCAACACATTTCCTCAATTAGTATGCGCACAGTTCAGTTAACCCGTACAGTCTTTCACATCACCAGCACACTGAGAGATAAAAAGTTTTCTAGAACCTTCACAGATGCAACTCTTACGTAAAGTGAGGACTGTGTTCCTCATAGTCATATCTTCTGGAATGCTCCACACAATTCTAAAACCCTAAAAAATAGGTTTAAAAAATCTTCATGGGCGCACAAAAATCATAAAGAGAAGCGCACGGTGTCAGAACTCTGCCCCCTAGTCATATCTTCTGGAATGCTCCACACAATTTTAAAACCCTTTAAAAAAATAGGCAAAAAATTCAAGGGTGCACAAGAATCTCAGAGAAACTTGTATACAATAGGCTCGTTTGATCTACTTGCACCTCCTGCATCACTAGAGAAAAGTTTAGGGCGGTTTACTTCGGTCGTATTTTAATGCACACATCGGAAGTACACTGCCCCACACTTTTCTGCACTGGTGCAGGAGGTACAAGTGAATCAAACTACCCTAATGTCAGAACTGTGCCCCTTCGTCATTTCTTCTGGAATGCTCCACACAACTTTAAAGCGCTACAAACAGGTCGAGAAAATCTATTCAGAAACACACTTGGCAATTAGTTCGCTTGGCAACTGCACCTAACGAGAAATAATTTCCCATATATATATATGTCTATGCAAAAACTCCAATAACATCCACAAACTGTACATCAACAGCTAAGGTAATGGAATGCCACAAAAACTTTAAAAAAAAAATGAACAGAAAACAAACAAATATAGATACGCTGAAACCTCTTCACCTTTTACACTTGTGAATGTGGACTGTTGCAACTCAGAGAGGCATTCACCGTGGGACACTAGCTACGTCGGTGACAGGTGTCGTTGTAGTGGTTGACGAGGTTTCGTGGTATTAAAATGTTGTTATACTACGCACTACCCAAATAATCTCTTTGGAGCGAGTTTGGTCAACGCTAAGCATGTACAGCCACACCTCCGAGTGATATGCAAATTTTACAGTTCACTTTCATGCGGGAATGGGGTAAGGGCGCAGCAGTTGGCCAAGGCTTCCGTCCCTTCCTACAAAGGTGACTTGGCACTTTGCAAGTACCAGCATGTTTCGTCGACATAAAAAGCTGCCCAATTTAATAGAGCGTGCAGCACCCTCTAGTAGGTTCTCAAATGTTCATAGAGCACTCCAGCACACAAGCAACATGCAGCTGCTAGATCAGCTTTACATTTGGGAGGCTGTGAGCAAATGAATATTTCCTCGTGCGACGAATCCGGCCTTTCCAAGTGAGCAGTCGACGAGGAGACAGTGGCAATGGGCAATAGCCAATGGTATGAGTGTGTGGCAGGCATGCTGAGCATGTTAGGGAGAACTTAGAAAGGAAAAGGACAAAGGTAAATTGAGCGAGGGGAGCGCCAGCGTATGGCCGAGCGGTCGGTGAAAGTCAGATTTTCGTCGCGGTGTAGCTTTCCATTCTCGTCGTATGTTTTTGCGCACAAAGACAAACGTCGCCGCCGACACTGGCAGAATGAGAATGGCGGGGATTGGCTGCAGATTGGGATTGGCTCTATATTGGCTGCATATGCGCTCGAGGTGTGCGAGACGTTGAAGCGCTGTCGAAGGCAGGACGCTCGCGCTGGAGACGGGACAACCAAAGCCCCTCCTTGCCGTTCTCTAGTAGTAAGAAAGATCTATGAGACTACAGTAGACTCTGAACTTGTTAGGCGGTGCATGCCGTCTTCGCCGACGCTAAATCGCCATGACATACCGAAGGTTGAAATTCGTGGCAGGCTTTCTCCGGAGGTACTAAAAGACTAAGATCATCTTCCCCCCCATGGAGGTAGGAAACTTCTGGGGGCGACGCGACGCCCCCAGAGGTGGAGCCGGAAGTGGGGAGGGACACGCCAAGAGACGCTATTTGACGAAAAGGAAAGCCGACTCAACAGCTGTTTTGGTCACCCTTGGGGCCCCCCTCCACACTTCTGTCTTCGCCTCTGGTAGCATCATGTCGCTTCCAGACGCTTCCTACCTCCATGTTCCCCCAAACACTGCAGACGGGACAAGATTTAAATTTGCTGCTAGGTCCCTTCGGAGGAACTGAGATACGTGATGACGAAACAGACGCAGAAGCGCCGCTGTCTTGGAAAGCAGCTCGAATGTGGCAAGGGCTCGAGGATGACGACCAGTGGGTGTAACTTGTTGAGATGAGCGTGACCCGCCGATCAGGCCTTGACCCTCCCGATGAAGGGATTCCGGAACGATCCGAGGTAGAGGTACCCGTCGTGTTCCAGGACCTCCGATATGAAACCGATCTTCTTGCCCGGCGAGTGTAGACTCCGCACGACGTTGCCCCTGGCGTCCACCTCCACGATGAGACCGTACTTTGGCAGAGTCTCGTACAGGATCCAGCCGTTGTCGATCTGCAGAGTCGTCGACCAGAGCACACTAAAGACCTATTCGCTCGGGCGACATTGTTTCGCTCTACAGAGGACTGTTTTAAAATTTCAGCAGGACGGATACAAGTGCTCCCTGTGAGTTAAGACGAGGATTCGGATAACTTTCCACTACAATTTTAAAACATTGAGAAGACTCAAGTGTCGTCACTCTAAGTTTGCCTAATTCGGTGGCTCTAGGGTCAACGACCTGCTAGGCACAAGCGAGATTTGGGCTACGGTATCTGGGACAAGTCTCCGAGTGGTACACATAGCGTCCTATTCCGCCCACATGTTGAAAGCAGTCCCGAAGGAGCAACAGACGACTTTGCAAAAGCCGGAGTGTAATGATGTCAGATATGATGTGATGTCACATGTCAGTGTAAGGATGCCACGCTCAGCTTCACCGCTGCAACACCGTTAGGATTGCAGCTGGTGAAGACGCGACACAACGAAAAACGGCGTTCGACGAAACGGGACGAAAGGAAGGAACGAAAGACAAACACGCTCTAGCTCGCAACCGAAATGTATACTAAAGGGACGGTGCAACGATTATAATGTTGAAAGAATTTGCAGTTTGCATTTCTTATATAGTTTCTCTAGGCACGAGTGACACAAAGCACGTCACCTTGCCCCAAGACTGCTATTCTGCTGCGTAATCGCGGAAGAAAAAATTAGTTATTTGCAAATCTGCAGCCACGTGTGGCAGTTACAGGAAAACAGCCCCGTGGCGAATCGTCTTTTGTGTCGATCCCTTGCCGCGACCTTCAGCGATCCTCGTCCTTGAAAAGTCGACAATCGCAGGGGAAGCGGCTGGGGGATCTGAAGAAAAAAAACCCACAGGGAAACCATATGGTCTTCCAGAGTGCATCACTCGAAAGGCGACGAGAGCGTTAAGGGGCACTTTGAGCTTCGATTTGTTTCATTTTTTAAAATAAAACTAGCAAGCGCAACAAAATATGTTTTCCCGTTTTTCGTTCCATAAGTGACACAGATTAATTCCCGCAGTGAACTGGCCAAAGTCAGAGAATGGTTGCACCGCTCCTTTAAAGAAATTGTGAAAGAGGAACAAGGCAGGGAAATCGCTTGCAGGTTGAACCTGGATTTAACGAAGTCACCGGGGGCTGCTAATTATTTTGTTATATCGAGGTTCAACTGTATATTCCTCTGCCTTCCTGCACCTTGACAACACGACACTTCCGCGACGTCACCGGGCGGAAACCGAGAGGCCACTTTTGGGGACGCGGCGGTCGGAGGTGCGCCACGCGAGCAAAGCACCACGCGAGCTTCTCACCCTGGCGGCAACGTCCTTGAGGGGCACCCAGTTGAAGTAGGTGGCGGTGTACTTGAGCAGGGACCCGAGCAGGTGCAGCAGCCGCACGGTGGCCTTGCGCACCAGCGGGTAGGGCCCCAGGTGGTCGCCCACCGTCAGGTTGCCCCGGGAGCGGCCCGAGGCGAAGGCCAGCCAGTAGCCGCCGCTCTTGCTGCGCCGCACGTTGTCCACTTCCCCGGGCAGGTTGTCCACAAACACCTCCAGGTCCCCCTTGTGGGCACCCTTTACGTAGTACCTGCAAACGGCAACCTCCTCGTCATTGCCGTCGTAGCCGCCTGTTCGTTTTGTGCGCTCGTGAATGGCTGATCGCTCGGATTAAGGCGCGCAGAAAAGACGGCGCGTGTTTTACTTTATAACGGCCCGTCCGCCGTCGATCGCGTGAGCACCATTTCGGGCGGACGGAGATTACGTTTTACATGACTGCATTGGGGATTTCTAGACAAATGTTTAGCATCCAAGATTTGCGAAAATTTCAGCTTGCCCTCAGAAATGGCTTATAACAGAGAACAACATACTTTTGGCCGCATAAAGCGCGCTTATAATCACCTTAAAACGGTCGGATAAGGCTAAAAGACGTCATTTCTGTCCGACAAAAAAGATGTACAGTGCAATCCACTTATAACGATACCACATATAACGATGTACTGCTACTAATGGTCATTTTCTAGAGTTTCTAGACTAGAAACAATCAGTTTCTAGTCCAGATACAACAATAATTAATAATTGGTTATATCGATTGAAATTTCGGGTTTCCTCATTATCATTATAAGTGGATTGACTTACACACCTTAACTCATTTTGTCAAATTGTTGATCATAAGATTTTCCTTTGCGGGGGAGGGGGGGTGCAGACGATATTAATATACTGTGGCCCATATTTCAGCAAAATGGGAAGCACGAGAAATTTGTATATCAGTATTGTATTGTTTGAGTCGGAGCAAGCAAGAGAGTCGGCACACTGTTCCCCGGCCAACGTCGTTCGGTTCAGCAAAAATGAAGGTTGCTGAGCACAAAATAAACGAGATGGTGCTGTACCATAATTTGCAGGGAGAGAACCGTGGAATGATCCATCAGCTGGAGCACCACAAAATGCCCGAAAAGAGCTAAACATTGTATCTACCCATGTGAAAATACAAAAAAAAAAAAAGAAAAATTAAAAAGAGAACTTTTTGAAAGCGAGAATTGAGCCCCTACATGTCAGAAGGTTAAAAACTCTAACCACGGGTGCACACCAAAAATTTGTTTAACTAAAGCAAAGTTTGAATTACCGGCAGTTTCCTCCCATAGAGACAGATAGGATGGGACCTGCATGTTATTTTGAATTACGAGAGTTTGAATTAACGAGATTCGAATGTATACCGAAAATGGCACGAAAAGGTAAACATACTTTTCGTGTTCTCCCCCATGGGGCTCCAAATGTTTCTCACCTGAGCACCCTCCTCTGGGTGGTTTCGGAGAAGAGCACGCTCTCGCCGTCGTGACTCAGCTCAATTCCGTTGGGGCAGTGGAGATCCTCAAGCACCACGTACGTCTGCCTTGTCTTGGGGTCGTACTTGAGCAGTCTGCAGGGGGTTGCACCGAAACAGAAACGTAAAAAAAGGGGGATGTTGCGAGACGAATGGGTTCTTTCCGAGGTTGCCTACGCAAAAGCGTAGCAGTAGCAGACGCAGCAGTCCGCTTCTTTTAGTGGTATTTAGAGGGTCGTATCAGCGCTTAGTAACAGTGGAGCCAGGGATTGTGCAGCGCTTCAAATGCAGTATACTGCAATTATGTTCAGCCTTCGTTTGCAACAGCAAAGTAGGCTTAATAACCGATTGGAGTTTCTCAGAAAGCCATCATATACCCTTCCTGGTTTGCCGATACACGGCGCATTATAATTACCGAAAAGGCTCATTGAAAGCCTGTGTGCAAATTGGATTGTTTACTTCTATAGAGACTCCCCTACGGTCAGGGTAAAAAAGAGGGAAGAAAAGAGAAAAAGAAATAGAAGATTGAGGTACACCCAAGCATTCCTTGAGTGTTGTGAATGCGAAAGCATGTAAGCCGCTCGTTCGCTTCCTTTTTTTGTCTGCTGCATACTTTTCGTCGCCGGTGGGCGTGTGTGCTCCCCTGGCGACCTTGGACGCTCTGTGCCGACGGACACACAGCGCCATGGGGTGATTAATCGTGAAAACTGATGAGCGCAGCGGCCAATGGGAGCCCCGTCGACGCGCGCCAGCCAATGGAACTGAAGGAAACTATCTGTCGTTTTCGCGCTTCAGACTGATGACGTCAGCTCGCTCATGAGGCCCCCCCCCCCCCGTTAATGCTTTCACATTAAAAAAAGGATCACAGCAGACGTCCTTCAGCAGCCCAGCCACTCCCTAAGCTACACTTTAGAATGACAACACTTCAGCCATATTGATGCACAGAAACAATGTTAACAGTTGTCGCCAGTTTTTGCCCACCTTCCTGACAGAAGATGCGAGAAGTGCCTTTTGTCGTCCTACAGTAGACTCCCATCAATTAAGACCCCAGGAAGTCACGAATTTAGTTTGAATGATCAGAAATTCATGTAAGTATGATGCAAAAGAAAATCATGGTTCGTTGTATGAATGGCTACAGACACAAAACAGATATTTGATGATTTCCTCTACACATGCCCCCTACTAATCAAATGCAGGTATGCCACACATGAAACCTTTGTGAAATGTATGACATTAGTTAACTTGTCCCTCAAAAATGTTGTCTATTGTGGACCATTAGCCCCGTAGAGTGCACTTCTTACCGAGCACTGGCGCACTACAAAGAAGGAACACAGGCCGAAGCGAGCACCGCGGGTGTTGCTTCTCCGCAGTGCACCAATGCTCGCTAAGAAGCATGCTCAACGGAGCCGTGCAAACAAAAAGTATGAGTTGCACAAAAACGCCGTCGTTCGAATTCAACGGCTTATAAATTGAACATTAAAAACATAGCGGGACAACCAAAATTTTAAAAATTTGTTTGAATTATCCAGAAGTATCAAATACACGAGTTTGAGTTATCGCGAGTCCACCACAAAGTGAAACAATACCACGACAATCTCCCAACTCCGCATCCATCGCTTGAACAATCACTTTTCAGAATCATGACTGCCGTAAGCAGAGCCTCACAACCCGAAATGCTGACATGGCGACATCCGCGAGCCGCTGGCGTGCAAACGAACGTCACGCGATGCCAACGGACAAACGAATGGCGTGGCGGCGTCAAACAACAGGGGAAAAGATTTCCGACACACCGATCATAGCTTTCTAGGGACTCTACGTCACGTGACAGTCACGCGGAACTGGATTGGCTCCGACGGCTCCTAGTGCCTTCTGCAATCCGTCGCTTGGTGGAACAGAGTGCGGGGGCTTACGAGACGGCATCTCACCTTCCAGAGTTTTCGTGCTCCATGATGGTGTAGATGATCTTGTTGAGGGGCCATTTGGTGCTCGTCTCGGTGAAATAGACGGCGCCGTCGTTGTCCAACACCAGATCGTTGGGGAAGAGCAGCGGACGGCCGTCCAGGTCCACGCCGTTGGGGACCAGCGGAACGACAGAGCCTGTGATGAGGGACAGATTGCAACGAGCCGCAATGGCAATTCAAGATCTCGCTAAACGGCTCAACGAATGGTGTCACGCCTTCAACAGCATCCAACGTCCGCACACACAAAACTCGGGTTCCTAGAAACCCGAGGTCTCCCCAAGGTACCCTTACGCTGTGGTTGCGTTGCCAATACGTCGTACAAAAAAGCAGTTTGCAGACTCTGTCCGAGGCACAGTTTTTCCTTTTATGACAGTCCTTTCGTCACGTTGGTCACACGAAAACCATCTGCAAACATGTTCGAAGCACACAATTATACGAAGCAAAGATGCTTGAGGCAGGTCGGCGCAGACAGGCAATTCTGTCATTCCCTATCTGCAGCTTTCGTACGATAAGTGAGCAGTGGGATTGCGACTTTACAGGTTCCTCGAGCTCCCCGATTTCCACGACTGCCCCTAATATGAAGTTAAGTACTGCTGCAGTTTAGGCACTATTTTAGCACGCCCTCCTGATCTCACTCTGTCAATGAATACAGTCGAGACCGGTTATAACAAAGTCAACGGGAATCGGAAATCACTTCGTTATATCCGCTATTTTGTTATAACCGACTTTGGTTAACAAAGTGCGAAAGGGAATGGGAAATCGTGATCGCTTTGTTGTATCCGCCACTTCTTTATAACTGACTTCGTTATAACCGGTCTCAACAGTATAGTTGCTACATCCTCCGTATCGAATATGGCAGCAAGAAAGGTTCCTTCGCTTCCCGAACGACATTTGCCCCGAAATTCTGTGGCTGGAGGTCAATTTTGCGCATAATTTCACACTCCTCTAAACCTTTCTTACCAAGCCGAGATTGTGACCTTTCGGTTGCCATTTTCATTTTCGTGATTTTACCAATGCTTGTGGATGAACAATGATATTAGAGTTAAATTTTACCATCACAAAGGCACTCTTGAGAGGGGTGCACACCAGACAAAAAGCTGCCAAGAAAGAGTCTGACCAAGTCAGGTACCCACCCCCCTGGCTTACGGAATGAACTAGCACGGGAGAGAAATAAAATAAACTAAAAAAGACAGTAGAGAAAAATAATAAAAAAGAATAAAGGGAAGCAGTTTTGGGTTCCGGCATATTCCAAGGAGGCTTCTCAAAGAACCTGGAGATTGTAAAAGAATTGCAACTTCGGGGGCGAAGGTATTTTAGACGATGGCCTATAGCGCAACAATCACAAAAAACGTCACCCTTCCAAAGCACTATAAAAGAGTACAGTTCTAACACCTAAGAGTCTTTGGCAGAACGCCAACAAAAACGGCAAAGATACAAATGACAGTGCGAACATGTGCCCAACACAAGCTTCCGAATGTGGTACGGTCCCTGACAGCTTAAGAGACACAGGGCATGTCCCGAGCGTCTTATTGCTGCCGCACAGTTAACGAGGTTACGGCACTGGTCGATTACACCATTGAGAAATTAATTCGGAAGCAAGAAACGCGTATGTGACGAGCCATGTCCCGCGTTTTCCAAGCCGTCGACGACTATGGTGGGCCGTTAAAACTTTGGGGACTTACAAGGGGCGCCCGACGTTGCACACGCGTGCAACCTTCTGGAACAGTGCCCGGAAAACATCTCTGACACGTGTGTTTCACCGCATCCTCGACCGTGCTCCCTCGATTTCTGGCTGGTGATGTCGCAGAAGTGTCATGCTGCTGCCTGCAGTAATTCCTGCAGTGCCACAGCGGCAACAACGGATGTGGCAGACGCCAGTTCTGCTGTGGGTTGCTCTCCGGTTTGACAGTCCACGACAGCTGGGAGTTTGAAACGCCGTGACGATGGTGGCGAAACTCACACTAGCTCGCACTTCTTGCCGGAACTTCTAAGACCGACTGCAGTGTTGGTCATGGAAGTTACGGCAAGAAGTTCCAACGTTTGGGGCAATGTTCAACGATTGCGTGGTATAGGACAGTGAACACTAGGTAGTCAAAGACGCGCTCCAGGGCACCATAGTCCCGGCGGGAACGCTGCACGTGACGGCTACGTCACTGCCGACAACGTGCGTCCGAGTCTTCTAGGTGTGCTGTCGAAACCGAGGAAAGAAAGAGCAAGACCGCGTTCATTGAAGGACGTCACCTGTCTTGACGTCCACCACGTGCAGGCCGTAGTAAGCATCGAGGACGTACAGCTTTCCCGCCTTGTCGAAGCGCATCCCAAGAGGTCGTCCGCAGATGCTCTCCTCCCACTGGCCCTCTGGGGAAAAAAGACGATGCGGCCAATATTATGCAAATCCTCCAAGGGGGATGGGCGGTTGAGCGTGTCGACGCACCGCAGCATGAAGCGCACGAAGCGAAAGCTCGCGCTGTTGAACCCAGGGATCCTGGGCCCAATCCTCACGCCTGCCCGTTTTGATCCGAATGAGCACCGTATCGGCGTGCGGTCATGTATCGCTATCGCGGGGTGCACGGTAAAGACCACAGGCCAGCAGCTGTATTGCACTGGCGAAATTTCTTGTCTACAGTGGAGGAACATGACACACATTGGAGCTTGCTAACTTCCCCCTGTACAAACAAACACACAACACAATTACTGTCCGGATTCTCTTAAAGGAGGACCAGCAGAAATATTCTTCCGCCTGGCGGAAAGTCCTCCTCGCCCTCTTTCTTTCTTGTATTGTAGCACGGCGAGGAGAGGGGAAAGGTCTCCTTTTGCGCCGGCTTCTTCTGAGAGGATAAGCCGAGAAAATCCCCATTCTGAGCGACGGGCGATGGGTGCGGCAGCAGCGACCTCGTGAGTTAGAGGTAGCTTCAGCTCCTATCGCGTAATCTGCCCCATTTTTTGGTGCTCACCATGCCTAGCCCCTCGGGTGTCGGTTTTACGGAGCTGTAAGGCTGCGCCCGCGCAGTCACCGAATTTCCGCTGTCGAAGGTCTTTAGTTTAGCCCGTGGCAAAGTAAACGCATACTTGAGAGCTGCGATGCATCCCCGCACCCATTGAAGGAACGTTTCATAGATATTTTCGGTTGATCAAGGAGCTCAAAACACATGCGCGAGAAGTGGTGACTTGAATATGTAAGGATGACTTACATCTTCACAAAACATTTCATCTTCAAGAAAAAACGGCTTATCACGCTCAAACCTGCCTCAAATTGGGATCGATGGAAAAGAAAACGATGTACCAGGCGCGGGCATCTTCTAGAAGGTCTCTGTTTTCTAGGAGTGAGCACAAATTATTGAAGAACTTTAGCAGACTATGTTTTCAGGCCACGCTATATTTAGCGGGAGCTCGCGCTGCCACTTCGATGCATTCTCTGAAGCGCGCGCCTGAAGTGGCAGCGGGCCTTTGAAAACGATTTACTAAAATGCCCTGTTGTGTGCCTAACTCGCAGAGCATGATGGCCAGCAAAATGCAATTCATATTTACACATTCCCAACAAGCACCTGAGGTGAGAGGGCATCAAGGGTGGATGTCAATCTTAGAAAGTTTCAGTGGGTCGCTTTTAGCCACTTAGATAACCGTATACGGTCCGTACCCCACAACGAAATGTAAGCTAGACTCGCTGTTTACATTCTTCATCGAGTGCGGCTATGGAGCGAAAAGACAATATTAAAACCCTTTTTGACGAGCCTAGCGTGTCGTGTTATGGTTCAACGTTGCTTGTATCGGTACCATAGCACGGACCGCCACTTCGAAGTATTTGCGGTGTCTTAAAGAAACTAAGGCAAAAGCAGACCATTTTTTTTTAACGTGACACAGAATTGTATTTAACATTGTAAAAAACTTGTAGGTACCCTACGCTACGCAGTTAGCACAAACTATCACCGGTGTTTCCCACTTTTTTTTTTTTTGTTAGAAGAGAACGATGTTTAGGAAACTGTTAATGCGAGTATCCAACCTAAGCGGTAGATTTTAGTGCGAGTCGATACATTGCTGGGGAAAATAGCAAAAAGCGCGATGTCGTGTTTGCGCAAACAGTGTCGCGTAATGTACGCATACCGCTGCACAATCAACGCTAACATAGTAAATCAGTAAATTTAGTGGCCCCCAAAAAAGTGGTGTTATTTTGTTTTATTTTTATGTTTGAAAAGTTGTTATTTTTAAACAAGCAATTCGGTAAAGAGTGCTTCCGTTGGGCACCAACTTACGAGGCATCATTTTGCTCTTATACACTAAATTCTGCATGGCCCTTGCGTAAAAATGTCAATATTGTGTTTGTGCTAGCTGTGTCACGCACAGTAAGAAAACAAGTTCATTGCTCGAACATTTAAACAAGGCCTTTCTTACGCCAAATAGACGTTTTGTGAGTACGCTCTATTACTGGTGGTTCATAAAATAATCTACGTTGTTTATTTAGAGGAAGGAAGTGGTGGTGAGGGGAGGGGGAATTGAATACAAAAGACGACCCAGGGAACCTTGAACTTTGTCAATATTTCGCTCCACCTATAATCCTGAGCTAATTAAATCACTTTTGCTTTGTCTGTTTTAGAACTTGTTAACAGTCGCGCAAAAGGCCAAGATGAGCGAAAAGTCAGATGCCCCTGTTTATTTGAGCAAGAAGCTTATTTATGCGAGATAGAACTGAAAAAGCGTACGAGTGTAACCGTAGCAATCTCCGACCAAGCCTGAACCTCACTTTATCGCCATTTCATCGAAAGCCGTTTCACCGAATGAACGGACACTTCATCGAACGCCGTTTCATCGAACGCAGTTTTGTCGAATCGCCAAGGGCCGTTTCATCGAATTTCTCAGTTACGGCTCTGTACCGAGTTTTGGGGCATAACAGTGCTTTATAGATGTTTCACCTTGCATTTGTTAAGACTAAGGTAGTCACTTGAGAAATTGTTTTGAAGGTGGTGTCAAATTACTAAAAATAAAAGCAATTGGCATAAAAAGAAATAAAAACAATTGGGTAAGCGACTTACTGAAAAGCTTTACTCATGTACATACATGGCTGAAACCACGACGCTGCAAATAAAGGACAGACACCTAAAACACTTTTAAGCGTCTGTGCTTTCTGTTTTTGCCTCATTTTTAATTGTTTCATGTGACATGGAGAGGGGTCATTGTTTCATGGAGGCTTTCTTCTCGAAGCAGGATATGTTCACGATGGAACTTATCTCGCCACTGCACCCAGTGATATAAAAGCAGAAACAAAAGAAAAAAAAGAGAGAATGAGATGAAGTTGTGTATAAAAATTAAAGTAAATTCCAAAGTATGACAGACTGTAACATTGTTCGATGAAAAGGCGTTCGATGAAACGGCTTCTATGAAACGGCGTTCCATGAAACGCCGTTCGATGAAACGGCTTCGATGAAACGGCATTCGATGAAACGGCGTTCGATGAAATGTCCGGACGCACTTGTAGCGGTACGCGTGCATTACGTGGCACTTTTAGCCCGAACGCGACATCGGCGCTTTTTACTATTTCTGCCCAGCAACATGTATTGGTCTAGCACTGAGCTCTGCCACTTAGGTTGGATAGTTGCATTGACAGTTTTCTAAATCACCACTTCTCGCGCATGTGTTTTGAGCTCCTTGATCAACCGAAAATATCTATGAAACGTTCCTTCAATGGGTGCGGGGATGCATCGCAGCTCTCAAGTATGCGTTTACTTTGCCACGGGCTAAACTAAAGACCTACGACAGCGGAAATTCGGTGACTGCGCGGGCGCAGCCTTGCAGCTCCGTAAAACCTACACCCGAGGGGCTAGGCTTAGTGAGCGCCAAAAAAAATGGGGCAGATTACGCGATAGGAGCTGAAGCTACCTCTAAGTCACGAGGTCGCTGCTGCCGCACCGATCGCCCGTCGCTCAGAATGGGGATTTTCTCGGCTTATCCTCTCAGAAGAAGCCGGCGCAAAAGGAGACCTTTCCCCTCGCCTCGCCGTGCTGCCGTGCTACAATACAAGAAAGAAAGAGGGCGAGAAGGACTTTCCACCAGGCGGAAGAATATTTCTGCTGGTCCTCCTTTAAGGTAAGTTCGCTCAAAAGTTAACTGCAATGCCTCACTTGCCTAGCAGACAAACTTTGGAGAAATTTACAAAAAGCACTCATTACAGGTATGAAGTGCCAGTTGGATGATACCTACACTGATCAGCCAAAACATTATGACCACCCACCTAATACCTCTGGCAGCATGCAAACAGTTGCAACCCATCTTGTTACGGATTCTACAGGTCCTTGGCAAGCGCCTTGAGCAAGCTTGTACAAGATTTGTAAGCACAGGCTGCAAAATTTCTGTAGATTACGAGGAGGTGGTTTGGCGAGTTCTGAGCTGGCGCCCCATCACATCCCCAGATGTGCTGAATAGAATCAGTATCCAACGGGTTAGGTGGCCAGGACATCAACTGGAATTCATCGTGCTCTTCGATACACTGTAGCTCAATCCTGGCCCTGTGACGAGGAGCATTGTCTTATTGGAAGATTCTGGTTCTGGTGGGAAAGACAAGCCACGAATGGGTGTAACTAGTCAGCAGTGATCTTGACATGACGATCTGCCCTCTGTCAATGTCGCTTATATCAGCAACCTTTCCCATTACATGCACGTGCAATCAACAACAGCCGTTATTTTTCATCAGCATCAGAAGATGGTAAATGACATGGATGGAGCTTCAGTTAGGAATGCTCATTCCCCGAATGCAGGGGTGGTCATGATGTTTTTGCTGATCGGTGTATAGTCCTGAACAAGATAACAATAGAAGCTCAGCTTCCAGAAAACGCTCAGTGCCTTCCACCACGCTTTGGCTGTACATGCGACAAAGTGCTATCAAAGGCAAAAAATTCATGCTGGAGGCAGAGCACCTGCTGCATCCTTCACCTGTTGCTGACTATACGCTTTTAAGCTAAAAGCAGTCTGAAGGGCGACGGATGGTTAGATAACAAGACGCTCAATTGAATAAGCCTTCACTGCTGTTAGTTACATTTATGATTATGTTTTATGATGATGAGCCTTCGTACGTAATTGAAACAATTAGTGACTCCAGCAAAACCGACACCGCGTAGCGACAACGCCGAGAAGCTCAGGAGAGGAGGTCATTTCAACTCTGTTGTCTGCTATCGCTGCTTGGTTCTCGTAGACAGCATAGAAACAAACATTGTTTCCAATAATTATTTTTATGCTTCCACCATGTCATTCCTACGCATTGACTTGAAGAAGATTTCTACCGTCGAAAAATCGCTTTGCGTTCATATGTAACACCGATTTTATGCTGCAGTGCAAGAAATTGATGGTGGTCCGCGTGCTGAACGACAAAAACGACTCCCTTTCGTCCACCATTTCGTCTGACCAGCGCGCCCTTTATAGTTTGTTGGAGTTGCGAATGAAGTCACGGAATAAAAGCTACCATATGGTTCCCGTAAAGCGATGAAGCCAAGTGTCTCAGCAAAATGCAGAGCAAACTCAGTCACCTCACCTATTTTTCTACCCCTGAACTTATTCAGAAAGAGATTGTACTATGACGCACTGATCGGTGCCAAATGTAGCATAAAGGAGGAAATAAAACAGACACATTCCTAGGTAACTCAATCTATAAACGAATGTGCCAAGCGAATTTGAGAACTCACCGCATTTCTTTCCAAACTTGGCTACGGGGGTGATCTTTTTCCCGGTGATCTTGATGAGCTGGCCACCGATGATGCCGGTGTAGATGCTACCTGCAACACGAATGACCTGGCATGAGCTCAGCGGAAGGAAAAGAACTTAAACAAGTGTCATGGTTGCCGACCGCATCGCACCTCCGTCACCTCACATTTTCCAGAAATCTAATACGTCGTACAATGCTGCAGGCATGCACCAACAACTCTAATAGCATGCGACATACCCCAGTGTCTCGGAGTACAGTCATGCCTCATTAATATGGACCTCATTATTATGGAAATCCCTCCATTTAGACAACCTTTTCGGGGATCAACTATGATACATTTTTGTCTCGTCATTATGGACAGCTCACATTATGGACGCTTTCTTGGGGAAACGAAAGTGTCCATGAAAGGCATCACCGAACCAACAATTTTCAATCGCTTGAAGTGAAGCAACTACTCCTCATAGTTTGGGGAGGCAGATTTTGTGTTGTCCTACTTTAACCAAGTAAGTTAGTGGATTCAGCAAGAGTTCCAGTATGACCACAGGCCTGAAGCATTCTGCCTGCACGGTTCAGAGTTTGACGAGACTTTTCCGCGAGGAAAAGTTGCACAATAAATTCTGCAGATATAAGACAGTGCCTGTCTGTGATGGAACCAAGACGGTCAACAAAGGGTCAATCCTTCCGTCTGCCAACTTTGCAGACAACCACTGATATTCTGCTCTGTCGCAAACACATTAGAGATAAATCTGCACAATTTGCACAAGCTTCACATGAGGTGCATGAAAGCCCAAGCAATATCATTTTGCTCTGGTGCAGACTGTCTTAGAGGGATACTAAACTGAAATTCGGATTTCGCAAAATTAGGCCGCAGAGGCGTTGAACGGGACGGTACAAACTCCAAAACATCCCTCATAGATTGATATATGAAACGGATATCCATACTTTTGGAAAAGAAGGGCGCGATCAAGCGAGATCTTCGACGTAACTGTCCTCCAGGAGAATTTGAGAACGAGGGAAAACGTCTTTGCTTCTCTCCTCCTCGCTTCGGTTCATTAGCTCGACGGGGCATAGCAAGGAGGAGAGAGAATGGGAATCATGACGTGCCTTGACTCGTCGGCCTCGTAGGCCGTGCCCAACAGCGGATTTCTTTTCCAAAAATACGGCGATCCGTTAGAGATATCGCTGTATAAGTGATGTTTTGGGGTTTTGCAGCGTCCCGCCTATCCGTCCAGCATTGTTTTGTGAGCTCGAAATTTCGGTTCAATATCCCTTTATAGGCCGACGACCAGACTCGAGATTTTGCAAGGCAGAATGTCCTTATCACCATAGGGGAAGAGGAAACATACAACGGTGGACAGGGTAGAAGGGGGGAAGAGGGGAAAAAGAGAGAAAAGTGGAAAGCGCAAACTGGTCGTCGGTCTTTAGGATTTCTGGAGGGGACGCAGAACCGTTCCCTGCAATTTCAGATGAAGGTTCGGACAACTCCATAACAATGATTTAAAGCTAAGCTAGATGGCACAAGCAGCAGAATTATAAAGGGTACAGCTGTTAGCATCCATTCATTCATTCATGTCTAAAGCATCATTACTCTGCAGCATAGTTTATTCAATGGATGTATACTCAGGGACAACCTTTTTTGGCATTTTTGAAGAGAAGACCATGCGAGCACAGCTGTGATCGGCGCTCAATGTGAGCAAGGTGCAAAGGTATTAAAAGCTTTGGCTTCATTGCCGAGAAAAGTTTTCCCCAAGTATATAAAACAAGCTATCCCAGTGTTGTTAACATGCACATACGCACACACAAGGCTGCACAGTTAGGTATAATTGTTTCATTATTCTGATTACCTTCTCGTACTTCGAAGGACTCCGGACCCACGATCTGATTCTGCAGGAGATACTCGACCTTATCGAGCGCTTTGTTGACTGCCAGGGGGCCCTTAAACTCGGGAAGATCGACCCTTTTCCAGGACAATGGAAAGAAAGAAGACAATCCATCCATCACGGCGACCCGGGAACAGAACAAAAACAATGGTGCACGGAAAAAGATAAGACCGCCACGAGTGTTCGCCGGCAGCACAGGCATACGGTGGCAGTCTCGAAATAGATAAAAGACAACTCACTTGAAATGCATTGACTCAAAAGGAATGTATCAATCCTCGTCCCTGCCCATTTTGATCTGGATGAGCATCGTACTGGTGTTTGGTCATGTAATTACTGCTCGTTCAATTTACGTGCACCATGCCTGCACTGGTGCAGAAAAGTGTAGTGCAGTGCAGAAAAGTGCAAGGCATTCTAGTATGGATGTGTTTTGCGAATGTGGCAAGTGTGTAAACCCAAGGCTAGCAGTCATACCATGCTGACCAAATTTCCCATCAACAGCAGAGACACCAGACACCCACCGGGGCTGACTAAGCTTCCTGCTGTCCAAAACAAACAAACAAACACACACACACACACAAAAAAAAAAATCGTTAGATTACACACAAACCTGGGTTTTGCCGGGCGGTGGTAGCGATAAAGAAGTGAATAATTTGTCATCATATGTCGTGGGGTTAGTAAGTCAGGTTTTGAGCAACACGTGCTGAGGATGAGAAATTTTGCCAGCGCAGTACGACTGCTAGTTTGGAGGTAGCGCCGGTACGACGCTCACCCAGGTAGCGACGGGAAGGGAGCGATCATTCGTCAAAACAGCGACGACGACGACGACAAATACTTCAGTACTCACTTGTAAGCGACGGGCTCAAAGTCCAGGGACAGTGGTATGAAGGGCAGAACCAGGAAAACCAACAGGAAATACAGGGCGAACCTAAACACACACTTGAGTAGGCTGAAGATCATGGTTGCGGTGGTTGTCGAAGCACCCGCTTCGCCGTTTTTCTAAACAAAAAAACAAAATAAGCAGTCGATTAATAGAATGAAAAGGAAGACGCGTGCAGCATCTGAGATGAGTAATCCGAGATAAAGGTTAAGATCAGCGACCTTGTACAGTGGAACCACCTGTTGCGAGTTCCGCTATCAAAAACGATATGCGCATTCCATTCATAGATTTTTAAAAGGGTTCTTTCTAGTAGCGCGCTCACTAAACAGTACAAGTTCTAAGAAAATAACTTACGTTCAATGTGGGCTAGAGACGAGGCGGAACAGCACGCAAAAAGAAAACTCGGCAAAGTGGCCTCGGGAACGTGGATGGCCAGCCAGCGAGAACATACGAGGGAAAGGAGGCGTGTAAGCACGGCGAGCAAGGATGTTAATCTGGTTTTCTGTTTTTGTTGGTTTCGTTTCTCACTATGTCATTTAAAGGCCTTGGCATGACGTCATCGTTCGTGAAACTCTTACCACCGTTGCCCCCAAGCGGTGACGCTCCGTGGATCAACTAGCGATGACGTTTAGTTGGGACGAAATGTGCAGGCCTTTTCTTCTTGGCTGGTTCGGCGGCTTGGCTGGTTCGCTGGCTACGCTTGATTGTTTGAGGGCGAGTAAAAGAAAGGAAGATTTTTTTTGTATGCTCGTTGTTGGCCTTGGGGGCTAGGTTCTTCCTGTATGAACTCAAGGACAGAGCAGCAAAAAAAAGTTTTTCTTTTTCTTCTTTCCGTAATAGAGGAAGAAAAGAGATTTTGGGATTGGAGTAGTATAAACGGCTCTGATTGGAGTGCACTGCAGGCGCGTCTGGCGACGGCGTCTGCTACCGCTGATAGAGCAATCGGTTCTGGTTTCAAAATACGATATTGCAGAGACTTGCAGAGAGCAGTTGCTGAGAGCGCTCCCGTGAAGTTATTAAAATATTGCAAAGTAGTACATCGTAAAACATACAACCTTCCTGTCACATTAACTAAAAAAAAAAAGGTTTCTAAAAATTTTAAACGAGACGCCTTTTTCAAAAGGACGGATCCAACCGACACCCAATCGCAGGTATGTTAAAAAAAGAAAACAAAAACTAAAAAATATATATATATGAATTGTTTAACAGTACCTTAGAAATGGCAAAAGATGTAAAGAAGCTACACAAATAAATATTTGGTTTCAATCTGGTGCACACTTGATTGTTTGTTGTGTAAACATGCGCCCCTTTATTTTTAAAAAGCTAACAAAAAATAATTAAAAAGAAGCACAAATAGCGGCCGCTTCACTCCGAACGATGTGGAAGACGTAATTCACATATGAAAGAAGCAGACGTACACTTCGCGTTTTCCGCTTTTGCCCGGCTCCTCCACTTTTTCCTCTCGTCACCCTTGGCTTGGTTCTCCTCGCAGCTTAGGAGAGGGGAGCGCCTAAGAGGATTATCTTCCCTGCAGAAAACCGAGGTTGTACGTCGGCCTTTAAGCGAAAAATTCCTCCAACAATAATAATAATAATCTTTATTTTGATGTGTTCTAAACAATGGTACACTCATAGGAATAAAAAAAAAAAAATCATGCACAGAGGTTAATAAACAAGCAAATAATTGCATAATCTTAGCAGTACCCATACTTTTATTAATCACTTGAGTAATGTTCAAATTCTAATTAGCAAGTGCCACTCCCAGTCTCAGGTTTATTCAACATGGTTAACATTCGCCAGCTACACAAATATTTAATAGCTTTTAAAATGTACGGAACAGCCCCCCCCCCCCCCCCCCCTTTTTTTTCCCCATAAAGTTTTTTTTGCAAAAATTAATTACCCATTGTTGAACGCTCTTTTTCCGCTCAAATGTAGCGCTAGCGGTTCGAGCCAGATGAGAATGTTTAAGAATCGTTATGTCATTAAAAAATTACAAGTGAGTTTTTATGCCACTTTTGAATAAGATGACGGTTTATTAATGCTGAAACTTTGGCATCTGGTTCGAACGGCTAGTGCTGTATTTGGGTGGAGAATGAGCGCTCGGTGATGCATAGTTTATTTTCGCTATAAAAAAACAAAACAAAATAAAGTTTTTTTTTTTTAAATTTTATACGCTGTATGCATTGTAAAATCTTACCACACTGTCATCGAACAAACCAAAATAGCGGATTAGCGTCTTGAGTGTCCAATCTTTGTGTTGCTTACGATGGTGCCCGTCTTCAACTTCATCCCTCATCACCACCAAAAGGCAGTCGTTTGCATGGGTAGATACCAGCCATACATACACTCAGTCAAGCGGAAAGTGTCCATTGGACCCGATCCCGATGGCGTCTCTGGACGTGTTGATTGGACACGAGGCCCAGCGTGTCCTCTCATCATCACCATCGCCCTAACTATGGGTACCGGTTGATACGTTAGACCTCAAAGCATAACAATAAGCCTAACGTCAGGCCACCGCATACTTGCGTGCCCCCCTTCCGCTGCATTGCCAGCACTTCGGCTGGCTCCTTAGCAATGTTGACGCCGTAGCTATGGAGCCACGTGACATGTCGCAGCCAATGGGAATTCAGGTCTCGATTTCGGTGGTTTTGCTTAGCCAATAGAAATTTAGTTGCCGCTTATCACTGCTACAGACAACGGTAACACCAGCCACACTCAGATGACACCGGTTCGCTCCATGGGGCAGTTAATGCTTTCACATTAAAAAAACCCCAAAGGCAGAAAGGTTGTCCTGGGGTACTTGACAAGAAGTTTATCAGTTAAGGTGGCTCAAGACTTCATTCAAAGAGGACTTGAGCCTAAAAAATGGCACCACTGTCCTGCGCATTTTTTTTTATTAAAAAGAAAAAACAATGACATCAATCTCCTATTCGTACCAAGCAGCAGGAATCCTCAAAATGTTGGAACAATTATAGCTTAATTGCAATCCGAGGTTAGAGGTATGGCACACACACATGTACATACCTTCAGCATTGGTATGTTACCAACTTCATGGAAACAGTGAAAAGAGAACTGAGGCTGCTGCCACACTGTGCATCATGGCAAAATGTTGTCTCACTCCCCACCCAATTTACGTACCTACCCCAGCTGTAATCCGAGGTTACACAGTTGACATATAGACACAGTTATACGTCTCCATTGGTTCTCTGCACTTTACAAAATGAAAAAAAAAAAAAAAAAAAGTCCTAAAGTTTTACAAAGCTGCTCACTTGAACATTGCAACTGTCTTGTTTCATGTAAGCATACCTTTTAATTCCTAAGACAGCTATTTAAGCAAAAAGAGGACTACGGTCACTTGAGATGAGAATGGGTAAAAACACAGATTCAATTCAGCAATGACCATATTGCCTTTCATGACCATATCATACAAGCAATGACAGGACAAACATTTTTAGAAATTATTGAAGTTCCAACACAAGGTAGGCAACTGATGAAAGAGTTTCAGGTAAACCCATATTTTTAATAATTTTGAGCAGCTACATCTAAATCATTATATGAGACAAATTAAATAAAATATAAAATTTACAGGACAAAAAAAGTTTGCTCAAATGCAACTGTTCATTATGGAGAACACGCAGTCTCATATTTTATCCTATTTTTATCACAGACATTATCATAAATATTATATAACATTATTACTTATAGTTAATAATAATAATCATTAATAATATGATATAATAATATCATTAATATTATAAGGACATTATTACTAATAGTTGAAGGGATTACAAAGGTCTTGTATTCATTCAATCCGTCTATGGCAGTTTTACATTCGCGATGCTGTAACCTGCAAATCACCCACTCTAGTAGGCGTCGCTTCGTGAATAGCTGGCGGTTACAAGATGTGCACATGGACCACACACAGCATTGGCGAAATGTTTAAAAAAATAAAAGTAAAGGCATACAAGTCACAAAAAAGCTCTACTTCCAGCGAGTAAATGGAACGCATTAGATTTGGCGTACAGAGCCAAGAAACAAGACAACGTCAGGGTCATGGCTACGGATCAAGAAGAGGAACGGGTGATCGACGGTAAACCTGGTGGGGAATTGAAGACAATATTTTACCATCATCACGGCTGTGGCGGCAGCAGCCTCAGTCCCCTCTTCATTCACTTCGACAAAAGCTTTATGAATCACATCCGATACCACGAGATCCTTGTCGGCACTGATCCCAGAGAGGTCGCACTTCGAGGGATCAAACAGGTCTTCGACTCCCATGGTGGCCAGCACCTTCTTAAGACCCACTGCCTGCTCCAGCTTGAACTTTGGAAGGGTCAACTCAATGTCACCCTGGTGGGACAGGCCCTGGAGGATCTCCGTCAAGTTGGAGGCAGTCAAAGCCTCCTCGAGACCAGCAAGCCCGTCGATTTCTTCCGGAAGCAAGATGACCATAGACGTCTTCTTGCCCTTATACGGGATTTCGAGGGCGCTGACTTTGACGTCGGGGTGGCGGCTCATCCTGAAACGCTTCTTCTGGTACATCATGTCCACCATCTTCGATCGATCGGTGGTTTCGTGGAATTCCTGCTGAGACGTACGCATTGGATCGAACTGGTCGTGCCACAGCCCTTTGAAGTAGACAGCGTTGACAATGATCAACGACGTCGATGCATCTACGGTGCCCTTCGCAAGCAAGTCCTTGATTTTGGACCTTGTGGCTTCTTCGACCCACGCGTTCACCTGAAGACGGGCTTGATCGAAGTTACGCCTAAAGTCAACGTTTTCGATAGTAGTGCCGTACGATTTCTCCAGAAGGCGCGTGAACTCTTCGAGTGTCTTGTACGTCTGCTCGGAATAGAGGCGGTTGGCAACGTGCAGAATAACGTCGGGAGCGTAAGCGGGAAGTTTGGAGAGGAAGTCTGCAAAATGCCCGTGGATGGTGTCATGCTGCACGTGAAGGGCGCTCGAGACCTGCTTGGCTGTGTCGTGTCTTGCTCCAGCCAGGGTCATGGACAGCGCAGCAGCGATGCTGAACGGGGAGCAGATTATGTTGCCGGCACCACTGCCTTCGTTCTTCAGCTTCTTATATATATCCACGGAGAAAGAGAGGAGAGAATCGCCGAAATCGGAAGCCATTTTTTAATGTATCGGTCGAAACGTAGGTCCTGAAAAAGGAAGCCGATTGCAATTAATGTTGTATATAATACAATGCACCATTTTCTAAAATCCCGGTTTGAGGGTTTTGCGGTATGAAGTCGTGAAGGTGTGGCACCACTAACATGTGCAAACATCCCTTTGAGAAACAAAGCTTGATCCTGTTGGTTCCAAAGAGCTACGGTGACCTAGATCGCATACCATGAACATTGCTTTTGTGCCCGTTGTGGCTTGCCTTTCGCCCAAAGTTGGCACAGAGAGGATTCTCCTCTCCCCTTTTTAATTTCACTCTGTCTTTCCCCGGTTTTCTACCGAAGCCTCGAACCAGGTCTCTGAAAGGGGATGTGGTGGATTAATTTGATATCAATATGAAAATATATGCGCACTTTTTGTAGTTGTCGCTTCTTCTGTCATACCATAGGGCCTTTTCACTGACGTCACTATGCCCACCATTTTGTTCTAAGGAGCAGCCTGGCGCGTGCCAAGGGCGAACGTTTGAAAGATTGGTTTGACACCATCAAATACGCAGTGCACCGCGGTACATGTAACAACAAAATGGCGGATTGATATCGCGAAGACGCCCTAATAAAAAATCCGTTATTTTCTTTTTTACACTTGTACTTTATAATTTGATGCATGCGCGTCAAATCAAAGCTGATACTTCTACTTCGCTTAATTTTGAGAAGCTCAGACGCCGGGTCAAAGTAAGGAAGCTCGTACCGCTTTTGACGATCGATCGACTTCGGTGAGCTGGTAGGTCTGCCTCGACTGGTGTACGACGCTGACTACGCGCACCTACCAAGGTATATGCACCTACACTGTGGGAACACCTGTCGCCAACCGGAAGCACGGGAAGCGAACGACGTATGCTAAACAAATCCAGCGGTGCCGCCGCCCAACTCACTGCACATCTTCAAAACAACAAGCGCCCCAACCACAGGCCCCAACTACGGTGCTAAGGCCACGCCCTCATGCCCCCTCTAGCCTCAAGTTTTATGAGCGGCTAGATCTTAAACCAGATGCTGCAAACCGGACAATGAGAGACGAATGAAAGCCGCCATATTAGTATGCTCGCGTAACAAAAATATATATATTTTTTTTTTCGAACACAGAAATATTTTAAGCATTTTTCCCATGACGAAAATTTGGAACTTCGAAGAGCAAAATTCATTCACAAACTCTGTGTAAGAAAAAAAGGGTGCAGTTGTTTGTTGGTTTAACCTTGTGAAACTTCATGAAGTAGAAAAAGTAGCAGCTGTTCCTGCGATAAATACGGACAAACTTTCCGGACAATGACGCAGACCGTTGAATCGGTCAGGTTTGGTCTAGGGCGTCTAGAGATGTCGCGAACTAGAGCACAGAGTAGCGCAATCCTTTGATCCGCGTGTTTCGCCGACAACATGGCCGACAGAGCAGCTCGGCGTGCTGACGGGGACGGGCAGAGTTTCCCGTCAGCTCTCGGGCAACCGCTCGAGAAGAGGGGAAGGAGAAATCCTCTTATCACCAGGACTCTCCTTTGTAGGTCCCAGGCTTCCCCAAACGTCGCTATTCTCCCTGTAGAAGATTAACTTGCCACTCAAAACCCGTTCAAAAGCATCTTCCTCCTCTCTCTCTTCTCCGGTGGTAAGAAAGCAGCAGCGAGCTCAGCTATGACCGCCAGTGACCACACGGCTGATTAAAAAATAAATGCCAAGTTCACACTTTTCGAAACTAGTCTGTCGTGAAGTTGGTAAAGCAATAAACACTTTATCAAAGTTTTAATAATATTGGATGTGTGAGAAAATTTTGCGAAGGCAATTTTCAAAGCAATGGCGTTTGAGCAGACGATTGTTTTATTTCAGCGGAGATGGACTTTATGGATTGGTCGGAGCAGGTCACGTGAACGGTGTGACGTCGCCGCGTCGTCTGCTGCATGATGCTGCTCAGGCAATTTTTAAAAAAAAATTAAGTTATTTCATGGCGCACAATTCTTAGCACAAATTATTGTAAACTATTCCCTTATTATGTCAAAAACTATTGTCGTTCCATAGATCCCCAAAATAATCGGGAAGCAGAGATTTTCTCCCGTTCCCCATGCATTTGTGGCCGGAGTTGGAACCCCCGGGCGTTCGCCGCTAGTCGCCGAGAGACGCTGCGGTACTCTATGCGGTACTCTGCTCCGAAGGAGCTATATAGTGCTCTATCGCGAACCACCCTAGGTTCGAATTCGAAAGGCTTTGATATTTTCGAACCAAACTAAGGTTCGAAATCGAAAGATTTCGATACTTTCGAACGGAACCGAGGTTCTAATTCGAAAAGTTCGCAATCTTCGGACACAGTGCAGTTTCGAATCGAAAAGTTAGAAGCTTTCACGGTTTCTAAATGTTCCGGTTCGAATATTTCAAATATTCTTTTGAGGTCGAGAATTCGAAGATGTCGAACTTTCCTAACTTGAAATCAACAGATTCGAAAATTTTGAATTAATTTGAATCCGAAGTTCGAAAAATCGAAGATTTCGATTTTCTTCGGATTTGAAGTTTGAATTCAAAGATTTTGAATTTCTTTCTACATAACGTTCGAAGCTTTCAATTTTATTTTAAGGCTAAATTCGAAAAAAAAAAGCTTTCGAAGATTTTGAATTTTTTTCTAGCCGGACTTCGAACTTTGTGAACTTTCACAAAGTTCGAAGTCCGGCTTTCACGTTCCTCTACAGTTTCAGTTTCAGATAATGTTTTCACGTTTCACTGGTCTTCAGGAAACTTCCTCACTAGAGCCTCCCTACTATCACCGAGCATTGTTGAGGCTATGCGTCGTCTGCTACGGGCCAGGGGTGTAGCTTGGGGGGGGGGGGGAGGGGGAAGATAAGAGTCCTCCCCCCCCCCCCCCCAAAAAAAAAATCCAGTTGACCGTATAAATCTGTTTGCCTTAATAAATGGCAGAATAGACCTATTACGAAAGTTTGCCTTCTTTTGGATTGCTTCAGCTGCACGAGCCTCGTGCAACGGGGGCAGAAGTAGAAGCCCCCCGCTCACTCTACTTGCACATTCCGCGCGGTGTCGGTAAAGCCCCTTAATGTTTCAAAAGTAACGCAAGCTGCGTCAATGCATGAGGCACGTGCAACATGCAGCCCTTGGGAAGGTCATGGCGGTACAGCGCACCACTGGGCTCGATTTCAAACGCCATGCTCTTCCCAGAAGTTGCGCACGGCACGTGTCTCGGGCATTTCCACAATATTGAATGGCGCCACTTTTCCCAGGATAGAGGGGCTTTAGGTGTCGGTTGTTCCACCATTGAGCAGTGGATCAGATTTTTTTATGCGAAGGCATTAACTGTCTAATGGAGGGAGCCGACGTCATCACCTTTGAAGCCGCGCCAAACGGCACCGGCACCTAGTTTCTCCGATCCCAAAGAAGCGGAGTCAAGCTGATGAATTTCGGCTTCGGTGCCATTGGCTGGCGCGCATCATAGTTTCAAGGAACGAGGCTCCCATTGGCCGCTGCGCGTCAGTTTCCACGACCGCCACCCCATGGTGCTGCGTGTCCGCGCCGTCAGCGCGCCGGTAACACGAAGCGTCCAAGCCTCAAGGTCAGAGCGCCGAGAAGAGCGCGCGCCCCGCCGTCTACGCAAATACACCGCAGGCGAAATAAGGGAGCGGAAAAAATGACATGCATGCTTTTGCATTCACAACTCATAAAAAATGCTTATACCTCGAGCCTTTTTTTTTTTTTTTTTTTTTCGATCGGCACGTGACTTTTTAAAGGGGTTTGTTGCGAAACAGTTTGTTTTACCAGAAAGAAGGCGTAACACAGTGTTAGAGGTAGCCCACGACAAACCAGTTGGCGGGCACGTCGCTGAAAAGAAAACGCAGCAGCGAATGAAGAACTCGTTTTACTGCAGTCGAACGTGCAGGAGCAGATTAGCAAATACTGCAATTAAGAGTGCCACTACTGCCAGGTGAACGCGAGACCTAAAGCCATCTAACGGGTGCCTAGTACTCCGCTGGTAAGACCAGATGTTCCATTCTAGACCGTTGTAGATTGTATTGAACCGTTAGATCCTGCGTCGTGGAAGGGGCACAAATATGCCTTGAGCCTTGTCGAGGTGTGTTCGAGATGGCCGGAGGTGGTTTGTATAAGATCGCTTACGGCGAAGGCAGTGTATGACTCGCTGGTTGAAATATTCGAGCGAATGGGAGTGCCAGAAACCGTATCGTCCAATCAGGGCGCAAACTTCACGGCCGAGCTCGCACAAGAATCGCTGCGTCGATTAGGGTCGTCACCCAGGTTCTCGACGTCAGAACACCCAGAGAGCAGTGGTCTAGTTGAGCAATGTAATGGTACGCTGAAGCGCATGCTGAGACATGTATGAATGCTGGATAAAATAAAAATGCTATTGTATCAATTAGTATTTTCTTCAGTTGTATTTGGCATTGGTGCCATTACTACTGGCAATTCTAATTTGTCCTATGACAAAAGCTGCACATTAGTGTTGCTTCGATAAACGTCAATACCTTAAAATCAATAAACTCCTGGATGTAGTCGCTTCGAAGCTAGTATTCATTTCATATACTGTTCCATCAAAATATACCGCGCGTAAAGGATATAATAGAGGAGTTTCAATTGCCCCTCTTCCCTACTTAATGCAATCTCTATGGTCCATAGCTTTTACTGTTACAAAAACTCAACCTCCCTTGGTCTATCTAAATCATAAATGGTATGACCCGAACTGGAAACAAAAAACAGTCTCTCGTGACCAGAAAGTACAATGTTGTCCTGACCGAAATTTGAAACATAAGCGTGGTCACATGGTGGCATATTCCCAAGACCATTGACTCTATGCGTTGGTCAAACCATTAATTGTAAAATACTTGTGTACGGAAAGGGGAGGGGGGGGATTGGCACATCGAAATTCGGAGTTTATCGGATAAACCAAAACTTTGCCCGCGGATGTTTTTCAGAGTTTTTCAGATTTATCCGGAAACGCGGAACCCTAGAGTCGGTGACAGGTCGAAAGATGTGGAAGCCCCTCCCACATCTTTCCACTTTAGCACAGCAAACGCTGAAGAGGAGGCGACATCTTGTCCAACGTTCGCTCTGCTATAGTGGAAAGAGGTAGGAGGAGCTTCCACTTCCTTCTTGACCTGTCACCGACTGTATGATGTACCCAGTTAACTCAGAATTTGCACATACTGTGGTGTGTGTAGCAAAGCAGGATCGGTGTGTGAAAATGTGCGTTGCATGATTATCGGCAATGGAACGCAATCACTAAAGCCGGTGCCTTTTTTATGAATAATGAAACCAAAATTATCGGGTTGGTCGTGAAGGCGTCGTACACAGGTGTGCTGGACCTAAATGGCGGGTATCGGCAAATATTTCAGTTGAGGAACGATCCCCAGAAGTTTACGGCATTCCTAACCGGGAGCAGTACGCATGGACAGTAGTGCCCTACGGGTAAAAATAAATAAATAAAATAAACTTCAACTTTTCGGCCTATGATGACTGAGACGCTGCAACCACATAGGGAATATTGCCACACGCGTCGCTGAGCGTGAGCGTATACGTGGCCGAACGGTTACCGTGCTTGGCTGTCGCGCAAGGATTTGGGCTCCATTCCAGGGAGCGGAACGGTTCTTTTATTTAATATTCTTTCTACTTGTCGTTTTCGCAAATTCGAGAACTTTCTCGTCAGATCGACTTACGAATGTTCTAGGCTGAATGTTCCAGAAACCCCACGCGGCTTCAAGAGGTGCTCCGCGTTGTAAGCCGCGGGGTCAGTCTCGCCCAGCGCTCGATCCTGCTGTTTCGCCGACATCGACGCCTGCGACGCTAGCCTTTATCTATTTTGTTTTGGGCACAAGTTCGCCCCATTAAACGTTTAGTTTGCATCAGTCTTTGTCGCCTCATCAATTGTCATTCGTGACAATATGCAGGCACTTATATCGATGAGCAGTGTATCGTTTGGCATGTAAAGAGCGTTCTTGAGACCTTATGTCACGTGGGACTCACAGTTAAGCTGTCGAAATGCAGGTTTGCCAAGGGAGTGCATGTACCTGGACCACCAGGACGGTTCCGGAAAGCATGCTCCTGTCCCCGTTCGAGTCAGGGCGATTCAGACCATGGGGAAACCGAAGACAAAGAAAGAATTGAAGGACTTTTTAGGGTTAATGAACTACTATAGAGACTACATTGCGAAGTTCGAACTATGCTAAAGTGGTGTTGTCACTGACCGAGCGACCTGGAGACGTATTACCGTAGGGTGAAAAGGAGGGACAATGGAGTCTCTTGATGGAAGTTCGGGTTACGGGAGCGCCAGATGCCAGGTCACCCTTATGTTCTGTCCACTTACGGACAAAGTGCAGATGATGTAAAAGACCACCCTGTGGGTGACGTTTCTCAGTAAAAAATTAATTGCTCCCCAAATTCGGTAGGCAGTAATCGAACGGAAAGCCTATGCGGTAGTGTGGGCCTGGGAGCAACTGGAAACGTGGCTGTTTGGGGCAGTGGTGGAAATTCGCACCGACCACAACCCTTTACAGCATTTGGCGTCAGCAGCACCAAACAGTGCGGGGCAGACTCGCCGGGCGCTAGCGTTGCGAAGATTTAACCTCAGGAAAGTAAGGTATGTAAAAGGAGCAAAAATCACTCCAGCTGATACGTTGTCAAGGCTGTAGTGGGTGGGAGCTTTGTTTGAGGTTAATATGCTCGACAAGTTCTCAAGAATTCGTGTTAAGTTTTTCCTGGGATCATTCAAGCCGAGTCGACAGGAATGTACAGAGCGCGACACTGTTAGCACGAACAAGCAATTGCCGGTTTTTCCAGTCTTTCTCTTTGAAACCAAGGGATGTCATCCAAGTTATTATTGCTACGGAAAGAGCTAATTTAGTTCTATAATGTAAGCGATAAAATTTCGTGCGCGCTAATACTATTCAGAAGTACAATAACAGTGTCGCGATGTGTATGGCAATGTGTTTTCTTCCTTTCCTAGTTGATACGAGTGCAAAAAGATAAACACATTCTAATGTTCTTTGAATTGAATAAGATTTTAAAAAAAGCGGGGTTGGGGGAAGGGGGGGGGGGGCGTGTCATGCCCGCACGCCGACAGATTATTGGATTTTGTGATTTTTTTTTTTATTTTTTATATTCATGGTGTAACGCGCGTAGAGCGCCGACTGGTGGACTCAAAAACGGCTCTTGATGACGGAAGAAAAGAGAGACTGGGCAGTCGGGTGCTGGAGCACGTTGAAGCAACACTTGGACCAAGCCGAGTAAAGCGCCTCCCGCCGCAAAGTCTGGCTCCCTGCTTCCCCGAGTCCCACAGCGCCCGAAACCACAAGCCGTGACTGACACTCTGTTTATTAAAGCGACAGCCTCATGTCTCATCATTCAGTCGACCTTCAGAGTCCTTGAGCAAAAGAACACGTTGGTGATATGAAAGGTACTAAGAACTTTTACGTGACCACTCAGGTGAATTAGATGCAATGAAATTAAGAAGGATAACAAAGCGAAATAAAAGGAATCAAAGTGAATGAAGAGGAATTAAAGTGAATTAAGAGGAATTAAAGAGACGTTAGAGTAATCAATGGGAATTAAGAAGGACTATAAAGCAAATTAAGAGGAATCAAAGTGAAAAGAGTAATTAAAGTGAATTTTGAGGAATTAGAGAGAAGAGTAATCAAATTTAAATGAGAAGGATGACAAAGCTAATTAAGAGAAATTAAAGTGAATTAAGTGGATGATTAAGCCAATTAAGTGGATGACTAAGGGAATGGAGATGATGACGCAGCAGGTCGAGAAGGATGACTCAGCACATTGAGATAGATGACTCAGCGCATTGAGAAGGATGACTCAGCACATTGAGAAAGATGACTCAGTGCATTGAGAGGGATGACTCAGCGCACTGAAAAGGATGACTCAGCATGTTAAGAGGAATGACTCCGATCATTAAGAGAGGTGACTCAGCGAATTTAGCTGGCTAATTAAAGTGTCTATGAGAAAAAAAAAGAATGTGAAACAAAGCAAATCATGTGTCAGTCTTTAATGCATCGGCGCTTGGGCTCTCAGTCGTCTTAGGGATAACATGAGACCCTGCGGATTTTTAATATTCTCAGCGCCACAGGCATTGATGAGATCGTCTGTATACTAGCGTTTACAAACAAGTCCGTGTTTGCCCACAACCAGGCATGTGCATTGCGCGTGCGCGGAAGCCAATTTGCATGGAGTAAATTGTGTTTGCAGCACTTGCTCCGTGCCAACAGCAGTGCCGGCGTGGAGGCGTGACTTCAGAACTGCACGTTGGCTTCAGCTAATGAGCAATAAGAGATAGTACACAGCTAAAGATATTAGTAGACGGCATTTGAACAATATATAATACTGCGATCAAGCGAGAGAATGAAACACAATTTTTTGGTTCGCATAAATAAACTACACGCATCGCAGAAAGCCAATGCTCCGTGGGAATGTGACGCTAGCGGTGCTGATAAAGTGGGAAAAGTTTAAGTACATTACGTTGCCTGGATCAAGAGACAAAATAAAAGCGAAATTTATCTACGGCCCACCTAAGCCTGATAATCGTCAAACGGAACTTTGGGTTTGTGGGCGCTTGCAGCATTTATTTCAGTAAAAAGACTTGTTAGTGAGAAATACGTTTTTGCCTTCTTTCTTGCTGACAAAGTGTCTTACTAAAATATATGCTACACGGACCCACAACCTCGAATTTCGCGTTCGATGAATATTAGGCTTAGGTGGACGTCGGCTCACGGATACATTTCGAGTTTTTGTTTTGTATCTTTTGATTCAGGTAACTTCATGTGCTCAAACTTTTGCATCTTATCGCCACCGCCCTATTGTCACATTTTCACAAAGTCCCAGCTGTCTGCGATGAGTAGTTTCTCGATGGGGGTCAAAAAGCCGGGTCTCATTTTCTTGATCGACCCCCGTAATATATTTTTTTTTTTTTTTCAATTCAGCTGAATTAATATTTGTGCCGCTGAAAGTGAACGCTCCTCAGTCGGTATCCAGAATAGGTCCCAGCCACTTCAAGATGTCCTCAACCGTTGTACGCTTCCTGGCCGCGTAATCTTGGACCTATTGCAAGAAAAGGAAAAAGTTGGCGTTCATCGTTTGTAACATACAAAAGCGTGATCAATAAGCCCTGCATCCTAATAGGCTGTAACTTTTTTTATTCAGTGATAGAATTGAAAGATGTTACATTCCGATCAAAGTTTGGAATCTTAATTTTCTAGTCTTGGGTAAAAGACATATTAAAAGTGCTTGAAGTAAAATACACAGTAAATGAGTACTTATGCACTTCAAGTAAAATACTAAGTACACTGGTCACAATGTACTTAAAAGTAAAGTACTATAAATACAGTGTACTACTTTCAAAGTAAAGTACTATAAATACAGTGCACTATAAGTAAAGTACTATAAATACAGTGTACTACTTTCAAAGTGAAGTACAAGTACATTTTAGCCCAATATTTCATCTCCTTCCAAAGTGGTATGCATTGCTCCAGTGGTGCATGCGGAGAGTTGTGCACTGGTAGTGAAAGTGCATCGCCACCGGTAAGGACTATCTTGAAAAGTTATGCTCTCCTATAGGAGAGAGGACCAAACGGTCACTCGAATGTAACATCTTTCATTTCTATCACTGAATTAAAAAATCAAACACTAGCAGGTAAAACTTATTGATTACCCCTCGTATATAAAATCATATGTAACATCGTCGTCCATAGATGGTACACAGACATCAACCATACAGACACACACTCAAGATCCAAATACCCTACAACACAACAAGAGGTTCGTGGGAAGCGATTGTAGCTATTCTATTGAAACAGGTAAAATTTCACGTCTTCAAATTTTATGTATGTAAAACTGAAAGAAATGCTAGGATGACGTTTTGTTGTTGGTCCCCGTTCGCAAAACATTCTTATATAAACCTGCGCTCGTTCCCAAGCCGTGCAAGCGTGTGTGTGGCCTAGTCGGTAGCGTCACGTGTCACGTGACGTCAGATGGACACGTGATGCCACCGTGACGTAGTGACGTCACACGTGAGATTTGTGGGTTGTTCGAAATTCCCGCGTAAGGCCACGTGGCGTGACGTCACACGGGCCTGTGACGTCATGATCCTTTCGACCAATCAGGATTTTCCGGTCCCACTGATGCCGACGCCGGATTTTCTCCGACACGAGCTCCTTAACGCTATCGAATTAAAGAATGAGTGAACGAATGAATAAGAAAGTGAGTTTTATTTCTAAGCCTCCATATTGAACGCAATAAAGGGGGCATGAAGTGCTGAAGCATGAGTGAAATCGTGTGAAGTACCAAAGCATAAGTGCAAACACAATGTATTAAGGTATATGATGGGTCCACGAACAACACCGTGAAAAACTTACGATGGATGTTTGCATTCAGAAATGGCAGACAAGCCAACGCGCGTTTTACACATATTGATCATTAAACTTAGTTTTCTTAATGTTTTGAGCAGATTTGTAAGAACCCTTTGCATGGATTAAGAAACGAGGTAGGCAGTTCTGTTCCACGTAACTCGCCTGTTCTCCAGTGATTCTTCCCAGCGAGAAGTAAGTGGCTTGCGGGTGTGCGAAGTACAGTCCACAGATAGAGGCTGCCGGCCACATCGCGAGGCTGTCTGTCAACTCGATGCCAGTAGTGTCCCTGACGTTCAGCAGTTTCCACAGCGTGAGCTTTTCAGAGTGGTCAGGCTGGCACGGGTAGCCCGGAGCAGGTCGGATTCCCTTCAAAGAGATCATCATCATCACCATCACCATCATCGTTAAAAGGTTATTAAAAGCAGGACAAGCTCCTTAAAAAAAAAAAAAATTGGCAGTGACCGGCGTCTGAACTGCACTGCCTACCGAAGGTTTGCTCCCATTTCTGACACACGCCGTGAGATTGCGCAGTCCGACAATGCATGGAATGCAGTATTTAAGGCACAATCGTTGATATTTGTCTCGTCGAGAATGAACAGTCGGTTCGAGAAAAACTTAACTTATATATATTTATCGATTTTCCCACTAAATTTAGCGGAAAAAACTATATCAGGGAGTTTTCGTAGATCGTTTCCGCTGTTCCGCAACGCTCTCCGCAACCAGCTACGCTAGCCGGAACTCTACAGTCAAGGCCATCGGCGCACCGGCGCAGTAGCGGCTGCTTCGTTGCGGAGGGCTTAGCGGAGGAGGAAACGCGGTTTACGAAAACTCCCTATTGATGTATAAGTCACGGAATGCCAATTTCTCTGCTAAATGTAACCGGGAAATAAAATTGGTGTTTAGGTCACGTGACGTTAAATTCCGCTGCTAAATTTAACGAAAAAATTGAATTGATTGAAAATAGGTCACGTGAATTGATTGAAATTCAATTGATTGAAAATAGGTAATTAAACTGATTAAAAATAGGTCACGTGACGTAAAGTTTTCCGCAAAATTTAGCGGGGAAATTGGTGTTTAGGTTGTGCGATGTCAATTTCCTGTTTTTCTTAACCTGCAACAGACTATATCGCGGAACTGTGTCACGTGACTTGGGTGTAACCTTCCCGTGACTTGTGTATAACCTTCCCGAACAAAGGTCTGTAAGGAGGAGGGCAGGGATGGGCCGAAATTTCGCACCACTCTTGCTCCTGCATAGCTGAGCTAATGAGGCAAACTGAAACATGCACTTTGAGCGATGATTAGCTTCGATGATCACGCTACGTGCAAACCAGAAACGACAACGCTGTCCTTTAGGTGGACGTTTTGTCAGCCCATTTATTCCCTCTAACCTACTAAAGGGATGAATTGAATGTTCTTAGCAAATAGATGAAATATAACTAGAATAACGAAATTGAGCTTCGTTAGGTAGTGTGGTTATTCGTCACAGCACAGGACCGAGATTGTGATAAAATATTATAGTTCGAGAGATGAAATTGTAGTCTTAAGTTGCATGGATGATCATCAGTATGAATCATTTTTTAGTTGTTTAGTTAGATCATAAATGAAGGCGCCAGAACCGGATTTTTTTTCTTCAATAGTTGAAGGAGGACTAATAGAGTTTCGGTTATGTGACCGGAGAGACGCGTCTTGGAGTTAATCTTTCATCTTCATTGTGAAACGAACAGCGCAATTAAGAAGCCTAGTAAATCCAGTTCAATTTAGCCCCTGAGCTCCGCGTGCGAAGACTCACCTGATATTTGACGGAGTGGAGGTGCTGAAGATCGAGGTTTTCTTCCGCGCAGTAGCCCCAGTACTCCGTCCTGACTCGCTCGTGAAGCATTTCTGCAAATGCCTGAATGCCAATTTTAAGGGAAGACTTTTGAGTTGGTTGCCGTGCGCGGTGGTGCTAGAAACTATTGTTCGAGCATCAAGCAAACACGATACCACTGCCACTTCGTCATCGACTGAGAGGAGAGACGACGCACCGGGGGTGTCAGGCTCGTCAAACACGAAGTTGGGGACGAAATTTACGGAGCGCGCTGATTAGACTCTCGCAGCGATGACGCAGCGTTTTTATCGCCGAAGTCTAATCGGCGAGCTCCACGCTCCGACTTTGTGTCCGACGAGTCTGGTAGTCCATCTCTATGGACGCTTTAAACACGCGCCAGATAGAGCCACAATGGCCGACCTTTTCTTGTCTTACCAATCGAGAGGCTTATACCCCCCCGTTGTTTTTCTCAAGGCACCCCCTTAATTCGAAACAGCTTTTCTATTCTCAATGTACCCCACCTAACCCCCAACCCCCTAAAACAATTTGATAGTCTCTCTCTCTCTCTCTCTCTCTCTCTCTCTCTCTCTCTCTCTCTCTCTCTCTCTCTCCCCCCCCCCCCTAATTTCAATTCTTGGGGAAACCTTTGGGCCACTGAAGCGAGTGTTGACGAGCCTCCACAAAGGCCTATGCTGGAGAGAAGGACACAGTTGCACCTAAAGTGTCAATAACCTGTCCTGCTGAGGCAATGATGAAGTGAATCAAACAAAATAATAGGAAACAAAAACTGAAGGTCGGTTATGGCGGCGCCCACGCACAACTGCCTGAAAGAGTCGATATAGAAAGATACCCACACGCGAGCATAAGCGCAGGCCAGCTGAAATATATTTAGAAATTAATTAACGTATAAAAGTGTAAAATTGTGTGCTTGTGGTTTATTCTGAAAACAAGAAGAAAATAACAAAAAGAAAGATTTGAAGTTGAGCGAACAATATACATTAAGAAGCGATATGTTTGTTTCACAATTTCTGCATGAAGAACGAAACTTTCTGATAAACTGATTATCAAATGGCATATTGCGATGAACGAATATCAAATAATTAGCCCAGATGAAGCAAATGACGACCTTCCGATGTAAGCGTTTGAGAATGAGTTCACAAATTTGTTTTCAACGTATATTTGTGCAGGTTCAGCTCTATAGAAATGTTTTAGTTGATCGTTTCGATAACTCCGATAACGGTGCCCAATATTTTGCCGTCACCTTTGTGCATGCCTCATATCGTTTTCGGTATCGTTAGGAGAGTTAGCAGAACGATCTATTAAAACTCTCAATGTCACTCACCTCCGCTAGCCTGTCCGCGAGGGCTTGGATCATGATGACTTTGAAGTCGTCGTTTTCTTTGCGAAACCTGATCATCAATATAGAAAACATCTCATGAAACATGCGTGAAAGAGTAAACATACACTCGTGGCGGTGCATTTTCCTCACGTTATAGTCGTGTACTTCGTGCCTATTGCGATTGAGAGCCTCGATGACGCAAGATGCCACGTACAGGAAGGGTTAACATCCTTCGAGTTTTTGGACTTTAGACTGAGCACGCGAACTGAGAGAATGCACGCTTGTTGTGGTTCCATTAAATCAATAACGTTTTCTTTAAGCGAAATTGGCGAAATATTAAAAAAAAATTGAAGCGGGTTATGGCCCTGATGTTGATGTAATATAATTAACTCTATCTGAACATAAAGACTGGTTCACGCATTTGCGTTCGACTAACTGTAACCGAGTTGCACTGCAACGTGAATACAGCCATTTTTTTTTACGCACAATTCCTTCTCCACGCGGGATTAAAACCATTCCGAAGTTATATAAGCGACCATAGCTTGTAGATATATAGTGCATATAGATTTGATCTCGGAAATACTGCAAAACCTTAAGGCCACGATCACAGTCTGCGTAAAAAAAGAAAAAAACTCCAGCCATCCAGACGTCGTCTGGGGCAGGTTCCTTCCTCGCCTGATGGTCCTCTCTCATTGATCATGCAAGAACCGTCTGCACACGTGTTCCAAGCATACATGCATGTATCTGTGAAGCAAACACGCTTAAAGCTTCCGCAGATACTTGCCTCATATCACATCCGCAGCGAACACAGCGTTTCTTTCGAGTGACGCACGAACCGTGCCACTGCGCGCGGACCCCTGCAGACTTTGGTCTGCCTACCGTGGTTATATGCGCGGGTTCGCATATCGTCGGGCAGCCCTCGTTCGAGGGCTGCCCGACGATACGTGACGCCGATGCGTCAATATGTGTTCTCTCTCTCTCTCGTGGTAAGCGAATGTGATAACCATTCAAGGGTGCCCTATATATATACGATCGGAAATCGAGACATCCAATATACACCCTATTTGCGCTCTATGTGCCACCAGCGCGTGCGTTGTTGAAAGACTAAAACCAAAACATTATTTTTTTTGCAGTCAAACCTGCCTCGTGCAAGCTTCTTCGCAACCGAAGCCAGCAGAGACTGCGAAGAGGCCAACGTAATCGTGTACGCCACTTTCCAGCGGGGCAACAAAGTCCGACAGACAATGAAAAGGCATATCTGGCTTCCGAGAAATCTAAAAGAAAACAAGACATGAAACTCATAAATGGCACTGTCGCGTACGTAAAAATAGATTTTTGTATTGCTTTGCTTTGGTAAATAATTAAGCGCCCTAAATGGCGGACTAATACACTTCTAATCTCCTGGGTTCTTAACATTTCACAAACCTTATACCTATCCCAAAACCCAATATAACTTTTCGCTATCTGGATTGCGGAACAAGAAATTTGATTGGATTCTAGATTTCAGGTTTTCAGATTGCATTTCCGGTTTCCAATAACAGTTCCAGTTAGATTTCTTGTTCCATAACTCAAATAGCAAAACGTTATATTGGGTTTTGGGGTAGGAGTACGCATTAAAATTAACATATTGAATTATTTTGTTCCGTATTTACCTGCTGCCGGAGCCCGAAAAACCTTGCAATTTCGTGCGTGCGCGACGGGTCATCGTAAACGATGATGTCGTCCCCATCGCTGTTCGCTGGATAGAATCCGATAACCCCTCTGGCCCGCAGTAGGTTCCGAGTTACGATATCTGTCAGCATTTCGTTGCCTTCGTCGAAGATCTTCTTGGCTTCTTGACCTAAAAATAAATGTGTTCAATTATTACATTTACCAGTTAACCTTGACAGCAGAAACGCGGTATTTGCGACTTCAGCAAAACGAAAGGAAACTAGCGGAAAAACACCGAACTGGTCGGAACAGGTCCTTTTACAATTTCTGCTCGTCCCTTGTGACTTCCATGATTGCATGTTGTCGGCGGTTGGCGCGATTCCCGCCGAAGTGAGGGATGTTGCGTGGGTTAATTATTGTGTCCAAAGCAACGAAAACGTGAACAATGACAGGACCGCTGGGAAAACCATGATTGATAATAGCCTAAGCAATTAGGTGTGCTTGCGCCGCTTCTCACGTTGTGTTGGGCGGACAGTTGTCCACGTGACTCTGTCGTCACCGTCGTATCGGTCTGGCTAGGTCGCTAAAAGTCAAAGTGAAAAACAAAACCATGCTTAAAAAAATCAAATAAGTAATCCCTCGTTATAACGAACTCAAGGGTGCCGCAAGAAAATTCGATATAAGCGGTAATTCGATAAAAGCGATAGAGCCAAAGAAACAGTGCCAGCAGCCTCGTAGGTGGACGGGAACACTGCGGAACACTCTGACCGTATATTTAATTAAACAAGCCATGGTTATAAACATCTCGCGGCTGCATTACAGAATAAAAAATAATTAAGTGGAGTTTGCCGATAATTTGATCCGGGCATCAGTTCTCCACGAACTGCTTCAGGCATCGCAGGAACACTGTCACCGCCGCTGCACTGCAGAGCAGCCATAGGATGTTTCGCGTCTCCGCAGTCGTTGGCGTTTCCCGAGGTACCTCTTTGATCTCGTTTTGTGCTTCCTGACCACACGCGAGGTCTACGATCGCAACATCCGTGGCAGGAGCAACAACGAGAACATCCGCATCCACAATCGCGAACGAATCAAAGTTGTCCTCGGTGGCTTTGCCAACATGTTTTCACACACTCCTGTAGAGATATGGAAATCGTGTGCTGTCTCGGCAAGCATGCTCGCGAGAGAAAATCTGACATGCACGAAGCATTTGGTGATCTTTTATCTTTGGATCGCGGGTGCGCTTTCCCCTGCATGAGAAACTTCTCGAACCCGTCCAATATGCCTTGCTCATTCCGCAAAATGGTGGATAGTGTCGAGCAGCCGATGCTGTAATGTCGAATTCTTCGGCGATTTCAGACTTGGGCCGGCCACTTTTCTCAACCTCGCAGACCTAAGCAACTTTCGGTAAACACTCCCAATCTCCCATACGACGCACGTGTGCGGGTAGTACGCCACAAGCGCGCCCGTGCAGGCGTGCACGTTGGGGCGCTCTTTTTTCCGTCATCCATTTACTCCGTTCTCCCAGTTTGCCGTTTGCCACGGTGGAGAGGGAGTAGGGAACGCAAGGGTCTCCCTGCGCCTCCGTGTATGCTTGCGTGCTTTCGGCACCTCGGCCTTCGTAATAAGTGTGGTCGGCTGCCGATACATTTCGAATAATCCGGTTAAAAATTTGTGCATTTAGGTCGGGACAGCGTGGAATTTCGATAAAAGCGATAATTCGAAAAAAGCGATTTCGTTATAATGAGGGATTACTTAAATCAGATTGATTTGGTTTAAATAACTGTTGGTTGAAAATAGTGGTTCTTTACCCCTAGATGTATTTCTCAACATTGCAGATTGGTCGATCAATTCGTCTAATCACTGATAGCTATACGGAAGAAAGCATTACTGCAAATGCAGAGTTTATTTAACTTCTCATTGCTGTAATTCCCACCCTACTAGAACAAAAACAGATTAATTTCCTTTTTTCAGATAATTAAAAAGCTTTAGTTCATTTTTATTTCGCGTTCTAACTTCTTGCAATAAGAATTACTTTTCTAGTTTTTGTTTATTTTGCATTCTGTTGCAGGAGGATGTTAAGTAACAGACGAACGAAGTGGAAGGTAGAAATGAAGCTCAACGCTCCGATTTGTTCAGAACAGAAAAATTCTCATTGCCCCTTTGCTCTTATATAAATCTTTCTTGCTTGATGAATTTTTAAAATTTTAAATACCATACAAATGCTCACATCAAATAATAAACACATAGTAAATACAACAATTCGGAATGATTTTTTCGGGAAAGGTTTGATCTAAAGCATCACAGTAAAACTGGTCCGATATGAGTGACGTTTAGATCATGATTTAAACCGCGATCACTAAATCATATTGATTTTCATTCTCCACCCTGCTCGGAACAGAACCTACGCAACCGTATGAACCAGACATTGTTCGTTTACCAACATTCATCAGCGCTGTCAAAGTACAGTAGGTACCGTATTTACTCGCAGAATGAACGCACTTTTTTTTCCGAAAAATTGATGCAAAGTTAGGGGGGGCGTTCATTACGCGAAGTAAAATTTTTTCGACCGTATTTACTCGCATAATGAACGGACTTTTTATCACGAAAAATCAACGCAACTTCTTATCTCTTTGCGCGCGGCGCGCGTCCCGTAACCAAACTGGGCTGCCCAAAAAAAGAAAAAAAAAACTCCTCTTGTTTTCTTTTTCACAGTTCCTTTAATTTTTTTTTGCCGCCTGTTTTTTGCAAGTTGTTTCGTTTGCTTAGGCGAGTGCTTTCCGCTTATCTTTCTTATCTCCTTGCGCGCGGCGCCCGACTCGCGACCCCCCCCCCCCCCCCCCCCCCCTCCGTAACCAAACTGCGCTGTGCAAAAAGAAAAGCTCCTCTTTGTTTTATTTTTTTGTTCCGTGGGTTGTTTTTTTTTTTTTTTTTCCTTTTGCAGCCTTTCGCAAGCTGTTTCGTTTGCTTAAAGGGCTTCTCCGCTTCTCTTTCTTACCTCTTTGCGCGTGGCGCGCGACTCCAAAGTCCAGACGGCGCTGTGCAAAAAAAAAAAAAAAGAAGGAAAAAAGCTCTTTGTTTGTTTTTTCTCTTAGTTCCCTGGTTATTTTTTCTTTTTGCCTCCTTTCGCAAGCTGTTTCGTTTTCTTAGAGGGTTTCTCCGCTTCTCTTACCTCCTTGCGCGCGGCACGCGACCCCAAAATCCAGACTGCGCTGTGCAAAAAAAAAAAAAAAAAGCTCTCCATGTTTTTTTTTTTCTTGCTTCGGTTGACTCTTTTTTAATTTTTTTAACGCCTTTTGCAAGGCGTTTTGTTCGCCCATGCTGCCCATGCATTCGCGACCTCGCTGCACCAGGATAGAAAAGTGCGTTCATTTCGCGCGCGTGGGGGGAGGGGGTCAAAATTTTGACGTCGGAGTTCGGGGTGCGTTTATTACGCGGGTGAAAAAAAAAGTCGAAATTTTGTGAGCCGACTTGGGGGGTGCGTTCATTACGCGAGTGCGTTCATTGTGCGAGTAAATACGGTAGTTCTTTTATCGCTTCCCCGGAGAAGGCGAAGTTTCAGGAAGCTCACTTATGCCAACACACTGCCACAGGTTTGGAACGTACTGTATAAAAATCGGGGGTAAAACATCTTGAAGCCACGTCCTGATTTCTACCGCTATATATGGCCGAGAGCGGGAACTCTGATGGGATCGCTGGAGTCACGAATACCTAAAGAAAAGTAGACGATGCATATATTTTTTTTTAAAAATGCCGCTTATGTGTGTTAACAGGTACTTCAACATAATTCTTCTAATACGCGTGCTGTATTAATTAAAACAAATTACAAGGCAAACATTATTTACCATGCGGAAAAGTCATATATTTTTTTTCGCACATTTTTTTCAAAACGGACTAGAAACTGAGGATATTTGATCACTGCCACTATAAAGTTCACAATTTGACTCCCCAGAATGCGTGGATATGCCAGGAGGACATATGCATGAATATAAAAACCCGCAATATAAAGAAAGTTTTCCCCCTTTCAATCAATCAATTACTAGAAAGTAGGTCGCACCTACACTTTCATCCTCGAATATTTTGGGGTAGCGCTGGTTAGGGTACTTTCCCCTTAGTTGCCAGACGTCGAAGAATGGCTTCCAGTCGATGTAGGGGAGCAGATCGTCGATGTTCTGGTCCTCAAAAACTTTGGTCCCAAGAAACGTCGGCTTTCCTAAGATAAATACACAATTACACTGCAGGCACTAACGCAGAACTTAAGAATACCAAAAAATAAATCGTCCTATTAAAAAAAAATATAGTTTGTGGTAATTTGAGAGCGTGACTGAACCATTACTTGGCAACTAACGAAGCCATGTCTGCAAGAAACAAACACAATCTAACATTGAACCTTTGTGTACAAATATTTTGTTTCAAGCATTCGCTTACTAATACAATACGAATAAAAAAAAAAAAAAAAGAGAAGAAAACTTTTAAAGCGCTATCAGTTCGGAATCTTTCACTATTTTAAACGACGCGGTTAAAAGCTACGGGCATATATAATAAACGGGCTACCTTTGGTATAGATGAATTCTTAGATTTAGCGTCAATCCAATTAACAGGCATATTTACTTCTGCCATCAATATAAAAATAATGCATGTTTGAAAAGACGCATTGGCTGTCAGCTGAGCACAAACAAAAAGACAACAATAAATTTCAGACAGTCGCACGAAAAATTCATCCTCAGTAAAATATAAAACCATGACCTACTTGGCTTGAGGCTTCCTTCCCAATTGAGATGAAGCTTATTCCTACGGGCGTGCTCTAACGAAACGTATTTCTTGTCCTAGAAAAAAAAATACAAAGACAACAAACAGTGATAATCAGGTATAGATATGCTTAAAGCAAGATCCCCTCTCATTCAAAATAGGCACGCACCATACTTTATATTATTTTATTCATTTATATTTTTGATTACATGAAAAAGACCACATTAGCCTTTTTAATTGTTTCTTTCGACACACACGCACACACAGACACACAAGTGCGCGCGCACACAGACACACACACACACACCACAATGAGCTAAAAAATAAAATTAAGAAATCTACGCAGATATTCTGAAGTTTAATTCTGTGAGCAAGCTTCGCTGCAAAACAACTGCAAACACGATTTTGTGCCATGAAGCATTAAAGTTTTGAAAGACAACTAAAGACGAATGAGACGTCGCATCTTGGGGGAATAATGAAAATTATTGTTTTTATCTAAGCAGTACATATAGTGCAAAAACAATGGCCAGTTTCACACGTTGAATGCCAGAAATGGGCAGCGTATTCAACGTGTCTGCTTCCCCGAAATATTGGTTCCACGGGCATAGACAGGCATTCACTTGCAATCATGAATACACACTTTCATCGAATCGAAGTAGTCTTCTCTAAGCTCTTCATACTCATCTCGCAGCTCGTTGACAAAGGACATCTTGGCTTTTCTGTCGAGCAGTGTCGAGCACTGAAAAGGAGAAACAAGATTTAACACGACAATATTTTTGTTATCACTGTACGAGCAGAAAATGAGGGAGAGGAGGAAAGGAGAGCTAGCGGGGCCATCAGGACACCCAGTTCTGAGTTCAATGACTAGTGGGCAGACGAAAATAAGCCTTTGTTTTACTCACTCTACAAAAGCGTTCGAACGTCGAACGTCGGCATCCGGAGTTCGTTTTCGAACGCGTTGGAACACTGAGTAGAGATTCTGCTCACCCTTAATTTGAGACTGCAACCAAAGCTATACAAGCGCGAGCTATAGCCTGCACTCCTGGCCTTGAGACGTGCATTTCTAGTGCGAGTGCTCGTTCTGCGGAAAACGCTTCAAAGCGGCGACCTCGAGCTCTCATACTCGTGCCATTGGCTGCAGTCTCAGCTTAAAAAGAAACTGAAAAAGTTATATAAAAGAAAAATGAGTTAGGGGTGAGTTGTAGGGTATTTTGATCCCGTGAATCTGATCACAGTTCGTTTCCCCCAAAGATATATAACTAAGCGCGAGAAAACACGAAAAACATCCGACCAGTCGTTACGTCACACCCAGATCTTTCGGCCGCCAGGCGCGCCAGGTCGACACTTTGCAGCAGCTGTGCATGGGCGCCGCCATAACCGACCTTTAGCTTTTCTTTCATCTTGTTCCTTTTGCTTCACTTCATCATTGCCACAACAAGAGAGGTTATTGTCACTTTAGGTGCTACCAACGTTACCGGAGCAAGCTCAGTTTCACAGCTCCGCCTGCGACGTGGGCTCAGTGGCGGTCACGAGAACTAGCAGCGCTGCAGTCGAGTCTTACTTCCGGATCGTCTAGCCCGCGAAACTTCAATAGCAATACTTGAGCGTGGGCGAGTTGTTGATTCATACTAACACTTCACAGCGCAAGGAAACAGACGCACACAAAAATAAATTTCCTTTCCAACACTCAAAGAAAGAACACTCACAATGCGCTGACTCTGATCTCTGTGGTGTATTACACTTCATCTTCATCATCGTTTTTTTTTGCTATTATACACGCAAAAGTAAAAAAAAAAGAAGAAGAAAAGAAAAAGAAAAGGAAGCTCTCAACGCAGATGTAGCAGACAACGCGCGGGACAAGGCAGCAAGATCCGACTGTAGCGCCGCTAGTTCTCATGACCGCCAGCTGCGAAACTGAGCTTGCTTTAACGTTGGGTGCTACTGCGTCCTCCTCTTTGCCATAGGCCTCTGTGGAGGCTCGCTAATGCCCGCTTCAGTGGCTCGGTATCTCAATAAGGTCGGCAATGGCGGCGCAATCTGGCGCGTGTTCAAAGCGTCTACATTCCCTTGCACTGACGCCAGTCGTGACGTCTTTTTCTGACCATTTTTTTTCAGAATAGCAAGAGTGCGCGTGCATAGCTTTGATTGGCGTTGAAGATGCGCGAGAGCGGAGATTCCGAAAACTCCTTTTATGACGTCACGCTCCGGGAAGGAGGGGCTTCAGCGGCACTTTGAAAATGGTCTTCTGCAACCTCCGTGCACCAAATTGAAAAATAATGTCGATGTTCGTGATCCCTGAAGCCAAATGAAGACGATTTAAGTGTTTTTTTCTCAAATACAGAACCGCTTTAATTTAGCTTTGCGTCTGCCCTCTAATCATTCCAACCAGAGTCCAGGGCTCTGACGTCTCCGCGCACGCTCTCGTCTTGTTCTCGCCCTCAGTTTCCACATGTATTAGGAGATGACGCGCGTGAAGACTCACTCACCACCCCGGTAAAAAATGCTGGGATACGAAAGCTCAGTAGATAAAGATGGCGGCGCACAGAGGGGGCCATCGAATGCTTTGTATTCTAACAAGAATTTCATCCATTTGCACGAGCGACGTGTCTTAGGTTTATGCATGCTCGTGACTATGATTAAAGACACAAGAGGCGCTGGTAAGCGCGTAAACTACGAATGTCCCCGAAACCTGCTCACGATGTTTAAGGTTTTAACCGCAAGATGTTACGATTAAATTTACATAAATGTGCGCACGTGTCAATGTAATGCTTGAAGAGTAAATTACGAGTTGCTCCAAAAGAGTAAGTAAGAGTCAGGTGCAGAAAATTCATTACAGCTTAAGAAGTAGTTAGTTAATAAAATTGCACCTAATTATGGTAACTTAAACATTCTTCAGTCTTCAATTTTGACTTTTCGTTTTGACAAAGGGTGCTTTTGTGATAAATATTAATACTATTCTTATTATCTTCGACGACTTTTCACCACGGCGTGGGGTTCACCAGAAAATAATAAAATGCTAGCAATCTTTTTTTTATTCATTTGAAAGAAAAGTAAACTTTTACCGCATTACACTTTTGTTTTTGTTTGACAACACTATTATCAGGGCAACAAGTAGTATATATATATATAAAAACAAAACAAAAAAAACTGCCTACCACGACGGCACTTTTTGAAGCGTCCGGAACGTAGATCACTGGGTTCTGGTAATTTGGGGCAATTTTGACGGCGGTGTGGATTCTGAGAGGAAATGGGAAACAACCGAGTTCAGAAAAAAAAAAAAAAAAAAGCTGCGGTGGCAATAGGATTTTTTTAAATAAAAATTTAATCGAGAGTCGAATAAACTAAGCGCAACTTACTTGGACGTTGTGGCGCCCCCAATGAGCAGGGGTATCGAAAATTCGTTCCGACTCATTTCCTGAGCCACGTGAACCATCTCGTTGAGGGAGGGTGTTATGAGACCGGATATGCCGACGATGTCTAGATAAAATTACCAAGGCGGCTATCAATTAAGAAAACGGAACCTAATTAAAACAAAACTTAATAAACAAACTTAAGAAAACATAAGCAACTTACCTTACTAAACTAAACAACAAAGGAAATTCTGTTTCCTCTTATAACAGCACCAAAACGTTCCAACAGTCACCGAAAATTTAAGAAACGCAGGGCGTGGCGGCCCCCGCGCATCTCATTATTCCTCTTCAGCCAATGAGGGTGCGGCATTAACCGATAAGAACGTAGGAGAACCAATCAGGAAGCGAGAATCATTAACATAGTAAGCTACGCCCAGGGACTATAGAATATATAGATAAATACACCGTCATAAATTATATTATCCCAAATATTGGCATCTGATGATAGTACACAGTAACTAAAGTGGAATCTTGTTTAATTCAAAACCCCGTAATTCAAACTCGCGGATAATTCAAACTAGCGTGCAGATCCCCTCCTATTTATTTATTTATTTATTTACAATTTTACAATTTGTTTCTAGGAAGGAAACTCCCGCGGGAATTCAAACTTTGCATTATTCAAACGAAGTTCTGGTCCCTCTCGGGTTCAAATTAACGAGATTACACTGTAATTACCAGTGTGGGCACGTAAGTCGAACAGGAAGTTAGTCGAACCTACTTCAGAGTAACATATGTTAACTGTAAAATCTTACGCGGAAGTGTACTGCGTGTAGGCAGGGAATATTTTGAAAACTAAAACAAAATAACGGCGTTTATTGTTCTTTTAACCATCTCTGAATTTTGTTACCTTAGCGTAATATACTCAGCACGATATGGCAAGAGAATTACAAACTCTTACCAGCGTTTGTTTCTCTTGCAGTGGCGAGTATCTTTTCACAGGGTGTCATCACACCTAGATCGATTACCCTGGAGTAAGCAAATAAAGTATAGTTCAATGTATCTTGCCAAAAATCTTTGTTTTGTTTTTTTCTGTGCGACGGTGCATCCTAAAACCTCACATGCTCCCCTAACACCTACCGGACGATGAAGGCACATTGAATGAATAAATAAACTTAACTAGATACGGTACAACAATATGCATATGCGTAATAATAAAAAATAAAAAAAAATTGCACAGAGCGTCGCAGTGACGTCAGCTGACTTACTGTGACAATGTTGCGTAGAACTGAGCGTAGTTGCACTGGTAATACATTAAAATAATCAGGCTAGAAAACAAAATTTTGGTGTTCACGAAAATATATCTGCTACATTTAAGAGGCGTCCAAAGCACGTGCGAGATCGCGATCAGCTAATAAAACGCTGCCCGAAAATTGTGAAAGAATTATTCGATCTCCATTTATGTCACATTCGTCTACACACTTGACGGTTGCAATCTTCAATATTGTTTTACATATCGTGTACAATTGTTTTACTACTAATCTTGAGTTGCTTAATGACAGTTTTTTTTTTTTAATATTTCTACTTAGTTTGCTTACTATCGAGTAATGGCATGTTAGGGATGACTGCTGAGACAAGCATTGTATAGCTGAACGCCAAGCAACGCGTACTGCGGGAAAGCACAGTTTTGATTCGTGCCCCCAAAACTAGGCACATCAATATTAGGGGGTATACGTTTCAGGGGCCAACAGGACGGCGGTGTATACTCAACTTGAAATTGTTGCAGGCCAGGACAACCGCCACAATGTTTTTGCCAATGTCGTGCACGTCGCCTCGTACAGTCGCCAGTACAACGACTCCAGCAGCACTGCTCACCTGAAATGAATGCATCACGAGCTGCAGTCACATAAGAAAAACACAATTAAAATCACCGCGTCATTCTGCGCGCCACCATTTTTCTCCATCAATCTGCAAAAAAAAAAAAAAAAAAAAAAAAGAGCTCTGCACATATGCGCCCCTCGCTCTGCGAAATATCAGACGACGCGCATGCGCACTACACCACCCCGTGACTCGGCATTTTTCGCTTAAATAAAAAAAGAGATTAATTTGAACAAGGGGCAAGATGGGGGGTTTAATGATGTGTACCGCGCCGAACAAAAAGTTTCAATACTCTGCAATATTTCGCAAGTTATACTTGACACGACCGTGACAATGATTTAAGCCGCGGATACGTGGCATTATTATAACATCTTCTTCGACTTGCGTTCTTGATTATACTCATTAATTTTCGCAATTAATACTAAGAAAACAAAAACGCTGACATGGTTTTAGTTTAGAGCTCATTGCACGGGCAGACTGGCGTATTTTGGCGACTATTTTAGTTTCAAAGAATTCAACCTGCGTTGTAGTATCTGCTGAAAGCCGCAAAACCTAAAGACGGAAACAATATCAGTCAAAATTTTATGCTGTATGTGCCAAAAGTCGCAGTACAAGAATTAGTTTGTTACATTCTGAGGTACGAAAAACGAGAATGAGCTTTATATAGAGTATTTTCTCAGATTTTTAAGAGTTTTAATTAAACTTTCAATCTATTTTTGTGTGCGTGTGTTTGAATGTTTCGAAGCATACATCAGATTTGTGAAAACCCTAACCCTACTATGGCTTTGCTAGTTAACGAGCCAAACATAATCAACGTAAGAAGACACAATGTCTGCTTCCCAAAAGAATCGTGATTTGCTTTCATAACAAATTGAAAAACGGTTCGTTTTGATTATATGAGTGAACTTGTGGAGGAGACAGAAGGATTAAGAATAACGGTGACATAGACATCAGTCTATTGAATCTTTTTCACTTACGTCGTCGGCACCCGATCTGTTCTCTGTGGCTCGCATCTGTTCTTTTTCCCTTTCCATGAAAGGAACGAGGTAGGCGACCGCCTTCTTCATCACCCTCGCGGACTTGATGACTTGTGGCAGGAACATCTTTCCTTCCCCAAAGAGGTCGCCCACAATGCTCATGCCCTGGTATAAAGCAAACGATCCACGAACCTCAGTAAAGGGCTGTCCAATCGAAACCGCAAAAAAATCCAAAACCCGGAACCCGTTTATTTTTTCAAATCTTTCTAAGCTCGTTGCGGCTCAAAAGTGTCCAGTAGTTTCCGGACGAAGCAGCTAGCCCACCGGCAACGGGCGGAGCAGGGGAAAAAGGGGGAAGTTGAGTCGAGGTTTTTTTTTTGTGTGTGTGCGTGTGTTTACCGCAGTAGGAGAAGTAAAAATGCGGAGTAGTGGATCGGGGCGGGAAAGGGAGAAATAGCCCCTTTCGTGGAATTTATGAGTGAATTCGAGGGGGGGGGGGGGGATTCGACAAAAGAGACTGCTTCTTAAGCCATCCTAGTTTTGTTTTTTGTAGGGTTTCCAAGAAACAATATGCTCAACCCCTTCCCCCCCCCCCCCCTCTCCACCCCACTCACGCGCACGGTTTGCGAGGAGGGTGAGGGGAGGGGGGAGTGGACCGCCTTCCCCTGATTGGCTACTGAGGAATCTGGGCGGGCCCGGGGTCCCGAAAAGTTCAACATTTTCAACTTTCGATCTGTCCCCCGGAACACAAAAAATATAACCGTTGACGTCACCAGCGACGTCACTTCCGGGTGGGACTGCGCTTTAGAAAGCTTCAATCTAAAACAGAATGAAATTTTATCAGGCAACATTAGTGGTCGCCACGTTTCGACGCCTAGTCTTGCGCGAAGCCTCTGATTGGACCAGAGCCCACGCCGAACGCTGACGCAGACCCGTGTCCAATAGAAACGCAGAATAGCCGACGCTACGAGCTAATGGAACCAACCAAGCAGCGTGAAAAGCGCGAGTCAGCACTGGGCCTTCTCTGTTTAGGATTGGTTCAGCAATGGTAGAACGCACGCAGAAAGGTGGTGAAAACCAGGACGGTGCGCTTTCGATGCTCTCTGATCGGTCCAATGAGCTCGTTGCATCCGGTGCATCTGGACTAAAGATGAAACGAAAGTATAGTATGGTGCGGACTTCTCTACCTGTTTGTGTTCCTTTCCTGGTGATTCGTAGGATGAAAATTGCACACGTCCTGTTGCCACAAAACGCTTCTTTACTAAAAAAAATATAATAAAAATAATATAGATATATTTTACAAGTTACTAATGCTTTAGGTAGTTGTTGAATTCAATCCAATGCCTAGGTGATGCAAACTACTGGCTGATTAAAATGTTTCCAGCCGTATCCATTCATTCGCTCATCCGGTCTATCGTATTTTTGTAACGCTTTTGACCTAAATGTTAATGTACACGATTTTTGCCAAAGGATATTGCCTCAACGTAGTGTTCTTTCTAAATAAACAGGGTTGCAAATTCGTGTTCCTGCTTCGTACAGGTAGGCTTGAAAACATGCACGTTTAAAGTTCAGTCCTATACTTGAATTGTAAAACATTTCATGAACAGTAGAGGTTGAATACCTAGCATTTTTTACCGTGATTAGAAATCCTACAGATCAATTTATCGAATTTGCGAGGCTTTCTTCGTACAGACACCTGCCATGTGACTCACCGCCATTAAGGGTCCCTCAATAATGTTGAGTGCTCGTGGATAAGCTTCTTTTTGCTGTCTCGCTTCTTCAACGTCCTCCTCAATGTATGTATCGACTCCCTAAAAGACATTGGCAATAATACCACTGAAACGATTTATGGACACATTTCTAAAGGGGCTTGCTACAGCACATCTGAGTCGGCTGTGGTCAGCACAGAAAAGTCCTGCAGTCATATTCAGTATTTTCTTTGTGCACAATACAACAAACATATTACATTGTTGCGTCACATTATTGTTATTAAGCTATTCGTCTCACTAAATAAAAATAACATTACAAGGTTAGTTTTAGATAAATTAAATTGTGAATTAGTTTTACAGTTACACAGTAATGAACTCCATTCATCATATATTAGGGAGGTAGTGCTTTAAGGTTCTTCGTTACATACCTTTACCAGGGCATATGAAAGCCTCTGCTCCACCGATTCCTTCCTCCAGCTTTCGGCTTGATGAGGCGACTTCTCTCCATCATTTAAAAGCTAAGATATAACAGAAGATATTGACAGGGTATTAGTGAATTATAATCCTACTACAACAGCGCCAATCGGGGTTTTAAGTATCGATGAAATCATAATTTACTCATCTGAAAATGTCTCATAGACCATTTGTCCACCACTTTTATAGGTAGCTCATTTTAAACATAAGAGTGCCTCGTATAAGGATTCTCAGCTAATAACAAGTCGTTTTATAATGAAACTCTTGACGTGACGGCCCTTTGTAGTAGTCCGCTGAAAATCCGCGAGGTGGCAGCCACTTCGCTGGAAAGTGCTTAATTTAATTTGAAGTTTACACAAAGGAATAAAAATGGAGGCTTAATCGTATGGTTTTAAATAGTTTACATAGGTATTAGCTGTTCGAATTAGTTAGTTAGTTAGTTAGTTGGCGGTACCTAACCCCTTTAGAGACAGGGGGGTCAGCAAAAGTTCAAATTGCCGACACAGGTAAAAGTTTTAGTTCTTGTTTTGTTTTAGCTTTTCCCACTTTTGGCACACTTTCACTGGTTGGCGATCAGACGTAGTCTCTCCCATTCAACGAGAATGCGCCTGGTGGCTAGTGAACTGTGGGCTCCTTCCCCGAATCCCAGCATTTCGGGAATCCTCTCTTCGCTGGTCGCCCAGGGCGGTCGACAGTGGTCTAGGGCAGGGCACCACAGCAGCACGTGGAGGACGTCCTCGCTTGACTGCCCGCACAGATGACAGGCTGTGTCGGTGTCTCCGAAGAGTTGGGCACGTCGGCAGCCTGTCATCAGCGCTCCTACCCGTGCCTGGAACAGTAGCGCACTTTCATGGTCCCCTCGATAGTGTGTGCAGGGAGACGGCTCAGGCTTGTGGAGCGCGTAGATGCTCTGGAGGCTCTGCTTTTTCCTCACCGCTTGTCTCCAGGCCTCAAGTTCAATCGCGTTCACCTCCTCTGTCACAGCCTTGAGCCATCCTTTCTCCGATGTGGCCTCATGTCGCCTTGTCCCTTTGCTGTACACAGAGTCGAGCCAGGCGATGGTGTTTGACCAGTTCGTCCTGCTGCTGCGGTATCTAATGTAGTGGAATGTCCTTTTGGCGTACGCTTCGTCTGGCATGTGAATCAGGCGCCCGAGGTATCCGAGCTTGGCCCTTGCATCCCGTTGCTTGAAAGTCGACCAGGCCATCTCTCCCGTGACGGCCAGGTTTGCAGTTGCCCCGTTTCCGCCCAGTGCCCACCTCCCGATTTCCACTTGATGGCGATCCAGTGTCTTCAGGGTGGTCTGTTGGAAGACCACTGCATCGTTAGCATAGGTGATCGCCGGTACTGCGACACTCTTCCACAGTGCCCTCGCAAGGGTGTATGGGTTATAGGAATACTTTGCCATGTTCCACAGGTGACCTTTTCGGATGTTGGAGGTTTTTAGGGTGTTCCTCTCGTGTAGTTCTAAGTACAGCGGGCCTTCTTGAAGAGTCACTCCCAGATATCTGTATTCCTTGGTATGTTCTACTTCCACCTCCTGTACTCTAAACGTGTGGTTAAGCTCGTGAACATTATAGCCCATCCACTTTGATTTTTCCTTACTGAATTTGAATCCCTCTTCATTCCCAATTCGAGTGCAGATATCGAGCATGTCTTGAAGGTGAGTTTCATTCTCTGATAACAGGAGTATATCATCAGCAAAGGCCAGTACTGGAATATAAGCTGTTTCCATGTCATTACTGGAGGTAATGGTTGTGAAAGAAACACCCTGCCCTTTGGCTTGCAGCTCCAGAATGAGATTGTTGATGTAGATGTTGAACAGGGTTGGAGAGAGGGGGCAGCCTTGGCGCAGACCCACAATCATGTTCACCTGCCCTGATAAATGTTCTCCCAAACTGTATCTGGCGTTGCATCCGGCGTACATGTTTCTGAAGAGCGATACTGTCTGAACATCCAGTGCCATCGCTTCTAACTTCGTCCACATCTTCTCATGGGGCACTGCATCATAGGCCTTTTCCAAGTCAAGGTAAGCCAGATAGAGTGGTGACCTATCTAGATTTTTTAGCTCTATTAGTTGTGTGACAGTGAATAAGTTGTCGCTGACCCGCCGGTTCCTACGGAATCCATTCTGTGCCTCGCTGAAAAGGCGGGCTTTCTCACAGAGTCTCTGCAGTCTGTCTTGCAGAATTGATGCAAAGAGTTTGTAAACATTACTTAGTATTGTTATCGGCCTGTATGAGTCTAATGATTTCTTGTCTTTATCTTTTCCTTTGTAGATTAGTTTTATTTTGGCTTGTTTCCAGGCTTCAGGAATAGCACTTTTTGCCAGCATGTTGTTTAGAAGGTACCTTAGGTGCTTCTGTGCTACCGGTTTAAGCTTTTTCAGGAACTCGTTGGGGATGTCGTCTGGACCTACTGCCTTTCCTGCTTCTAGTTTATTAATATGTCTCTGCAGTTCACCGGGCGCTATTGGTTCAAGAATGCTGCGGTCAAATTGTTCCTGAGGTCGTAGGGATGTTTCCTCCTGTGTCCTCGGTCTGTTGTAGAGGGAGGCTTGAAGTCCCTGAAAGTATTTAGTCATTCCTTCGGTGATTTCTTCTTCAGTGGTCCATTGGTCTTCTCCACTCCCTATCGTCTTGTGTTCAAGGTCCTCGTGTGGTTGGAGAGATCGCACATATCTCCAAAAGCAACGGCTTTTGTTGTCGCTTTCTTGTAGGGCTTGTTCGTGTTTCGTGTGTATCTTCAGAATTTTTGTCGCCACTAGAGATTTTACTTTATTTTTCTGTAGCTCGTAATTTTCCCAGTTTTGCTTTGCCATGCTGTATTGCTTTTTATTCATGGCCTTTCGATATTTCCTGGACCATTCCTGTCATACTTTGATTTCCTCCTTAACCTCCTTATCAAACCACGGTGTTCGTTTATCACTTTTGACTCTGGTTTGTTTTCCTACATGAGTATATGCTAGTTGCATTAGAGACTCGTAGAACTCGCTGTAGGTTGATGGGGGGCTTCTTGCAAACTCAGCATCCAAGGCATTACCCCATGCCGCCATTCTACCTTCGTCACTAGTTCTCCAGTAGCTTGTCCTCCTGTGGAGTTTATGTTTCCTCGAGCTGTGTATGAACTTCTAAAGAAACTTTCTAAAGAACACTAAAACATATTCAAGCATTATCCTATCTTATCTTTTTTCCCAGTCTCTCGAACAAGGAATTCATAAAGGCGGCGATAAACATAATCCTATTAATTTCCGCCCGATCTCTCTAACGAGCATCCCTTGCAAAATTCTTGAACACGTAATATATTCACATCTTGTTAATTTTCTTGACTCCAACTCTTTTTTCAACACAGCTCAACATGGTTTTTGAAAGTTTTATTCCTGTGATACCCAACTGCTAACATTAACTCATCATCTTCACCTCACTCTAGACCGGGGTTCTACGACTGACTGCATATTCCTGGATTTCTCAAAAGCTTTTGACAAGGTTTCTCACCAGCTACTTCTTCATAAACTTAGTAACCTTAATATAGATCCCAATGTCCTCACATGGATAAAATCATTCCTAACGAATCGCTTCCAATTTGTTCGAACTAATGACACTAATTCTTTGCCTTCACCTGTTAACTCCGGTGTCCCTCAGGGCTCCGTACTTGGACCACTCTTATTTCTTATTTATATCGATGACCTTCCTGTGCATGTTTCTTCCTCTATTAGTTTATTCGCTGACGATTGTGTAATTTATAAAGAGATAGTTAACGACTCTGACATTTCCGCCCTTCAGGTTGATATTAACAACATCTGCAAATGGTGCAAGGAATCGCTCATGGAGCTTAACATCACTAAATGTACATCTATGAGAGTATCTCGTCATAACAACACTTGTCCTTCCTACTCTATTAACAGTTCTACTTTAGTTTCTGTGTCCTCCTATAAATATCTCGGCATTCACATAACCAACGACCTCTCCTGGAATATCCACGTCCAATATGTCACTAACAACGCAAATAGGCTTTTGGGCTATCTCAAACGTAACTTTTCGCTTGCTCCTCTTTCGTTAAAACTTCTCCTCTATAAAACCCTAGTTCGTCCTAAACTGGAATATGCAGCTTCTATCTGGAGCCCCGGTATCACCCTTGCATCAGCTGTCGAATCTGTTCAGAATCGTTCTGCCCGTTTCATACTCTCGAACTATTATCGTACAGCCAGTGTAACTTCCATGAAATCGTCCCTCTCCTTACCTGATCTCTCTCTCCGAAGAAAAATATCTCGTCTATGTTTATTTCACAAGATTTATTACTCTAACCCCGCTCTCCGTCAAGCATTGTTTTTAGAACCATCGTACATATCATCACGTGTAGACCATGACCTAAAGGTAGGGATTCCCCATTGTAGCACATCCACTTTTAATGCTTCTTTTCTACCCCAAACCTCCATTGATTGGAATCGCCTTCCCGCACATATAGTCTCAATAACTAACACTGTTTATTTTAAAAATGCTATTACCAACTTTTTAACAGGTGATGCGTAGCGCGTGTTTTTGCTGTGTGTGTGTGTGTGTGTTTTTTTTTGTGTATTTTTGCCTTGTTCAATTATGTTATTTTTATCTGTCGACCGCCCACTCCTCTCTGTAATGCCTTCGGGCCCTGAGGGAATAATAAATGAAATAAATGAAATGAAAAACTTGTTGTAGGCCTGGTCAATCGTTACTTTTATCCGATTATGGTCACTTCCGCAGCTGAACACTTTTTCCTCGTCCACTGTCATGTTTTTCAGGTGCCATGGTGCACAGAATAAATCTTGGGAGGCGAGAATGTAGTCGATGGTTGATTGTTGGTTTCCTCTGCTCCATGTTATCTGCCCCTTATAGCCTTCCTCCAGATTTACTATTCGCAAATTGTTGTGCTCTACAAGTTTTCTGAGATTGTGAGCTCTTTCATCTTTACCACTTAACTCCGCCAGATGGCAGTTAAAGTCTCCCATCAGTATAATTGGGCGCGTGATGTTGCTCTCTTCAAGATCTTTCTCCAGACACTTATATATTCTTTCATTCCAAGATTCTTCTGTCCCTGCTGTGGCCATGTACACAATACCAAGCCCGATGTGGCCCATTCCCATACCTTCGAATATCGCCCACATATGTTCTGTACAGTTGTTGCCTATTGATGAAATGATGAAAGCACTGGTTATAGATGGCGGAAGTCGCCGCCTATTTAAAGGGCAGAACAGTATTCATCCATCCATTCATCAATCTAGTGAAATCGCGCTTTGCCGAAGACAAAAATTTAAGCTTGAGAACTGCCGAGCTTGAAAAGCTTGTACTAGCACCTTGGAGTACTCGAGAAGCTTTTCCGCGGCGCCCGTGTTCTTGTTGAGCACCGCGTCTTCGCACAAAGAAAGAAGTTCCTTGTCAATCTCCTGGTAGACGGGCAGGCACCCTGCGTTCACTATTCCCATGTCCATACCGGCCTGTGAAGATAGAATTCCCATCAAAATAAAACATCAACTTCATACTGAAAAGATTAAACACAAGCTGTGTCAATGTTTTTTATTCTTCTTTTTCATGGTCTGACGTTTTTTACGGTGTATATTTACTGTCCAATGTTCCACTCGATCAACCCTGCGTGGTTTGAAAAGACGACGCAAACTTTATGCTTATTTTGTCAGATGAAAAAAACAAACAAACAAAAAAAAAAACCTGGATGTCTTAAAGGTAGATGACGTTTCGCGAAGAGAGTGTCTTCAGGATAAGTAGGCCCTGAAGAAGTAAAGTCTTTTAGCGAAATCACTTTGAGGCTATCAGACGCACCTCTCTAGGTTCATCTCTCATCAACAACTACTATCTTTAACGACCTTTGCGATTAATTTAGGTGTCAGGTGGACGTTGGTTGGGAATATTACGGTTCTTAGAGTGCCATGTAGAGTGTTAATGAAACATTCAATACCTAATATTAGCAATAAGCCCCATACTCGCTCACTCTTCGAGCCCCTGGAATCTGATCTTTTAAGCTTTCCGATCCTCAACAAGGAGGCTTTGCTCACTCGTTTGGTCGCAGACTCTGTCAGAAAAGCTCACGTACGGCAATGGCGTGGTAGAGGAACACGCTGTGCATCGCCTCTCTGACGCGGTCCAAGCCTCGGAATGCGAAGGAGAGGTTAGACACCCCACCGCTCACGCGGGCACCTGGAAGCGTCTCCTGGAAAACGTCAAAAAGATCGCAACTTAAAAGGGCGGTTTCCCGGACGCTGCTTCACATCCGACGATATAACTCAAGGAGCGCAAAGGGGAACGATTTGGGTCGGACAAATTTTCGCTTACCCAATTTTTTTTGTTCTCGTCGAAGTTGTCCGATGATGAGCCATCATTTCAAGAGTTGGCTCGTATTAAACCCCTATATTCAGGTTTTTGGACTTTCAAAATATCGCCAAAGTTTTGCCATTGGGGTCTATTGCTTACCAGGTTGTAAAAGCAACATATCGGGGACAAGCTATATAGGAGGTTAAAGAACCTCTACTTATTACTAGCTATTTATTCTTAACTAGTATAAAATTTTATCTTACTTCATAATAACATATTAACCCGGAAAAGTTGTTAATTTTAGGGTTAAAACAAACCTTCTCTGCCATCAATGACATGCACAACATCAGTGCTAACATGTATATAAAGTAAACAAAAAACACTTTTTCACGAAATAAAGGCAAAACCTTTTGTGAAGTTTCTGTCAATTTTGTTATGTTCGAGCATCTCCGTCGATATAAACGAGACATCCATTATTTACCGCGGGGTAATAAACTGAAAAATTGGCTCTTGCAGTGTGCTATCCATATACTGAGGATTTCGGACGTCGTCGCATAACTATTATACCTTGATCCGTCGTGTAGCGTTGATGTAGTCAACGGCGTAGTTGCTGTGCTCTTCCATGCCCGTTGCGATGGTCAGGATGTTGGGGTCAAAGATGATGTCGGTTGGATCGAACCCAGCCTTGTCGACGAGTAGGTGGTAAGACCTCGTGCAGATCTCCACTTTTCGCTGTTCGTCGGTTGCCTATACTGAGAGCAACAAGTTCCATATGTGTAACATGTCGCGCTTACAGTTTGCTTGACATGCTTGCATAACACGCTTACAGTGTGCATAAACAAAAACTGAAATCATTACAATACCCATACCTGAAAACGTTAGCAAGAAATATACTCATTTACATTTATAGTATAGCCCCCTTCATGTTCAATTACTGCATGACGGAGTTGTAAATAAAATAGGCGACAATATCAACAGTGACTAAACACTTTCATAAGATATAAGCCACAATGTCTTTAGTGGTAGATATAGTAAACTCTAAATATCATAATAAAGAATTGACACCATGCAAAGTTCATGTTTATTTCACGGTATTCCTGGGTTACAATTGAGTTCAGACATAAAATCGTTGTGACTGAGCTGAAACATATTGCTATGAGTTTTTTTAGAGTGAAATATTATGACAAGAATTCACTTTCAAAGCTGGAAACCAACTAGGAAAACCATAACGCCAAAAGAAAATACCAGACTAACAAAACAAAACTAAAGTAATCACTTGAAGAAATTTTAACGCCCTAAGAAACGACTGCAACATTTATGCATGAACATCAAAATGAGATGCGTGGGCCGGGATCTGCCGAAAGCGAGTAGCAAATATTGATTGGCTTAGGTAACCTCTTAACCCCAAGATAAAATTCAAATTGTGAACCTCAACATGATATTTCGTTACAGTAAGTTCAGATACAAGTATTTTAATCAAGAACTCTTGCTTATTCTTTGCATTTGACAGGTTTGTTTTTATAAATTATGATTATTTGTTCTTCTCACAGGTGACAAACAGACAGGCGGTATTCTTTCGAGTAAAAATACTAAAAGAGCAACGCTGTCGATGCTTTGGTAATGTTACCTTTCTAGTGCTTATCACGAGAATCGTCGAGTCGATCGGCTGTGGATGTACGCGTGACGTCTGGTATTTCGCCCAAAAGAGCTATTGCGCATGCTCAGAACAAGTTCCGCAGCCCGGTAGACAAAGACAGCAGCGTTGTGAAGGTGATTTCGGCCCCCCAGCGTTGTGTTTAGCGTTTAATCCCACCCATACATCAAAAGTGGTCCTGAAGAGGCAACAAATGACGTCATAAAAACCTAAGTACCATGCTGTCGGATATCGCGATGTCAACCTACTTGAAGTGAGCTCCATACCTGTCCACGTTCGTCGAAGGCCATGACGACGACAGCAGCGCCAAACTGTTTCACGACGCCAGCTTCTCTTAGGAACACCTCATCGCCCTCTTTGAGACTAATGGAATTTACGATCCCTTTGCCTTGGAGACACTTCAGACCCGCCTCGATGACAGCGAAGTTCGAAGAGTCGATGCACATGGGTACCTACAGCAGAAATTCACGATTGCCTGTGGGTTCTCACCGTCTATCAGCAAGGCCATCGCCGTTATTGTCATTAGTGTCTTTCTCGGAAGATAAATTTACAAACTTTTTTGTTGTAAGAAAGTTTTGGGAATCTGGCCTTAAGTGTATATATATATGTAACGGTTAGGTTATCTGACATCAATTTCCCCACGAAATTTAGCGGCGAAACTGAATTAGTGTATAAATCACGTGACGTCAGGTCACGTGACATCAATTTTCCCGCTAAATTCAGCGGGGAAACTGAATTCGCGTATTGGCCACGTGAAATCAATTTCTTCGCTAAATCTAACGGTAAATAGACAAACGGACAAAAGTTTGGTATTAAGAGTATCATTAAAGCTTTAAAAAAAAAATATTGGCGCTTCAAGATGAAAGTTAAGGTCAGGGTCTCAGGGTCTTTGGTCTCAAGATGGAAGTCAGGCTCAGTGATTACTATCATGCTCAGTATACACCTGCCTGTCCGCACTTTAGGCATTTTTTTATTGTCGAGAGTAATTTAAACGAATCATACCTTGCTGATGTCTGGCTCGCTTGCAATTAGGTTGAGAAATTTGGTCATGGTTTTGGGACCGTCGATCAGACCGTCATCCACGTTGACGTCAAGAATCTGGGCTCCCATCTCAACCTGTTCTTTGGCGACGTTCAATGCCTCCTTGTAGAGGGAATCATGGCAAGGAACATGTTTTGTAAATATTGTAAAACTGCTATTTGCATCTGAATGATTTCAAGTAAAATAAAGTTATTAGGAAAATCAATCGTCAAATTCAGACCAATCTTCTTCTTGCAACGAAAGTTAATGATAGTAGAACAGACCGGCATTTATATCTTGCAATTTAGAACGATCTAGCTAGCCCTATGACTCGACAAAACAAATTACGCGTTTTATAATCTAATCACTAGAAAAATGAATGGAACCTTCAACAGGGCCGGGTGTTTGTATATAATTTCAAAATTTGATCTAAAATGAAAGAATACTATAACCGAATGATTTCGTTAGAATCATCAAACCAAGCCCCTCTTTCCTGTTTCTAAGTTTATTCGCCGAAGTTCCCCTCTACTTGTCTTTATGCGAAGCTAAGATTTACCATGCATTGTCAGCCCTGTTGCAAAGAGAGGTTTCAGCGATGAATTGGCCACTAAATATATCGTTATTTATAAAAGTTAAAAAGGCGTATATTATAAGTTCTTATATATAATATATATTCTCATATGTTGATTGGACACATTCATATATACTTATTTCTAACTAGGGACACACTCGAGTGCTCGGAAAAAAAAAATACGGCGGGAACGAACGTGAATATGACTGAACATCTCAGTTTGACCAAATTTCATATTCGGCAGGTACAGACGCATGCTCGAGAAAAATTTACCTGGTAATTATCCTTCCGAAGGAGTTCCGCGAAGCGCCGTGACCCAGCAATGTTGCAACGTTCACCAACGTTGACGAACAGCGTGTGCGGCCCGACTATCATGGGCTCCAGCCCTATAGAAGTCGTAATGCGAGCAAGTTTACACCCCATGCTCTTTTTACTAACTTTCAACTAGCGTCACATGTACAGTCCATTTTTTTTTTTTTGGATATTTAATTTTGTAAGCGTAGTTGAAACCTTGTGGATCAAACCAATATTGCCCTTAGATGGTAAGGACCTTCTGTGACGATCGCAGAATCTGGGGGGCTATGTTGCGCTTTTTGCACTCCCAGGAGACTAGGGAGAGGGAAGTGACGTCAACGACACAGCAAACGCAGATTGGATGTTGACAGAAGAAAACGAAATCAACATCCAATCTGCGTTTGCTGTGTCGTTGACGTCACTTCCCTCTTCCTAGTCTCCTGGGAGTGCAAAAAGCGCAACATAGCCCCCCAGGAGAGTCTCGGAACCTGGTAGGCCTTTTGTCAGTCCAGCAAAAAAACTAAATAACTTTGTTTCCGTTCCCCGGTATAAACACACTTACGCCAAGAACTAAGAAATGCATTATATCGGCGAGTCCTATATCGGTATAGTGGTTTGAAATTGGTACCGATTAACTCTGTCCAAGGCTCTTGTGGATAGTGTAAAAACCTAATCTGGCTCCACAATTAAAAAAAAAAATCTAAAGAGAAAGCAGACTTAAAAAATCGAGTCAATTCAAAAAGGTCAAGCAGATTTATTTACAAAGATTATTCTCGACAAACAAGCGTATCTCTGCTGAAAGAAAAAGCAGACTTGCCACCCCTCTCTAGCAGAAGAAAACTTCCTAGGTTAACCTTCATCCATAACATGTATTATAATAACCCACTCCTCAAGCTTGAAGTTTTAAAGCCGCCACACCGTATTTTTCTTCTATTTGATCATCTGCATAAGATACTATTACAAACATCACATACAAAACTTTTCCAGACATCGCCCTTACAGTTGGCAATTTCCGACTGGAACAAACTGCCAGCCAACATTATGTCTTTAGTAAATGTCGACAAATTTAAAAGTGTGTGCGCTCTATACGGCGTAAATTGATATGTATGCTTTCCACATGTTTTCATTATATTGTATTTTTCGCATGATGTTTGTTCATATTTTCTCTGTTCTGTTTTCTTTGTATACTGTTGAATTTCCCCCCTCATGTCTTGGACGCTTGTGAGGTACAAATAAATGAAATAAAATGAAATGAAAGATTTCCTGTCTATCATCTCGTAACTATCTGATTGTTATCCGTTAATGTTTATATTTGTACTTCCTGTAGCAAATGACAGAAGAGTTTGCCAACTTACCCGAGAGGCAAAGACATCCATCGTGAAGTCTTGAGGGAGGAGTGCGAGGAGGTAAACCCCTCACAGCCTCTGCTATGGCACGCACGTGCTCCGGCGTGGTACCGCAGCATCCCCCGACTATGTTCACCAACTTGTGCTCAGCGAATTCCTGTGCCATTGGCAAGAACGACCAACAACGGAATCAATAGGATGTCCCAAGCGGACATTACGTTGTAAAACGAGCCGGGAACATAGGCTGCTGCCCATAGAACGCTCAAACTTTCTCCATATATGCATTGAGCAGGTCAGTCTTACCTTGTTTAAATATCAAGGCGTAGTTCTCTTTCTGTAAAAAAAAATTAGAGCAAAACCTTGCCAAAGTCAAGGTAGGGCGCTTTCGCAGATGACCGATTTGGCGACGCTATTTACTTGTGGCGCCATCTACCGATAGGTGCAGCGAGCGGACGACACACTCTGTCGTCTGCTTGCCGTGCCCATGGGGAGATGACAGTGCAAATAAATGGCGTCGCTAACTCAGTCGTCTGCGAACGCGCCCAACCTTGATTTAGGCAAGTTTTTTGCACTCTTTTGTTTTTTACAGAAAGAGAACTACACCTTGAAATTTCACACGATAAGACAGACTTGTTCAGTGCACATTCAGTGAAAGTGTGAGAATTCTATATATGCAGTGCCGATTTTTCCGGCTCGTTTTACAGCGGAAGGTTCGCTTGGGAAACCCCCCTCCGTTACCTTACGATGGACCGCAGCAAACGCTACGAGCCTTTCTTAGCCAATCTAGTGCTGGAAACATATCACATGACTATGCACCCCACATGTCGCTGCGTCACTCCCGAGGGCCAGTGACACTTACATGACATTGGATTGGCTTCGCTGGCTCATAACGTCCTCTGCGGTTCGTCGTAATACGAGACGGACTGTAGCCATTCCTTGGGAATAATTTTTACTGTGGTCAGATACAATTAATCCCGAGATAGAAATACTTTTCTATCTAAACTCTGAAAAGAATGACATTTAATTAAAATGATGAAATAAATCTAGCATGTTTACATTCTGTGTTTAATATTGTTGGTAGAGTTGTACCTCAGTATACATATGCAATTAAAATAGTAATCTACCTTTTTTTTATTTTCTAATCTCGAGTTCTTTTTTGAGTTGGTTAAGTGAGTGATATATACTTTTTGCCTCCAGTTTTTAGATTACACAAGTCTTCACCTTCTAAATCTAAATTTACCCTATAAATTTGAATTTCTTCCACTCGTCGAATCAAAAACATACCTACCTTGATACGCTGAGACATTTGCAAAGCACTTTCGTCATACTCTCCAAAAGCGTTTGGAAGGCCTATGAAAAAAAAAAAAAACAAGAACATGATCTCATATCTAACGATAATCGCCTATCGCACGCACTGATGCAAAATTTACAATGCAAATGAAATTCGTTTAGCCCTAGCTGTTGCTGGCCCGTCTTGGTGCAACCTACCTGCGTTAGGGTAGCAGATCACAAAGGCGTCCGTGCTCTTGGATACCCTGTCCAAGTACGGCCACATTTCTTTGGCACCCAGCGAACAGTTGAGACCTATGCTGTGATTGAGAAAGGATTACAGTTAAACTGAAAACCCACGCAGTATTATATCCTCTACAAAATATACATATAAAAATATTATCCTCATGGTAACTCTGCCCTTCATTCTGGAGCATGCAACATTAATACAAGCTGCCGAAGCTTAAAATGTAAAAACTTAATTCTTTTTACGTTAATCTTATTAAAAAGACTTTCTCAGCCTAAGTATAATTCAAGATTCACAAAAGACATTATCACACAACTGTCTGAACGTGTGATACTAAGGAAGTTTGCTTCGTATGAATCTACACTTTTAGCGTTTTCGTATGTTTACTATCTAAGTTGCATTTTAATTACTGTTACAAGCGCATTTTGTTTATACCTTATACAGTTATGAAAACAGACGATTTATCAAAAAAGTTAGGCGCGTCTCACAAAAACGTTTTCTTCTTTATACATACGTACAGAAATTATTCAGTCCCCCCTTCCCCAAGGGGCGCACACACAATTTATTATGAACTGGATCACAGAATCTGCCAAGCATGCACTCTACGCATTACCTATGTTGCCTTTTGATTGGCGGGCCTCGATCGCTTTGGGTTCCGTCACGCCAAAGACGCATTTTAGAACACTTGCTCGCCGTATACATTGAAACATAGAGTCAGATAAAAGAAAAATCTAATTGGCCCACTTACCACATCGGCTTTGCATGCGAAATGCTCACGACAAATGCTTCAGTCGTCTGCCCCGAAAGATTCCTTCCACTTTTGTCCACCACCGTCCCGGACACCTAGGTAAATAAATAATAAAAAAAAAGTCCACACAGATTTATATATGTTAAACAGCAATGCTCCCGCCTTGTCTTGCGGCTTTCGTTATTAGTACCCATTCCTTAGGTGCTGTCTAATTTCCGCCATGTTCAACGCACATCAAGTAGACTAATTCTCGAATCTGCTAGAAGATCTTGAGTAAGTACGCACTCTAAAAAAAAAAAAAAACCGGTCCTTGAAAGGTTGCTTGACGCCCCAAGAACTTAAATGCAACTGGGTGATAAAGAACATTTTGCATCAAAAGAGGACCTTAAAGGAACCCCTTAGAGGTTTTTCCCGAAGAATACTTTTAGGGTGTGTTTAAAATAACTTTTGAGGGTGCAAAATATGGACAAGCCTAACCACCCCTAGGAGTTCTTTTATGATTAGATGTTTTTTTAGAGTGAGATTGAGGAAGTCAATTTGAAATGTAACATTGTGACAACAATTATTTATGCGAAAATCGCTGGATAACACTTACACTATTACATTATCACCGACCTTATACGCTATACGTAAGACTACGTTATAAAACATGCTATGAAGGAAAAAAAAAAAGACCAACGTAAAAGAAGACCGGCACGTGATTACTATCTCCGCAAAATGTGGCGGGCGATGTTTTCCCGCCAAATTTAGCAGATTGTGTTGACTTTACACAAGTACAAATTTATCGTACATGCTCAATGTACATAAATTTGGTCAGGCGAGACGAAAACCGGCTTCAATCATTTTACTTTATTACTGCTTCATTGCACGTGAAATAAATTAAGCAATTATAGGCAATATGGAACGCATATCACTATAAACACCTTCAAAAATTATGCCCTAGCTCTTACAGTCGATTTGAGAGCACTGTAAAGTGACGTGCGCGAAAGACGTCCTAAAAATTGCGAGTCTACCAATTGTAAACAAGTCTCTTGTAAGTGAGTATCATGTCAGTTATATGCTTGCCAGCTTGTTGACGTTTGTCTGCGCACGTCACTTGGCAATACTTTTTGATCGACAGTAAGAGGTCGTAATTATTGGAGGGGTCTATAACGTCCCTCAACTATAGTTCTGAAAGACCAAATTGAAGCCCATACAGTAAGCTCAAAAATTATACTTTAAACTATAGACCCCTTTTGGAAATTCGAAGGTCGGAACGCCTGGACAATGGCGGAACAATTGACATCGTGAAACGCGCAAGTCATTACATGAGATAGCGATCATCGGAGCGCCGCCAACGCCAGGAGCCGACGAGCCACTCAAATTGCGTCGAAAGTGGAACGTCACTGCGTTCATCACCTTTTTTTTGTGGCTGTGGTTTTTCTTCTATTCCAACTCAACGCATAAAGTGTGCCATGACGTTGCGGTTTTTGGTCCGCCATTGTGCACGGATTCCACAGCTGCCAACAGAGGGCAGTATTTCGAAAAGGGTCTATAGAGCCACTGTCAGGATGAGAACGACAGGGAGGCCTTTTGGTTGTCCCGCCTCCAGCGTAAACTTCCCGCTTTCGATGATGCTTCGGCGCAGGCACGTAGCCAGAGAGAGGCGGGGGGGGGGGGGGGGGGGGGAGCATGAGGCCTAGGCCTCCCCCGCCCCCCCCCCCCCCCCCCCCCCCCCCCGAAATCTTCAATTTTGCTGGGACCTCCTCTCCCTCCCTCTCTCTCATACAGCATTTTGTCATGGGCGATCCGCAGCGTGCTCGGGGCAGTCCCAGATAATAGAGAGTTTTAGTAGATCGTTCCGATACCTCCGATAGCCCCGATAACGATACTATGCATGCGCAAGGGAGGCGGTGGCGGAGTATCGAGTATCGTTATCGGAGTCATGGGAACAATCTACTAAAACTCTCTACTGTGCTGTGTCATCGCAAGGTTGTTGCATGCTGTACAATGGCCCTGTTGCGGGTCACCTTGAAATATGGGGTCGAGCATGAGGGTGTTAGTGGCGTTTATATGTTTAGCTGTCGCGTTCCACCCTTAAAGGCGAAGCTTAAGAGCCATCCTGCAATTTTGTGCATATGGTCGCTGGCCAACTTAGACGCGTGGCGGCACTCCGAGTAGGCCTCTCGCGAGTCCGTGTAGATGGTGATGTTTGTGATTGATGTTTCTCAGCGGTTGCGTTTAGCACTTTGGCGGCTTGTAAAATGACCTCTAATTCGGCGCCCTTAATGCCCACTCCTACGGGGAACCCCTAGGACCACACGTCGAAGTAAGTTATGTTAACCCACGCAGCCGACGTTGGGGGTGTTCCCTGTGTAGGAAAGGGGCCGCCAGCAGTGTCCGTGTATTAAACGACGTGCCGTTCTGGGTCCAGGACGGCAAAGTGTCGTTCGTGCGTCTTGGCATGACAGGCTGGTCGAACGATGGTAGGCGCCCGATCTCTTGAAAAATGGCCTGGCCTGCCTTGGTATACCCAACACCAGAGTGAGCTGGGCAGACTTGAGTTGTTCAGCTACATCCTCGAGCTTGTTGAGATATCCATGAGCGTAAAAGGCCCGGGAGCCAAGTGTGCTTGGGAAGGCCGGTGAGAAGCCGTATCGCTTCCTTGTTGAGATTGGTGTCCCGTTGGCGTCGTGTTAGGTAGTTGTATCTGCATGATGTGTTAGCAGTTTGACCACGGGTTCAGAAACGCATGCCGTGGTTTTATTATAATCCTGAATGCAGCTTGGTTCGTGATTCACTTTTCTGCGTTTTTATCGGCTTATGCCACAGTCTATAACAGGCTGCGGAGTAACGATAAGTATGATTCCACCTGCGTTTCTTAAACTGTCGTTGATTATATGGTACTGTATCCTAAAAAAAAGCGTCGCGAAACAAGGTTTCTTCGATTGATTTTGTAGACGTGAAACCTACTTGTCTTCGAAAATGACCGGAAGTTGCGCGTTTACTTACGAAAATTGGAACCTCGTCGTAGCCTTCTTTAAACACCTCCTGAATTGCAAACAAAGCAGCCTGAAATAAAAAAAAAAATAAAAGACAGGAACGTTTCAGTTCACAAAAAAAAAAAATAACATTGAATGCAGAAAGTTTAACAATGAAAACAAATTCTTAAAATAGTGGTATGTTAAGGCAGGTTATGATTACTAATGAAATTATTAGGGACTATCAACTAAAATTTCCTAAAGTCCAATGAGGAGCGAAAGTTTGTCTGCTTCTTGCGCAGGGGTTGCGTAGATGTCAGAACGCCAAGCTCTTTGGCTGGTCAAAAAAAAAAAAAAAGAGAATAGTGGTAGATCTCGAGGCATCTTTTCAATTTTTCAATCAAAGCCAATGAGAGCTTGACGTCATTTGCTGTGCGAGAAACAGACGACTTGCTCTCCGCATAGCCGAAACAGGTGAACGCTATAAATAATATAATTAAACCTAGAAAAATTCAAAGCACCAACAAAAAGTCTGCAATGTGGTACTGAGCATGATGAAATGGTACGCCCAGTCTCACAAAGCAGACTTTTTTTTCGGTGTGAATATATTTTAAACCTCATCATTGGCCAAGCTCTCACTCTTGCAGCGATTGGCTTTCCCAACTTCCAAAATGCTTTACGGGAGTGAAAGCTTTAGGATGCGGCCACACCGCTCAGAGGACAAATGAAATCAAATGTGTTTATTTCCACCTTGTAAAAATATAGATGGAGGGGCTGTGGAAAAAAAGCTGCGCTTAGCAGCTTGACGAGCCCACAGTCCCTGTATTAATGGAAACTAAGCAGCACTACGGTGGGAAGAATGGAATACATCGTGCAATTGACGGGGTGGATGTTTGCTGCAGCTATGACCAGAAAAGCATCGGCGGATTAATTTTAGGCGTGCTTGAAACATATATGCTTCATACATATGTACGTTTCAGACATGTGTAAATACATTTACTGCATGATCCATGTCACACGACCGTCATACAAGAAAGGAACACCCCTCCAGACACTGCCCTTTCTTGCAAAACAGGGAGGACAGTGTCCCGAAAATGTTTTTTTTGTCTGATGTCTCGCACACACACACACACACAAACCAGCATCATACTTTTGTGTGAATGAGACCCTACCTTACAGTTTGCAGTGTCAAAAACGGTCTCGATCAGGAGAACGTCTACTCCACCATCAAGGAGCCCTCGCGTTTGCTCCGCGTACGCAGCCACAAGATCGTCGAAGGCTGAGGGGGGAAACAAGGTAGAAAAGGAGGACAGAAGAATTAGAATAATAGCGTAACAAATGTTTTTCATAGCTTACTTAAAATACGGTGTCTAAAAAAAAAAAAAAGATTACGTGTTTGTTGTTTACAAACATGAACTGCCACTTGCGTCCCAAACAACTTCCGGTCGTGCATCGTGCAAAGACGGACCTATTGAGCTTGCGCATGTCACCACTCACCAGTGCTAGAGAGCACAAATGCTACACGAACAACAAAGCTGAAGATTGAACGAGGGTCTCGTTGGTTTACAAGAGTACTCGGAATAATTTAACGGACCTCGCTTTCCTTCGTTCTTTTGGCGTTGGCCTGGAGAATTGGTGGTTAAACGTTACATCTACATTTCAAACAGCGCTGTGAAGGTGGACGTTGTTCAATATTTTTATAAACAGAAAATTCTCTGGGACGTCAAAGAGTGGAGCACAACCTGGCGGCGTTTTCAAAAAGGGTTTATTGTATATTTAAGACAAACTTTTTTGACTGCGTAATCGTCATAAGTAAATAGAAGTCATTGTAATTGACGCAGTCGATCGCAGTCGAAAGCAAATACGTGAATCATCCATTTACGCGTTACTGTGTGCACAATCATCTCGTGCATAGCACAAAGAACAGTTTGAACAAAGTATCATACCAAAGCTTCTTAAAAAAAATAAAAAATTGCGGTGGCTTAGCTCGGCTATGCCAGGATATACATAGCGTGAGCTTATGCGCACAAAATGAGAGGCGCTATCAAGCGGCTCCGGTGCAGCGTCATACTTGGCTAATGTGCAATGGAGGCGCACAGCTGGGCACGCGGCGGCGCCAGAGCATCTGCCGCGGCTATGACGTAACTCTTCTGAAATGCGCAGACCGGCGAGGCGGGTGCAGCGGCGGCTTCGGCACGCCAGCTGTGCGCCATGTGACCGTGACGTCACTACTCCTCGCGCATGCACAGCACGGAGCACGGCTCATTATGCAAGCCACTCGAAACTGCTCAACCTCGGCCAGTGTAGCTGATGCTACGAAAGACTTCTCGGGCAAACTAACCTATGCCTCGTTGCTCGGGCTTCTCCACGGAAGGCGAGATGGACAGCGTCTTGTTCGTCGGGCCCAGAGCTCCGCAAACGAACCTCGGGATGCCTGCAAACATATTTTTTCACCCCAATGCTTATTAGGCGAAAGCGTTATATGTCTCATCGTTCAGTCGACCTTCGAAGTCCTTGAGCGGAAACATGTCGGCGACACGAAAAGTACCAAAACGTTTAGGTGACCACTCAGGCGAACTAGAGGCAATGAAATTAAGAAGGATGACAAAGCGAATTAAGAGGGATCAAAGTGAATTCCTAGACGTCGTTCTCGACGTCGTTCTTGAGGTCGTCCTAGAAGTCGTCCTAGACGACGTATCTTGAAATCATCTTAGAGGTCGTCCTAGGCGTCATCTTTAAGGTTTTCCTTGACGTCGTCCTTGTCTGGCTTTCGCCTTCCTACACGTAAGCAGTCTTAGGTGTACTCGTGTAATTTTACTTTGTTTCACGTTAAGCTCGACCGCAGCCAACGCCGCAATCCGATGTAGCCAATTAGTAAGCATCAAAAGTGCCTCGTCACTGCACTTGTCGTCTTAGTGTGCTTGCTAGTTATCACCAACTAAAGCAACCACGTGCAGAAAAAAAAAAAACAGAATAATGGCGCATTTCCACTGCACGATAAAGCTGACAGAGGAATTGCGTCGCGAGGAATTGCAAAGGAAGACGCCAAGTGCGCGAGTTTCGATGGACTCCGTGTACGACATTGAAGTTTCGACAAACGGGAAGGTGCGTAACTGCACTTCGAAACGTATAAATTTCGCCACCTGCGAAAGAAGCCGACTTCGGCAATAAATAAATATACGGCTCACACTCGTGTTATGCGTTCATCGTGCCCCGAAATTAGCACAACTTGTTTGAACGGGTGCAAAGCGGTTGACCGCTTTTCTATACAGCGAGTGTAGCTAAGCAGATACACTCTCAAGAAAAAACGGTGTCAAAAGGTGTATTCTTACACCCTTTGTCCCATATAATACACCCCCAAACTTCAATTCGACATACAGCGCCCCACAGTCGAACACACGGCCCGAAATTTTAGGAGGGGCTTGATAGCCGTTTGGTACAACTTATTAAAATAGCTAATGTATGTTTTACTTAACACGAAAACAATAATCCGGGTTTTCTTGGCCCTACTGTAAAAACTCGGTGTTTTCTCTATGTAGTCTTTGATACATACTTTAGCTATTTAAAATGTAGTACCACACAGCTATCAAGCCCTTCGTAAAATTTCGGGCCCTCTGTTCGACTGTAGGGCACTGTACATCGAATTGAAATTCTGGGGTGTATTTTATGGGAAAAAGGGTGTAAGAATACATTTTGACACCCTTTTTTCTCGAGAGTGTATATACTGCGCGGGCTGACAGTGGTGGGAGGTATTTGCCCATTCGAAAACCGTGCGAACTCCTTTGGGTTGAATCGCGGCAGTGTTCTTGCGTAGAGACCGACAACAGAGTTTTAGGGAACCATTCTCGCACGTCCGATACGATACGATGGGCTTTCCAATACGAACTCCGCATGTGCGAGTTTTCTGCGGAATCATAAATGCGTAGTTCCTACCGGAGGACCCATCTGGATGTGCAAAAAAGGTTCCCTAAAACTATGTGTTGCTTCTTGGCGTTCGCGTTAGGCCTTATAGTTAGCTCGATTCACTCGCACCGCAATTATGCGATGCAGACGAGGGACGACCTTATAAGCGCCCAGGTTTGCAGGGACGAATGCTGCTCCGTTTCTAAAGGAGGGGGACAAGAGCGTTCCTCGCTTTATGGAGGAATATATACACCTTTTTTTATCTATTCTATAAAAGTGTAGTGCCAATGTACCATAGCGTATGCAGTACAAAGAAAAATAAATATATTTCTTTTTTCTTTATGCTTCCTCGGATTGGCGTAATTTGTTGCGTGGTCAATCGTTTCCCTTCCTCTCACACAAACAAGAAGAAAAGGAGAAAGAATTACCTGTAGCATTCTCTACTGTTCGACAAGCTTGACAGGCTAGTCTCGCAGATGCCAGGTTCAGTCTGTAAGCCTGAAACCAGAGAAGATATCAGCAAGGGCCACACCTCGCACGATAGAATACAAAAACGATTTCAGATACAGAACACACGATACGGGACGTCTAAGAGACATTCTTGGGACGTTCTGACGTTCCAGGGACATTTTTCGTGAGCTTATGTTTTGTCGCGGCTTGATACTTACGAGATTACTTGTTCCATAATCGGACTGACCGACGGACGTCGAGCTGAAGGTGTTTGTCTCAACAAAATCCGCACCCGCTTCCAGGTATGCCTGATGGAGAAAAATGACAATACTACGCAGTAATGCATCTATTCTATATGACCACTGATTTTCTAGTCACAGCATGATTATATAAGAGGGACTAATCAAAATATTTACACCACATAAGGCGTTCGTACAATTCAAAGAATGCCTGTGCATCTGCCGTAGAGTGCCTCTTGAAGCAACCACTGTAATCAACGATATCCACTCTCTGACACTGAGCCTGACGTGAGCACTTGGTACCTAAGGCCCACTGTCAATGCGCAGATTGGAATTTTAGGTGGAACGTCTTATAGACCCGTCGTCATTCGCCTAGTTCTCTCTGTTGACCGTATTGAGTGCTCCAATGAGCACTCGTATGGAAAGTTGATACACCGCGGACATTGTTAGGTGTACGAACTCTTCTTTGAAATCGTTGCAATAGCTCGGTAGGCCGTATTCGCAACTCCGGAGGAGGCGACGCCACCCAGTGGAGAAGACGTGAAGAAGAGGAGCCGCGAACTACCGCCCATCCAAGTGTGCAGCGAAAAGTGGCACGAACTGGTGGCCGAAAAGTGAAACAGAGGAAAGGCTGTCAAATGCACGGGGTTCGAGTTGCCAATAGATCATTCCAATAACCAAATTCTGCACGCTGCCATTGCTGTCTACTGAGCTGCGGAACTATAGTCGGGGACAGGCTAAGGGCAAAGTAGAAGCTCCGCCCACCTCTTCCCATTTTATCAGAGTGAACACCGGAGAGGAAGTCGCCTCTTCTCCAGCGTCCGCTCTGCTGAAGTGGAAACAGGTGGGAGGAGCTTCCACTTTACTCTTAAGCTGTCACTACCTCCATGTGGAACGGATCCTGGGCATGCGCAGCAGTAGTGCTCTTCTGCGGAATATCAGATGCTGTGCACGCGTCCAGAGCCCAATGACTCAGCACTTTTCGCCTGGGTGATTGGAAAGTTGTATACTGGGTGTAATATATATACCTTTGCAGGGCTTAGTACTTAGGCAAAAATTGGCAGCGACCTTCATCTCAAAATCTCCAATGCATAAAATGCACTATCTAAAAAAAAAACTAAAAAAAAACTGAAACGGTAAAAAAAAAAAAGAAGAGTTAATGCTTCTTTTTGGCGTAGTTTGGTCTGGAGAACCTAAATTTCACCATCATTTGTACTAAAAACAACACTAAATGTGAAAAAAAAAACGCAGTTGTTTGCCACCGCCGAACGTCATTGATTGGTCGAGCAGTGATGCCATAAAATGAGCAGGTGTGATTGTAATGACCTCTGTCGCTCACCTATCAACTGGACATTCTTACCTCGTTTCGTCTTCGCTTCGCGTAAGCTCCTCGAAATCGCCGAGATGCCTGCATCTTCTGTTGAAAGGCGCTCGGAACTGCTGGACTAACAACCATTTACTGAAGAGAAACCTCTTCTTCTTCCACACCCATTCGTTCCAACTTCCGAGATATGAAACTAACGGGTGTGGAAGAAGATTTTCAGTAAATGGCTGCTGGTACTGTCGAGACCGGTTATAACGAAGTTGGTTATAACGAAATAGCGGCTACAGCGAAGCAATGACGATTTCCCATTCCCTTTTGCACTTCGTTATAACCAAAGTTTGTTATAACGAAATAGCGGATATAGCGAAGTGATTTTCGATTCCCGTTGACATCGTTATAAACGGACTCGACAGTATAACAGTGTGTTTGTCCTCTTTTCTCTCTTCGTGTATCTTCCTACGTTCAGCTGACATTTTTCAGAAGTATGAATCACCAACTAGCTCAGTATCGACGACGCACGACGCTGGCCCTGCGAGTCGAGGAGCACGTGCGAGAAGCCTTTCGTGACGTCATGGTTTCCCTTCTCCTTTTACTGCTCTCTCCCGCTGCCGCGGAGGGGCGTGGTTTCAAAGCAACCTCAGAGGTGTCTATCTAGCTAGGCGATGCGGGCATAAAATAGCCTACTTTTTGTGATATTCGTGATGCTTGGAGTCGGATTAAAACAAATCCAGCGTTTTTAATCAAATTCAAAACCACTCCAGCTTTTCTTTAAAAATGCGATCGCTAAGAATTATTTAGAAGATATCAAACTGTCGTTTTGAGGAGTGCAGAAAAACCTGTATCATTTCTGTAATCCATTTCTTTGTTACCTTAGGCGGGGAAACCGGGTTATAGGTCACGTCGAGTCAACTTCTCCGCCAAATTTAACGGGGAAACTAAATATAGGCATAGGTCACGTGATGTAAACTTTCCTGCTAAATTTAGTAGGGACATTTTATTGACGAGTCACGTGGCGTACGGTCGCGTCACGTTCATTTCCCCGGCTAAATTTAGCGAGGAAATTGAAGGTGTTTAGGTCACGTAATATCAATTTCCTCGCCAAATTTAGCGGAAAAAGACGTACGGCACGTGACATCAAGTCACGCGCCGTAAATTTTTTTTTTTTGCTATATTTAGCGAGAGAAACTATATTGGTGTAGAAGTCTCAAGACGGCAGATCACGTGATATCAAGTTTCCCGCTAAATTTAACGGGGAAAGCGAATGACATATAGGTCATGGACACAAGTTTAGTGGGAAATGCACGGACGGGATGGACGGACGGACAAACTTTTGGGATTGAATTCCTTTAAAAGAACACTTCATGCTTTAAAAATGCTGACTCACTGCATTGTATATATATATTTGACAGCTTGAACCAGGGGAAGATATAGAGAAATTGAGACAGGAGAGAATAGAACAGCTGTCTATTCTCTCCTGTCTCAATTTCTCCATATCTTCCCCTGGTTCAAGCTGTCAAATATATATATACAAGTATGTACCAACAAGCTCCACTATCAACCGAGACTCACTGCAGTGTGGATGCATGCATGGCGCCATGGCAACGCGTTCCACGGCCAAGCAGACAAAGATGGCGGTACGCAAGAGTCAATGGACCTTTTCCAAATACCGACGGCACCAGGCGGTGGCTGCACGAACTAAAAATCGAGGAAGTGACCTACCTGCGCTACCAATCGATAATGGGAGCTACGCTACCAGTTGCTTTGCTCTCTGAGAAGCGTCGCGTGCCCAACGCGACTGTAAAGAGGGAAATCCGTAGCGTCCACCCAAACGTCCTGTTTTTCTTTCCGTCCACTTTCTTTTTTTGTGTAACACAATTATATATAGGCTGCAATTACGTGTTCTACTCGTCGATCTACAGCCTCATTCCGAATTTCCTCGATTTTTCGTGCCGATTTCCACCGCTTGGCATCGGGCGCTCGCGCGTGCGCAGAACGCTTCTCGGAAAAGGTCCATTTCTGGAGTGTAACGCAGAAAGAATATTTGCACGCGGTACATTGACGAACGTTCGGATCACGTGCGGACCTCGTGTATGCCCAAGATGACGTCGGGTCTGGTGATGCTGAGGATGTCGTTGTTTCCCTGCAGAGGGTGCGGGTGGTCCCGGAACTCGGCGCCACGAAACGCGGCCTCATCCAAGCCAAGTCGCTGAATCATGGTACCCATAGCGCCATCTATGACCATGATCCGTCGTTCGAGGGTGCGCAGCAGAAGACTCGTCCTTTCGGCGCGGGCTGCACGACTTTCCTGGGATCCTACGAAGGCATCGTGAGTGTTTCATTTATGCGCCATTAATTTGAATTTTGCCATAAAAGCAAGGTTTATACTTAGCAAAAAAAAAAAAAAAAAAGAGCAATTAAAGTTAAATTTGTGCAACTAATTTCCGATAACAAAAGTGTAAACTACCTAATGAAAACATTGATATTTATGCAAGTTTAATGAAAGAGCTGGACGTAATTTATGGTTTTTACGATTTAAAACAGCTGTCAAAGAAGGATGGACATCTAAAACTAAGAATTCTTATTGGGACTAACAGGTGCCCCCCCCCCCCCCCCCTCCCCCCCGAAAAAAAAGAAAAAAAGCTATAATTATTGCGTGGTTTATTACGTTTGGAACGTTTCTTGATTCGTGATTGGCTGTTGGACGTGCTTATCGGCTTATGTCGAAGTCTGATTGGTTGGGCTACCGAATATGACGTTTTTCATCTGCATCCGGGCGCCTTCAACTGGTTATAGAGCGCTCGTCGTGTAGCCAAACTCCGGCATCAATAATAACAATGAATGCAAAAATACAGTGTCGGGAAATATACGGTAAGTAGGTTTAGAAGACATGTACTCTACTTGAAGTAGTATATTTTCTTAGTACATGCTTGTACTTTATTTGAAAAGTATTTTTTTCTGGTATTTTCCGCGCAAAGTACAACCATCGACTCCAAGGTACATTACCTAAATTTCGTGAAAGCTTTGTGCCATAGTAGCAGGTTGCAAGGCGGCTCCCTATAGAAACAGTAGCAGACAAAGTGCACAAAAATATAGTTCCTTTTGGGGAGCCGAGATTACTCTGTTTTCGGCATCCACTGCCCAATGTTATTTATGCTGGGGTGCGGATTTATAACTCAGTAGGCAGTCTCCAAGCTGTTGGCTACCCCAGAAGCAAGCTTCCACAGAAGTTTTCTCTTTCGTCGTTCTCAGAAAACAATAGCTATTGGAGGGGAGATCGATCAGTGACGCGTCTAACGGCATGCTACAGCTGTGTAGGCAAGAAACCGAATTTTCTTGCTTGTTGTTGATCGGAGAAATCGGAGAGGACTATTCGAAGGCCGCTCCTTGTGCGTCCAAAGTATATACATATTTTACTTATATACATAAGTAAAATATACACATAAAATTAAATATAATAAATATACGTAAGAAATGCATAAAATGGACTACTTTTTGTGATATTCGTGATGCTTGAGGTCAGATTAAAAGAAATCAAGTTCGCTTCAGCTTCTCTTTCAAAGACCACACGCTCACATCCTTGGCTTCCCCAGTACACAACATCTGAAGGCGAGTATGAGTTCACCAACGCCTAACAAAAAGACATGGCGTCATGTAATCACGTCCTATTGTCTTTCGAGACGTCATCCGGTTATTTCTCTCAGGGGAGTAATGTTGACTATAGACCGACACACTGTTTACAAACAAGCCCGCATTTTCCCACACCAGGTGTGGGCACTGCGCGTGCGCAGAAACCAGATTCGCGTGAGGTGAAGCTTCTGCGCATGCGCCGTAGCGACAACAGCGCCACCGCAGAGGCATGACGTCGGAGCCGCGTGTTGGTCTATAAGACTGATACAAATAAGTGTGCTATAAGTTGTCTGTGTTAAATAGTTTGTAAGCGAAAGTAAAGCTACTACTGAGTGGCCACTTGACTTTATCCAATATTCGCCGCCATTTCCAAAAATAACCGATGTGCTTCCGATTACCCCAGGGGCAATGCATACCAATTTAAAGAAAAACACTGTATAGGTGAATGAAAGGACACCATGAAAAATTGTGTTCAAAGTACTTGCACTTTACTTTGCAAATACATTGTATTTATAGTACTTGAAGTACATTGTGCCCGGTGTATACTCACTACTCTACTTCAAGTACATAACCTCTCATTTACTTTAAGTACTTTATAAATATACTTTCCCCAACACTCGGAAATTTTACCTAAAGAGATAGTGCAGAGCTTAAGATTTCACAAATTAGTAGATATCATTTGAACAATTAATCTAATTGGGATCGAGCGAGTGAATGAAACACGGTTTTTCGGTACGCACAAAACTATGCATCGCTGAAGGCTGAACCTCTGTGAGAACGTCACGCTAGCGGTGCTGATAAAATGCGGAAGTTTGAGTACATGACGTTATTTTATATATAAGCCACCGACATGCAATAAGGCAACGCGTTCAGGGACTTGCGAGTCGAGGTACGCAGACAACATTTTAGAAGCACACGGTTGAAGTTAGGTCCAGAAAACGACTTCCGAGTGATGATTGAGCAATTTACTACGTGCCTCAGGAACCTCTGAAATCTCATCATCCTGCACTTTAGAGTATATACGTATATTTCAGTACATACGCCATCAGGCAGTGACGTTATTGAATCCTATTAAATGACTATAAGAAGATGACCTATCTGCACGGTCAGAAGTCCCTGGGTGCATATCGCACCGTAAGGCACTGGAAGCACCAACCATATCTTAGGGTCAATCATTATCACGCTCCAAAGGTCTATAGCACACCAAGTGTCAATAGGGGTGGACGTCGTTTTGCCAATAAGACTGCATTACCAGATTTGAGCATTGGTCTTTATGAGGGCGGAACATTACACAGGTTAAGAGTAAAGCGCAAGCTCCTCCCACCTCTTTCCACTTTAGCAGACCGAACGCTGGAGAGGAGGTTGCCTCCTTTCCAGCGTTCGCTTTGCTAAGGTGGAAAGAGGTGGGAGGAGCTTCCACTTCCTTCTTGACCTATCACCGACTTTAGTGTCTATTCTTTACCCGTTATGTAGCCAATGAGATTCGGACATTAGAAGACAGAAACACGAAGCAGAAATCATAAAGCAGCAAAGCTTGAATTGCCACGCCCTTTGTTTCTTAAAATGTCCGTTAGGCGATCTAAAGATAACCTTACTTGTGCGTGCGGTCGACACATCGCTTTTCATGCTCGTAACCTTGGGCCGAGATTCCTGAACGTCCACTGCTAGACACACCCCGGAGGAGAACTCCTTCCGCCAAGAAAGACTGATGAACACAACTGAAGGAAAATAGGTCGGAAGCTCGCTATCTCTTCTCTCTCGCTTTCTCGTCACGGCAGACAACGATTTGATAAGGCCCCGTTTATCGGCGGTAGATAGCCTCCGGAGATTGATGTTAAAGACGTCACGCAGCTGTTTCGTTTCTGGTGGCACGCTAAAGCAAGTGCTCCGACTGCAGTTCCGAACCAATCTTTTTTTAATGCTATTTAATTAAAAGGCATTATTTAAATACGAATGGCTTCCTGATTCCGAAATGCTATGTCGTTCCCTCCAAATTCACTCAATGAAAGGCGTATGAAATACACAAATACTACATTCACCTTGAAATAAAGAATATTTGCTCGAAGATGCAGTATTGCGTAAAGTACAAAATAGCATCATAAAATTTTTAATTCAAAATAAGGGTACAAAAAATTACCGCCCAAAAAGTTGGTACAATTTTTTTTTTTATTATTTATTTACTGTCGAAGTAGAATGCAACGCGATCAAACACACCCACGAGTGTTTGATAACAAGAGCAGGCCCGAAAATCGGAGGCTGGATATTCATTAGGGCGGTTTCAAGTGACGTATTTCCGGTTCGAAATGTCGCCGGTCATTGATGAACTTTCGCTCGACGTCTTTCCGCCGCGTGGAAGCAGTGTTTTTAAAATCGTTCGAGTTCTTTCGCATGGCTTGATGGACTGCGCCAGCCAGAGTATGTTCGGGTACGCAAAAGAGCATCAGTAACCCGATTTTTATACATACCCGTGTTTATTCGGACGAGCCGGTGATGGAAATGTGGGCCCGTCGACGGCCAAATATGACCCCGGTAGATGTCGCCGCGGAGAGACCCCAAAGGGAGAAGCTGAAGAAGCATGGGTTTATGCGCCTCATGTACGTCCCCGGTCGTAGACTTACCGAATTCTGTCGCCGAAAGATACGTTACTTGTCACGCTCGTACGCTTCAACGACACCAAGAGCTAAACGTCCGCATGCAAACTAACGGGGAGGGCGGCGGACGCTGTCCATCAACATGGCGGGACGTGGCTTACCGGAAGTGGAAAGGCGTTTCGTGCCAGATCAGGTGTGGGCACTGCGCCTGCGCAGAAACGAGACACGCGTGAGATAGAGCATCTGCGCATGCGCATTGCTAACAGCAGCGGCACCGTATTGGCGTAACGTCATAGAGTTGAGTTCGTCAGACGTTTGCTGGTACGGCCTCTGGCGCTGCCATTTTGCTGCCGGTGTTGCTAGATAGTCTGATAGTCAAGCACTGCTGAGGCGTACCCACAGTTTCCAGACTGGCGCCCGAACAACGCGTTTCCTATCCACGGTGGCCAGACTATAGCTCTCGAAACGTGGCTTCTTGCAGATGTCACCAGGTCCGGCGTTTGTTAGGCTGCTCGTTAATTACGCAAATCGTATTAGAAGCCTGGTTATCCTAAATGCTATGCAATATACGTAGGCGTGAGTTTTAGGCGAAAGCCCTATAGTTTTGTTAGCATCTCTATGTCGGGTGTTTTACCAAACGTCGGCCTAAAGTTGCCTGCAAAAATCTGGAGTAAGATATAGGTAAGTTGTATAAGAACCTATTTAAGGTTCTTAAGAACCCTATACAACTTACCTATATCTTACTCCAGATTTTTGCAGGCAACTTTAGGCCGACGTTTGGTAAAACACCCGACATAGAGATGCTAACAAAACTAAAGGGCTTTCGCCTAAAACTCACGCCTACGTTATGGCAGCCGGCTAAACTTACTTCATCGAGGTTGTTTAGGAATCCACCCACTATGCTCAAATATCTATCCTTATACCTCGATTTCGAAGGAAAAAAAAAGGAAAGGACAATACATGCTAACTCGTCAGAGCATCGCAGATTCGCAGTCTAACATCCAATACACCTGCATACTAGCTGCGGTCGTATCTTGAAAATCTTACTGGAAGGTAGATTTGTCGCATCGGAATTCTTTTTTTTTTTTTCTTTCTAACTTCTGGCGCGTGTTAGTGCACCTACATCACACCCGAAATCACCCTAAAGTGCGTCCTCCTGCTCTGGACAAGTTTTCTCCCCCTAAGTATGCGACTGCACTGCGGCGAAGTTCGCTCCACGCATGTAGCTTCTCCGCAGTGCTTTCGTGCGCGGAGGAAAGCGCAGTCAACGGAGCAAACTAAGCTAACCGGCCGTTCGAACAGCGACAAACCGAGATTGGGCAGGTATACACTAGATTATATTTGTAAATACAAATACTAGGATACATAATGAAGACAGCTAAAATACTGGTACTAAAAGACATCTGTAAAAGAGTATCGCGATACGTATCAGAAATACATTTGAGAAATAGAAGAGTATTTGTAAATACAAATACAGGAACACATTTTGCCAATGCAATAATACTCTCTTCTTAAAAAAAAATCTTTTTGTGATGGGACGGCAAAAATGACTATTTTTAAAACAAAAAAGAGGAACAACATTTTGCTACATATATTATCTTTTCAAATGAAAGCGTTGCAAAACAAGACGAAACATGCGAGTTTTGCTGTTACTCTCGTCTACTTTTGACGTGAAGCGAGTTATTAAATAGCTCATCAGTCAGTTGCTGCCGATTTGGGCAACAAGTCATATTAGCAAACGAGATTAAGCGTTCCACAAGTGTCACCAAACACGAGTTCATATTAAAACAAACAAAGACCGCTTTCAAAGTGGGAAAGTTATAAACCATGCAAATATTTTTTTTTTTTTCGGTTTTCAATGTAAATGAACACTTTGCTTGGAGTTGGTAATAGGTAGGTTATGTTGACAGGGCTTGTAATTCTAAGGAGAAAATGAAAACAAAAACTCACACTAATCGTCAGGTAAATAGTGAAGTTCAAGCTGGACGTTCTCGAGCCCGAAATTATTTTCGCGTAGAACTGCCAGTTTCCTTTTATTGTAAAACTGTGGGAACTAAGCGAGTCTTCAGTAGGTTGCAATTACTTTTCAGTCCAGAATGCAGTGCAGTTCTCCTTTAGATAATGTGCACGCCTTCGTAGCAGTATCGCATGAATCTCTAAATTTGTTTTATATATACTGAAATATCCTCAAAAGGTCCCCAGCATCCTCTATACTCCATTCACCCCTAAGATGACAGTGCGGTGGGAGCTACGCTCTTGCCAGACCAATCAGCCGCCTCCATTTTCATCACCTGACAGTGCTCCCTGCGCGTGGGTATGGGCGGGAGCGTGATCTTGGGCGGAAAAAAAGACATATGACTAGTCCAACAAGCGCATAGCTTCCACCGCACTGTCAGCTTAGAGGTGGTCGAAGTATAGTCCCATGTCAGTACCTTTCCTGGAGTCAGTTCAAAACGTCGACCTGGAATGAAATGTTTATGTGATTATCTAAAGAAAGAAACTTTACGCTCGCTCTAGTAGATGGTGCTGGGAGCTAACTGAGCGGTTGTAAGGCTCGTACCGACTGTGTCTTTAACGTTTACGTTCTACAAAAATACTTGTCCAACTGAAGCGTCGCCTTAAGACGTATGAGGGAGTCACAAATGTTGCGGCTAGAATGTTCAAAAACAAACCTTGGTCCGCTTTGATAACAAACCCTCAATGTCACGTTTACTGTAAATTTAAACCCTCTGAAGGAAGTAGGAGAGGAAACAGTCCCTTTAGCTTTCGACTGAGTGTCACTGGTTTCTCGAACGTTGTAACGAGATACATTGGCCTGGGATTGTATCATGATACAAGGAATACACCAAAAATGTATTCCTATACTAAAATACTAATGCTGGCTGAAACATTGCATCGTGATACAGAAATAAAAATACTTAATGTTCAATACGAGGTTAGTATTGAACAGTCCGTTATTCGAAGTGACAATCCAAAGTTTTGAAAACTCGCAGATTCTTACCGTAACCATCTGGCAGTTTAGCGGACCTAAGCTATTAGTTCGAATACTGAGAAATTGAAACTGGCTGTTAGCACAGTGTTAGTGCAAGTTCCTCAGATTTTTGGGAAATGAATAGATGCAGCGGGGTAAGTACTTCGACGCAAATGGCGTCGCAACCACGTCACTGATTTGTCTTCGAAATCTGACAAAAGTGAGACAGTGCCCATGTTATTTCTTTTAGTATTATTTTTTTGGGATATCATACACAGAAACTATGATTCATTTTTTTTTCTAGCCTAGCCTAGTATTCTAAAAGCCAGTGCTTATTACTAATGTTGTGGACCAGGCAGTTTAGAAAAAAGGTATACCAGTACAATATTAGAACTAATGCATGTGTCAAAACCGGAACTCTTCTGAAAAAAAGTCAATGGAAAAAGTAATTTATTCAGAACTCTAGAAGATTTTACAAAAATGTGCAAGGGTACCAGTACCTACTCTATTGAGAAAGTAATAAAGGACTGTTTTTTTTCTAATTTTTTCAATACACCAGATTTTGACTTTAAATTGTGTATTTGCAATGAAGTCTCTTTTCTGATCCAAACCAGATATAAGCAACTTACTTTTCATGCCAAATCTAGCATGAAAACTATTCTGCATGTCTGAATATTGAAAACTTTTTGCAACCCTACAAAGTAAGAGGCAGATATAACAATGGCTAGAAATATTCTTTCGCACAGGTAATAAACTATCTGGTAAAAATTTTGAATAATTATTTTATTTATTTCATTCAATTTTGTGAGAAGTTAATGAATTAAGGGGACAGATTACTGAAAGAAAAAAGCACATGCAATATTAGTTAATTTTATTAGAGTACATCCATTTTAATCTTATTACTTTCTATTCCATGCTAGAACCAATTAATTAATTCATCAAAATTAAACATGAAATGTTTTAAATGCCTCAGCCATAGGAAGACATCTTAAAAGAAAGACTTGTCCTAATATAATTATCACATTTGTTTCTAAACAAAAATCCATCAATGCATCTATTTCTGACAAGAAAGGCAAATATGATCACTGATTGTACTTCGCTTCAGCTTAAGTCCAGAAGGGAGCCAATGCTACAACCGCGAGCTCCGGGCTGCAGTGTCCCTGCCAAACACGGGCGCTCGTGCACTGTAAGCACCATTCAGGGCCACACGCTTGTAGATTCGGCTGTAAGTGCAAGCCGATGCATCTGGACTTAAAGGGGCCCTGCAACGACCTTCTTACTGTTTTCTTAATTTGCACCAAACCTGAACATAGTAACTTAGTGAAGTTTTTCTTTTTTCAAAATTCGTTTTATTTTGGAAGTTATTGGCAAATTAAAATTACAAAAAACAAGCAAAAACTAACGTCCTTCATGACGTCCTTGGTCCTCTGTCCCCCCCTTTTCCCGCGCTGAAGAATTCCCCTTGCCACAGTGACTGAGGAATGTGGGGAGGTAGGGAAGACGGGGAAAGGAGCGGCTCTCTTTCCTCGGCTGACGTCAGGACCAAAAACGTCACGATTTCGTCACTGCCACGCGCACGCGCGTTTGACACCACGGGGTGCTTCCGTAGGAGGAGGAGGTTTCTGCGTCATCCGGTTAAAATATGACGCACTGATATTTAGTTACTAGAGAGTTTTAGTAGATCGTTCCGATACCTCCGATAGCCCCGATAACGATACTATGCATGCACAAGGGAGGCGGCGGCGGAGTATCGGGTATCGTTATCGGAGTCATGGGAACGATCTACTAAAACTCTCTACTCTCTCTGTCCCCTTTAGGTTGCCGGAACCACGAGACGTGGAAACTGCAAAAAAGGTAGACGCTTAAATAGGACTGCAGTGCCCCTTTAAGCTGAAACAAAGTAGAGTATTAAAAATGTGTAAAACTTTGGCCAGTTGAGACAAGAGTAGACCAGTAGCTTAGTACCCAAAAGAAAAACACATAAATAGAATCTGATGTCATGCCCACATATTTAAAGTTGATGAGAAAGCTCAACACATGGAGGGTGATATGTTTTTTTTCCTTAATCCAACAACGAACAAAAAATGAGATTAACTGGCCACAGCATAACAAGACAAGATGCCCCATAAAAACTGCACAGCCATCACGTGATTAGATGATTAAAACCCTTTAATGTCAATGATTATTTAGAATGATCACAAAATAATTTGAACATGTAGTTTTTCATAAGTGATTTTCAGGAAATATGACACCATTTTGAAATGTGACAGTTTGAGTCAAGTTTGTTGCCACTTTGTAATTCAGACAATCAAAAGGGACACTATCATAGCTCCACACCCCTTAGGGGCATCTCTCGAAGTGTAAAGCAGACATTTTGTAGAGTTGTTTTTATGAGTGACTTTTCAAAAGAAATACATTTTTGAAGTATTTATTTTTTATGCAAGCATTTCAAATGACTAATGAAACTTCTTCCCAATGTCTGCTTCAAGCAGCAGTCCTTACGTTTTCCGTCTTCTACTAAGACCTCACGAATTGATGATCTGAGTGGAGTGTGCGACAATGAAGTAAAGGAAGTTTAATTGTCTGCTTTCACATCCCAATCAAGAAAGAATGGCAGTAAACAAGAAAGGCACAAATAGAAACAAATGTAATAAAGGGTGAAATGTACCACACCCCAAAATGATGCACTGCTTTCGAACAAAGTCACTCCGTGCCCGATGGTTCCTCCGATCTAATGGAAGTTCTTGCAGGCTTTTTGAAGTTCCTGTGCCCCTTGTTAGAAGCAGTCACTTTCTGAAACGCGGCGTCAAAGTGCTCGCACCCCACGAGAAGCTTTGCGTCTGACCCTTCTTTGAGAAATGCAGTCAGCGCAATCACAGCCGCCTGCCGAACCAGCGCCGCGAGATCAGCTCCCGAGAAGCCGTCGCACCTGCTGTCCTTCCCGAGCTCCTCCAGTGACACCGACGCATTCAATGGGGGTCTGCTACCATTCCTCGTCAGCGTCTTGAGGATCTCGACCCTCTCGTCTGGAGACGGTAGCCCAACATACAGCACTTCATCTAAGCGCCCCGGTCTGAGCATAGCGGGGTCGATGATGTCGGGTCTGTTGGTGGCGCCAAGCACGAAGACCTGCTTACGCGGCTCCAAGCCATCCATCTCCGTGAGAAGCTGGTTGACGACGCGCGATGCCGAGCCGCCATCTGCAGAGTCCGAACGGCGAGGACACAAGGCATCGAGTTCGTCGAAGAAGATGACGCAGGGTGACGAGTTGCGCGCCCTCTGGAAGCACTGCCGCACCGCACGCTCGCTCTCGCCGACGTACATGTTGAGGAGTTCCGGCCCTTTCACACTGATAAAGTTGATGCCCGACTCGTTTGCAATTGCCTTCGCCAGCAGGGTCTTCCCGCAGCCCGGTGGTCCGTGCAGCAGGATGCCGGTGGGCGTGGTCAGGCCCAACATCTCATACTTGTCTCGGTGGCGGACAGGTGCAAGAATGGCAACCTGGAGGGCTTCCCGGATAGACGTCAAGGCACCAACGTCGTCCCAGGTCACGTCCGGGACCGTAGCAAAGCCCTCCCTTTTAGCCGATGGCTGCACCAGCTTCAGTGCGGACTCGAAGTCTTCCATGCCGACGGAAAGGTTCTTCAGCTGCTCCTCGTCCAATGGCGGAACTTCCTTGAGGAGTGAGAGTGCCGTGTCAAGTTTCCGCTTGGGCTCGCCTCCCGCCATGGCGGTCACCTTGTCCTCGATGCTGCGGAAGATGCGGTTGATCGCCGACATGGTGGCTTCTCTTGTGAGGGCCATCAGGTCTGCGCCGACGTGTCCCGGAGTCCTGTGGGCTACGGCGGAAAGGTTAACGCCGGGGCCGAGGGTCAGCTTGCGACAGAGAACGCCCAGGATCCTAGCCCTCGCCGCTTCGTCCGGGATGCCGAGGCAGATTTCGCGGTCGAAGCGACCCGCCCTCCTTAGTGCCGGGTCCAGGGAGTCGGGCCGGTTCGTGGCTCCGATGACGAGGACCTCGGCCGGCAGGTCTCGCTGCGAGAGGTCGTCCATGCTGGACAGCAGCTGCGCGACGATGCGGCGTTCCATCTCGCGCTGCGCCGTCTCTCGCTTTGGGGTCACGGCGTCGATCTCGTCGATGAAGAAGATGCATGGCGCGCTGTTGACCGCCTTATCGAACAGCTCCCGGATTCGCTCTTCAGACTCGCCGGACACGCCGGCGACGATTTCGGGCGCGGCCACCTTGATCATCGGCATCTCCAGCTCGCCAGCGATGGCGTGCGCAAGGAGCGTCTTGCCGCAGCCCGGAGGACCGTGTAGCAGGAAACCCCTAGGCGGCACAACACCCAGCTTCTTGTAGACTTCGGGGTGCTTGAGGTGCATCAGCATGTTGCAGATTTCTTCGAGCGGTCCCTCCATGCCTCCCAGGTCGGCGAACTTGGTCGTCGGGGTCATCAGGACGATCTCCTTTTGGCGGTTCATCCGGTTCTTGAGGTTCTGCTCGACAGCTCCGTCTACGTCGTTGGGTTTGAGCTTCCGCGGCGCTTTTCGGTTTTTCTGTGGCGGGGTTTCGGTCTGTTTCGGGTCTGGGGTCCTGTACAGGTCTGTGATGGACTTGTTCACCATGTTTTTGTCTGGGTATGGCTCAACGTCTTCGTCCGTCGGACTGGAGACTGATTCTGGATCAGGTTCGGCCGGTGGTTCGTCTTCAGCGAGCATTTCTAGGATGTGGGTTACCGAGTAACTCAGGGCGTTCCTCTTCTTTCTCTTGTATTCCGGGTATTGCTGCTGAAGTATGGCGGTAATGTCGTCGGCATCGACGGAGTCGTGCTCGTTCAGCACTTGCTTTACACGAGGAAGTAGCCGAGGATCGCCGCCGAAAGATTTACGTTTACGTTTCGCCTGCCTTTCGTTCATCACTCGTACTGGCTCGAAATAGCCGGTCTAGCACTCAGACTGTTCTTTCGATTGAAAGATGAACAATAACTCAAATCACTCACCTCTCGGCGTGGTCTGTGAACTGGCCAACGTTACCAACGTGCGACAAGCCACGACGGCCACGACAGACATTATATGTGGGCGCCGCCATGTTTATATCAACGTTGCCTGCATGTTATCCTGTATCAGTCTTTAAACCGCCTCGTTGACGTTGCCCATTTTAGACACTTTTTGACAAAATAACATAGAATATCACTTAGATCACCTTGAAAGCAAACAAAATTATGCCGAAAACTAATTATAAAATTTATAAATTATATTTTATTAGAGTTTTTATTGTCGACTTCTCACACGGTAACAAACGAACGCACTCATTGACATGATTTCCGCATCCGGCATTCGTTCAGCGTGCTTCTTGCCGTCTGCTGCTCTACCGTGCGATTTTCAAGTCTGTTGAACTCTCAATAATAGCATGACTCCCGGACCGAAACAGAGGGAACGTCGCCGAGATGTAAAACAAAAGAAACACGCGCAGGCAGCCGTCGATGTTGAGGCACCACCTGCACCGGCGTCAACGGAAAAAAAGAATAGCGTTGGCAGCTCCGCCGTTGACACATCTCGGACGTCCGAGCAAACTCTCGCAACTTCAGTTGCAGCTCCGGTATGAGATTCTCACTTGAAAGATTTAATAACCCGACTTACTTCTAACGCGTTCTAAAATTTACCCATGGTTTGCGCCTGATTAGAGTCTGTTTGCCCGGCTTGGGTATGATGAACCACTCCGAACGATCGGTACGAGTCCGATCGGATATCGGGCGCTACTGCGCCTGCGCAGAGGCGCCCTTACGTTCAGCACGTACTACGTAGTGTCGACGCTTTACCGACGCACCGATATCTCGATCGTTGAAAACAATCGCCTAAAATTTGCTATGATGGTGTGTCCCTGGACAACTCGAATTACGGTTGTTTTAAATCTTGAAAGTCTAAATCTCCAGCCTCGACTTTTCGTAACATAGGGTGACCATACTCCTCAGGGTAGAAAACGGGACAGCAAGGGGAAGGGAGGGGATTGGCGGCGAAGCGAGACAGAAAGAAAAAGCTCTGCTACTTTTATTCAGTTCATTCTGAAGACACACACTTTTCTGGGCCCTTTCCTTGGGTAGTTGAGTACACACGCATTTCTTTTACCCACTCTGCAAAACCTAAGCGTGCAAAAATTTAGTAATATAGAAAACTGCCCCGTGCATGCGACATGAGGTTTGAACAAAACTTGCGGGCAAGTTGAGCCACAGAAAAAGATGAAAATCATACTCTACCGGAGTTAACATTTTTGAACCAGTATTCTAATACACTCACAAGTAGTATATTTTGTTTTCTTCCACTAGCTTGGTACTGGTTTTTCAAGAAAGTTCCCACGAAAACTGGGCATTTGGTTTTATTCAAACAAAATGAGGGAACGGCAGGTATGAATCTCTAAATTGGGAGTGACCTGGCTGAAACGGGACGTCTGGCCACCCTATTGTTACACCCACACTACCCGCTTGCGCTCTTGCCGATTTATATATGTATTATTTTGTTGTTGCAGATTGAACCCCCGTGTGACCCCCAGTTCAGGAAGAGAGGCATCACTAGCAACTGGGGTCGCTACGAAGAGCCCCTGGAGACTGAAACAGACTACAACCGAAAAAAGGGGGAGGACTTCGAGCTGCTTTTGAGCACATCCGGTAGAGATGCTAAAAAATATGACCCGATATGTTGCCAGTTGTCATTCGTCTGTGGCTTACCAAGACTATTTAAAGGGATTGTCCGGTGTTGTCCTGATGGTACTAAGCTTTTGCGCTGGTCACGTAGAGAGGGCCTAAATATAGTCATATGTGATTTTTATTTCATTAAATGACGCGCCAATATTCGTTAAATCAATTATTAACATCAGTACGCAACTGCACGCCAAATTTCGCTAGTATGCATGGCAGGTCATGTCTTGAAGTCACATCATGCATGGTAACGTCACAGTTTCTGGCACTGACTGATTTCTGGTTTTGATCAACACAATTGATGGTGCGTACAAAGTTAATCGTGGAAGAATTGAGGTTCCCTCAATACCGTAAATCTTAATACCGTAAATCTCGTCTTTCTTAGAGCAAAGTTATTTTACTCAGACAGCAGTCAAGGGCTTTCCTGGCTCTCTTTCCATGATGTTACGTCAGAGCTTCCGCTGTTGCCAACAAAATAGCTGTGTTTTGCAGGTGCAATCCGAGCAGTTGGGTTGTTTAAAATTGAATTACTTTTGTGACGGAGGATTAAGAATTTGGATATCGTTGTGAATGATATTTCTAAAAGCAATGACGATATAATTTAATTGTTTTCTGAAAGACAAACTTGTACCGGACAATCCCTTTAACTTTGCCTCAACCATGCCTGCAGTGGGTCTGCGGCCATCTTTTGTCTTTTATTAATCAAATCTAACTTCTTTTTGCCCAACTTATTTATCCTCTTTAAGGATCTGCATCGCTACAACTTGCGTTCATGTGGGAGAGATGACACTAGCATAATCGGAGCAAACATATTTTATCTATAATTATTAGTGTTTTAACCTCTTCTGATCTCACGTGAATTTGCAACAAACTGATTGTGGCGTTCAACCGGACTTTCGTTTCACAATAAAGGGACATACGAATGCTAGGCACATCCGTCACAATATAACTAATGCTGCTTGCTTTAGAGAAAAGCACAACTTCCATGGATATTTGGCAAGCATACAGATTGAGACATTGCATCAACAAACAATTTAATAAGTGTGAAACAGACATTCGTAATTTATACAAGCTTCCTGTGACAGCCATCAGTTCTTGATCAGAAATAAGGGTTATGAGGTAAATTGGCAACCACAATCTTAAAATTGCTCGTGCTTTTAGCAAGGCCAAGCCTCTGAAATTTTGATCAGCAGCCGTTTGCTGTGAAACTACCTAGTGAAATTGAATGTGAAAAGAGTGAATCGTTCAGGAGCATAAATGGCAGAGAATTTAATATTAAGGTTATAATTAATCAACTACAACCCTCAATAAGCACTGCACATGCTAAGGCTGAACAATCAAAAGAATGTTATAGTGAATGACAAGCAAAGCAAGATAATTGTTCCATATCTGGAAATATTGCTTTAGACGTTACATTGTTCTTCATCAACTATCACAATATTGTAGAGCATTAGCTGCCTTAACTTGGGAGGCAAATCAGATGAAAATGGTGGTGGTCTAACTTTTTCTAACTAGTCTACTTTCACAGGCGTGTTATCCTGCTTTGTTTTGTACAGTGGGTTCGAGTGCCCACTTCCGATTCAAGGAGCAGCAGGACTGGCAAGACGACCTTCACATCGACGAATTTCTCTCGGTGGACTGCGATGCACTTGCAGATGCCCTGCAGACAATCCCCCTCCACAAGAGGCTTGAGCTGCCAGAAGAAATATTTCCCGTAAGTCCCTTCAGATAGGCTTTTTTGGGTTTGGAAACTAAAATCCACCCACGGGTCACTCTTTCGCTGTTGATGCTTAGTGATGCTGTTATATACTCCCCTAAACCTGCCTGGGTCTCTCATCCAACACTTCAATGGTTCTGAAGTCGGTTCTTCATGCATGACATCCTCATGGTGCTCAGTATCACAGCACAAAGCATGAAATAAGCAGATGCCACTGTGAAGAACTAGAATTGGTATTGCAAGAGAAACTATGCTGTTGAACTTGTTATATCATAATCTAAACCTTGAGGGCAAGTTGAAATATGATTACTAAAAACATGACCTAATATGTTACAATGTGTCTCCTTTGCCCGTTATTCTATTCTTCATCTCGGAGTGTACGTTATGACTGAATAGGCACCCGACAAAGATCTCTGGATCCAAAATCTAAGGGCTCCAGGTGGTTACTTTGGAAGTCACCAAAACCACACATGGATACTTGCTTTATTTCATCACTTATAATCACCTAGGCAAGGGGCAAAAAATATTAGACGTTTCCCAGGGAGGATACAATCTTGTTGAAATTGCCCCCTTCACTTACGCTGACCGAATAATCAGGACGAAGGATAGACAAGACTTCAGGTGTTCCCACTGTCTTGAGTTGTTGTCTAGAGTAATGTTCTAGCCCCCAAGATGTTGTTTGTTTGTTTTGCGGGAAATAGGGTTAGCAGTGCCATAACAGAAACAAGTCATGTTAGATTTACCGTAATATCCCGAGTCATCGCCCATCCCCGAGCCATCGCCCACCCTATTTTTTGGGCCAATATCAATTTCCGAAAAAACACCGAGTCATCGCCCACCCCTTCAAATACCCCAGCGCGGACTCTGCGATCCGCGAACACTCATCCTACCCGAATGACGCGGCCGCGGACCTTACAGTTGGAGGACGTCCGTGACAAAGTAAAACGAAGGAGGGAAAGACACTTCTATTTGTTTACGCATTTCCTCCGTGAGCGACCCCAAAGTGATCGTGTATCCGTGCGAAAAGAAAACGATGGAGATAACAAAATAAGAGTTTGTTAATATAACCGCGGAGTGTTAGGTCAAAGTCTGTCTCCGCCGAAGTAAGGTCACCGCGAACCCGCTCCTTCTTCCCGCCCGTCGCGACGACCCCGGTTGTGCAATATTTTAGGCAAAGCCAACGCGTAAATAAAGCTTTGCTGGAACGCCCTACACAGACGTTTGCAGAGCGTCTCAACCGTGCATTGATAGCCCGCCGTGCACGGACGCACGTATGTACGCGTCAAACAAGAAAGTTGAGCAAGAGCTCGCGATTGAGAAGGCGCCCGACTTGGCCCGACGCCAAAATATTTGCCAACGCGACCGCCGGCTTTCCCGCTTTCCCAGCATTGCTCTTGGTCGCTCCTTTGGTCCGCTCGCTCGTTGCGCCTGGTCGGTTTTTCTATTTTCTTGTAGACTTTGCTTTTTTTGACTAACTAGGAGAACATAGTGGTGACATTCTTTCACGGAACAAACGTTCGCGCTATATGCAGATCGGCGGTGTTTCTAGAGCGTATGCAAGCAACGGACTTCGCTATAGTAAAATATTCTTTCGTGAGCATTTTTTTTTTCGATAAAACAATGAAACTAAATCAAGTTTTGAGTTTGATGTATCTCTTGTGCATCAGCGCTAGATACGCAGAGAAAAATAGGCGGTTTTTTCCGCTTTATTTCAAGTGTTTGTGTTCACCCACCGAGACATGGCCCACCCCACTTTTTTAATGAATTTCAGGCAGTAGGGGGGTGGGCGATGACTCGGGATATTACGGTATGCTGACACTTCGAAAATGTACTTTTTCCCCGTTTGTATTTACCGTCTCTATTGAAAACTAAGACTTGAAGGGCCAAGAATTTTATTTATGCAGAGCACAAAAGAAAAACGTCTGCCCTATTATGTCTCTTTGGGAGTGCGTGTGACGTCTCGCAAGCCATGCCGCCACTTCTTGCCTTCTAGCCAGAAATTCTCAAACAGTACAACGAGGATGCCGCATCGCATCGGCAGAAATATGGCGGTGGCAAAATCTGCAGCTGGAAAAATGCAAGCAGTGTCAGCGACTCCCTGACGAGCACATTGCTGACGGCAGCCGGTGCAACTTCGAGGTCAACCAAGGTTAAGGGTCAAGGTCAGGATGACCTTTCAAGGTCGCTCGGGGCATGCCTGTCCCTGAGCTCTGGCCAGCAGACGCAAGGGCGGGGCAAGTCGCCCAAGGAAGAGGAAGATGACCTTGACTTCCTCCTTTCCCTCTCAAGTACTGCTAAGCCGGATCAAGAAATTGAAAAACAAGGTATAGTTTGTGGTTACCTTCACGATAAACTCGTCTCAGTGGAAACATTTTTTCCTGTGTTAGCTTGAAAGATATTACCATTTAAAGATATTACCATTACCATTTAAAGTACCAGAATCTATGTAGGTTTGGCGAATGTTTCCATGCCAAAATTATCCAACGATGGACGTCTTCTGCTGAAGTGATTGCTCCAACTTATGCTCAGAATATTAGATATAATTTATTTTTCTCTTTCTCTCTCTCAGATAATGTCTTGGTGTCTGTATTGTTATACTTTGATGTCTAGGTGACATCTGAATCAGATGCTGTTTTAATATGTTGAATCAGATGTTCCACACAAGGGTAGCAACTCGTCTTATGATGAGTTGCTACCCTCGAAGATTCTACTCTCTAAATGTTTGTACTGCTGCATCAAAAAACTAATTGTTGTTTTGGGGCACTAAGAACCTCTATTACTACTACTATTACCATGGAAGAAACTTTTGTTTCATGTGATGTGTAGCATGCACCAATTTCCATTGAAGAAAATAGTATATTATTACTATTAGGCCAAGGTAACTCATGATAACAACAATCACTCCGATATATAGGTTTCAATGGAGCCATCAATATGTTAGCCACACTCTTCAAAAATTGTAATCAATATTTTCTAGTTGTTACAAGTATTGGTATTCTGTCTCCTTGGATTAACTAGATGGACCCAAAGAACCAACAGAGTCAAGCGACCTGCCCATGAGGCCTGTTGACCAGAAGAGTACCATGGAACCTGTAGCCCAGGGTGAGTAAGCCCATGATCCCAGTAGACAAATAGGCAGTTAGTCGGATGTCTTTTCTCCATGGGAACTTGGCTATAACAAGCTCTGAAAAATTGCACAAAAATTGCACCAACTTCTGAGGGAATATAGGTATTGCCACTGAGGCAGCAGATGCTGCCAAAGTAGCTTTGTGGCATGGATATAGTTGCATCACCTATCACAGAGGCCAGTCGCCACTGTAGTACGATGCTTTCTCGCTGGAGAGATCATCAAGATATGTTTGCACTGTGATTACAAAGTCTTAGCGAGCCTTGTTCTTAATGTTGTCTGGCTTTTCTTGGTTCCTTATGTTCCTAAGGAGTGATGAAACTACACAAAAAGACATTATTCTAGTTGTAGACAACTTTCTGTGGTATTTCAGAAGTGGAGAGTGCTTGTGCACAGCTTTGATTGGCGTTCAAGGTGCTCGAGTGCCCGTCTGCCCATAGCTTTGACTGAGTGGCCACAGAAAGTTGTCCACAGAGCAAGAATTTGGTGTCCACAGTGCAAAAATAAAGCAGCACTTACAAGGGTGGAAATTGGCAAAGTTTTCAGAGGAGATAATTACCTTGACATCACTTTTCAGTTTTTGTGTGTGACCCTCACTCAAAAGTTCCCTCAGATATCTCAGTAAAAATGAACTGTGGTTAATGAGACAATGTGTCATTCTATGGGGAAGGTATGGATATCAGATTGAAATGAAATTAAGGCATCCCTTTTCCTAATGTCAGCGGTTCAATGTGTCAAGGGGTAGTTGTCATGCTTCTTTGTCCTTTCTAATGAGTGTAAAAAAAACTATCTTTATTTCTCCCTATCTTTTTCTTACAGCTGTTCAGAAGCCTACGATTGACCTGGAAGATTGGCTAGATAGCGTGCTACAAGATTGAAGTTATGTAAATATATTATATATATATATTGAAATTGCATTACTGCCTTGTCAAGGCTTTTTGAATCACAGCTCTTTGCTTTGCCGCCATTTGAAAACATGACCGACGAGTGTCTCAGCTGCGTGTCCACGACTCAAACACTCGCAGCTAAACACAATCTTGTGGCCACTGCACCTGATCATCGCAGGTGGCTCCAGGTTGGCCACACTTGTGGTGCCAGTGTAGTCTCATACAAGTAAAGCATTTGCCAAGGGAACGCCGTAACACATCAGCCAGAGCACCGAATCACTCAAGGGGGCCAACCTGGAAAGGTGGTAGCCACAACAAGACGTGGCGTCAGCGTGACATGCACTTCGGTAGCAGTCTACTTGTGCTTTGTGGAAGAACAGTGACTAACTGATAATGGAGGTGTGAGAGGAGCTTCCAGTGCATCCTTAACTCGTATGTAACCATAGGGTGTCAGCTCGACAGCAGTCCTCACACTCATGAAACAATGTGGCAAAAACCTGCCAAGGCCCTGGCCAATATTGTACAGTGTGACTAAAAATGAATATTGCGCAATGTGATCCACTGTTGATGCACAGTCGTTCGGTCTGCACGGGTTACAAAAGGGTGCCGACACTGTTCAGTGACAAGTTGCCCCATGCTTCCTGCTTGCGGCCACCAGTAACCTTCATTGACATGGCGTTGGAATTCTGCAGAAAAATCTTTCGGTCTACCTAAGGGTACATGCCCTTGGGACAAGGGCATGTACCCTAAGGCAGTGGTTCTCAAATGGGGTTCCGCGGACCCTCTGGGGTCCGCGAAGGCATTCTAGGGGTCCGCGAAGCCCTGCCTCATCTGTCAACACGGCAGTAAAAGTCGTCTTTTTTCAGGTCGAAAAGAAATGTTTCAGTTTTCGGGTGAGTTTTTTTCGTGCGCATGTCAATAACAGAGGTCTACTTCACACAGCCCTTGGTTATATTCATTTATTTAATAATTATTATATTTAACCTATACATTTCCCCTCCCCTCACCACGAACGGGATCCTCCATCATTTCCACCGATCCACAAGGGGTCCGCGAAACATCGATGTTTGAGAACCACTGCCCTAAGGTACATGCCCTTGTCACAAGAAGTGCTGACCGGCTGCTTTAGAAACTTATGAGGAATATGCAAAGGACATATCAAGCAGTGGCGTAGCCAAAGGGGTAGCTTATAAGTAGGGCTCCGTGTTTTCGGATAAATCCGAAAAACTCCGAAAAACACCCGCCGGTAAAATTTTGGTCAATTCGGATTTATCCGATAAACTCCAAATGTTTGTGTCATTTTTTTTTCTTTACAGTGTGATTAGCACAGAGTAAATGGTCCTGGGAAAATTACACCATAATTATCTTTCAAATCTCGGACCATTGTCAACAGGGGTCTTGCCGCTTGTCTCTTCAAGGTTGATTCAGGGCAACAGGTCGTTCGTTGTACATTCGGGTCACGACAAAAGCCACTCTTTTGGTTTCCGGTTTGGGCCATGCGATTTGTGATTTAGAGAAAGGAAAGGGTATTGGTAACAGTGAAAGCTATGGACCATAGTGATTGTATAAAAATGGGAAGAGGGGCAGTTCAAACTCTCTATTACCTGCTTAACCATGCGGCCGCGGGCTAGATTGATGAAATAGGATGGGATGACTACGAGCTTCCTAGCGACTACCTCCGGGAGTTTATTGATTTTAAGGCATCGGCATTTATCGAAGTGCCACTTGTGTGTGACTTTTGTCGTGGATAAACAGCGCTACGTCCGTGTCACTTCTTCGTCTGGTCCTCGTCTTTTCGCGCTGTTTTTAAATCCGATGGATAAATTAGTATTGCCAATGGCAATGGCACCAACGCCAAATTCAACTGAAAATATTTTAATTGATACAAGCGCCTCTTCTTTTTTTTTTTTTTTTAATCTGGAATACGTTTACATTCGGTTATTATTTATTTATTTATTTCAATAGGAAACACAGCGAAATTAAGCTCCAAATTTCGGAGAATTGGGAATAAAAAAAAATATAAACTTCGATAAACTCCGAATCTTCGGCAAAAAATAAACTCCGAAAAACACCCTCCGAATTTGACGAAAAATAAACTCCGAAAACACGGAGCCCTACAAGCCCCCCCCCCCCCCCCCCCCCCCCCCTTCGAAATCCAGTTGACCCTATAATATACACATGCCTTTCTTGACCTTTCTTCCTCCTCCCCCCCCCCCCCCCCCCCCTTTTCCCGAAAAGATTACTGGTTACGCCACTAATATTAAGCGTCCTGCCCAGACTTATGGACTTATGAGCACAGCTAGCTAACCGATATGCTCCTCCGCGTCATCCGCTTCTCCGATCGCGCCTATAGCCAACCGGCAACGGCCAGGCGGCGCCAGCATGGTGAGAGTTAACGGTTATACCCTGTCTCGTTGTAACTTGGCAAAGGGTAAACGATAAGCCCCACATTGCGTGCCGAAGGCTTTGAAATGCGCGACGTATACGAGCGCAACGCACACATATTGGAGCATGACGCGGCGAAAAGCCTGATACTTCTCCGGAGTTGAGGCGCGCTCCGGCGATAGGCAGTCACGTTCCGATTGGCCCGCCAGGGACGTAGCCTGCGCTCTACTGTCACGTTACGCGATCACGGCTTCCTGGGATACCCAGTATTTCTTGCTTCAGACACTAGGCTAAGCGGCGCCACCAGAGTAAAAGCTCACGTTTGAACAATGCAGCCGCCACTCCCAGGGGTACCCAATATTTCTTGTTTCAGTCGCTAGACGACGCCAAACCAAACAGCATTGCAGGTTGCCTATATGCAAAGTGGCGTAGATTAACGAGTGCGCGCCGGCGCAGGTGGTGACGCCCACCCTACCATGCGCCCCCTTCCACATGTTTGCTTTCGGACATAACAAGATCGGAAATCTCCAGTTTCTCCAAGATTATCTCAAACTTCTGAGTGGGCGCTGGCTCGGCATTCCACTTCGAGTCGTATAGGCACCCAGAAACGGTAAACAAGTCCATAGCTGTGCCCGATACCTCGCTGTCTTCAATGAGCGATGCTTGCACGATTGATACCGCAGAGTGGGCCAGCTGCCAAGCTGTTTTTCACCTGTCGGTCCAGCTGCGTCGTGGCGTCTTATGAAGTCGCCACGCATCCCCGTCGTGTGCTAACAGTCCAGCCATGCTGCCTGGAACCTGTCCTAAAAAGCGGCCCCTCGATTTCCGCCGGATGATGTCATGCAAGCGTCACTGTCGCCGGCCGCGATCCTAGCGGTGTCGCAGCAGCGGTGGAGTATGTGGCAGACGCCTGGTCTACTGCAGGTTGCTCTCCAGTTTCACAGTCCACGGAAGCTTCCCCAGCCGGGACTTGGAACTCCGCGACTGCAGCGATACTCGCGTTCTCATACTTTTCGCCGGGACCTCTAGCACCAATCGCCAGGATCGCGACGTCCGACGTCGGCTTCTGTGACGTCATTTGTTGCCACCTGGCCGTACTCCAGCTGCGTCGCCCGCAGCGCCGGGAGTCCTTACGTCTTAGGGCATGGCCGTCTTTTTATTGAAACAGTGCATATTATTATTTTTTATTGTAAAATGCGATATACGCGTGCAAGGGGACCGCCGTCTTAGAACACGTGGAAATAGTCACAGTGACTGCTGTCCAAAAATAATTAATCTATTCAGCTCTTCCGGAACATGCGAACTGCCAGCGAACAAGTTCTGTGCGATACGGTAACACGGTCTCCCTGTGGAAGTCGTTCCGGTGACGATACCCGACACCCTGCCTACGCCTTTGCGCATGCAGTTATCGGGCGTCGTTACCGGAGTTGTCGTAAAGGTCTACTAAAACTTTCTCTTATAGAGAGCTTTAGCAGGTCCTTCCGGTAGTTCCGATAACAATACGACGCGTGTGCAATGGCGTCGGCGGAGTACCGGGTATCGTTACCGGAGTCATCGTAACGATCCGCTAAAACCCGCCAATGATTCAACCCCTTCGGCCGTTCCGCCCAGAAAACCGGAATATGCTAGGAGGAAGGGAACAGACGGCAAAACTACACTTAAAGTAAAGGGACAGACTAATATGGCAAAGAAGATCACATCTCGGACTGTCTCTTGGGAACGGGGTCAGTGGGCGGTTACGGCGACCAATGGTGGAGCATCCATGTCCCAGGCAATGGATGACCGTTCCTGCTGGATTGCGTCCGCAGCCTGCACCAGCTGGAAGCAACAAGTTGCGCGAGGTTATCGCCTTACGACCGGCTGTGCAGTCGGTCGAGCGCGCTCCTTTGCTACTAAACACAAGTATGTGAACCAGACATCTTAGGGCCACTCTCGAGGGCTCTAGAAAAGCCAAGTTTCTTAGCACTGGACTGCCACTCTTGAGGCCTTCAGGACACCCTATTTCATATTTTCCCTGCCAGTTTCGATCCCCTTCGTGCTTTATTTTTGTTCGTTCGTTCTGATCGTAGAGATGGCTAATCTCTGCAGTTTTCGCTGGGAGTCCTTCCCAGAGGCAGTGGAAAGTTTTAGTCGATCGTTCTGGTATCTGCGTCAAGGTAGAGTCGTGTTTGACCCGACTTCAGCTCTTTTTTTTTGCAATTTACATCGAAAGGGTGGCACCAATATTTACCATTTAGGTTAGTATCCCAAATAAACACTTTCCACTGCTATATTTGTTTTGATAATAATCCAACGCAAAAGAAAAAAAAAAATTTTTTTTTAACTTCTTATTTTCTTAAAATGGCTGGGAGCGGCTAAATAAGGTCAATTCCCTCCGACAAAGGAAAAAAAAAAAAAAAGGCGCACGCACGGCAGAAATTGGGGCCACGCCAATTCGACTACACACCTTGGGCAACGCCGAAACATGTTCTTAGGAATTTGCCGGAAGGTGATCGGACGGGGCGGAGGGCTGTTGGTCCCGGGACGCTTGGAGCAGAGGAGGGTCCTGGGCCTTGCCGTCGTGAGGTTGCGACTCCGCGGCGGCCATGTCCGCTGACGCAGCAGCCTTCGGGAGGTCATCGCCGCCGTCGTTTGCCTCGGCCCCCACGTCCTTCTGCCGATGAACGCTGGATCGAAGTCTGCTTTTCACCTGAATCTTTGCTCCTTTGAGCAGGCCCGGCCTCGCATCGGCGCCGACTGCTTGGGCTGCGAAGATGATACAAGTGAAGATGCAGTGACGGGGCCCTGGCTTTGGAATTTTATGGCTACAGAGGAGACAGATGTCCATCGAGGTCGGTTGGCTACCCGTTGTCATTTGTACAACAGACTTGATTCTTCGACCAAGGTTCAAGAGGATGACGCAAGACCTGGACCAACTGTCATCCTGACGTCCTCCCCCCTCAAACGGCAGTGCTGAAGCAACACCTCCTAGAAAGCTCAAGTGCTGCCTTAGCGCTTGGCTGGAGCTCGCACGAGTTCCTGACGAACCTTTTGACTCAGCATTTGACTGGACTCGCGCTGATCAGATAGAGGGACTTGTTACCTGGGTGGCGTTAGAGTAACTGTATATGCACTACGCAGTTCATTTAGGTGTTTTTATTAAGGGCCGTCTAGCTGGGTTTGACTGGAGAAGCATATATATGGAGGGGGGAAATACTGGAGAGATATGGGATGCTATCTAGGAGGAGTGGGAGATAAACTACGTTGCCTGGAGACGCGCGTTTTAGCCACCGTAGATGAACTGCGAACAGAAGCTACGAAACATCCATGGGCTCGCTCGCGAGGGTAAACCGCTCTTGCCTTCCTTGGGTGACCTGGCATCGGGCAACGATTGGCGGTCCTTGGCGAGCCGTTTCTTGCTGGATATCGTGGCACCGCGAGCTGCCTCGGACGCGGCTTCGTTGCCCTCGGCTGTCTTGCGCGTTGGGATCTACGCGCACGAATGGCGTGAGAAACAGACGAATTACAATTCGCAATGGCGACACGTTAGCTTCACTCCTTGTGGTATTATACTGCCGAGCACGTATATCGTTAACTCATTCCGTGCTGGACGCCATATTTGAGCATACGCTGTTCACAACGCAGGCTTAGGACACTTAGCTCACACTCCTCGTCTGCTAAAAACGGCCCCTCGCAGAAAAATAGATCATTTATGTTAATTTCACAATATTTTTTATCACTATATCCCGGCAGTTCGTGGAGCGTTATTTTTAAAACCGTCTTACATAAAATCGCGTATAAATCATAAACTAAAAGGCATCCCCCGCAGCACCTCTTTCTTTCAGTGCTGCCTTTCTTCCGCAGACATCAATTGATTGGAATCGGCTTCCCGCACCAGTGGTCTCAATAACTGACGGCGCTAATTTTAAAATTGAAATTACTTTTTTTTTTTGTTAAGTAATGTTTCCTGGCGATATTTGTACTTTTATTTGTCTGGTTCACGTATTTTTTGCGCCTTGTTCATTTTTATATTGATGTATTTTTTGCTTTGTTTATTCTTGTATGGACATATTCATTGCCTCGTTTAGCGCTTTATTTGTTGCCCCATGCGTGCAAGCACGTGCAGCTTGCGCACGAAGAAAGCTTTGGCAGGCCCGCAATGGCGCGTGCTCGCTCACACGACGAGGAACATGGCGGCCATCTTGTCTGCAATCCTCTACCGGGTGTCCCAAGTGGCGGCCAGGCTCTTTAAATCGACAGCAAAAATCGGTTTCTTAAGCTATGCCCTTACGATTTTGTGCAGCGTTGGCCACAGGTGGTGCATTTTTTTATATAAAATTTGCAAAGAGCGAACTTACCTAAGGAAAAGGTAAAGAAAGAAAAAGGCTTAGTTCTTACAGAAACGCAGCGAAGCCACCGGTCTTCAAAACAATAGGGCGCCCTATGGTGTGAAGACCGGTGGCTTCGCTGCGTTTCCGTAAGAGTTAAAACTTTTTCTTTTTTTTTTACTTTTTCCTCAGGTAAGTTCGCTGTTTGCAAATTTTAGAGAAAAAATGCGCCACCTGTGGCCAACGCTGCACAAAATCGTAAGGGCATAGCTTAAGAAACCGATTTTTTTTGCGGTCGATTTAAAGAGCCTGGCCGCACCTTGAGACACCCGGTACAAAAAATGACGCAGCAAAAAACAAAACAAAAGACTGACACAAAACTTATAAGATGATGTGATACGATATCAAAAGCAGCCAAAGAGGGGCAGTTAATTGTGAGACGCCGTTGAACTCGATCTGGTTTTTGGAGGATCATGGCCTCACCTGGGCGGAAAGCTCGGCGCCCACTCCAGTTGAGGACGCTACGCTGGGGTTTCTTATGCTGGCCGCCTGGCTCCCTGCGTCCGTCTGGCCCGTCTCCGGAGTGTAGGGCTTGCCCGATACCAAATGGGCCTCGTTGGCACTCATCTGTGACCGGCGGAGCGTGCGCATGAGCAGCCAGACGAGGGAAGCCACCAGCAGCGACGCTATGAACACTGCGGCCACGGTTATGACGTCGCTAAACAGGTCGCCGCCGCTGGCCATGAACTGACTATGGGCCGTTGTTCGTGGAACACCGCGCTTCTTCTTCTTCTTTACCAGTAGCTGCAGCAGCGATCCACGCGAACGGGAGGCAGCTCTGTTTCACCTTATGTTGTACCGCAGTGAGGCGCGAGCTCGTAGCGTTGGCGGGTGCCCTTAATGAACGAGGGCTTGTGCCGCCGAGATCTGCCCCAGAGCAAGGAACTCGCGCTTGTAGCCTTTTCTGCGGTACATCATAAGGTGAAACAGAGTATAGTGCTTATTAACATCGGGTACAATAAGACGAACAAAAAGACTCGCAATTGTATTTTGATCTCTCCAACAAACCATCATACGCAGAACTTCGTTTTATGATAAGCACAGCGGACGCTCTTGCGGGCACGCAACGTCCTGTCTGTACAAGAGTGAGCTCGGGGCTTTCAGCGTCCCTGCTAAGCAAGTGCGCTCGTGCAGTGCGAGCACTGTTCAGTGCCCTATGCTCGCGCTTGTAGCATCGGCTGCGTCTGGATTTATACTGTGAGGGGCGGCGCAACGATATTCAGTTGGAATGTTTTTCACTTTACTCGAGCTTACTGGCACTAGTGGGACTCAAGGATACTCCCACGCAACGCCGCTGGCCAAGAAACGCCTTTGTTGCGGTGTAATTTCAAGGAGAAAAGCGAGCGTTTTCATTCAATTTTTCCTTCGCAAAACTTGATCACGTAGTTGGGCGCAACGTTGGTTGGGCGGTCGCAGTACCGCCCAGTGACGATATTTGAATGCGGCTCATAGATTGGACCCGAGCATTGCGTGGGCACTCGACTTGGGCTCGTGATAATGGAGAGCTCGAGAGGCATTCGGGTGGTCGCCCGTGTCCAATCTCTGCAAAGACGACAATTGCCGAACCTTAACAACGTCTGGAACTCAGCGCGTGTCCTGTGCTTTGCCACCCCCAGCGCGTGGACATGATCGATATTGGCGGTATATACAGGGTGTTTCAGAGAACTCAGGCCAAATCGCTCCTGCGAAAACTACACATCGCAACAAAAAAAGGCTTGTGTCGTTTTGGTCCTGGACCAGGGGCCGATTTAGGAAAATTATTAAAGTCCGAGATAATTAAGTTGTTAATTATTTTTGCGTAATTAATTTTTTTTTTTTAATATTGTGTTTAAGGGCATGGTTTCAATTAGAAAATTGCTCACCATTATCGAAAAACACTTTTCGCTGTCGTTTGATTCTAGTTCTCGCTCTAGAACTAGTTCTCGCTCTATAGAGCGAGAACTAGAATCAAACGACAGCGACAAGCCTCAAACCAGAGTCTTTCGCGATTTGAGAGGCTTTGTAGAATAAAGGAGGCTATGCTGAAACAGGAGCATCATGCACGCGAGGGTATCTTTGGCAGGCTTGCAATCACTCATGCTTCCTTCACGAGTACCGAGAGACTGAAAGCCTGTGAAAGGTACCATCACGTGCGTGCTGAATGTGTTTGAGGCTTGTCGGTGTTGGTTGTTTCTGTTTGTCGCTCTAGTGGGACTCGGGCTTAAGAACAAAATTCCTTTCCGGCAAAAGAAGTCTCATGCCCTCGGCTTCCCCTCACGCATACTCTCACAGTGGTGAAGCACGCTTTACAGGAAGTGAGCTTTTCTTTGAAGAGGGTTTTCTGCTCCTATCCCCGTGGAATAAGAATACATTTCTGCTCGTTCGGCCCGTGTTTTTCTAAAAGAGGGAAGGCAGCAGACCTTTGTTGTTGAATGTTGTTGAATCTTGTCAAAACGTGTTCGCCACTCTGTGCCTCCCATTAGTTCTCTCATTTTGTCGGTGTCGCGATATTAAGCTCGGAAAAACGAGCAAAGCTGAAGAGTCAGTGACACTAGCTGAGCTGGGCTCAGCTATTGTCACTGACCTTTCAATTGTAGAGACAACTCCAATCCGCTTCAGCTGAATTGGGGTAACTCATCTCATACATCTAGGAAGTTAAGGCCGCTGCCGCTGTGCTCCGAGAATCGGGCTATGTGACTGTCCTAAAAACGGCGAGGGAGCTTTGCGAAAGGGTTCACTTGACTCTCGAAACGCCACGAGTCACATCTCGTCAGAGACACCGCAGTAACATTCCCAAGACTTCCGTGGATGAATACTTCAGGCTCACTGCATCTCTTCCCTTCATTGATGACCTTCTACAGCTCAAAGATCGATTCAGAAATCACAAGAGGAAAACCTTGAATTCCTATCAACCCTGCTCCACAAAATTACCGCCAAAGGGGAGAAAGAGCCCGACTTAGACAAAATCGGGAACCTCTACGGGGACTTCGTTTCCTTAAAAGAGTTGCCCGGGGACGTTTTCTTTCTTCTCAGAAATGGGAGGACTGCAGCGATGCTTCGCACGTTTGTGCCGTGCAGGCGATGTCTCTTTGTCCGAACGCCTTGCACCCAAACAGCTACAAATTATGTAAAATTCTGGCCACCATGCCTGTGAGCACCGCCGAGCCGGAGCGCTCATGTCAACTCTGCGAAGGCTGGAGACTTACGTGAGAACGTCCTCATCCAAAGATTGCCTTCTGGGGCTCGCACTTCTGACGATTCACCGAGACATCCCTATCAGCCAAAAGAACATTCTATCGTCTTTTTGCATAGATCGGCGACGGCTTCGATGGAATGTGTAGAAAGATTCTGACCTAATCTGGTGTCCAACAGTTAGCGTAAGGACGCACAATACCATAGCCTCCTGTATACTCACAAAGCCTGGCAGTTCGACGACGGAGCCACAGAGCGCCCGGTCGCAGATTTAGAGCGCGAAGATCTGGTAATATGGAGCATTTCTCGGGGAGCCTGTAGTCAGCGCACAGCTTTTGCAGCGGCGAGGACCCGAAACATTGTTTTCAAACCCAACGACAAAAGAAGTGTTAGCGCGAAGAACGCGAGGAGCATGAGCGGACATTCCATCGCTCGGGACAAGTGTGTTTCGGCGTCTCGCCGCAGCGGGGCACCCGCCACATGCCTCCGTTAAAGCCCCCTTATCTTGGGTACAGTGTTCTAGAACGCTGTAATCCTGAGAAAATTGACGCCATTCATTGTTGTGGAAATGCTCGAGGCACGTGCCGCGCGCTGCTTCTGGGAAGAGCATGGCGTTTGAAACCTAGCTCAGTGCTGCGCTGTGCCGCCACGACCTTCCCAAGGGCTGCACGTTGCACGTGTCTCGTGCATCGACGCACCTTACGCTACTTCTAAAACATGAAGGGGCTTTAGCCTCCGATGTCTGACGCTCTGCCTTTTCACTTTTGGCGGCCGCGTCTCGTGGCGATCTGCCAGGCTTTGTCAGTATAGAGGAGGCTATGACTAGGGTGCCTCAATGACCTTCACTATGACAATACTGAGCTGTTTCTTTTTTCAGTTTTATTGTGCTCTTATGAAAGCGATACATTATTAGTTATATTTTTGACGTCTGATAATATCGTTGATATTCCACCCAGTTTCATATTATTTCCTTCTTATTTCTTAAGTCATTAATTTGTAAAGTTCATTATTAAAAGTTTTAGAAGTCTGCAGCTAAATTAACCGCAATGTTGGACCACAAAAACATAAAAAAAAAACATGGGCCGGCTTTGGGATTCGAATAGAATATGCCTGATCAGAATGGCCGTTTCCACTTGCCGTTTTGCCCGACAAGTTTCTCGGGATTCTTTCCGCGCAATAACGCCTCAAAGGCGAAGGTATTACCTTCGCCTCGAAGGTGAAGGTAATAATTGTGGTATGGACTCCTTTCGAAAGTGGGCCCTCTGTTGGAAGCTGAAGAATCCCTGCACGATGGTGGACACAAGTGCGAGCTTCTTGCGTTCGATTGCGCCCCAGCTGCACGAGCACTCGTACAGCGGGAGTACGCTGGCACGCTACGCTGTGTCGGTTCCACTTTTGTGCGGTGGATCAGATTTTTTTTTTTTTTTTTTCAATTAGCACGTTAATTTTGGAAGGGGTCTATTATTGTGTGATGGTACTTTGTAATGAGTAACACCACGCGGAGATACTTTCATCACCTGGGCGCCATTGTACGCTTCTCCCTCGATGTGCTGCGCCCCCTGTCCACAAATATTGAGACTTGCGTAACAATATTATTTCAATAATAAAAATAAGCTTTATTTGCAAAATAATGTTATCCAGGGTAGCTTACAATGCTAAAACAAAAAAGGCGGAAAGGCGAGAGATCGTACACCCGTGAATATCTAGCCAGTCACCTTGGGCATCAATAGAATGGTCACGAATAGTTTTCTTTCTTTTGGATTTGGAGTTTCCAATTTTATTATTTCTTTAACGAGTGACAAAGCAATACGCTCATGCTTATTGCCTTGTGACTCGTTATTCGGCATCTTTGTCAGCTAATGCCATTATCCCGTTGGCACCGGCAATAACGTGCGTCACAACGCCGCGCGTTTCTTAAATTGTCAGCGAGTATAGATGACCGGGAAGGGTCAGGTGGGTTCGCCCCATCCCACTTCCCGTACGCTTTGCTGACGTCCAAAATCACAGCGTTGACATCCCATGTTATGAGCCCGGCGGCAGAAATCAGATTACAGGAACGATTCGCAGTAAATAAGAAGTAGAATATATCGAAAATTCTTTTAGAACTATATAGCGCACAAAAACTTCACGCGTAAAGGAGGCAAGCTTCTCTAGTCTGTTGCATGTTTCGAACAGCATGACAAGCTTCTTCCACAAAACACTCCACTCTCTCCATTTTAGCGGGAGCGGACGCTGGAGAGGAGGAACTCCCCAATATGGCGACCGTAGAGCTTTGTGCGAGGCGCTTCTCGTGTGTTATTCTAAACCTGCAACGGACTATAGCCGCACGATGATCCTTGTATGGTCTCGTTGTAGGGTCGCTCGGCTGTGTCATCCTCCCCAACGTCCCAGAACAATCGTAAAGCACAGAACGCGTTGATAAACGTGCAATAAAAAAAAAAAAAAAAAAGGCTTAGCGGCGGGAAAATGACAGCTTGGACTGTCTTCTATCAGGGAGGTTAGTCGACGGCTCCTGTGGTAGAAAAATTGCTTGCTCCATCGACGAGTGCTCCCGAGAGAATATGTCCAGGGCTGGTGGCACCTGAAAGCACGAAATACACGACTCTAAGCTCCGACTATCTCGTTTTCACCTCGAGGAAGGTACGGAAGCACGGGGCACTTGTACGAGTTTCCAAAGAGACTTAATTTAGTCCCTGTCCAGCGGCCCTGACAAGACTTCATGACAGGCGACGTTAACGCGTCTTCCTCTTTGCGGCGACTCTAACAACCATCAACTTGGCAGCTGGCCGACTCTGCGGCATGCAACTGTCGTGTACAAAACGAGGCGACTATACAGTAAAAGAGAGCATTTCAACCTTCTATAAAAAAATTAAAAAAAAAGATAAAATAATGTGCGTTCTTTTCTTTTTTTTACCCGGGGCTCCGAGGACACGTATCTTGTGGAACGACCAGAGCGGCTTGAGTGCACGGACGAATCCGACAGCCGACGGATGAGAAGTGCCTGGATCGGAGTGTTGGTGCCGACTTCGTTGCCGGAGGACCGCGACGCCGTGGCCAAGTCCGCCATTGGACTCTTGGGGACTGCCCGTGCGTCGGAAGGGGCGTCTGGCCTGACCGCCGCGTCCGTCTTCGGCTGGCTGCTGGTTCGACGTTCGGCCTGGTCTCTCTTCGGCTTCGACTGGTCTCTGGATTCATGGCGGGGATGGCTTACCTCGGAAACCTCATGGCCTGGTGATAGTTACAGAAGAAATGTATTGACTTGGAAGAAGAAAACACGTTTTTGTTGTTTGTAGGCTAGGTGGCGGAAGCTACCGCCCGCTATAAAGGGTGTTCGTTATGGTCAATCTACTGTCCATGAGTTTGAAAGCCGTTTTCAGGTCATTGACATTTTTTTTAGGACGTCGAAGGCCCCAAAAGACACGAAAAAATTTCTCGAAGTCCATGACTTTTGGCGCTTTCAGTTTGGCGACAATTTGATATCCTAGCACTTATGCTTCGTTTTCCGACTCGCCTGCTCTCTCATATTCTCTAACATTTTGGTTCCTCTTCTTACAAGAGTTTGATCCCCCGTCTCTTCGGAGCAAAGAGAACATAGCGGCGGAGATCAGAGAGCCCATCTCATTAATTCATTTACAAGGGGAAGTAGGACCACGTCTTCATCTCTCTGTCTCTCGGCATTCGAGTCAAAAATCAGAAACACTTGTTGAGCTGCGCTCCGCAAGAAGGCCAAGAGCCTTTCTATCACTAGCTTTAATTGAATGTCATCTGACCGTGGCGTCAAGGTCTTACCAGGAGAACCATCCTCGCCATCTTTGGACAGGCAGATATCGGGCTGTGATTGGCGGTCCTTGGTGTGACGTGTCTTTTTCCTCCTCAATACGCTCCCGCATCTGGAGTCGTCACGAGCTGCGCCGGACACAGCCGCTTGCCCGCCGTCAGCAGTGGCCTCGGCTTTATCGGGGGCAATTTCGGTCTGTGCACGAGAACGAGCAGAACTGTCAGGGTTACTTTAGAAAGGTACAGTTAATTTCCCCTTCTATACAGTTTTCAAGTGCTTATCACACGGGCGAAAAATAGTGAGTCACCAGACTGTGGATGCCTGCGCGGTGTCTGATGTTTCGCAGAAGAGCTCTACCGAGCATGTTCAAAACTCATTCCACAGCCGGTTGACAAAAATGGCGGTGCACAAAATGCACTCATTGAAAGGGTCAATGGACCGTACCTTCATGAACAGCGCCATTTTGAATACTTCAGCGTTTCCTGGAGTGCATCGGATTCTGCGGCCGCGCTGAATTAAGGCAAAAGCTGACTTTTTTTTTTCACGCGCCATTGACGCGCGAAAGTGCAGTGAATTGCAGTATCCTGACCGCCACCATCAGGGTCCTTCTCCCGTTTGCCCCAACCCAGCAAGGAGGAAAGCGCCCGGCAACCCCTTCCCACTTGTCCCTATCTCACCTTACGATTAGCCACTGCGGACGCTACGAGTCACCCCAGCCAATCAGAGCTCTGAACGCGTTCCGCTTTGTCGCTGCCGAAGGTCGGGTGGCACTCGCACGTCATTAGGTTGGCTTTGATGGCTTATACTTAGAGCGTCTGTTACGGCCCATCGGAAGGTGAAACCGTAAAACGAAGTACAGGAATTTCAAATGAAATTCCTGCATGGCGCTGTCCACTTCCCTATAGGAAGTATTCACTGGCGGCCATAGCTGTGTGCGCGACTGCTCAGCGCGTGCTGTGGGCAAGGTTCCAGTCTTTTGTAAAGTGCATTCCGCACCCTCAGGCTTGCGGGTCTTAGCAGCCTATTAATGCGGGCTCGTTCTGAGCATGCGCTCTAGACAGCACCCACAAATATGGCCGCCCAGTGAATACTCCTTATAAAAAGCGTGATCAAAGGTGAAAAAAGTCAGATAAATTTAGCGGATAAAAATTTCCGCTAAACGTCACGATGTCACGGGACATTGACATCACGTGACACTGACGTCACGAGCCATGACGACCCTACACGAAACACACGTGCTATGTGGGCTAGAAAAGGAGGTGTGGCCATCGCTTGCTTCGCCCAGCGGCCAAGAGCGGTTCCACGATTCACGCCTCGTGTGTCTACGGTATACCATCGGTGAGCTGGAAGCAGCGCCACCACGGCAAAAACTAGTTCAGTCCTTGGAATCAACTTTAGTAAGAAAGTTGATTCCAAGTGATATAGTTGGTAGTCCAGCGATCGCTCGTCTTTACTCCTTTCTCCCTATTTTCATAGTTCAGCTGGTTTAACCGTTGCAACTTTAGTAAGGTGGTAAGTTGAACTAGTTGGGGAACGTTAAACATGACGAGAAAGGCGTTCGAAGGAACGGGGCAAAAGGGACAAGAACAAATCAGCGCGTGCTTGTACATTCCTTTTTTCCTGCCCCTTTTGAACGCTGTTCTTGATCATGTTAGTCATTTAAAAATTAAGCCCTAAAAAAAAAAAAAGCAGGCCAAAAATATTGAAATATTAACTTAGGGGTTATATATCCATTTACGGCTGAACAATACACATCTACAGAGTGGGATAAAATACTAAATCTGTCTATTTTTGTTACCACTTTCTTCTTTTATAGCCCCGGAGAGCAGCCAGGTGGTGCTGCTCCGAACATACCGATTAAGCTGTGCTTTATAGGAATAAATCGAGAGGCGGCTACGAAGCCTCGCCCCAATAAAGACTGTCGCTGTAAAGGTAACCTTGGCTGATGGACCGGCGACAGAAGTCCCTTCCGTTCCGGCCAGATTGGCCGCTGGCGGCAGGCCCCCTGAAGCACCCGCCTGGAGCACGGCGACGCCCGGATCGTCGGCGTCGACCGACCTGAAGAGCGGTTCGTTGGTCCTCCTCTGCCCTCGTCGGATCTTGCGCAGGAGCAGCCAGATGACCGCGGACACAAATATCACGACCATCAGCACCAGAAGGACGACGAGCAACATGATCTCAGCTATGCTCGACCTCAACGAAGCCACTAGAGGCTGATCAACATGAAACGCTGTGTTCGGTGCACGTCTCTTTCTTCACTTCGAATTGCGAAAATTATGACCAAGATTGCGCGAGAGGGGGCATCGATGGCTACCGTAGCTCGGAGCACATGAAGTGCAAACTCGCGCTGCCGGATGAGCAAGGGGAATCGGTGGCAGAGTGGGCTAGCGCACACATTCTTTAGCGCACATCAACTCGGAGCATGTGGAGCGAAAGCTCGCGCTGCGGAACCCAGGTAGAGTGTACTAACCCACTGTACCCAGGGTAGGGTGTACCATACTCCGTTTCACCTTATGTTGTACCGCAGCGAAGGCCAGAACCGCGAGCTCATAGCCTTTGCAGCTGCCCTTAATGCGCGAGTGCTTGTGCCGACAAGATGTGCCCTAGAGCAAGGAGCTCGCGCTTGTACATTTTCCTGCGGTACATCATAAGGTGAAACAGAGCATAGAACTAGCAGGTGTGCCGACCCAAGGCCTCCTGGCCGACCGCATCGGATCTTCCATAGAGCTGGGCGTCTATATAGGCCCAGTTCTGCCGCAGCGTTTAGCGAGGCTGGCTTGGGATATGTTGCTGTATTTCTTTTTTGTTTTGCGAGGTGTGTGAAGCGATACAATATTGTATGGCTGAGGCTAGCTGTGTCGAAGAGACAAGGGGCTCACAACGATGTCAAATACGGTGAAGAAAAAGACGGAGCGGTGCTGTTTTCTGCCGGGGTGCAACGTGGGTTACAACACAAGCAAAGAGAAACACTCCTTGTTTCGGAAACCGAGCAACGCCTACTTAGCTCGAGGAATGGGATCGTCTGATTCCAAGGAAAACAACAAAACTAATGAAGAGAGAGAGAGAGAAAGAAGTCTAAGAAAAATGTCTGACCTGTGTGACACGTCAGAGAAAACAAACTTCTCCAAGTGGGATTGCTCTTCAATAGAGACAGCACTTGAAGTTGCTCCATTTATCGTGCCAGTCTTCGTGTTTATTTTCATATGATGCATGCTCACTAGATGACATCAATTGCGGAAGTAAAAAAAAAAAAAAAAAAAGCTGGTTTTTATTAATTTAGGATGCACATAAAAGTTGTTTTAACGCCAGAACAAAATTTTTAAAGGTTTGGAAAATGTACAGCTGCCGAAAATATAATTAAAAGAGCTTTGGAACTAGAGCGGAGAGGAAAGCATCGCATATCATATCATACTCAAACTGAGATAGACAATTATTCCTCTATAACTGCATAAAAAAAAAGATTAAAGAAGCGAGACTATGTTAGTCACTGACCGCTCCCAAACGGCATTTGCGTTAAGCTTTTTCACGAGGGTGTGATACAGGATGGAACTTAATCTTTCTCAGAACCGAGCAGACAAAAACAAACAAAAAAATACGACGCTTTTCAAGGCGGTTTTTTGTTTCCTTGAAAGTACCTCAGACTCTGAGAGCTCCTGCAAATAAAAAACCTGGCGAAAAAAAACAAAAAACAAACAAACCTATTATGCGGAGCACCGTTGTTAATTTCTAGTTATCAGTGAACGGATGTCTCTTCCCAGCGAGACGGCTGCTCCTTAAGGTGTATCCACACGACGGACCAAATTGCCGTTTTGGTCCGCGGCCCGCGCTTGTGAGAAATGGCAAGCGACTTTTCTCGCCCGGACCTTGGCGGCGGAGCGCGGCGTTCTTAGTATAATTTAAGTGCGGTCTGGCAACAAGCTGACTTCTGTTGTTTAGGTCAGAATTCAAATCCAAAGTCGTGTTATTTTGGCGCCACCTGTTGAAGACGAAGAAGACGAACCTTTTGTTGTGCGACGATGGCGGCATGGTGCGACGATGCCACTTTTTACTTCATCGCACTCGTGGAGCAATTCCCCGCTCTTTGGGACAATTGATGCATGCCCTTTTCGGTTCACTTAAGTCTTCCTCGTCCTCAATAGTCAACGCCAGGGCCACCGCGGCCAAACGTCTCTTTCGTTCAACCTCCATCTTGGCTCGTTACAAATAGCCTCAAAGCGGCTCGTTGCATGCGTTTGGCGGGGCTGTGAGATCGAGGGTAGACCGGTCCGTTCACTTTGTCGTCTGCTCTCCTGGTCCGCCGTGTGGATGCTCATTGCAGCCGGGCGGCCCGCGGGCCGCGCATCACGTGATCAATCGGTCCGCGGCCCGGTCCGTCGTGTGGTTAGGGGTTCCGCGCAGCAATAATCTCGCGCATTTTGGGCCCGGCCGTGAGAACGTTAAAGGTGTATTCCGAAGGAGTTTCAAATGACGCCGCTTTTACATAGCTTTGTTGGAGTTTCTTTGCCACGTTTACGCAGTGTACAGAATAAAAATTATTTTGTTTTCAAACAATCATGCGGCCATCTTTAATCAAAAGTAACGAGTAGCGGCTAACGTAATTTGATAGGAGATACCGCAAAACATTAGTGACATTACTTTACTCGTTAGTCATTTGGGATTCTAACGAGTATGTTAGTAAAAAGAAAACTAACGCGTTACCAGCAACGTCGTTACTTGTAACGCGTTAGTTCCAACACTGCATCTTCCATAGCGGACTTCGAAATGTTTCTCTCGAGTTTACGGGTTCATCCTTCTTATTAGTACTTGTCTCCATTTTATATTGGACCGAGTTTATCCTGAATGCATTAAATTAACCTGCGTTTTTGTGTAGTGAATTGAATAAACATGTATAAACCTTTCCCTTAATATAATGCCCTAACCACGAAATTAAATTAAATGAAAAACCGGCCGATCCAAAGGGGACAGCTGCCACGCATACAGTCATGCAAAGGACGGGGCGTGGGGTGGGGGTCCGGTGATATCACGCTCATCTTTTATCTCGATGGGAGATGTCTATTTTAGGCAAAAAAGGTTCCAGGTCTTGAGTACGAGACGTCATGGAAATAAATATGATAAGCACCCCTACTTGATAGGGCTGCAAATCTTCATGCTCATAAACTCTTGCTCGAGGGAAGTATTTCACGGGCATATGGAACTTACGTTTCTTTTTCCAAAAGACGCGGACATATAGGTTGATTGGTCAATAAGCCAACATACACAACTTTATTTAAAACCACTCGAACAGACACGCTCAACCACGTCTAGCCTACTTGCAGGACCAACCACAAACCCTTCCATAAAAACATCATACACCACTTGTGACAGCATATGTAAATTCGCCCAGCACATTGCTATTAAAAAAAAATAATAATAATAATTGGGATGAGTCAAGATTTTATATCACAAGCTTGTGAGCAGGCAGTAAGATATCCTATTAATGGCTAAATTAATAAAAAAAAAAAAAAAAGAAAAGAAAGTAGAACCAAAATTTGATCGCTAAACTTCTTGCCCGCAAAGTCGATTCAAGCAGGGTTTGCAAACCTTTCCATTTTTGGCGTCCGCAAATGGAAGAAGGTTGAGGGATAAAGACGCTGGATCCTGAAAGAATAGCGCCATTTTGGTGTACGGAAAGAGCAGTTTCTCATCGACTTCTCCATTCTTGATAAGCCGAACCAACTTCCCGGTGGCAGGTTGCTTTATAAAGACATTTCTTGTACATCGGCGAAACAATGCACATCTCCGCACGGCCACCACATGCGGCGCCGGTACTTGGGGGCATTGAAGAATACTTTTCCTGCCTTGAAATATGCAAGAAGATCATTGTAAGAGATCGGCGGAGATAAGCCCGATTAAAAAGATATTTTCATAAACAGCGCCAAAGACGCCTATATTGGCGAAAAACGCTTTCAGTACGATAATGCTCTATAGCGATCTTGGATATACCGATTCTAAGCGACCCTTTCGAAGCGTCGAATATTTAAAAGGACCAAAATGGCTATTGTCATGGTAACAGAGACCGATCAGCCAATCGCCTTGCGAGGTTTTGGACGTTTGTATGTTAGTATGTTTGTGTCCGGCTAGCGGGCAAGGAAGGCAATGACGCTACTTTCTTAGGATCCAGCGACTTTAGCTAAATGAGCCCAGGATGATTACCCACCTAATTTTAGAGCGCAACTCTTAGGAGCCCGTTTCCGGCTTGAGCGGCGTCGCCGTCGCCGTAACCGCGAGGTCACGTGACCACCCCAGGTCACGTGACCCCCAGAAGTCACGTGACTTCAGAGGGTCACGTGACCTCAGGGGGTCGCCGTCACCGCGAGGTCACGTGTCCCACCTAGGTCACGTGACCCACCCAGGTCACGTGACCCCCCGAAGTCACGTGACCCCCAGAAGTCACGCGACCCCCTGAGGTCACGTGAACCCCTTGAGGTCACGTGACCCCCTAAGGTCACGTGACCCCCTGAGGTCACGTGACCACCTGAAGTAACGTGACCCCTTAAGGTCACGTGACCTCAAGGAGTCACCTATCCCTCAGTACGCTTCCATCTTCCCCCTCAAGAGCTGCGCTCTAACCGGCGTTACAGGGAATTGTAAACGGCTTTCATTTTTTTTTTCTTCTCTTCTATCTTTTTATCGTGGATGGGCATTCAGTCGGGAAATCTTACAGTAACTAACTCGCCTTCAACCTTCAGGAAACCGAAAAAGAACAGTAAAAAATCGCAGATCCGCAATATCTTCAAATACTTTACTAGAGGAATACATGTCGCTCCGCGAAAATCTAGTGGCCTTAGCGTGAAGGGGTTTTTGCGTAGTTCGGACGGCTGGATGCCGCCATCTAACGTCGTGGGCCGAGACAGTCTGCACAAGATCCCTAGTATACAGCAATCTCGGGGAACGTGGCGTCTCGGTACGCCGACGGTAAACGTATCCTTCGGCACCGTGTGCGATGCGCATGCGTTCTTGGACGCGGTTTGTCCATACCGCTAGGGGAGAATTCGGCGCTGTAGGTGCGCTAATTAGAGAGCCTTGATTTAAAGCGCATGCTTGCAGACAACGTTACTAGAAGACAGTTGGGAAACTGCCATAGACCCTCCTTTGAAAAAGTGGCTTCGATCCGCACTCGAGAACCGAACGAATGACGATCGAAACGCCGCCATTTCTCCTGCAGCGGCCACTCCGTGAACTGCGCGTCTGTACGTGTCGGTTAAAGTCGAGTCCCGCAAGGGCTGGTGGCGCCATTTCGCAGTAGCAATATAAATGAACTTTCATGTTTTTACTAGTTGCTAAAGGGTGGCGCTGTTATCGTATTTAGCTTGGTCTCGGGGGACGCGGTCTGGTCCGGGGTTTTAGGGCGTTTTTTTCAACGGAGTGTTTTAGTAACGCTGCGTGCGGACGACCAACTTTTCGACTCCTCCTCACAGCTGGTATCGCAAACGCAGCCGATATACCATGTGTCCCTGATCAAGCAGGTGACAACGCTTTGTAATCTAGGCACACCATGTACAATGCCAATGAGCGAAGTGGACTGTATTCTTTCTAGTAAAGCACTTGATACCTTCATCAAACTAAACACGAGAAACCACTTCACAATTCCGTAGAAACCACAAAAATATATAGAAAGTTGCATAGTTGTTGGTCATATATATGCATAGTCGAGGTTATGCGTGTAAACTCAGTCGGAGGGCCTCATATTGACTACGCCTTGTTCGGAAAGATACACAATGAGCTACATAGAATGATCAAACTTCTCAACAGTTGAGTAGTACTACACTCCAAAACAGCAGCTTAGTAAAAAGGTGTAGCATAAAAAAGACTAACTGCCACAAAATATAGTCTTTCATGGAAGACATGCGAAAGAGTAGTTGGGGACATGTCTAGAGAATTATCGTAGGAGAATTGTTGTAGGAGATTATAGGATGCACAGCAACAAACGGGGAGAGCAATATGGCTCTTGTATGGAAGTCGACAATACTGACAAAGCACCCAGACTTCAGATAAGGGAAAAAAAAAAAACCCACAACAGTTCAACAATGTCTTATCGTGCTCATCTGTAACTCTTTAGGAAGAGATGCACATTTGATAATTGATAATCAAACTAAGTTCTTTCGGCTGATCACACATCTTATATAATAATAGAAGAGTTCATACTATAAAAAAGCAACCCAGTTCATGTTTATAACTGCTAGCGGAAATAAGCATCTATACTAGAGGTGACAGAAAGCCAGGGCTGGATCACAACTGTCTTCTAAGTCTTGTGAAGGTCACACAACAGATATGCAGTTGAATCAATTATATAAAATCTTGTTTGACATTTTGTTTTTCAAAGGGATCAAGTGGGAAATGTGGCCCCTTTTCAGAAATATAAATGGTGCATAGAACTCAAAAAGGGATCTACGGTTTAGACATTTGTTCGTTAATGCGCTAATACACACACTAATCACAATCTTAAAACTTTTATATTTGTGGATGCTAGATTTTGGTTGAGTCAGCATCATAGAGGGTGGTGCAATCTTTCAAGCATAAAGGGTAATTATTAAAACAAGTGAATATCAACTCATTTTTTGTTACATTGACAATGGCCCACGTCAAAGGAACTGAATGTGGAGAACTGAATTGACACATTAAAAAGTATGCCATATAAATGTGGGAGAGGAAAACACTTGATCAATAACTAAACCTAAAAAAAAAAAAATCCAGTTGCCAAAAACATTTTTTTTCCTTTTGGCGATTGACGTCTGACGAAACCGATTGGTTTAGTTAGACGACGGAAAGGCAGAATTTATAAGTATGTACGTTTACCCTAGTAAAATACGGAACAATAGCACTTCATAGCCTTAAACTCTGTTGTCATAAAAAGCGACATAAGTTCGTTAAAACAAACGACTCAATTAAATAAAAAAAAAGGAACTTCGGCTTGGCACACGGTTCACTAGTAAGAACATCTGTCATATCATGTAAAACAGTTTCAGTCACTAGATGTAGAGGTCTGCACAAGTATGGGCCAGCTCGCGGGCCGGACTCGGGCATTATGGCTACATTCATGAGGAACGCGGGCGGGGCACGGGCCTTGCATTCAAGTCTACAAGGCGGGCCGAGGCAGGCCAAACCGGCAGTTACCGGTACATTTTTTTCTTTTTTAGCAGCAATGTTTTTGAAAGTTTGTTCGAGGGGTTAAGTGAGGGAGGGGGGAAGACAAATGCCGAAAGCATGTGTGTGTGTTTGTACAGTTGAACCTCAATCTAACGAAGCCCGCTAACGAAATTCCGAAACGAAATGAAGCCAGCAGTGGGTGGCTGCAACGATTTAAAAAGTGCCCCGCAGCATCGTCGGCAAGGTGGTGAGCAAAGAGTCTGCTGCGGCAAACGCAATCAGAGTTGCTGACTGGCTACATGATTGCGTCCCGGATATTTTGGCGCGCTATAACGTCGACGAACTGCATTCTTCCATTACTGCCACATATTGTTGTGGAATCTTTTTTTGTAAACGATCACTCGCAAGATGCGAGGCAATTGGAGGGTTTTGGGAGCCTGTAAGACCAATTGCAATGCTAAAAAACAAAAACCTCAGTCCAACGAAATTCGCGATTTAATAAAAGTTTTGGTTCAAAAGACGACTTCGCTAAATCAAGGCGTCTTTTGTCCGAACTCGTTGCAACGTTTTCTTTCCTTTTCAACACTGATACATGGCTTTGTCTACTGCTGCTTGCCATTTTTATTTTTCTGTCCTTTCTGATACGCGGGTCGGATCGCAAAAAAGGATGATGGAGGTCATTTTTCTTAACGAGCTGTCTAGGCCTGGAGATTAGTAGAACTAATAATAGTAGCAAAAAAAAAAAGGAAGCTTACTGCATCGCTATTGAGTACTGTGGTCAACATCTGTAGCAGTGCCACGCGAGCTGCCATGCCGCGTAATTTGTGAGCCATTCGTACTGGGCGAAAGTAGAACGAGCCTAAGCTGCCGCGTGAAAGGTACTGTCGGGCCGGGCCAGGCCAGGCCGGGTGTCAACAATGGATAGCGGGCTGCGGGCAGGCCCGGGTCCAGGCGACAGCAGGCCAGGCTGGGCCGGGCTCCTAAATATTGACTTGTGCAGACCTCTAACCGGACATATGCTTATGAAAAACTCCAAACAGTGGTTGGCACAGATCTTCCAGAAAGAGCACTTGCAGGACTGGCAACATGACAGCTTCTTGGGGATCCTCCAATACAAAGGTTCTAGCTCTAAATCCAAAACCCAAGCAATAAGCTAGCAAACCAAGAGAAAAAATTCTGCAAGAAACAGCGTCGAGCGTAGAAACATCGCGCCACATGTGACCAGTCTTGTGAAGCCAGGCTACCAATCCTTCATGAAAAGCACTGGGTTGCGGGGCTTGTTTCGCAGTGAGCGCAATTAAAAGTCGCTTTGATAGGCCTCGTTGAGAAGCCGGTAAGAAACGTGCTACCATGGAACGGCTAGAAACCTGCCCAGAATTATTGCCTCTTTGGCTTGATGACGGCCGACAGCGCCATCTGGTTCACGCCGCAGGTACCGTCCCCGCGGTAGACCCTGTAGTATCCCTGGAAAGGAATGAGAGGCTGATCAATACCACAAGATAATTTTATACAGTTGTCTCTGTCAAAAATGAACAGATGACAGAGTATATAAGAAGAATTGTGTTCAACTTAACGGACACGGCATATGTCTTGTCAACCACAGCTCAGAAATTTGGGCAGTTGAACGTGTGCCTGATGACAACGATGACATGGCTGCAGCTGCACATTACTGAGTGTATTCGTACCTACCATGGTCACATAAGCATTTTGAGCTCTCCAAAATGTCGCTAGGTGTAATGGTATTACTTCATGTTTGGCAACATTGGTAAAAAAGGTCGCAACTTTTGCACTGACTCGCACCTTGTATTGATGTATGTTTTACTTAGCCACCCCTTACAGATTTTCATATGACAGCCTTACATAAGCCTATGCAGAACAAAGAGATGTCAAATTTGTCACACAAGAGTTTATATAGTGGGAAGACACCGCTGTCGTAGAGTGGTAATTTGTACAGCGCAATACGATAGTCAACCAGGGACCTGCAAACAGGCATCATGAAGCGGCAACAACACAAAGGCATCCCGGCATTACGCCCATTCATGATTGAACCACAAACTTAAGACATCGAAACCAGCATGTCAAATTACTGCACATTATACAGATGCATATAGCGAGTGTGTCACGGCCCATGTAATATTTGTGTTGTGCGTGTGCCTATTCGGAAGGAAGCTAGTCGGCCCCAATGGGCATCTGGTGAGTTTGCCGTAGATGGGAAACTTGGCCCGTGCAGTACAACCGCTGGCCTGGGGTCTTTGACATGCGTCACACGCAATAGTGATACACGATTGCACGCCGGTACGATGCTCGTCCAGATCAAAGTGGGCAGACAGGTGATTGTACCCAGGACGCCTGGGTTCTGCAGCACGAGCTTTCGCTCCACGTGCTCCGAGCCGCGGTGCGTTAACTCGCTCGACGACCAGCTGAACTAGTGTCCCAAGTTGCAAGTCAGCAGAGATGTGCTGACTTGCAACTCATTCAATTACATGCATTCAATTACAAATTCAATTACACTTCTAAGAAAACTATTTAAATACAAGATACAGATACAACGGGCATAGTTGATCATCTTTAAATAATTTTTCGAATACATTTTGTTCTCAAAGACTGACATCCAAGACTTAAAGTTAACCCAGGCAAAAAGACCAGGCCCAAATGAAGAGTGAAGTTTTAAATTTACGAAAAATCAAGTGCATGGAAAAAACTTAGCAGCTCTAAAGATAAAATTTGTTTGCTGTACCTTTGTGGGGGGTACAGCATAAGGAAGAACAATGATTCAGTGTCGTTAATTGAATGTGTTTAAAAAATGAAATCACCCTGCCAAAAAGGCAATAGTTGTACTCGTCCCATTGACTCCTTGTTTTACTCTTCCTTTTTACTTCAATATTTATCCTGCGCAAAGCACAGTAGGTTTCATGCTCTTTGCACATGATTCCCTTTGCAAAGAGTGTCCACTATCACATCTGATTGAGAACAGTAGTGCTCAAAACTTGTATTTGGCACTGTATTTGAAATACATGCATCTGAAATACTCAATTTTCAGTATTTAGATGCAGTCGACAAATACATTCTCCAACGTGTCATTAAATAAGAAATTCAAAATACTAAAGGTAATTTTCAAGTACATATTTCAAATACTTGCATTAAAATACTTCCCATCCCTGCAGGTCAAAGCAATATCTTTTTTGCGAAGTCAATGAAGTTTCGCATTTGGTACGAGAGGCCCAGAGGCTCTACAGGCAACACTGAAAATGCGACGTCAGATGTTGTAACATGGAGCAATATGGGGCATTACAGCTTGTTCCCAATGGGTTGAAATGAATGCTGGTTAAAGGTACCCTGAGGAGGTTTCCGAAATCGCCTAAAAATGGTGATAACTCATTCTGCGGGCTCAAAGCAGCCTTGAAATCCATAAATCAGAACGATGTGCGGCAAATTTCCCTATTAAAATAACAATCAAAGATAGAAGACACTGAGTTCATCTCCGGCGATGGGAGGGCGTTGTTCCGGCAGCCAGGACGACATGTAACCAATAAAAACGTGACATTTCGTTGAGATTGCAAACGCTGTTATAACAAAATGTGTATGCTTTCGTAGATGACAAATGCAAACAAGAGTGGTTGAAAAATGCTAATTTTTCCCAGAGAGGGAACATCATACCGCAATAATCGTTAAAAGAAACAGCACACTATGTTTGTCTTTTTATTTATGCGGGAGTGTTGTGTTTGGTTGTTAGCTCTCGAGCGCGCGCTCGCTGGGTTGAATCATACTCCGGGCTGTATGGGCAACAAGCCGAGCGCATTCGAGATATCACTCCGTGGTTCCACCGATCAGAGGCGCGAGGATACCTCGCTCGCTATTGGTTGGCAGTGGTCCTGGTTTCGGAACATGCTCCTCCCATCGCCGGAGATGAAATCGGAGTGCTGCGATCCTCGATTGATCTTTCAATAAGAAATCGGCCACGTATTGTCATGATTTAGGATTTCTAGGATGCTTCAGAACCAGCAGAGTGAGTTATCGCCATACAGTCTATGCTCATTACAACAGATCTGGTTACAACAGACATTTGGATATAACATACCGATTTATGAGGTTTAATTGGTTTTCCTCTACATACCATAGACTCAACTTCATATCTGCATAGAACATATTCCTCTTCCAACAGACCAAAATCTTGGTCAAAACCAAGGTCTGTTATAACGAACTTAGACTGTATTTAGGCAATCTCAAAAACCTCCTCAGGGCACCTTTAAGCTCATGCCAGCAAAACGATAGTTGGGCGCAGAATACCGTGTCTTTTAGACCGACCGCTCGACTCTCAAGTTAAACAATATCTGATGTCGGCTCACTGGGCAGAGAGGGGGAAATTTGAACGCTGGTTTTGGCATAACTCATTTGCCATTTTGTCAATAGCTAGTTTGAATTTAATAGCATGCCAGAAAGAGTAAAGCCTGGGCATTCCAAGAAAGTGTTTAAATTGGGTAGCTAAAAAAAAAAAAAAAAAAAACTGTTGGAGCTTTTTTTTAGGTTGCACACTTCAGCATCAAGCTCGACTTCCGAGAAAACGTGTCTTACCTGCTCGCCCCAGTAATAGCCCCAGCTGTTCTTGACGATCCAGTATGGGACCGGCTTGCGACGGAAGCTACGCTCTGCAATGGACGAGTCGGAGACATTGTCGAGAGTAAAACGAGCAGTGGACTCAGGTACGTGATCTGGATCGGTCAAGAAGTCCACTGTCCTAGCTTAACTTTACAGCAATTTATATATCCAACTAGAACTAGGCCTTCTTTGTTTGCGTCCTTACTACAGGGTGTTTCCGAGTGGCCTTCAGGTGTAAAAAAAGCTTTATGCGTAAGCCAATGAGCGAAGTGCAATTGAACTTTTGATGACGATGTGTGTCGGAAGTGCGTCTATCATACTCAAACCCTGGAAACAAAAAGTTTTGTAAAAAAAAAAAAAAGAAAGGAAAAAATTTGACATTCTCTATGCGACAGGACAGAAGAAGAGCCATCTTGGTTGGCACTGCTACATACATATGTGTTGTAGCACGTGTGCTTGAATCTGCTGGATCTGCTTTAGGGTGTTCATCTCTAAGCTATCAAGTTTTTGTACGATCTGATGCCCTATGTGAGTAGCAGCATTCAAACCGATGGTTTGCTTCTGTTTTCCTTCAGTCATAAAAAAAAAAAAAGCTTTTATTTTCCTGCATATTTTTTTAGAAACCTACACTTGTAAAATTTGGGCGTGATAAATGCACCATCTAAAAACTCCTTTGTTAAAGGTTTTATTGCATTCCCTTTATTGGTTTGCTCATAGAAAACTTTTAATGCCCAAATGGTGCTCGGAAGCACCCAGTAGTTCCTTGAGTACGAACTAGCTAGGGAATGTTTTTTTCAGGGTTGTGCAAATATTTACATTTTTGAACAGTAGTTCAGAATAACACGCAATTCAATATTTGCTTCCAAAGTGAACCGCAATGTCCATATTTCTTTTTAAGTGTTCATTGCGGCAGGTTAGCCCCATTGAGCGTGCTTCCTCCCGAGCATGGGTGCACTGCAGAGAAGCAACAGCTGCCGAGCTCGCTTTGCGGGTGTTGGTTTGGTGCATACAAATGCCAACATTTGTGCACAAGTCACGGCAGATTCTCTACATTCGAATTTACGAGACGAATTTCCTCCACAATGTTGCACACTGGAGTGCACACTCAGCATCTTTCCAAATCATCAAAAAGTTTAGCCCAACAGCACTTCTACAAAAATGTATGTAAAAACAATAAAAAAAAAAATTCACATTATGAATATTATAACTTACTGTCGACACCGAACCCGACAAGCAAGACCCCGTGGTCAATGCTGGACGGACTGCACAGGAATTTCCACGGGTGAGAGATGCCGCCAAAGTAGAACTGGAACAGTGACAACAAACGTGGAGCGAAGCCAGTTTGAGAGCAGGGGCTCTGGCGCCGGTAAGTCGACTGCCATAGGAATTTCGAGACTTCCGAAACATTGTGTATGATTATTTTATGTAGAAGATTGACAGTGATGGAAGTGGCTTTTAGCCTTTTGTAGCAGATTCCGAAACAGGCACAGGGATGGAAGCGGCATTGCACCTTTTGTAGCAAGTTTTGTAGCGGGCAAAATATTAGTTTGGAGCAGCGACTGACGTATTTGGAGCAGACGCCAACATCTGTTAGCCCGTCGCTTGAACATGAAAATCTGACTGCGTTGCCAAGTGAGTTCATATTTCACAATGGTTGAGGGTTCCTTTTTGATACTGAAGCATATTACTTATTATCTTTTGTAGTCAGAACAGATAGAATACAAAAAGAACACACAGCCTTCTTAAGAAATGAGGCTCAGGTCAGAGTAGGTTCCATTTACAATGGGTATTTAAAAAAGACACTCAGTAGTCAATTTAGCCTGTACATAAAATTTCTGTAAAATTCCAGCAAAAATCAGCCAAAGCACTGCCAAACATGTAACATATATGTGCTTTGCACAGTATGAACCTACGAGAGCACCAGAAACAAAAATAATGTGATAACACCAACCTGCATCGCATTGGCGTTTATGCCGATTGAAATGGGGCCGTGCTGCATGAGCCAGTAAGCAAGCTCTGGAAGGCAGGAAAAAGAATACAGAAATAAAAAGTAAGTTCAGAACCTACTCTTTTATTTTATTTGCACATATACTAGAATCAAGCATATATACTATAAAACATAGGGCACACAATTTTAAGTCAGACAGATTTTTAAAAAAAAGAAAAAAAGGTGCTGAGAGTTAGACGAGTTCTGTCCTCATCACTAATTTATAGGGCTTGGCGGACAAAAGATGAGGGGATAATCGTCACAGTAAGTCGACTAATTAACTAAAATATCTCGATTAACTTTTCAATTATTGGTTTTATGGGTCATGTTGGAATTGCAGTACTGTGTCAATTACTTTTAGAGGCCAAACTAATTTAAAGAATTTGCCAAACTAATTGAAAGAGCTTGGCAAAAGGTAATAGTCTTAGAGGTATCAATCAATTTTCACATTTTTTCGCTCGATTTAAAAACTGTCCTCAAGAAGAGCATCGCAAGCCCTGCCCACAAAAGATTGACGTCGTCGTTCCATCAGGTCGTCACCACCTCGGCAGCGTGTCCCTGGTGGGTGTGTCGACGACACAAGCGACGACGTGACCTAACTCCCCTTTTCCCCACTGGAGCAGGTCTCTTGAGCTACTTCCTGCAGGAAGGAGGAGGGTCTTCCTCTTTCTCCAATGCAAAAGAGATATGAGGAAAAGTTTCCTCCCTTCTAGTTGCTCGTCAACTTTTAAGGCCCCTTGTAGTACGCTCAAGTGGCATTTCACTGTACACACTGCCCCCTAATGCATGTCAATACAGGATGAAGGAACTTGTCCACCTTTAAAACTGCCTCTCTTGTCTCCAGGAGTGTTGAACTGACGCACAATGTGCAACGATGCAACAGTCTACGCTGGGCCTTGTGAAAATGTTGCAGGCCAGGCAACAAAGACGTGGGAGGACGTATTTACCTAATGGTTAAGAAACAGGACAGGACGACACAGACACAGCGCTGTCTCCTTTCTGTTTCGTCGCGCTGTGTCTTTCTTTCTGTCCGTCGTCCCGTTGCACTTTTTAACCATTATGAATCACCAACTCTCCCAACACTCCGTCCTCATTCTTACCTGTCTCGTTCTGAGGAAGTCCCACAAAGCTCTGGACGTGCACCTTGCTTTCGGTCTTGTTGAAAGTGCAATTGTTGTCGCTGCCCTTGTACGGGTAGTCGCTTTCAGTCTCGAGGCCACCTTGCATGGGCACAAAAGGAAATTAAGTGAGAGAGATCCTCTGTCTAATATTGTTTTCACAGTGCAGGACAGAAGTCAGAAAATGCTGCAATGGTTCGTCGGTACATAAAAATCTTGCTATAACAGTATAATCACACATAGAGTTCCCAGAGTGTAATGTTATGTTCAGTTCACCTCTGCATATGGTAGTATACTTTGTTTTGGGATGGTAGTTGCAGCCATTGTTGGATCACAGTGCCTCTTATGAAACGTGAATGGGATTTCGCTTGTTTCGTTGTTCGAAGGTGGAATCTTTAGCTTGTGACATGTTAAGGGAATTTAAGAAACCTCAAAAGTGACCGAGTCGACAGCTACATGTCATCAAATGCATAAAGCTAGAAAGAAAAAAGTTGCAAACATCTTTGATGACAATTAAATTTCAATGTCAAACTGAAAATGCACTCCCCTCCCCTCCCTCCCTCCCTCCCTCCCTCCCTCCCTCCCTCCTCCTCCTCCTCCTCCTCCTCCTCCTCCTCTTCCTCTTCTTTCACTATCAACGAGTCATGGTATCGAAGCTGGCAAGCACCTGAGATTAACTTTTTTGGAATATCGCATATAATACTGCTGAAGAATGTATGGAGTATGTTTGGAGGTTGCTGGTTATGAAAAAAAGAGGGAAAAGTATGGCAGACTTTCAATAATTCAAACACAAGATTGCAATTCATACTTTTGGCTAGCTCAAACAAAGCTGAAGTGTTGGGCTTGCCGGGTATCATTTCAATGCATTTGTAAGTCGTTTAGTTCCCCCAAATGTTGTTTAGCTCATACCGTTCAAACTTTGGCTGGGTTACGAATTTTGGCCTCGCTAACAAACCCATCAAAAACAATGACAGTGGCTATGAATCGGCAATAATTAACAAGAATGCCACAATGTTCTAAAAAAATTCAGACAGCACAGCACGAGTCAAATGGATAGTTTTCTCTTTGATGTGACTGCACAAATCGGTTCCTCAAGGCATCACGCTACGATTTTGTACAGAGGTGGCCAAAAATGGTGTATTTTATGGTTTAAAATTTCCAAAAATTAACTCATCCATGTAAAAAAAGAATAGAAAAAATTGAGAACTTGATTTAGCTATCTATGGCATCTATCTGCTAAGAGAAGGCGTCCGATCGGTGACACTGCCGACGGAAGGAGGCAGGTGAAAGCCGTGCGTTCGGAAAGGTGCAAATGTGGCTAAGTACACCAGCCTGCAATATGAAGGTGAACACCTTATTTGGCTTCTTGCCTGTTTTACGGCTCCCTAAAGCTATATTAACTCTCAACGTCTCAAATGCTACCTGGCTTGGGGTCTAAACTTTGCATTCTAGCCCTCGTCTGGAACAGAGCTTGTTCCAAAAATTGCAGGAGCATCAAAAACAAGAAGAGGGCTGTTCATTTTCATATCGCTCACGGGTGTACCTCTTAGTATTCAAGCGATGATGAAACAACAAACTGCGCCAATGAAAAGACGAGGAGTTCAATCGTGCAGTTCTCTTAAGGGGGGACAGTACCCAGAAAAAAATATTAAAAAAAAAAAAAGTTGATTTTGAAAAATGCCATATTCACATCCACCAACACCTAGAGAGTATTCCCAAAAGGTTTTATGCGTTTACACTGCATAGTTAATTTTTTTAAAATTATTTTCTGATCACCGGTGCTAAAGAAAAGGTAGAGGTTCCAGCACCTTGAACGTGTTTTTCTCTGTTCCACTTTTTGCCATACATTTTACTTTAATAAAACAATTGTTTCAGTATGAAACTGTCGAGAGACTTGATATTTGCGGCTTATATCCGAAATTTTATGAAGCCGGTTACTATTAACTTAGATTTTTCCTTTTAATGTTCCTTTATTATGAAAAAATTGTAATTTGCAAAAACTAGGTAAATGTAAAAAATTTCCTAAAACTTTTTTTTATATGGAAAATGCATATTTTCTGAAATTCCTTTTCATAGCAACTGGCAAAAGGTATTCCAGTATGCATTCCACCAGAAAAATATCTGGTTATCAACACCATTTCTCAACGATAGACTCATTGAGCAGATTTCATGCAAAGCTACACTTTACTTTGTTCTGGGGGTATATTACCTCATAAAACTGGGCTGAAACTTTGCATGCCCTCCTTCACTATAGCTATATGGCTTCTATACGAGTGGTTTAAAAGTTGATGTTCCCAAGTTGCGTCCTCCCTTAAAACCTTTCCACCAAAAACCGTAAATGCACTGAAACGGCGTCTTGCCCGTCCGCATTACTGCGACAAACACACGCTCACCGGAGCTCGTCAGGCTGAGTTTTTTTTCCTTACTTTACCGAGGCGGAATTTGGGAGGAAAATGAAACCTTAAGACCATGGTCACTCACCCATTTCAATGACCGCCTTGAAAGCCTGTCCCATGTAGCCGCCCTCGCAACCGTTGTCGACGTGGTCGCAGTCCACCAGTTCTGAAAGTGAAGACCAATTGTTTCATACCGAGCTTGTCTAGTGGCTGTCGAGACATAACAATTTCCTTCGTTACTACTTGCCCTACTGCTGTCACAACAAAGAAGTGAAAATGCGCTAGTACAGTACGTCTTTCAAGTGTCTCAAAAAACTTTTGGCCAAGGTTCCAGCACTAACAAATGCTGCACCTAATTTCTAAGAGAGGAAATCAAAACATACATTGGTTGTATGTTGCACATAGTTCTCAAAAGATTCGATTGGCAGAGGAGAAAACAATGGCCGTTGCATCTGAAACGTGCACGTTTTGTTAAAATAACAGATAATTGATCTTAAACATGCATACATATATCTTAATCTACCAGATAAAGGAAGAATTAATAATTCCCTACGAGGAAGCAATCTTTTTCTACCATGCTTCTTGAGATGAAGCAAGCGAGAGATTCGTCGCCCAAGGTCTGGTAGTGGACATGTCCCACCCACCAGATACTCCATCAAGCCGAAAATTCGGAAAACGGGGGATCGTAACTGACTAGTTTTTTAAAAACTTTTTTTCACTGGTCTGCAATTCAAACAACCAAAATGTCATTTAGAATTTTTCACCTTGCTCGGAGAGCGACAAGAGTTTCTTGCGTGACAGGAACCACTGGCCCTCTATGTTTCCAGTCGTCGAGAAAGCCCAGCAAGATCCGCACGCTCCCTGAATGACAGCAACGCCACTTCAGTCAAAGCCATAAGCAAGTTTTCATGCATCAGGAGTTGTGAAATATGGAAAGTGTCCTCCGAATTTCGTGGAAATTCATGGAATGGAATTCAGTGTTTAACAGAGTTAATTTTGCGTTAAGCAAAAACTTACCTGAAATTGGCCGTCCGCCAAAGTTTAACCTTTTCTTAATAGATATTTCGAATAGTCCGATCTCACGAACAAAGTGATACACTATTCACAAATGCAAAGAAGACACAGAGAACCATTTTATGTACATCAGCAATTTTCACCCGAAACCTGCAGGATCACAGCTCGACACACTTCATGCAAAGCGAACATGTCTCGGCAGCCCACAGCGATGACTCGACAAAAGCCCTCGCAACCCAGTTACACATGGTGCACTACTGAGGCTTCCCAGGAGCCCTGGAAAGCCATAGCCATGCACATCAACGCGAAACGCTTCGAGGTTGGAAGAAGCGGCCGTCACCTGGTTCTTGACCTTGGTCACGGCCCCCTTGTCCCTCCAGTCGAAGAGGTCGGGTAGGGGCCCTGGCACGGGTCCCACTTCGATGGGGGTCACCTCAGCGAGGTGCTCCTTCAGGTCCTTCTTCAGTCCCAGGTGATGGCGCTCAAACTCGCTCACTGCGCGAGGGAATCAAGATTGGCGCGTCTAGTCATTCGCAGCACTCAATCACACTCCCCACATCCCGGGACAGTGTGCACGAGCAGTCAACTACACAGAAAGTTACGAAAGTGGTGAAGAGCAATAAAGAAAGGACGCTACAGTCACCGAGCAGGACATGGCAAGTTTTTAGCATACCATTATCCCTCTGCAGTCAATGGGATCGCAGCACTGGTCAATAAGAACGGCAATGAATGAATCACAAAGCCTGCGTTTCTTAAGCTGTCGGCGACCAAAGCTATTTTAGGATCTTTACATTCTAATTAGGCGAACACTATACAAAATTTAACCTAGTTTGAACAAAAATTTGAAGATGTAGTGGCCGTTAGTTAGTGCTGCTGTAAAGGTGGTGCAGGTGCTTGGTGAAGAGGTACTGTAGTGTTTGTATGCCGATAAACAAATAGCTAGATCATCGCCGTGTGTCTATGCTAGGGTGCCTCCCCCTTCCTCCTCCTCCTCTTATCTTGATATAAGCGCCTCATGGCCTTTTGTACAGGGAGTGCTTGACCAGCGATACGTGCGGTCTGACGGCTGGCTGACAATAAACCCAAGTTGTTGTTATTACTTGGCTGGCATCCCCCTTATAAGATACAACAGGTACCTGTTCCAACACAAGAATGTGTACTGCTGTTGCCTCAATGCGACAGCTACAATTCGTATTTCCCCTAAACCTGGCAAAGCCTGGATCCCTGCAGTGCTAGGGATGTTTGTAATGAGTGGGAGTTACTGCTGTACCTGGAGTAAGAGCCACACTCGGTGGCAGACACACACAGACCATTTCCGTCCAAAGTTTAACAGAGAATAATGCATGTATACTAGGCAGTGTTCGAGATGTGCATACATCAATGAGCAGCTCAGAATGGCTGTAAAACGTGGAAGACACTATACTATGGGGTAGGGACGGTCGAAGAAATTTGGGAGCCTGGAAAAACCACTCGAGGTGCCTGCGGAGCCTCTGCCCTGGGGGCACTCCGGGGAACCCCTGGATGTGTTTTGGGGAACCCCTGGGGATGCTAAGTTGCTCTGCCGCTGTAGCACTGTAACGGGGACTGGAGCCTTGTCAGGCGGCTTTGGTAGCCTTTTGCTCCAGCCTCCCAAACTTCTGGTCTAAATAAATACATAAATAAATAAAATAAAACAAAAAAACCTGAGGATGCTTTGGGGAATTCCTTGGGACACTCTGAAGAACCTCTGGGGATGTTTTGGGGAACTCTAGGGGGTGCTCTGAGGAACCCCTGGGGGCATTCCGAGGAACCTTTGGGAGTTTTAGGAAACCTCTGGGTTTCTAGGAACCCAGTTTGAGAACCCATGGCTTAGGCAGCACTCAGCTAGATCAAATGTGGGGTGGCACAGACTGACATTCCACACTTACAAGAGAGGTCTGAGAACTCGGTCAATCCGTAGTGGGCTGTGCCTTCCTCAAGCCTGTTGAAGAGTGCGATCCTCTCGAGGTTGTTCTTGAAGATCATGAACCTGGATTCATACTCTGAAAACAGAATGCTTTTAAATGCTGGACATGAATCTCCCGACATCTCGAAAAGAGAGGTCCTCAAGAAAGATGAAAGCCGTTCAAGTGTCGGCTTGTTCCTGTACCTTTGTTGTCCTTGTAGGTTTTGTTGTAAGCCTTGAGAAAGATACTAAACAGGGAGCGCTCCTGTGAAAGCTTCAGGTGTTTCGACACATAGGCATAGGTCAGGCTCTGTAACGATGCGGTAAAAAAAGAAAGGGGGTTTGCTTATAATAAAACAAACTACATGGAAGTTACCTAACAAGTGTGACAGTTTAGTCAGATGTCTCGTCTTCTATACATGAGACATTGTCAGTGATGCAAGTTGGCAGGAATGACAAAAATCTTGAATGGCGTGGCTTGTTTAGCCACATCGAAACGGGATATTTCTTGACAGATGAAAGTTTTCGTCCTTTAGAAGTGTAAAGCTTCCCCAAAAGCAGTGGCAGACGCTAGTTAGCGTCTGCCAATATTTGAATGCGGCTCATGAATTAGACACACAAACACTTTGTAAGCACTCAGCTTGAGCTCGATTCCTATTGACACCTTGACAGACATTCGGGTTGGGGTTTGGATTCAATGATGGGAATAGCAGAGTTCTAACAATGTCAGAAGAACAGCATGTTCCTGTGCATTAGCAACTACAGTGCATGACTATTATGAACATTAACGGTGTATAGGCTGATGCATTGCTAATGTGTGCAAACATTGCACACAAAAAGAGAGTAGCTCAGTTTTCAGCAACTTTTTTTTGCGACTGCTGGTACTCGTAGAAAAAAAAAAAGTATGAATGCAGATTTATTCTGAGCAGTGTTTAGTGAAATACAATAGTTTGATGGCCTCTTTAAGCGCCTTTTATAGTCTATGAATGGTGTACAAGGAAGTCTTACTCAAGTGCTAAGGGGTTTACCTTAAACTAGATGCGGAAATCATTACTCTTGTGTCATCAGTAAACACCTATCTGTAATGCCTTTCCAGAAATTTGAGCTACGTACCATAGAATACTGTGCATCCACCGATTCCACACTAAGCGCCTACTCCCAAAATTTGAAACATCTGAGAAAATATGCACAGTACATATATACGTAAAATCGATGACCTCACATGCACCCATTCCCTATTTTTTCGTGATTATCTTCAAATCTTCAATGGGCGCTTGCTCGTTATTTTACGTTAAGTGTTGTCCAAGTAAAAAGAGCTGGTAACAAAAAACAAACTGCTTTCACATTTGTAAATACTTTAGTCAATTTCTACAAATTTTATGTCATGACACTAACTTTTAGCTTCAAAATACTGCATGTGCAGACTTTTGCTGAACCCATGTTCCTCCTGTTCCTGCCACCACACTCTCATGATGGACTCAAGGGGCACAGATTATGGTCACACCCTGGCTAGTGCTCAACCGCTTACATACTACTTATTTAAATTACTATTAGTGAATGCCACTAGTCATTTAACAAGCCTATTTTCCAACAAAACACAACACTTTGCATTAGAGACAAGCATTTGTGAAAAAGGTGAAGAAGGTACGTACCTTTGGGTCTATCTTGCCCGAAAGTTTGGTGACTACAGGTGCAGCCTGAGCAAAGGGTGAAGCCAAAAGGATGCATTAGTCACCATACATCCCAGTCACTGTGACTCGTGCAGGTCATACCCTTGCAGCAACAAGCATGCAATGGTGCTCATGCAGGTCACTTTACCATACTAAGCAGAAGAAACAGGCAAGGCCACAGAAATACTGAACTCGATTCCAACACTCATTTGCCATGCCATACTTGTCCGTTTCCTTTGTCGAAAGTTTGATTCAAAGCAAAAGCTCAAGCGTTGATTGAAGTCCAACATGTGCTCCGGGCATTTATGGCAACTGTTCTGGTCACTGAATGACTGCCCATTGCTCCAAAGCTATTAGAAGTTTGGTTCCTTACCAATTATACAAGTATGGCTGTTAGACAGCACCGTAGCATGGGGGGGGGCAGGGCAACTTGATTGACACTTCTCGTGTTTGTTGCTTGGCGTTGCATGTTATATTTTCGAATGAAAGGACAGGGGTGGGATTAGAGCTGATGAGAATGGCAGCAGACTGACTGATTAGGGTGAAAAAAAGAAAAGAAAGCAATACATTGTTTACTTTTATTTTTATGGGACCCAATGATGAATAACCAGAATTCCATCAGTCTCGACATGAAGGCGTTTTGTACACATGCATGCATTATCAGAGTTCAGAAAGCAGAAATGACTACTACGTGGCCAGACTTCCATGCTGGATTAAATATTTGAACTTTCCGTTTTCCAGCCACTATAAAACAGTGGGGGACTTTTCCTGTTTCTGGCCAGTAATTGAACTAGATGGAAGCTTATGCCTGCCTTAGCCATTTACCTAAGAATACTATGCATCCGCCCATTCCACATTAAGCGCCGATATCCAAATTTCTAAGGTCTGAGAAAATATGCACAGTACATTTATATGCAAAATTGTTGACCGAACAAGCGCCCATACCCCATTTTTTCGCGATTATCTCTAAATTTTGAGTGGGCGCTTGCCCGGTATTTTACGGTATCACTTAAAGGGTAACTGCAAAGAAAAAAAAGTATATTTTTAAACAAGCTAATTGGGACAAGCATGTCACAAAACAATTTTTCTGCCAAGAACAAAATTTTTTACACCACTATTTATTGCGCGAGGCTGATTTTAGTTTGCGGCTATTTCGTCCGTCTTAAATCGTGCGCCACGCAGTTAGTATTCTACGTCACGGAGTGGCTGCTATACGTCACGGAGTGATGTATTACAGCCACTCAGCGCGCGTCGAAAGAGCGGGAGTTTCGAATGTGGAGAAGTTGTGACCCCGACTAAATTAGGTCCTACGGCGCAAATATTGCTAGAAAATGTTTGTTTTTTCGGGGAATATTTGTTTTGTGACATGCTTGTCCCAATTAGGCTGTTTAAAAAAACACTTTTTTTTCTTTGCAGTTACCCTTTAAAGGACTACTGCTACCATATTTTCTGCTGTATAACTTTTTTTAACATTTTTTTGGTGTGTTATATAATAATGCATGTTTTTTTTTTTGTTTTTTTTTTTCAAAAGTTTTTATGGTGCAGCGCTAGGTAAGTGGATTGCGGAAAAAGTTATCGTGCCTTTCTTGGCAGTTTTTTTTTTTCTGCCATGCTCCAGCCGCATTGCTACATGTAAAAGGAAGGATTGTGGCTAGCTGATCTTTTAGCGGTACCAAAATATTAGACGTACGTCAAGATTTATAGATCTGCCAGTGCTTTGATGCTTGTGTCGTCTCTGGAGCTTGGCCTAGGCTAGAACTAGTGGGCGAAAGCTTTGTTCGTGAGTTCCTGACATGTTAAACCTTCTTCGCTCAGCATGTGTATGCTTGAGTAAAGCCTTCTCATTCTGCACGCTTTAAGTCCTTTTGCTGCAAAGCACTTGATTGCCCCCGCCAGACAACTATGGGTATTTCTTGCGAGTCGAAACATCAAAGATGTAGCACATCAAGCGGCACGTGTGAACTAGCCAATTGTGCGAGACTCTAATTTCGCAATACTGATGCACGTAAAAAAAAATTACGTGAACCATGCAAAGAGGTGCGACTTATACAAAGGTGCGACTTACATACCAACTTTTCTGCAAAGACAGCTCAACATACGGAAGTGTGACTTATAGTTAGGAAAATATGGTAGTCTCAAGATTTTCAGTGCTGAGCGGCAACACAGTGAAACATTAGGTGAAAGTGGTCAGTTGGCGTGGAAGCTAAAAAAATAATGCAAGTAAAAAAAACAAAAACAAATCAAAGCAGGACTTTTTGTTGCCAATTGGTTTTGCTTGAACAGCTTCTGAATTAAGTGTGCTTGACCACTCAGTTTCCCCCTGTGCTTCTGCTCGACAAGTTTCTCGAGACATCTTCCCAGCAATAATGTCTCGTAGGAGATGCAGATGTTCATCAATTTATAATAAAAGTTGTTAGTGTTTGCCGCCATGAAAATGCTTAACCATGAAAAAGCTTTCTGTCACTTAGGACTAAAAAAAAGCACACAAAGCATATTATTTTAAATTAGTGTTGTGGGAATATTCGATATTCGCTTCGAGGTGAACTGCGATATTGATATTTTTCGAAGTGTTGATCAGGGCTGGTTAGCCCTGTAGAGTGCGCTTGTCATCGAGCACCGGTGCAACGCAGGGAAGCAACACCCGCGTGTGTGAGCTTCTCATGTGCTGCTTCCCCGCATTTCCCCGGTGCTCGGTAAGAAGCGCACTCAACGGGCTAACCCGCCACAATCAACACGTTGAAGAGTACAAATATCGCAGCCATGTGCTTAGGAGGAAAGCTTATTTTCAAAGCGGGATGGTGCGTGCGTGCACCTGCTGTTTTTAGAAACAGAAACTTCATGAATGTTCATATTGACATCAGATGCCCTGACAACCTCTGTTAATACACAATTGAAGAAAAGGTAATTTGCATTTGGTAAAATTATTTATAAATCCCCTTTTTTGTGCATAGCTGGACATCTCCATAGTGGTAATTTTATGTCGAGGGCGTCGTTTACTGGCTTTACCAAAGCAGGCATTGGACTTTCGGAGGCCATAGTCAATAAATATAGATCAATTAAAATTAACGTATCTAAGAAATGGAAAAGTGGAAGCTTGGCAAAAACCTTCACAAGTTCAGCTGGGTTTTCCTTTAGGCATGTTGCAGCAACGAAATGACAAACTACTGACTATTCAATTAGAAAATATTCAACCGAAATCACTATTCGCTTCAAACTCGAAATCCACTACTCGCACATGCCCAATTTTAATATATCGTGAAACAATACAGGTAGAGATAACTCAATCTACACTTTGCTATATGTTTCTGTGCCATGCTTTGTGCCTCGGACTTGACGTTACCGCAGCTGACGGTTTGTGTGTTGCTACTCTTTTACATTGGATTCAAATGTGCTGCTCTTTGAGACAATTCCCCTCTCCCTCTCCATGTAGTGGGGTCGCACTCATGCAAAAGACCTACAGAGAAAAGGGAATTGCATCGTTGCGAAACTGCTGCCAAATGACTACTCTGATTCTTGCCTCCCCAGACAAGTAACACTAACTGTTCTTACTCTTTAGTGCTGCACCATGGCCAAGATCCGTAACCTGGTTCGCCTTCCGTTAATCTTTATGCTCTTGAATCTGGCATAATTATGCCGCAGATTCCTACACATATACACAGTTGCGTTTGTGCTTCGAAACAAAAGTGATATGTCTGTAGCCGCGGAGTGGATGAAAATGGTAGGGAGGACTTTCAGTGGTCCAGGATTCAGTGCGAGCTTCTCGCCTCTGAAAAGGTGCTATATCTGACGAACTTGAGGCACGCGTGTGCAGCCAATGTACGGCATAAGGCAACGAGCACCCAGGTAAGACATCGAAAAGAGACGCTCTGCGGCTTTTATTCTGCCGGCGACTACAGTGTCAAGAAGTTAACTGGTACAATTCGCCAAATCGAGCACACAGACGAGGGTACCACGACATGGACGACGCTCAGCGCAAAAGCTCGTACAGATGGCGGTGTTAGTGAAGGAGGGCATGCAGAGAGATAGATCAAACGTTGCTCAAACATAGACTTTGTGAGCCATGAGAGAAACATGCAGCAGACAGAAAGACGGCAGGCACTGAATCGAAAGACGTAACGGGATGTCTTTGCCACACCACTCTCGGCTGCCTCGCTTTCTCAAACTGCCCGACAAATTTTGTGAATAATACAGTTTAGATGCGACGATATCTTGTGTATTGATGGTGTCAGCCCCTACCAGGCTTCCGCAGGAGTGGGCAAACGACTCCAAAGTCGTATAACACACGAAATGCAGAATTTAAGGAGCGGTTGTTTCAAATTAGTTTGGAAGACATTAAGGCGTCATTTCGGGAAGAAAAGAACATATTTTGTGGCACCATGACTTGAAACCGTGATGTTGTGTCATGTGATGAAATGTTGCAATGTCAAATCGTGATGTTACATAATACAACGATGTCACTTTTTGTGGTCAAGTGATGTGGTGCCATGGTCTCAAATCGTGGTATTACACGATACGACGTCCCATGATGCCAGGTCACGTGATGTGCACTTGCCCTCCAAATCTAACTGGGAAATATACAGACGGACAGACAGGCGGACTTAGTTCGAGGAGTAGGTAGTTCTGTTCAAAAGTATACCTACGGAATGGTACACCTATTCCAGCCGCAATTTACCCTACGCCTAGCACCAACCCTTATACTGGGCAGGGAGCACGTGCAGATGAAAACACCAACACTAGGCTGCCGGCTGCTCTGTGTTCTGACAGACAGATGGCAAGCTACAAGACTGATTTTACAGCAACATGCATTTTTATGACACTTAAGGAGTAAGACACACTGAACACACACACACATACAGCTTGTCAAAAAAATGCTTTATTAAAATGCCGGAAAGAAAATGAGCATTACTTAAATAGAAAAAACTTTCAGCCTTTCCACTTTGGTGAAGAAGGAAGAGCAGCGGAGCTGTACTATGTGCTGCCATCTATGAGCGATGGCGGCATTCAGACAACTGGCAAGCCGGTTGTCTGGTTGCCGCCGTCGCTCATTAATGGCGGTAGCTGTCCAGAGGGTTGTGTCGAGATTTATTTGTCCACAGACACGAAACTGGGGAAACTAACCCTTAACAGCTCCACTGTAAAAAAAATTTACTCATTCGTCTGGACTTTAAAAGCTCATTCAATAATGTCGTCTGAGATCGGCATAAAACTATGCACCTCATTAATTGGGTTGCCGACTAGACGTTGCAAAAGCGACGTCAACATGTTGAAGGGTAAAAGACGACGATATAAAAGTGTTATTGATCGCAGGCAGAAGACAAAGTAATAGGGGACATTTGCAGAGAATACGAGTATATAACAGGTGTCTTGCAATGCATGCTTGTTAGACAATGGCATGGCATGCGAGGGACTACATCACATGCAAGTCACCACGTAACAGGCAGCGGAAGGCTGGGACGACAGGCTTTCATACCGCCTCCTGGCAGCTGAATGAAGACACCGACTTCATGTTCTCCCAGACCTTCTCGTAAATGACAGTCGTGCAAGTCTTGCGTACCTGCAAAAACACACAACGGAGCAAAGGCAACGATGAAAACGAATGCAGCCCAGCACAACGTAAGCTTTTGCCTCGCTAGTTCAAAGAGTATGAAAGTTCTGCCAAGGTTTCAGACGGATTGTCGAGGTTTTGCTCCGAGTAATGATTTTGATGGGAGGGAATGTACATTACCGAAACTTGACTGCAAGCAGTACAATAGCAGAGTTGGGCAAGACCTTCTCTTATGATGTGGTGAACGGCACCCGCAATAAATGTTTTAGACATGGGGTTCAAACGAAAAGCGCTTGGTCAAGGTTAGGATTTGTTGACTAAACAATACAAACCAAGCCTAGCATGAAATGTAAATAACCTTTTGCTTCCTCCCTGATAATCTCATGCGCCGCAGGCTACAAAGTGACGAGTGAGACTCAAACATGAATTTCTGCATCTAGGCCCCAAGGTCGCCAGTATAAGATCCATCAGGTTCGGTGAAAAAATCCTACGAGATTGCTAAAGAAAAACTCGCTTTAGTCAAAACTAAAAGTTTGAGGGACCAAAGTTGAGTATAGTATCATACTAGTACACAACTCATGTCTCTCTGTTGCAGGTTATGTAACAATGCTGATAATAAAAAAAATAATAAAAAAAAACTTCTTTCCCCGTGTGTAAATAATCAGCCTTGCTAATCAGCAAGCTCAAGTACCCTGGAACACAGCAATCACACGTCACTGAAAGTAATTGTAGCTCAAACCAAAAACCCACACACTTTACGAGGTAGCGCAAACAGGGTGGCAGATTAACACTATGGTCCGACTTCATTCCCAGATCACATGCCGCTTAACGCTTAACTTATCAGTTCGGACTGTAAGCAAAGGTGGGTATATTTGTTTCTTTAACAAAACAGCTGTCACAAGAGAACTATAAAGACAAAGTTGGCTTTTGGCCAGTCAACATCACTTTATCTATCTACCTTCTCTGCAGGCCAACTGATAGAGGCAGTACAGGAGGTAAATAACAAGATAAGGCAGAAAAGATTTATGCTAGCCTGAATAGGGCATACTTCGAAAAGCCGGTGATCGAGATATTGCCAACACCCAATTTTTTAAAGAATACACGACGTATGGTCATTTTGTTCTGCTGCATGATTAGAATACCCCTGCTACCAGCTCCTTTTTGCTCTCAAGGTGTCTTAGCATCAGACACGAATAACATAGCAGTATGTAGTAATAGGTAAAGAATTCAGTAGGTGCTTCCACTATGGGCTTTATGCCTTTGATAGTACTTCGTCCTAAGCACAACCGAAGCCCCATGAAACGCCATGAGCATGTGCTGGATGCAGCACTTCTACGGAATTCTTAGCCTTTCACTGACTACGGAGTTTGTGGTGACTGCAGCAACCTAGATCCACCACTGAAGAGGTCCCCACAGGACTGGCACAGGGCAAAGGCCTTGAGGTACAACATTTCAGCAAGCTTCGAGAAGGTTGCAAAAAGGCAACTGCAAGATTTCTAATCATTGAAAATGAGCTTGTTGATGAATAGGTATGAATATATGAAAGAATAAAACATTGAGGACAGAGATGGAAACAACTTATTTTATTGAGCAACAACATAAAATGACACCAAACATAAAACCACAGCCCAAAGGTTGCAACGTTCTTGTAGAAGGGAAGAAGAAAATTGTTAAAGGAAAGGGAAATTTACTATACATTTAAAAGTCGTGAAGCCAGTGCTTTTTAAACTTCTAAATTTATAGTAAATTTCCTTTTGCTTTAACAATTTCCTCCTTTCCTTCTTTGGGAACATTGAAACCTTTGGGGGGGGGGGGGGGGGGGCGGTTTTATATTTTGTGTCATTCTATCCTTCTATGTTGTTGTACAATGAAAGAAGTCCTGTTTCCATCCTCGTCCTCAAAGTTTTATCCTATCATATCATGTATTCGTAACATTTCTAGCGTTCTTGGGGATAGTTTAATAACACCAAATCTGCTTTGGGGATTCACGAAAAGTTTTACCCATTAATAAAACAATAGCGTCATGAGAGATGTAATTCAGTACAGATAGGTTTCAATGGAAGCAGACAGACAGAAATGGCCTTCAAAGGAAGAAGACATTGAGATTCGTCGGCTAGCTGGCTGCGAGAGCCAAAAAACAACTCTGGTTACGAAAACGTTTGACAGCTATGAACATGTCCGGCTGGCTGTATGCGTATGTCACAGCATGACACTGATTTCCCACTAGGTTGCTGCTAAATATATGCGGAATCAGCAATGAGCCAACGGAGCCTATTTCGACAACCTAATGATGCCGAGCGACCTTAGGAACAGTTTGACAGGCAGACAGGAAAATTTACATGACACCCTTGACCTCCGAGGCCAATGCAATTCTAAGAAAGGTTTTGTCTGATGGAGGTTCTATTTTTAACCTCTTTGCAACCTTGGGATGTCATGGTCACTTCTAATGTGGTCGCTCCTTCCAGGTGGTTTTCGCTGCTGGGCTCGAGGAAGCAAAAACAGGCCTTGGAGTTCCAAAAGAAGTTGCCAGAATACCATCCGTTCTCACCATTTGCCGAGGTGATTTAAAAGCTGCCGGTCATGCACGAGGCTACCTCATACTACTTAAAGCCATTTTCTATTGCCCTTCTAAGCTGAACTGCAGAAAGTAAATGTCTGCAATTCCTTTTAAACAATTTCTGTTAGGTATCATGACTGCCCATTAAACCTGCTGGTTAAAACACAACTCATCTACAGATTGTAACAATATTACATACCACCTTTTCTGAACACATATTCATAAGGGGTTCATGACACTGTTTACCAGTTAAGTCAAAAACCATTTGTCTACCAAACAGGCCAAGCATCGGTCACAATGATATGGTTGTTCAGCTAATAGTCGTCTCCAATCTATTTGTATCACTACAGACTTGCTAAGAAAAACCCGACATATTGCAATCCCCTACATTATGTAAACCATGTGAAGTTTGTAAGTTAATCTTTATCACAAAAGCAATGTTTGCAAACCAATGTCCAGCATAAAAATATTTCATGCTCCTGCCAGTACTTGCTGTAACCATAGCCTTATGTAGAGTACAACAGAATCTTTGGTGGCTTGGACAGTGTCATCCAAACTACCATAGCCATGGTATAGGGAGTATTCACAGGATGCCATATTTGTGGGGCTGTTTAGAGCGCACGCCCAAAACGAGCTCACATCAATAGGCTGCTAAGACCGGCACTTTTGATGGTGTGGAATGCACGCTGTGGAATGCACGCTGAAAAAGAACTGTGGAAGCTTGCCATCAGCACGCGCTCAGCATTCGCGCACACAGCTATGGCCGTCAGTGAATACTTTCTATAGTGACAAGGCCACTCTAAGAGCTGCAGCGAAGAACAAAAGTTCATTTGTTGCATTTGCTTAACGTTAGATTTGACCGTCAAATTTGTCGGTCAAATCTAACATTAAGCAAATGCAACATGCAGTGATGAGACGTCTGCTCCCGTGCACAGGGGCGTTTGATAATTGGAACTCATAAGAGTCAATCCTCGACGAATGGAGGAATTCCACGTTCGATAAACCCTACGGCCAAAGCCACCTTGCTCTCAGCACTGCGAGGTTTGCTGGTCCTCGTAGAAACTCACTGCATCTGGCTTGGGTGTGCAGGCCTCCTTCGTGTATTGGGATGTAATTTCGCAGACAGACTCCGCCACCTTGAGAGTCAGTTTATAGTTGATTCCAGCAACAACCTGAAAAAACCAGAAAAGGACATCTTAGTGAGACGGCGACCATCACAAGAGATGCAAAAACAAGCTGGTTATCAGACTATGAATAGTCAGACATGCATATGATGCATGCCACAGATTGGCTTTTGTTGGCTAGCATATTGTGCATCTTGTACGTCGGATAGTTTTGTTGGACCTTACAGAATGCACTTCTTTGTGAAACTGACAAGTCGTGATAGTATATAGAGGGTGGATATAAATGCGGTGAAGCAAGATGGTTTGACAAGGGGGGGCTGCAGGCAAATGCACTGACTCGGGTGGCGACAGTCCATTGAGGCACCACTTTAGAAAGGACACTTTGCAAGAATGTTGCATTTCCATCTTGCTTTAAGTGCATTCTTTCCTCTGGGGCGTTTCACAGTAGCGACCCGACTAAACCAGATAGTTTTATAGGTGCAGAAGCCTCATATAGATATAGCGTACCAATCTATGTAGGTTACTAGTAATCATAAAGATTAAGTTAGTCAGTGTTGGGTTATGGTGCAAAAGAACTTCAGCAATTGGTGTACTTACGAGTCGTTTTCATTTATTGTCGTGAAAATGTGTCCACCAGTGTGTTTTTGTGTGATCCTGAGTGAAGCTGCATTTAGAACGAGGCACAAAATCACCGAGACCGAATTGATTACACTTCTTTCCATGGTCACTGAGAACTTAAGAAATAGAGGGCACAGCTTATTACTCGTGTCTCTTGCATTTTGATTCTCGGCATTCTTATTGAGTAATGTCGCAATCCCACTGGGTGCAGACTGATACTAAGATGCTTGGGACTCCTCACGTCCTGCGTTTCTTATGTTGTCGGTGATCAGACATTAGTCAACCAAAACTAACAGTAATGCAAACCCTCCAGATGTGTTGATCAAAATCATCCGCATTCACCGCAGACGCAAACATACAGCCTTTGCGATGAGGAAACAAAGCCCTCTTGGGTGGACTGTGGAAAGGAATGTATAAACACAGACTTTTGTTTTAACAAAGAAACAAACATGGTGACGGCTTTCCCGCAGATCGGATTGGATTGGGAGCCACGTTGCGCAGAAGTAGCCGAAGCTAAATGCGTCCTTCCTGCACAACCTGAACTAATCGAGCCTCGAGTCCGAAGCAGGATCGTAGTATAAGAAGGGAGCACCAACACAAAATGCCAGGCTGTCCACATGTTTGCTATTTCTTCAATCTAGATATAATTAATGAGTCTGTCTTTGATACTCATGATCAGAACCTGTCCCGACGCAACTGAAATAAAATGCGGCGAGAGGTGAGTCAATAGGGACTTCCAAGTTTGGTTCATGGCCAATGTGCTCGGCAAAAAAACAAATAATACAATCAAAGAGCTGTATCCATGATTCTTATTTTTTATAATGCCAGGAAAAACGTTTTTTTTCATGGTGACGCCAGAATAGTCAGAGCTATGGGGCATCGGTTTTGGCTTTAGCTTTCGGCAGGAAGCAGCAAGATAAAGAATTTATATGGGAGTTTATATGCGCATGCAATTTGAGACTGGGAGACCGTGAACCATAGTTGAAAACGATCCAGTGAGCAGAGCTGCATGGGCTTTTGCAACACTTTTCCTTGGCCTTGAAAGCTACTGTGTTAAGCAAGAGGCTCTTATTATCAAAATGAAGGTCAAATAAAAAAAAAAAAAAAAAACCTATCCATGCCAATAAAGATAATGATGTCCATGAGAATATTAGCAAATCTGCCTAGAAACAAAAAAAAGTAAATGAGCGAAAAGAAAATTAATGAAAGGTCATAGTGGTTGGGATGGGGGCTCCAAGGCCTGCCTGAGGTTGCGCTTTTTCCCAATACTGTTACAAGAGCGGATTTTATGCATTTTACCGAAAGCAGCGATGGTAACATCATTGTCTCTGGAATTTCTCCAGAGGCAAGGGAGTGAAGCTCTCCTAATGCCTCCCGGTGTCCCAATACGTTGTTGCAAAACAGAACAGCCGTCGGACAAGGTTTAACTTTGCCAGCAATTAACTAAAGGCACTAGCTTGAAAATCTGGAGCTTTAGGGAACACCTGTGAGAGTTCCTGTGGGGACAGATAACAGCCAAAAACTCAGATTTAGATTACTTTCACCAATATACGATTCTTAAAGAGACCAAGGTTGAATTTCATCAGCTAAGCCAATTAAACATAATAAAGCAACTGGCAGGAGCAAGGTATGTGTTGCTAACCTCTCATTTCAAGTACAAGAAAAAAGTGCAGAAAGAGCCACAAAGACAAAGAGAGACCAAAACAGGATGAGGTGCCCCATTCTGTTTGGGTCTGTTTGTCCTTGAGTTTTTTTCATTGCTTTTTTGTAGCACATGACGAAGCAATGGGCCCACACCACCACTTTGTTCTCACTTTAAGTAATTTGACTCAAGGTGCGTTCCAACGGCCAGTCAAACATGAATTTTGTTTTTAATGTTCCACCAGAGTTTTCTCAAATATTACCGTGAAGTCTGCAGTCTGGAGATCCATTAGTGCGTTCCATCATTATGCAGAAGCATTAATCACAAAAGAAAAAGTATCTGGGAGAATGTGGGTGGCCATCAGGATTGTTATTCAGGAAAATCCCAACCAAATGGCAGTCGTCTGGAGACATTAAGCGACCTTCACAAGCGTGTTGCCATTCATCTCTAAGGGGTGAAAACATAAAGCCGCCTTGGCTCCTTTCCGTTTTTTTTTCTTGACCCTCGTTCAAGACTTAGGTGTCTGAGAACTAAAGGTAGCTTCCTGTTTACATTTGGGCTTCATTCTGAAAAGACTCTCCTACCACATACGGTACTTCTCAAGGTCGGTGGAGGTTGTTACAAACAGCTCTGGATGTAGTTGTTTGTCTGTGTCCCTGCATGTTCCACAAGGGCCTAGTAAATAGATTTCACAATGACTGTCGCAGTCGCTTTGCAGGTGCGTGAAATCCGGAGATGTTCCGCAAGTGCTACTAAATGAGGACGAAGCAAACACAAGGCAGCACGTGCAAGCGTTTAATGTTACTTCTTTAAACTGGATCGTCTATTTTGGTGGTGTACTAGACCTTCATTCTCCCTCATATTTCACACACCTATTTATGTTGCTCTACTGGTTTCAGTTCTCATGCTACTTTGAATACGCTTTGCTTGTGCAGTCGCAACTGATGACAAAGAAACACAACAGAAAAAAAAAAGAGAGAAGTTAGGGTTCTGTTATGAACCAAACACTGCATCCAAGTTTTAGTGTGGGTCACCAGGAAAGGCAGGTGAAAATGGCAGGGACTTTCGACAATGATTCGTCGTCTTGTGAGCAGCGAGCGTTCACACATACCCAAAGCACGATGGAAGGAAACAAGCTTGCGATAGAAGCCAAGTACTAGAAAAAAGATGCCGTGTTGTTCTCATGCTGCAAGTGACTAGGATGACCCCGACCCCATCTGCCCCGACTACCTGTAAAGTGGAGGACAGTCTTCAGCACAGACATTCTTACGTGCCACCACCATGCTAAGGCTAAGGTGGTTCGGATTGATTAGGGTGCAAGAATACAAGCCAGACGAACAAAAGTTTGAAAAGAGGAAGGGATATATAGCAAGTCACATGAACTTGGAATCAGGCTCAGCCAATGGCAGAATGGAAGGTCATGTCCTATGTTGCTGTCGTTTGCAATGTTGGCAGAAATTAGAAAAATTATTCTGTCTGCTCTGAAGCGCACATATCACTGTATCGGTCATGTCCTGAAGTTCGCCATGACAAAGCGATAGGTTTTTCCACCCCAATGTTTCTAGGCTGACTCCAGATACGTTTTTGTCTCTCATATGTGACACTTGAAGGCAGCTGTATCAATTGGTAAATTGTACGTTTACACATTCCCAGATGCGTAACATCCCGGTTTCGACCCGGAAGTTAGTGCCAGAATTCCCGTCTGCACTGATGAACCTAAGTGAGCGTAACCGACACGGAAAAAGCCTGTTCAGTAGTACTCCATGCTGTTTTGTCCACAGCTTATGTGCGCAGGCATACAAACAAGGCTTTGATGGGATCGCGCGGAATCGGATAACTTCGAAACACTTATCTTGATCGTGGTATAATGCGAAATTAAGATGCCTGCTGGCAAACACGCGCAGTTGGCACCACCTCTCGGCCTTGTGACGTTACGTCAGCAGTTGAAACAACATCCCCCATTAGCAATCGCCGTGAGGGCAGTGTACGCAGGCGAAACTGGGCGTTCACACTGCACCGTAAAAGCGAGGCTGATCTCGGACCGTAATAACCCTCGTCCTTAGTACGAATTATCGAAACGATGCAAGGTGCCGACCCGTGAAATTCACAGTAACCAAACTCGTCCGTTTTCGGACAAGTTTTTTTGTCCTCACCTACGCGGAGTCCGCAATATATGCGAGCTTTCGGAGTAATCAGAGAAAACTCACCTGCGTCTGGGCTTCGAGCACTTCTTCGACGGTGTCGTAATATGCTTTGTTCGCCTGCCCGGCAGACCAAGAGGACGTTGCGAAGTGTGCGAGTTCCAGGTACTTGGGGTTAGTCTGGTGGTCGGTCTTCCGTGTGTATCCGCCCGGAATTCCGGCGGCGATGCAAGCTACGCCGCTCAGGAAAATGACCAGCGTGAGTGAACGAGCCATCTTGGAAACGATCTGGATATTTAAAACGCAAAACTGAGATGGGATGACGCGCAGAGAGAGCGACTTTTAACTGGTTCGCCTCCTGCTTGCTCAATGCCCTCCACGGCGGTTTCCAGTTGAGAAAGAAAAACAAACAGGACAGGCTCGCAGGGTTTGGATTGGGTTGGATCAGGTTGGATTTTAACGGTTTTTGTGAAGACTATAAATAACTGTGGATGTATTAACACTTCAGGATCTTAAAGTTAGGCGGAAACTCTTGTCACCTGAATACGGTGGTTTTTAAACTGCTACTGTACATTTAAAATGTGCTTTACATGCTCAAAAAAGACAAAAAATATTAAAAAAAAGGTTTGTGATTGGTTTGTTTACTAAAAGTATAAAAAAATAGCGCGGGTTTCAACACAGTTATTACAATAAACACTGGAGGCTCAGGTGGCGCTAGTGCCTAGGGGACTTCCGGTTGCAAATTGAAGCAGACAGCATGCAGTCTAGATTTCCAGCCTTCCTGTGTATTCCTATGGGAAAACGCGCGTGAATTTTGTCTCTTCGCCGGAAAATAACATGAATAACTTTTGTAATTTCGGTTGTACCGGGTAGTATGTACCTTCATTGGTATTGTGAGAGTGCAATTGCTTTAGTTACAACATTTTTCTTTGCTACTGAACGATGTTAAACTTCGCTTTATTTCAGGCCCAAACCTCTGTTGCAAGGAAGGTATGTAAAAACGAGCGACGATTCTAAGCAAACTAACGATCGAAAGCGTCCCTGTCAAGCACGCGCGTTCGTGCAGTGCGAGCATTTTTCAGGAGGTGCTGCTTTTGCGAGTAGCTTCGGCTTCGCTATCACGTAAAGTGAAACATACGTGCTTGCGGAAGCTATGAAAGAAAGCAAAGATGAAAGGAATGTTTAATGGGACGCTGCGGCCGCGAGCTGCATAATTCTTTTTTTAATTTTTATTTTCTTAGAGGTTTTGTTATCGCGCATCTTCAGATGCTTGTATTCGAACGTGGCACGTGCAAAATCGAACGTTACAGAGCCACCTGGATGGTTCAGCCATCATAACATGGTCGCGTCTTGCGGATGCGCTCGCGCCCCCTGCCCCAGAGCAACGGAAATTGAAGCAGACAGCAACCAGTCTACTTACTTTTGTGGTGCTCCTGGGCAATCCTGTCTCTTCACCGGAAAATAACACGAAACACTTTGGTTATTTGGGTCGTACCGAATAGTATATACCTTGATTAACATCGTAAAAGTAATTACTTTAGTTGGCGCATTTTTCTTTATCAGTGAACGATGTTTAACTTCGCTACATTTCAACCCCAAACGTGTGTTCCGCAGCACATATGTAGAAACAAGCGACGATTCAAAGCAAAATTACAAAATCGAAAGGAATATAGAGTGTGTTCAAGGCTCGCCAGCATTCCGGTGACGCTTATATATTGATATTGTGCCAGTCCTGTCCTGTCACGATTTGAACATGACCCCGTCTTGCATGAGCGGATAAAAACATTTAGAACGTAAATAATAAAGCTTGTGGGCTATGAAAGGTGCCTCTCCGTATTGTTTTCACTGCCAGGCAGCCTTTATCGGTCACCTGTTCTCAAACATTACGAGCGTGCGGGTGAAATTTTGAACGCAGAACAAGCATCTTCGCACAGAGCAGAAAGAATAATGCTGTACTTGTTTAAAATCGAAATATATTACGTGGCCTTCAATTTATTTTGATCGTACATGAACAGGCAGTTACTGATCCAGTGTTTCTGCGTAGTTCTTGCCATCTCCCCTTAGTCTCCAGATGTCCTTCGTTCGATTGGCACGTACGTATATACCTCATGCTGAAAAGCGCCGACGTCGTGTTCGCGCTAGGATTGCCCGACATTGCACATAAATCCTGGCTCCGCCGTTATTTTGGCTTTCGGCGGGTTCCCGAAAAACTTTAATTCGTTGATTTATTGGATTAAGTACGGTTCATTCATCTGCATATGTTCGTTTATATCCTCCTCGGATACGTGATATATATATATATATATATATATATATATATATATATATATATATATATATATATATATATATATATATATATATATATATATATATATATATATATATATATATATATATATATATATATAATACCCTTTAAAACTTTTTTGATGATTGTTCTGATTCTTGGACGTCTGCAAACACTGAGCGCCTACATCCTACACCCGAGCGGCCATTTTTTTTAGGTCAAACTGGGAGAGTTTGACCTAAAAAAAATGGCCGCTCGGGTGTCAAACTGTGGCAGGCTACACAAACCGTGTAGCCTGCCGCAGGAATAACGCAACGATGGCATTTTTCGACATCGGGCCATAACATGTGGCGAAACAATCTAGAAACTTTACCTGCCCTTTCTGGTGACACGTTCGCAAACTTGCGCGTGTCGAAGAAAACGACGTCGTCTCGACAGCAGAAGAGTCGTACGTGCTCGCCGTCGAAGCGTACATGCTGCCCTCATCGGTGTTGACGAACGTCTGCGACTGTTGCATATGAACATGGACCAAGAAGATTCCACCTACTAAAAAGGGTATTTTAGAAACAACTCACAAACTAAAAACAGATCGCTTGTATGCGTGCTCATTCAAAATCGGGAGCACCCTACTTGAGATTCAGTCGCCACGTTTTATTTGCAGGCACGCGTTACCATCCGTTCACTTATATCCCATCTCACAAATTGTGTTCAGCGCACGCGAAGGCACGGGTTTGAGAGCGTGAATGGCATGGATACGCAGAATGCGTTGTTTGCATAAGAACTCGCACAGAGAATAGCGCTTTCAAAAGCGTCGCGCTTGTAGCTGCGCCGGCACTGAAGACGCATTTGCAGTTTATTTGCCCCTAGGACGTCATAGTGGCATTTCAATGCACTGGCAAGTTGCAGAGACGCGAAACGGTACTATCATTAAAGGGATACTACAACGAAATTTCGGCGCTCATTTTTTGGTCTATGTGTTCAAAGGAGCAGCATCACATGCAACATACCAATATTTTGTTAAAAAAGTCACAAAAAGGAATTTTAAAACGAATTAAACTATTAGCAAAGAGCACCTGGTGGATGTCGCTAACGCCTCGTTTGTAATGCTCGTCTAGGAACTTTGACAGCTAGTGACGGAGGTCGTCTCGCCTCCGGCCACGACGAGAGAAGAGGGGCAGGAGGAACCCCCCTTCCGGAGAATGCCTTTTGTGTGTCGCAGAAGTCGCTATTGGCCCCCACCAAAATTATAGAAGATTAACCCATCACTCAAAATTCGTACAAAGCAGCCTGTTCGGTGGCTGGAACAGCTAGGCCATCCTCTTGACGTCAGCCTCGCCGTAGCTTTGCTCGTCTCGAGACGTTGGATGCCACGTGGTCTCCGCTGGGCCTTCTCCGAGCGCTTGCCAGAGTGGGCCGTTTATAACGAAAAATACAGCCATCAGGCTCAAAATACAAACGTGCGATTGTCATTTACGGATATTGTGAATCATATAACCTATTTTTGAACACGACGGGAATATTTCAAATTTCGTTGAGGTATCCCTTTATAAAGCGCACGCTCCCAACAGGCTCCCACTTTGCTCTGAGTGAGGCTTGCGGTAGGTTGGAGTAATACGGTAGTACCCTCACGGTTCGGGTTACCAGCACTTACAGCCACCGAAGGGTAACGAAAACGCTTACAAGCTTTAGAGAGGTTCACTATCAGAAAATCGCCGTCAAGGCAGTCATCGCGAGTGCGTCGCGGAAGAGAAGGAGATCAACAGACTGGCGCCAACCACAGCTACATCTGCCAAGGTTGCAGTCTCCGAGGTCGTACATAAATCCTGTACGTTGAAAGCAGATGTGCTCTTTCCTGCAGTACATTGCATTAACGATTGATTGCATCCTTATGATCATGCCGCTAAGTGTAGTACACATCCCGAGACTGTTCCTGCGAACATGACATCGGCGCTTTTTCGCGCTTCGAACAGCAAAAATCGAAGAACGCAACGTTTTACCACTCATTTTGATTCCCCCAAAGAGTCCTTCTCAAAAAATGCTTAGTTTTAGTGATAGGATTTCATGTGTCAAAGTTGACGAGGGAAAACCGAGGAAGATTTCGTGCTAATTGCTCAAGGACCACTCAATCTTGTCCTAATCACTCGAATAGTATTTATAAATGATACCTTTGTCTTTGTGACAGATACTTTGTTCCCTTTGCTGTCGTTAACACCACGTTGCTTGCAGAAACGTACGCAGCAATTTAGTGGCATCTATCCGGCAAAAAAAGAAGATCGCGGAGCATACACCATCGTGCACCAACCCGTTCGGCCGCTTTCCTAGACCTAGGAAAGATGGCGGATCTAGTTCTTATCGCGCCTAGTAGATGGCGCTGCGCATTTCGCATATATCTTCGCATATCCATATCAAGATAACGGATCTAGTTCTTCTCGCGCCTAGTACCAAGCCTGGCACGTCGCGAAAAAAAGTGGCCGCCGAAAGTAGGAGAGGAGGGGCGGGGAATCAGGAGGCGGAATAAAGCTTGTCTGCCAGCGCCACCCAAGAGCGAGCGGACAGACGCAGAAACAGTCTTTTTTTTTTTTTTTTCGGAATCGCGAAGAGAAACTCGACGTCAACCCTTTCCCTTCGCCGTCCCTGCGCCGCAGCAGTTTCTCCCGGAGCACGAAAACGACGGTGACGAAAACACGAAAACAAACGTGGTTCGCGGAGCGGCCGCTCATGACCCAAGCGCTCGCGGACTATCTCTGCCCTTTCTTCTATGCGCTACCATATTGCTCACCGCTTCGCGCGCTGCTCCTCTCCTTTTTTCTGCGGCCGCGCGCCCTATGGCTCCGCCGTCGATGTGCCAGGCTTTCTCCGTATAGAGGAGGCTATGCTAGTACTTATACTAGGCGCGATATATGTATATCGCGCCTAGTATAAGCTTACATGATAAAACAAAATGGCTAGGTGGCGTAAGCTACCGCCCGATCCAAAGGGCTCAGCCGGATTCATCCATCCATCATCCATCCATCCAACACCCCACAAAAAAAAAACAAGAAAAAAAAACAAAAAAAAAAAAACAACCTTCGTTTGGTTTTTAGAAAGAGAGAGAACACAGGTTTTTTTGCAATGTCCTCATTAGGGTGAAAATAAAATGCTTCATCGTTA